TCAACGACGAAGGCGACTCCATATCCTATGTGGGACTTACCAAAATACCTTCACGAGCACAGCGAACCTGAAATCGGGCGAGCATTCTGAGCCCAAAAAAGCCGATGAGGTGGCAAACGCCCATGATACCCAGCACCAACCCAACCGGCCTTCCTTGCTGCTTCAGGTCCGTGGTGATTTGCTCGAACTGCTGGGCCGACATACTTGTCCCCGTGAGCTCCGACAGGCGGCCCAGTTCGCGGATGAGATGCTCAGTAGTTGGACGCACGAGTGGAGCATCCAGACGTTGCAGTGTTGCGTCATCATCGCCAACGATCGCTCGGCGGTGCTCCTCGTACACCCGCAGCCTTCCTTCTTGCACCGCCCTCCCCAAACATGTCCAGCTTCGGAGCGCGTAAAAGGTGAGACCGACGCTGATGAGGATGCTGGCTAGAATGTATATCCCGAAGGGTACAAAGCGGTACGGAGAGGTGAGCAGGTAGAAATACTGCGAGTGGTGCAGCCGCTCGAGGAGATTATTGTAGGTCCGAATCGTCCCTTCCGCGATGCGTCCCATGTGGTAGAACCCATAAGGCCCACTCGCAGGCACTGCGCGCAAAGTCAATGCATCGATGTGGTACCTGCAAGAAGAGATCTAGCGTGAGTATCGGGTATGTCCCAACAAGTGAAGCGACTCACCTTGTGAAAAGACCATGTACACCAGTAGTCTTGCCCAGGGCCTGCAATCCGATCTGATGCGACAGCCTCTCCATTGATTCCACATACTCTCCTTCAGTGCGTTCCGTCCATAAGGTTGTTCCGAGAGTAGCTTCCAGGGGTGCCTTGAAGGCACGCGTCCAGGTCTGGAGCTGTAGAAGCATGCGCTTGATGGGACTGTGCGAGGCTAGACCTGGAATTTTTACTGGTACGCCATCAATATGCTCGGCCACGCGGACGACAGCATTCAGTACGTCCATGTTTGGCAACTGGCCATTCAAACCCTCGTGCAAAAGCTCAATGGCGCTGAACGAGTCCGAGGGAAAGTCGAGCGCAAGAGCATTCCAGATGACACTGCCACGTGTATGATCATCTCCGACAGTGCCTTCAGCGGGGCGTGTGGCCGCCAAAGAGTGTTTGAAGCGATATGTAGTGGTGATCAGATTCGATTGGTTTGTCGCAAAGTATGTGGAAAGGAAGGCTTGCATGCCGGCGAGGTGTCCGTCTGACAGAACAAATATCAAGTCGCGCGACAAATGTGGTTGCGCTGTGCAGAGATGATACGGTTAGTCGCGCGGCTGATTCCCGACGCTGCAGATGCACTCACTTGTGAGGTATCGTGCGAGAGCGATCGTTAGTGCAACACCTCGTACGTTCACTCGCCTCTGATATGTCACTTTCCCTTCATCTGAGTCTTCGGGTTCAATGTCATTCCAGCTGCTAAACCAAGGAGCCGCAATGACTATGGCTTCCCTCGCATCCGTTCTAGGCGAGGGAAACCGAGCGAAAATGTTGCTCCCCGAAAGCGAAAGGTGCAACGGACCATCGTATGGCGAGGCGGCAGAAGCGCCCGCCCGATAGTCATAATGTTGAATGAACGGCTTGAGGCCAAGAATGGCAAACTGTTCTGCCAAGTAGTCTCGTTGAGCGGGACTCATCTTGCCTAGAGTTGCGTTGAGCCAGGGAGGGTGCCGCTCACCCTCGCTCCAAGCGCCGAGATCTAGGGTGGCAAGGGAATCTGCGACTTCGTCCGCCAGCTTGACGTCTTCTTTGTAGTCGAAGTAGACGAAGGCTTGGCCGGGCTGCAGGGCATTTTCGTCGACATATGTGCCCTTGCTAATGCCATTGTTCGCATTTCGATCGTACCAAGGTCCTAACGGCGGTATTGGGAGCACCAACGGGACGAGATAGCCAAGAAGAATAAATACCGGCGGCAATACCGCCGCGAAAACGTCCAGCCTGAGCTTCGCTGCAAGCTGACGTTTGCGCCGGAAACTATGGGCAGCAAGTGATGTTGATGACATTGCCTCAGTGTTTTGCGCTTTCCCCTTCGTGAGCTTCGAAATTGATGACTTGTCCCCTTCCAGGACGAGTATTGCAGTCTCCTTGACGGTGTTCACATCTGGATCTTCGCGCAGTTCCCGCGCCGTTGTCATGGACGTGGTGGCATTGATTTTGTGCGCATTGTCGTTCTGACGTCTGCCGCTTGCTCCCCTTCGTTGACATTCCGAGATCTCTCCCTCGTGGTCACTCTCTTGAATATCGGCAAGGCTTGCATGCAACGTCGATGACGCGACGGTTGGCGACTTTGAAGCTGAAGCCGGCGCTCTTTGCGGCTCGGGCGTCGCCGACAACCTTGCAGACCTCCTTCGCGGTGTCATCGGCCCTCCATTCTGTGAACTTGGCATGGTGGTGGGATGTTGAGAGCCCGCAGCAGCTGTCGAAATAGGGCGTGAATGGTTCTCTGTTCCAATTCTTCGCACAGTGCGACTACCGCAATCGCAAATGTGCAAGACTACTTTGCATAACCAGCCCTCTACAGATTGCCGTTCAAAAATGTGCCTTCCACTGTCGTCCTCTAAGGACCCAGGCGTTCGAGTGGAGACCACGGGCGGGATCGTTGCACGAGAAAACACTACAGCGTATGGCGACGCATCAGACGCGTTCCAATGTTAATGCTTGACCACTTGGAGTGTGGAACCTGGTACCGAAACGAAGCAAAAAAGGGCCTACACAATTTGAGTAGGAAAACTGGTAAAAAATGATTTCACCCGGTCTCGAACCGGGGACCTTATCCGCAACACCTTACTGTCCTCAGGCAGTGAATTGTTAAGGATATGTGATAACCGCTACACCATGAAACCGCTTGTGATATGAAATCACATAAAGAAAATATGTTCTTTAAAGATTCGTCCGACTCTTGGTTTCAACATTTTTTCCTGCGGCCGCGCTGCCCGAGTCGTATCCGGGGTATTTTGGGGCAGGCATTGTCGTGCTGCTCGCGCTAGGGCCTAGCTGTATTGGTTTCAGTGCCTCAGGCGCTACCCGCCCCGAGCAGTGTGCTCGTACTCGCCATACTTTGACGAGGGCAACGTGAGAGTAGCTACTCTGCCCATTCTTGGGCCACTCTGAGCAGCACCACCCATAGCACTAGGTATGGCAGCTTCATCGCGGCTGTACAACAGACACCATAAATGCTATGGTTGAAAGCTTGAATCACACGGGAAGATACAAATTGAGGTCCCAACAATACGAGCAATCATATGACCAATACAAGCCTTAGCCAGGGCGCAACTCACCACGCTTTACGAGTGACAGACAGGTTGGGGCAGGTCGATTAATAGTACTAATAAGAATACAAAAGAATGAATTCGAATCTCGGCAGCGTCCCTGCCCGTTTTTAGGGGCAGGGAACCATCAGACTGCGGATATCTGGATGTACCTGGCCGTTTCGCCGGCCTGACTTCTCGCCTCTCCAACCTCCAGGTTTGCTGCCTGCTGCAAAAGGCGAGGCAATGGCCCCCATCTCGCGCGAGAGCTGACGCGCCGGCCGCTTAACTTGTGTGGAGCTCAGCTTTCATCAAACGCGCCTTATACTGCTCTGTGTGCGCCGAAAAGGTACCAGTACCATGGCGGCGACATACATGCCACAGGTGCATCGATCATGGGTGCATCAGGCCCACACGGCGACCAGGGCGGCGTCTCGGTCGCCGTCACCGGATCCAGACGGCAAAGACAAGAGAGAGGACATTCTCAGCGCCGAGCAAGGTATGAACAGCAGACTCGCGGTAGACATGCAGGAACAGGACTTCCTGCGACACATGAACAGAGGAGATCATTTACCATCTCGCGGTGCACATGCAGAACAGGCTCGAGTCATGCGCAACATGTACGGCTATGCGCCCATTGGCTCCATGTATGACGCCCAGGAGCTCAGCAGCGAGGAAGAAAAGTGGGATGCCAAGGTAGGTAGCGTCCAAGAGCACCATCTGAAGAGACTCGATCGGCGCTGAGGTGTTGACGCTCGGCAACCCAATCCCATGCAGAGAGTCAAAGTAGCCAACTTTGGCAAGCGACATTTCATTAAATTCGGCAACACTCGCACACTGCAAGAGGAGGAAAATTCTGTCAGTCCACAGTAATCGGGAAGCTTGTGAGATCGCACTAACCCCATCTCATGTCAAATCGGTAGATCGAAGAGGATGCAGCGCACCGCCAGGGCCTGGCAGACGATTCTACCGCGTCAGACGCCGAGGGTGGCCCAGGGGTCTTCATTGGTGGCCATACGGGTCATGCAGCAGCAAATCTTGCCGCTCAAAGGCGGGCTCAAGCTGACGCGACTGCGAGAGGGGAGCAAGCAAACCAGCCCACCGCAGCGGTCGTCACTGCCGAGAGGGGAGGTGCCGCTGCAGCGGGGCTTGCTTCACCGCCTGCTGCTGAAGCGCTGACGGAGGGCGATCGGACCTTCCCCGATGACGACTCCTTTGAGCAGCGGGACATGGATGCAGACATCGAAGATCTCGATGCTGAATGAATGTAGGTCTCAAATGCATGTACTAGTATAAGTCATATCCACTGTAGCTTACTTCATTATGACCGTGTGCAGTATATTCAGCCTTTCTGTGGATGTTAAGCGGTGCATAGACTCGGTGAATGCCTGTGAAACTTCATTGGCCCGATTCAGCATGCGCGCATGACGCTTGATCTTTGGAACGTTCGAATGAGCGCGGACCAGCTCTAGCGCCTGCGCAAGCCCGTTGACACGTTCGACAAAGCTTGTGGACACTCTGTCGTCCCGTGCAAAAAAGTATGTTGGAAGGGGCTCTGCAAGGTCTGGAATGGCCGCCGCTTGCTCCGTCTCCGAAAGCACGCTGCTTTCGGGGGTTTGTAGACGAATGGCGTCCCATAAGCTCATCAAGATGAGGTCGCCAACAGAGTTGGAAATAAAATCCTCCAGTGCAGCGATGCGGTCCTTCTTTGAACGCAGTGCTTCGGTTACGTATTGCAAAACGGCATAACGGGCAATGGCAAACGGATCTGCCGAAGTTATGATTGAGTCGGTGCTAATGCTTGATCCGCCTCCAACAATGCGAGCATGTAGGGCGTGCTGTACGGCGCCGATGCTCTTCTCGATGAACATGTCCCCTTCTGACATGTTGAGCACTTGACAGTAAGAAGCGAGCAGCGAGGTCTGCTCCAAGGCAAGCGAGCCATTGATCGCTGCAATCTCGACGGAATTGAGAACAGTTGGGCTCGAGCTTGCCAGAAGAAAGGTTCACCGTGCGACTCACCTAATTTCAGATTTGCTCGCACCTTGCGCAATCTTTTCATCGTCCGTGCATCCAGCTGCCTCCTTAGGCTCCGCGGAGCTTTTGATGTCCCGGTAGTAGCTGGCTTAGCCGCATCGTGTGAAGACAAGTCCACCTCCTCGGGATCCGGCAGCTGATTGACAAACCGGCTCAATGCGCCGGTGAGCACAATGCATATGCCCTCCCATTCCTTTCCTTGGCTCATTGCACTGAGGAAAAGCAGCACCAGCTTAGCCTTTCGCAAGAAGAAAGCGCACCGAGAGACTCACTATCCAAGCGGAGTATAATTCTTGGCATTCGTGTTGGCGCTAGAACTTCCACCAAGGTCCAGTAGCAAGTCAAAATTAGAGTCTCTGATGGCCATAATCGTCTCGACGTCTTTCCGGTCGATTGCTTTGAGCAAGTCATGGGTCTCATAAGATCGAGTGGGTATGGCTGTTGAACCAACTTTCATTGCCGCTTTGTTCGTTGATTTGCCGATGTCTTTCCCATCTGCTGCTCCGTCGTTGGGTGCAAGTCTTCCTGATCCTCCGGCGGATGTGCCTCTGGGAGCATGCGCTCTTACTCGCGAAAGAAGCCCCACAATCTCTGCACAGCCTTTGTTGTAGTCGCTCCGATCTCCCAAAGAAAGAGGATCAAGCTTGAAATTCAGTTCCATCTCTTCAAGAGTTGCGCGAACGGCACGCCTTGCCTCGTCCATTCGTTTGTCATGGTCTTCGTTGAGCCCATAGCTCGGAAATAGTGCATACAGCTTGGCGTCATCGATGTGGGGAAAGCCATCGCTCTGCTGCGCGGCGTCATCTGATAGAGTGTATTGAGGTTCAGAACGTGATTGTAGAGCTGATTTGCCTCGCTCGTGCTCGTGCCGTCGCAGTTTTGCCTGCACCGCCGAAATGACGTCTGAGAATTTTAAACCAGACATGTTGCATCCAGCTGCATTTAAAGCAGAAAGAGATGTATTATTCTCATCAGCACGCGGAAGCCCAGCGTGCTTCCTTGCACGGTCGCGGTACGAAACTGCCAGTGTGATACCACAGTTTCCAATGCATACACATACATAGCCCACCCCCAGAACGAGGCTCGTGAAGTGTGCACAGTGTCAAATGTGCGAGAGAAGGGAAGTGACTGTTGACGGTGACAGCTTGTCTCACCGCATCGATGACGCGATGACGATGACTTTTTGCGAGCTCACAGCTTGAGCTACATAACTGTCTCAACCGCAGACGTCCACAGACTGCAGCCAGAACTTCTTGCTCTACAGGCTTTCGTACTCTGAAATTGCAGATAGTCTATGGCCGACTGCAGAACAATAGAGGTTCAAGTTCGTCTAATGCAGTGCGAGTGTCGTGCAAAGTGCCAAGAGGCATACATATAACAGTAAGGCAAGACGAGACGAGGAGCGATTAAAGGGATTCCAGAGACTGTACCACTTGTGCGAAATGCGGCTTGCGTTCTCCTTCTCCTTCACAGCGTGTTGCGTAACATGACCTTGTAGCATTCCTCGTCCCATGCCTTTCCGTCCTTCTCAAAAAATCGCTCGCCTTCGAATGGCTGCTTGCATGATTCGCAGACAAAGCAGTGCGGGTGCCACTTGCCCTTAAGAGCAGTGATCAGATCATCAGTGATGGGCAACTTGCACCCTTTACAGCGAGGATGGTGCAAGTTGACGTGGCACTGAGCGCGCATAAGAATGAGGCTGGTAAGCAATGAATGATTCTCGCCTCGAATCGTCTGTGCCGCCACTCACCTTTTCGCAATATGGATAGCCTTTGACGACGACAAATGCCTTACCTCCCGCCTGGACAATACCCTGCTCGTCCGCAACAAGCGCTTGCTCGTCCGCGCCCGCTGTACCGGCAGCGGCTTTTGGATCCACAAACGGATCTCCGCAATTGGCGCAGAAGAAATGCAAGTCGTGGTAGTACCGCTTTCCGAGCTGTTCGTCATCGATCAATATGAATCTCTCATCGACGATCGGCGTCCGGCAGTGGAAGCACCTGCGCGAGAAGAGCTCGTGGTAGTCGACGTGGCAGTACGGACGTCCTTCGTGCTCATAAAAGGCAAAGTGCTCCAGGTGCTGGCCGCAGTGCGAGCAGCGGAAGCACTGTGGGTGCCAGGTGAGACCCATGGCTTGGACCACACGTCCACCAATCCACTTTCTGCACCCTCCGCAAGTCGCTCCAGAACCTACTGAGGATGCCGATGCTGGACCTGTCGAAGAGCTGGGGGGCGGGTGCGCAAAGCCGCTGGTGGCTCGCTGCGCTTCTGCTGGGGTGCCAGCAGAGGGAATTTCACTCTTGGTGCCAGACACTGATATAGCAGGGCCAGCAGCGCCGTCGTCATCTTCAGAGATCGATATGATTGGAGGAGCATGTGTTCCTTCTTCATCCGACACTGAAATGACGATGCCAGGTGCGCACCCATCGTCGGCCACATCATCATCGCCAGGTAAGGAGATCGTTGGTACGGTAGGAGGCGCACGCGGTGCCTGCTGTGAAGGCTCGAACATTTGCGGTCGGCCCACCGAAATGGTCGACGGCGCTTGTGGTGGTTGCGGCAGACGCACTTCGGGGATCGTCGACGGCTCGATAATGGCCGGAGGTGCCGGTTGAGCAGGCGTGGCGAAAGTTTCATAGCGAGCGGGCGCTGGGGATGGAGTCCTTGCCTCGCTCTGCCCCTCCGGTCCGGGGGATTTGGGCCGGTCAGCGACAACATCAGGATGCGCAGGGGGCGAAACCGGTGTATTGGCAAAACTCGGCTGCGCTTGCTTCCTTTCTTCATTTACCTGGCGGATGGAATGATGGGCGCCGCGGGAGCGTGGCCTGTCCGGAGGCGCGAACGCCGCCGCAGCTGCGGATTCTTCTATCCTCATCGGGTCCGCGGGTACGGCTTGGGCTGAAGTGTCTTTTCGAGTGGGTGACTGAGACTTCAATGACGGACTTCCAAGCGTGATATCTCTCAAATTCTGCATGACGCTGTCAAGTGAGGTGGTATCGCGCAGCGTGCTGGTCCACGTGGTCGGATCGCTCTGACTGCTGGCCAGAGCAGGAGGAATCTCCTCACTTTCTTGCTGTGCGGAGGCTTCGGCTGCTGTGGGCGAACGATCTGCCGCTACCTGAGAGTTCATTCGACTTCGCAAACCTCCAAGGCCGATGCCGGCCCGGCGCGGAGGGCCACGGGACATCAACGCTTCTGCCGCAAGACGCATGCTTTCCGTTCTGTTGAGCGTCCCTAATAAGTTGGCAGGCACCGCCGTCGCATGGTTCGAGCCCGAACCCGAGCCTGCAACACCATCCCCAATGGCAGGAGACGTGCCGATGGGTGGCTGGGGCAGTGTGCGCCGGACAGAACCAACGCTGCTTGCCACACTTGGGGATGAAGCGTGACCGTTTTCGCCGACGATTGGATATGTGCTGTTGGGATTCGCCTGATTGAGGGAGAATGAGCGTCCAGGCTGCGGCAAAGGACGGGAAGTATTGGATCGCGGGCCTGCACCTGCGCTCTCCATCGCAGAGGCCAGTGCTGCTGGCGGACCCATAGCGCCGACAGGATGTCGTATTGAGTACTTTTCGGGACTGCTCGGAGGCAGTGATGACGATGGACCGGATTGTTGCGGCAACACTGCCGGAGGAAGTGCTTGTTGCTTGACCGCAGACTGACTCTGGGGGAAGGGGGCGCGGGAAGGTGGGTGACCTGCTGCAGGATTCGCGAAATGGAAAGGCTGTTGCGAAAAAGATTGATGTTGAGGAACTTGGTGAATGGCCGTTTGTGGATAAGCTGCATACGCTGGCTGTTGATAACCCGGAATGTTCGTGGGCGAGCCAGCAGTAGCAGCGAATTGTATTGGTTGCTGCTCCGGCGGCACATACCCAGCAGGTACGGAGGCTACCTGCTGGTATGCATAAGGACCAAATTGCGCTTGAGCAGCGACTGGTGCATTTGCTGGTGAATGCAATGGTGCATAGTCGGCTTGAAAGTGCTGAGGCAAGGCTCTAGGGTGTCCATGTGCTGGTCGCGACGCGTGAACCATGCCCTGATGCTGAGGCTGTTGAGGGTGCACATAGCCAACAGAAAGCGCAGATGTTCCTGGACTTACTGGGGACATGGCATGGCTCAGAGGAAGGTCTTGTTGGTATACAGCCTGCGGGACGCCGTACGCAACTGGTGAAAAGTTGGTGTAGTATGACTGCGCAGAATTGGACCGTTGGACGTGTGACGGTCCAACTTGTTGTGCATTGAGAGGCTGATGTGGGACCTGTGGAGGGGGCGTACCATTCTGCACATACGCTCGAGGAGCGAAAGACCCATTCGTAGATCCATTGACTATGATGGGGGCCGAATCATGCCGTACTCGTGCAAGAGTCCGGCTCTGTGCCTGGCCCCCCGGCAAGAGGTCTTGTGACAACGGTCTGCCTGCTTGATCAAAAGCCGGCGCTACAGCAGTAAGTGGAATACTTGCCATGTTTGTGCTAGCGGAAAGTGCGTTAGGACTCGCGCTTCTAGCCATATTGGAGTTTCTTGACACTGGTCTGTCCGGGGCGGGGGAAAAGGACGAGGGAGGGAGAGTGTCATGTCTGCTTCGTGCCCCGTGTTCGGCTTGGTAGGAGACTGAGCGCCTGCGAGAATCCTGTCCCGGGCCTGGTGACGCTGGAGGCGGCGGTGGTGCGAATGTGTGCCATAATGACGATAAGTCCTTGCCGGACGGCGAAGGAGACGCCATTTCGCCCCGCTCGAAGATGGGTGCGTTCACTTCAGATCCTCCGCTCGGTTCTGCCGCTTGAGGTTTAAATCCAAGGCTGACGCAATTTTCCCAGAACCAGACTCGCACCAGCCGTACTCGGAAACCTTAGGTGCTCATTTACCGCAGAGGGTGGGATCTGAATTGGGATATTGTATCAATTGACAGCAGCATCGCAACGCGTGTTTGCAAGAAATCAACTGTGCTTATTTGGATGTACAAATTGAGGGGTCGATCGGCAACTTGGCCCCGAAGTCACCGGTCTTCCCCCGGGAGAAAACGCGCGTGATGTGGTGCCTGTTCGGTGACTAATAACCAGGCCCGATGGACCTGCAGTAAAAAAACCCCATCCTCACCAACTTCTCCCAGCCAGCTTTTCTGGTCGATACCTTCCACAGCTTCCGTTGAAGGGTGAGGCTAAGGTGCACGCTGCACCTTCAGGACTGTTCTAAATTCCTTGAAAAAGCATGGTGACCCTCTGGAAATTTCCTCTGGCGTCAATTTCCGCCTTGGCATCTGGAAGCTCCAGCCAGAGAATGTTGCCAGCCATCGCGCGGCCAGCGCTTTGCAGCTGCACGCGGGCTGCTGCCTCGAGTTCCGCATCTGCCTTGCAACCATCCCGCCGCCACGCCTCATCAAAAGCGGCACAGCTCGCCAAGGAGGAAAGAGACGAGAGGTTGCGAAAAGGTATTGAGCTCTACCACCTCACTTCCACCTTCTTCCCGGCACCCCGCAGTGGGAACTCCGAACCGGCCGTTGCAGCGTCATCTTCTAACTCCGACCTCGATACAGAGATCGACAATCGCATCAAGGAAGAGCTTGCAATGCAAACGGAGCTTAGAGGAATGAGCACCACCTTGGGACGAAGCTCAGGTCTCGAGGCACCCAAGTTCCGAAATGCCGGAGAACTCGTCGCCAGGGCGACCTCAGATGCTAACTACTTTAGCCGTGCAGGCAGGAGCGACAGCGTGGACGACTTTCAAGATTCGGGTGATACCTTTGGACCTTCCAATGCTTTTTCGCCACCGCCTTCTACCACGTCAAGCTCATTCAGCGCGTTTGAGGAACCGGCGTTGTTTGATCACATGACACTCGACCGCCTGCGAAGACAAGCATTCCGCTTCACTTCCAACGCATCGGACAAGCGACCAGCGCTCGGACGGAAGATCATGGCGCACGACGAGGCAGACCAGAGAGGTGCCATGGTCAGAGATGCTCTCTTCGGCACAGTCGGCCTGGAGTTGCCGGGCTTGGAAATTGTGCGCGAGCGGGTCAAGGAGAAAAGAAGGAGGGCCGCAGAAGCAGCGAAAGCTCAGAATACAGTACAAGAAGCCTCGAAGGAGAGCCATGCTGATGAGAGCTAAGAGGCCGGCAGAAGGGTAGGGACGGCGATATATCCAGTAGCAGAAGGGGAGCGCAGTTCTAAGCACCTTCATTCTATTTGGTGATCTCAACCTTCCACAGTGTCTTTCTTCATTCTTGGGAGCTGCGGAAGTGAGCGGGAATGCCGTTAAAGTGATTCTCTTGTGATGATGCGGGTCAGGGGGCAGGTGACGCGCTTTGGTAGATTGCGAAAAATGTAGCCACCTGGTGGTGGCTTTCATGCCTGAGCTTTGCAGACTAGTCTTTTGATGGCCCGAGCCACTTCCTGGATATCTTTGCTCTTTCTTGGAGGTGCATGACCACCGTCAAATTCGAGAACCTCGGCTGTGCCTGGGGCACAGAGCGATGCTAACAGATGCCCCTCCTGCCTGGCCCCGTCTTGCTTGCCGATGATGTGCAGCGTCGGAATGGTGATTCTGATAGGCGCGTCAGTCCCTTTCAACTCCCTCGTGTTGTACCGTTGCGTAGTGACAGGAGAGAAAGGGCGGCTACCGCCTGCAGAATGGTCGGAAAATGGCATCAGAAGGCATTATGTAAGACCATCAGGCGGCGAAGCGCTCACAAATGAAGATGGCAAATTTGATTGGAGCTTCCTCAGCGGGATGCTCAATCGAAGTTTGGAGCAGAAGTCCTGCAGCTAGCGCGCAACCTTGAGAAAAACAGATCACACCATCGAAAGCTCTGAAACAGTCGGCATCGATGATGTTAAGCGCCAGCGTGGGTTTTGGAGACGAGCGGCGCGAGCAAGGCGACAGAGCACCGTCAAGAGATGAGCCGGATGATGGGGTGTCAAAGAGTGACGTGTAGTCTGAAAACCGAACGCTCTTCTTCGTACTCGCACACGAACCGAGGGAGGTCCCTTGAGAGTTCGTTGTACAAGTCAAACGCTGCCGATCTGGAAAGCGTGACTGGAATGGTGTAGTACTCAGGTCGGCCGCGGACCCTCGAGCCAATGGGGCGTGCACCTTCCACAGCGTACTACCTTTCCGCATATCACTGACTTGAGGCTTCGGAACCTCATCGGGCGATCCAAGGGGACGACCTTGAAGAAGGGCTGAGAGGTAGTCTTGCGCTTCACGGAGCTTCTCAGAGGTTGGTGCTTCATACCAAGCCCTATAGTCTTGACCTGGGAAAAACCGTTCGATATTGTGGTATGGCACTGACGGAACCGGGCCCGACTCGAACTGAACGTGACCTTCGATTTCAGCTGCTCTGCATAAAGGGCCGACTTGTGCCTTCATGATTTCAGAATTGGTGCCTTTACCGTGCAGGCCCAAGACACGTAACCCATCCATCTTACCTATGATGGCTTTCCAGACGTTAGCAGGGGCAGTCCGCTGGAGGAGCCAAGGATGGGGGGTCGGCAAGTTTTTGGCTGCTGAACAAGGTCATAATCTCTTAAATGCAACATCATCAGTACAAGGCCATCGATAAGGGAACCCCCCAAGCTGAGCAATGAAGAATGAGGCAGGATCAGTGATGACATCCCCTGGGAAGAAATGACCGAGACGGTAGTCAGTATCGGCCTACTGAAGGCACGTGGGAAGCCAATAAGAGTTTACCTAAGCTCAACCAATGGCCCGGACCACAAGTCCATTCTGTCGGCGGCCTGCGCTTGAGTTTGCGCGATCACTTGTATCGCTCGGGCCTTCGATGTATGATTCGCGATTAGATAGCCAACACACATTCCATGGTTTGTTTGCTTTCCACACAAACATTCGATTGTCGGGAGGTGCTTCAGAGAGACTGCCGAGAAGGAGTTGAACCATGCATATGTGCGCAATGGCCGCATGTGTTGCAAAGACGGCCAAGCATCAAAGTGGAAGGGAGAACGGTGGCTCGTCAGAATGGATGCATCGAAGCAAGCGAGCTGCGATGGACCAACACGGCGGCAAACAAACGACCGATGGTGGGCGATGATCTTATTGGCGCTGGTACGACCCAGGTAATATGGCTCTCTGCTTTGAGAAGTCACTGTCGTTTGTCGATCGATATGTGAATCGAGCATGATGTGTTTTCCCTTATTCGCTGACCAACGGTGGGGAGGACAATACAAGCACATAACCGCACACTGCTGCAGAGCCTTCCAAAGGAGCGAGGACCACCCGCAGTGTCGGGAGCCTGCGCCGTAGTCATGTCTCTTTAAACACCCTTGGCTATCAAGCAACCAAATCAACCATGACTGCACAGGCTGCAACAATCAACGATACTCACGATGCGTTGATGTGGATTCGTGGCGCCCGGCTCCTGCATTGAGAAAGGAAAGGACGTAGGCAATAGGTGTAGACTTTCCTCATTTGCACCCATTCGGTGTCGGAAGACAGACATCAAACAGCTTGTGAGCCGCCCCTGCACTTTGCGTACCTAGAATACTTGCGGGACCATGCGAGATCAAGTGCCCCTTGCGGCGTTACACCCGTTGCTGGCTAACTTTTGAGATTGGATATTGCATGTGTGATGCAGCAGCGTGCTTTGGGATACTGAAAACTGAGTACTGACCACCGACTCTCAGTGCCGGCATCCGGCGTAAGCATTTGGTAATGCAAACACAAGGGTCAAATGCGTCTCCCGTCGTGCCCACCGAGAACATCATGTGCAAATATCCGCCATCACTGATGCTCAAACTCAAGCCCACAAGAAATTCCGGGTGCTGTCCGGGTCTTGGTGGTCCAACGCGCCCACCCATGCTGGCCATCATTGCTAATTACCAGGGGTCAAAGCCTTGGATTGAATCTCAATATACATCGTGAAAGCGAGTGCAACGTTGTCCACGAGAACTGTCGCGAAATTGACGCTTTAATGCAGACTGCATATATTCTGACTTGCAGAAGGGATCTATTGATCATTCTTTCCTCCTTTTTGTATCTCTTTGCGTGAATGAGCAAGTCATCCACTCTGACCATGGCGCAACTTAGCGGCTCTGAAGAGCCAAACGAGCATCCGCTCTATTTTTTGCACCGCAACCCAGTCGTCAGTATTCTCGGCGATCCCTTGAACTTCGACCTGAGGGCACAGGTTCTGACGGTGGGCAAGATTGCGAAAACGAATCCGACCTTGCGCAGCTTTCTCGTCGCCTGGTTCGATGCCGTCCAAAGGAAATCCCAGCATTGGTCTCAGCTCGGCTGTGTTGCTCCGTCTTTGGAGGTATTCACTGACCAACTGGCCTTGGAGAATGCTTTGGAGTGCTGTGTACATCTAATAGCCCCTTTGGAGCTGATCTGCGTTCTTGCGGCGTACATTGCGGCTTGCAATCCGATGGACGTGAACGCAGTAGCAGCCGGTTGTGATTCCGACTTGCACAAACGCATTCTCAAGTACGGAAGAGATGGTATGGTCGATTTCACGCAATTTGGCTTGGCGAGGATGGTCATTTTGGCGAGCAAGACAATTTCAGACGTTTGCAAATATGCATCTACGGCAGCGGCTCTCGCCCTGTCGCTTAGTCATTCAATCAGCGCAAAAGACAAAGGAGCACCCAAATTTTCCACTGTTCAAAAACGTCTCCTCATTCCGCGCGAAGGAAGCTCTCTTGCTGGAGGACTGAAGGATGTGCAGGTATGTCGCTGACGTACGGATGTGATGCTTTATGGCTCGTGATGACTCTTCATCCCGCCGCATGGCAGATTGTCGGCAGTGTGTTCGACTTGGCTGTCGTGGTGCAAGGGAGCCCGGGAGCCATAGCGGCTGCTCAAGATCAGCTGGCTTTTGAACATGGAGTGCTCTCTCTTCTCCAACCGAGAGATTTTTTCAAGCTGGACGACAAGCAGAAAGTCCCTGATGCCGGCGCTCTCACATGTCTTGGTCAAGGCATGGATCTGTCCTTCCTGGGCGAAGGCGAGACCAAGCAAATCAAAATGCATAACCTTCTCTACCACAGCGGCAATATGGCCAACAAAGTGGTTGAAGATGCTGTCACCAGGGCTGCGGAGCCACCAGGTGCAAATCATGTCACTGTGCTCGGATTTTGTGCTGGTGCGCACTTGCTCTTTAGCTGCAAGGGCAAGCTCAATGCATTGGGCTCCGGTATGCCACTCGATGTGGAATGCATCGATGTGCTGATGGAGGTAAAAAAAGGCAATCACAAGCCCGTCGACCGAAAGCGACCCGTCAGTTTGTCGGCAGTCAAGGGTACCGCAGCAGAGTCCGTCGCCGTCGTCGGTATGTCATGCAGAGTCCCAGGCGCTGAGAGCGTTGAAGAATTTTGGCAGAACCTGCTCGATGGCAAAGATATGTGCTCGAAGATCCCAGAGCGCTTGTTCCGTGTGGAAGATTATCAGTCGAAAGCGTACAAGGACAAGAACACGATGCGCGCCTCTACCGGCAACTTCATCGACCGCCCTGGCTTTTGGGACCCAGAGGTGTTCGGTTGCGACATGGAGATGGCCCAGAAACTCGACCCTCAACAGCGTCTGGCGTTGTTGGTCGCCATGGAGGCACTCGAGAAGTCCGGCTACGCTCCCAAAGCCGGAACTTCCAACGACCCTGCGACCTTTGGTACCATCATCGGATGCTGCTCGGACGACATGCTGCAGAATCGCGCGCACAAGATCGAAGCACCTTTCATCTCGGCTCTGCTGCGGCCCAATATACCCACCAAAATCAACCAATTTTACGGGTGGAGTGGTCCGGCAGTGACATTGGACACGGCGTGTTCTGGCTCCCTCGTTGCTATCGAAAGCGCCTGCAGCCATCTTCTCCAAGGAAAGTGCAACGCGGTACTCACCGGAGGCGTCAATATCCTGACGCAACCTCAAATCTTCTTAGGGGTAAGCCTTCCTTTGAAAGCTGTTCATATGCATGGCGGTTACATTCTGATTTACTTCGTTACATTCGAACATGGATCACAGCTCGACCGTGGCTTCTTTTTGTCGCCGACTGGTCAATGCAAGACACTCGATGATAAAGGAGATGGATACAGCAGAGCCGATGCTGTCTCTATGGTTGTGCTAAAGAGGCTCAGTGATGCCATCAACGAAGGCGACAATATCCTGGGTATCGTCAACTCGGCCGCCACAAACCACTCCGGCGAAAGCTATTCCAGTGAGATAGGGCTACGGGTTGCTTGTCTAACTGTACGACATTCTGACTTCGGTGTTGTACAGTCACTCATCCTCACTACCAAACCCAAAGACGCTTGTATAGGAGCTGCATGACGGCAGCGCACCTTGACAGTCCTAACCAGGTTCACTATGCTGAGCTTCATGGCACGGGAGTGAGTGTGACCCGGACCAACATTGCGTGCTCCCTCACTTATGTAAGTCAACCTTTGTCATTGAAAGACGGCTGCAGGAGATTTTGAAGAGATTACCGGTGTAGTCACAACATATGCGAAGACAAGGCCCAAGGATCGGCCCTTGATCATTGGCAGTGTCAAAGCCAACGTCGGCCACAGCGAATCTTGCTCGGGCGCCACGTCCTTGGTGAAAGCCTTGCTTGTGTTCCAGAACAGCCTGGTGCCCCGTCACATCGGTATCAGAAGTAAGCTCAACACCAAATTGCCCAATCTGGCTGGCATTCATATTCCCTTGGAGGGAACCAAGGTCTCGGCTACCAGCAGGGACACGGATGACCGCGTGTTCACAGTGTCGAACTTCAGTGCCGCCGCTGGCAATACAAGCCTGGTGCTTCGTGCACCTCCGCTGAAACGTCGAAAGGCGCTCGCGTTGAATGCTGATGCGTTGCTGCCGTGTTTGTTCGTGCTCTCCGGTGCGACGCTAAGGTCTCTCAAAGACAATGCCGACAATCTGCTCGCATTCTTGACGGATTACCCTGACACAGACGTACGGGAGCTGTGCTTCATCCTGACGGCCCAACGGATCCATCATGCCCATCGAATTTCAGGCATAGTCAACAGTATTGACGACATTCGGAGCCTCATCAGTAAACACCAGGTCAAACATGTTCAGCGCCTTGAGCCTGCCAAAGTCGCATTCGTTTTCAGTGGCCAAGGTGCGCAATACCTCGGGATGGGCAAAGAACTATTCCAAACGAGTCCACACTTCAAGACAAGCATGCAAAAGTGCAATGACATTTCGAAAGCACTCGGATTTGGCTGTTTCCTCTCGGCGATCTACCCGTCTGGAGAAGCCTCTGAAGCCTCGCCGGTCCATTACCAGCTCGCAATTGTCTCTCTTGAAATTGGCCTGATGCGACTCTTACAAGCTTGGGGCACCAATCCGGTGGCAGCCTTGGGGCACAGCCTGGGCGAGTACTCTGCTTTGCACGCCGCTGGAGTCTTGAGCCTACAAGACACCCTTCGTCTTGTGGGCAACCGAGCGCAATTGATGGTCAAGTATTGCGAAGCGGGAGCTTCGACGATGCTCGCCATCAAGGCTGTGGAAGGTGAAGTGTTGTCGCTGCTTAAGCGTGCGGGGGTCACAGACTGCGAAATCGCTTGCTACAATTCATCAGACGATCTCGTCCTAGCGGGGCCCTTGCAATCGATCCAAAAAGTCAAGCTGGCAGCCGACACCAACCAACCGAAGCTCAAGTCGATGGTGCTCAGTGTGCCGTATGCATTTCACAGCGAAGCGGTGCAGCCCTTGATCGAGCCGTACCTGCCCATCGCTTCCTTGGCACGGTACAACACCCCCAGAATCGCAATCGGAGCTAACAGTGGAGAGCTCGTGGAGCGCACTGCTTTCTTCAATGGCGAGTATTTGGTCAAACACCTCCGTAATCCAGTGCGATTTGCCAATGCCGTCGATGCTTTGACCGCGAAGACTTCTGTCGACTGCTTAGTCGAGCTCGGACCCCATGCAACGTGCATCCCAATGCTAAGAAGTATTTTCAGCGGTCAGCTTCCCGCGCCTGCGCTCATTCCGACGCTCAAGAAGGGCGTTTCTTCATGGACATCGCTCACCACAACTCTTCTCCATCTCTTTGACCATGGCGTGGTGCTCGATTGGCTGAAAGTACACGCGACGCTCGGCTCGGACGTCCTCGATTCCAAATTGGCCGCAAAGCTGCCAACATACGCATTTGACCTTGACAACTACTGGATCGACTACGCAGACCGCGGACTCCGCGATCATCTCACTGAGCAACAATGTCAGGCGGTGAAGAGAGTCAAGGGCGCCGCAACAGCTCGCAAACATTCTTTTCCTGTTCCAAAGACTGCGCTGCTCAGCTCTTGCACAAGGCTCGAGCTGAAAGAGCCGAGCACGGCTACGTTTGATGCACTCATCAACGAACAGCCATTCAAGGATATGGTCATGGGTCACTACATTGTCGGCTTCGCGCTGACGCCCGCAACTGTGTTCGCAGAGCTGGCGCTGGAAGCTGGAAGCTACGTTCTCGAACAACTTTCTGGCGTCGAAGTGCCATTGGAGGGGTTAGAGGTCACCAACCTGGCCATGTTCAGTTCTCTTTATCCCGACAATGCTAGTCCTCGTCAATCCGTCCAGGTTGAGCTCGTTGGCTCTCCATACGCAGCTGGTGGCGCTTCTGTCTCCTTCTTTTCAAGCGATCGTACAACTGGTCATTCTCATCAGCACAGCTCGTGCACTGTTACGGTCGCCAATCCGTCTACTATAGAGAGAGAGTGGAAGCGGTTGAAGCATCTCATCGCCGACCGCATCGCGACTCTCCGACGCGACCCTGCTACTGTATTGCGTCGCCAGATGGTCTACCGCCGCTTCGAGACAATTGTCAGTTACAGTCCTGCCTACCAAGGCATTGAGCAAGCGTTCCTTAACGATTCTGGTCAAGAAGCAGTTTCAGAAGTATATCTGCAGCCTACTGCACCGTCGGGTAACTTTGTATGCTCGCCCATGCTTCTCGACTCACTTGGACAGCTGACCGGCTTCATCTCCAATGTCGGGGTAGCCTCTGAGGGCCAAGTCTACATCGCCGACGGAATTGGACGCATCGTGGTGACTCCACAACTGTCGAGTATTCAACCTGGTGCCGGGCAGCAGCTGATTGCCTGGGCACGCATGGAGCCGTCGAACGGCCGCTGCGTGGGCGATGTGTGGTTCACTGATAGCTCCCATCAATTCATGGGCTGCATGCAGGACGTTGTTTTCAAGCAGCTCAAGCGCAGTGCATTGGAGCGACTCGTAAGCATGGGTGCTGCACAGGCGATCTCGCGCGAGGCATTTGTTCCATCTGTTTCAGTCAAGAAAACAAAGAAGAGCAAGATGTCGGATTCGGCCATCATTCTTCCGGCGTCTGACGGTGCGTCTGACATCCGAGCCGACTATGTTCATCTCGCTGGTCCTTCCGTCTTTGGACACGCGCTGCAACCCATCTTTTTACTCCCGGATGGATCCGGATCAGCCGGTTGCTTTAGCAAATTCTTGGAGCAGGACTGGCAGGTTCCCGTTTTTGGTCTCAATTCCCCTTTCCTTGGGAATGGCAAGACTGAAAGGTGGACTGGCGGTATTGCGCAAGTGAGCGCGGCTTTTTTCCATGCCATCATTCAAATTCAGCCTGAAGGACCCTACGCGATTGGTGGATATTCGATGGGCGCTGTGAGTTAGCGCTAGTGCGGTGTGCACTACATCAGGTCGTTGCTAAACTTATCTTTTAATGACCTGCAGTGCTGCGCAGTAGAGGTCGCAAGGATCCTGGCTGCTACAGGACGCAACGTAGAGACGCTCGTCCTGCTCGAGTGTCCTGCTCTCAATAAAAAGCATCTTCCACCGCTTCCCCCTGGCTCTCTCGATCATATCTTGGCCAAAGTCGAGTCACCTGCTGGGCGCCGGCACTTTGAGCAAGCCAGCAAGGCCGTGCCAGGTCACTCGTTCAGCTTTGACTGGCCCGAGCCCTCGAAGGTCATTATCATCAATGCCATTGATGAAAGCCTCACTCCTAATCTCATGACATCGAAACCGGAGGATTGGAAGGAAGTTTTCAAGGTTGCTGATTTGAGCGTCCAAAATGTGCCGGGTAATCATCAGACCTTTTTGCAGGGTGCTCTCGACATCGTCTCGAAATGTTTTAAATAAGCCCTAGTGTGACTGTGCCGAATAAAAAATGCATCAGCGATTTCTTTCGGGGTTTGCAACATTGACGGCACCTAGCATTGAACTTGTTGTGCAATCTTCTGCTCGTATATTCGTTTTTCGTGTGACATCGCATCTCCTCGCAATGCAATAGAAATCTTCGTCTTTTACCGCTTTTTGTACAAGCAAGCCTTCAATACGGAGGCACCTTCAGTTACTAGCTGCTTCTCCTCTTCCATCTGCTTCTTTATACGCTCGTTGCGCTCGCTTTTGCTGAGGTTACTATACTCTTCTGGGACGGTTTCCGCTTTGCAGAATTCGAACAGCCAAAAATAGGAAGATCTGGTGTCGTGTGTATCGCATTTGAAACCTAGCGCTTCGATGATAGCGACAAATGCGTCACGGTCCGTAATACGGCTAGTGACCTCTGCGATAATCAGACGTGCGCTGCGGAGCAATGTTCACAAGTTGAATAGAAAATCAGCGTGCTGGTAATGGAGGTGGGCGCGATGGCTTGGTAAAGCAATACCCACTTGGTTTTTAATATCCGTCTTGCTTCAATGATCATATCCACCCAATTGGTGCCCATCAAGCTCAAACTGAACACTGCGACATCCGCTACTTCGGGTCCCCTGTGCATTTCTTGCGCCAGCAACTTTGCATGCGCATTTTTGTCTCCCTTCCATCCACTTTGTGCATCAGCGAGGATTCTCTCGACTCGGGCCAACAAGACCCCCGGCCTTCCAGGAAGCGGCACGCGGGTGCCGATGTCGCAGCCTGTGACCCAACCATCGGGGCTGTCAAGCAGGTCGTAGCTTAGCACTGTAACCTGAGGCGTCTCCTGCATTGCTTTTGCCAGTGGCGCCGTACCAGCTCCGAGGTCCACCACGAGTATCGGCGCTGCTACACTGCTGCTGGTACGCGCCTGCTCATAGAGCTTTCCCCCTGCCGACCTTTTGTCCTTCGCCCCTGGTTGCCCGTGTGTGATCGCACGCAGCCGACCCGCAATTTGCACCACAGGATTGACGGGCCACTTGTGAGTCTGGCTTGCGAAACCGTCGTGATATTCGCGCATCATCTCTGGGTTTTTGAGCATCATCTGTAATGCTGCTCGTGAATCGGATGTGTAAAGCTTTTCATTGATCGAACGGAAGCGCGCCCCGGAGAGAGAGGCAGACATGCTTGTTTGCAACGGTGTTAGAGACGAAGTTGCAATGTCTTCAGGCATACCGAGATGGGCCTGGTAGTGTGGGGTTGTTGCCGCTGTCCCTAGGCTTTGTCGATCTGACAAATCTGTATCGTGTTCATTACTCTGCGCCACTTCAGCTGCTTGTTTGGCTTGCATCTTTCTCCGAAGCTTCTTGCGCTGGCTTTTACTAAATGCACTCAGGTCAGGACCATCAAACAAGGGTGACGCCCCGTTGTTTTTTTCTGTGCTGTCTGCTTCCGCGGTCGTGCCGTTTAAGCAGGGCTTCTTGGCAGCAGACGCGGGGTCTGACTGCTTTGAAGCCTTAGCGGCAGCGGTGGCAAAAACATCCTTGCTTTTGAGTTTAAGCCTTTTGGAAGCTGCCTCATTCGCATCAGCAGCTTTGCTTCGGGATACGTCATCATCATCATCGTCTTCTTCGACTTCGGTCCTGGTGCCTCCTTTTCCATCGAGAGGGTCGAATTTTCGACGGCCATCGGCAGCTAAGAGCTCATCACCGCTTCGCTTGCGCTTGGAAGTGAGTCGACCTTTGAGTCGTACATCTTGGAGCAGCGAACCTGCGGATGATGTCCCCACGCCTGAATCGGAGGCAGGAATCTGTGCGCCGACCCCGAGATTCGCAGGCCTCAGCTTGCGTTGCTTCGGCTGATCTCGCTTTTGAGGAGCGGTATGGCCTCCAGCATTTTTCTCGTCGCTTGTGTTGCCTGATCCGATGGAGGAAGATGAAAACTTGCCAAGGATGCGCTGAGCGAGGAGGTTGCGGTCTGCCTCCATCTGCGCTACGAGCGAGGCCATTTGATCTGCGCCGTTGGCGCTCGTCGCGGGCGACATCTCGATATGTTTGCTTAAACCTTGTTACTTGAAGGCATGCGCAAGCAGCTTGATCACTACTTGTGCCAGCTAAATGCCCCAAAGCCCAAGTCACCTTTGCGACCAATGCACGGATGAATGCAACAAAGCTACGTTGTGGCCGGGCCATGATGGTCAATATTACCTATGAACATTTGTCGAGATCTTCAGTATGAGAAATAGCCCAAAAATAGGCGGAACCGAGAGGATAAAGACGTGCCTCGAATTCCGAATCCCGTGATCTTTCAGCTGTAGGCGGTGGGCCGCAGGACACAGACACAGACACCAAGCCTCCCCGCAATTCCGTTCAGGAAGTCCATGGAGAGCTGGCCGAAGGGACAATGATCCCAGGCATCTTGCACTGATGCCTGGTGATTTGAAGCTTTATGGTGCCATTCTGCAAGGAATTATGACAGGATCTGGCGAATTCTATAAATTCCGGCCATGGGAGTCCTGACTCCTCCACCCGTGGTACGCGCTGGCTGCGCAGATTAGTGTTCGCCAGTCGCGCTCCACTTTGACTTCGGCGCGCTGGACCATCCCAGAGTCTCTGTAGCCCTCCTCCACGCCTTCGAATGGGTTCACCATCTTAAACACACGCTTGCAGCGCCTGGTGGAAGGCGACATGATGGGCTATTAATCAAGGTGACATCCTGAAGCATTCTTGTCATTGTATGACGAGAAATCCGCAGGCCTTCGCTTGGAAAATGGCGACCACCTCGCCCACGGATTGGTCTGCGACGCCGACCCAAGACAGGCCGGCCTTGCCGCCAGTGCCGGATCCTGAGGCGCAGGACGATGGAGCTGAGCAGCAGCTGGAACACAATGTGTCAATCGCAGAACCTTCACAACAGGCTGAGATTGATCATTCTGTGGAGCAACTTCCATCGCAAGCTGAAGAAAAAGAGCAACATCTCGCGGGTTCTTCTGATTCAATACAGTTAGCGGATGGTCCTGCCGACAACACATCGCAGCAACCTGCGATCTCTTCGGAAGGTCCGCAGGCAGGTGGCGTAGAGGGGGTGTTGCCATCAATACCAGAAGACAAACCCATGCCGCCTGCGCCTGCGATCGACGTGCAGTCTACAGTGACCAATGGTCCACCAGGCCCTGCAGAGGCAAATGCGTACCACAGTCGCACCGAATCTCTCGGAGGCTCAGGCAACACCCCAGCCGCCTCGGCAGCGATGCTATCCAGAACTACTTCCTCCCTGCATTCCACTTCGAATCGCTCCTCCGCAAGCATCAGCACGTCTGCCGTGCATTCTCGCAGCTCCCTGAGCTCACTCACGAAAGGCTCTGCCGTTTTTGTGATTACGGCACTCGAAAGCATAGAAAAGTCCAAAGAGGCGCGTAAGAGCAAAGAGCTCAAAGCGGCGTGTACAAGCGCGCTGGAGATGGTCAAAACCGCCAGTGCGTCGGCGGCATCTAGCACAGGCATGGTACCTGGTCCAGGCGGTGGAGGGACAGCAGAAGCAATCCTTGATCCCAGGACTGTCTTCGAGCCCCTTCGCCTTGCATGCACAACAGGCAGCACTTCGATTGTCATAACTGCTGTCGACTGCATCAGCAAGCTTGTCTCTTATGCCTTCTTTGCTGAGGATTATCCGCCGCGCGCCTCACAGCAGCCTGCACTGGCTGACGTTGTGACCGACACGATCTGCAATGCGTTTATGGAAGGCTCCGACGATAAGGCACAGCTGCAGATCATCAAGGCACTCCTTTCCATCGTCCTCAGCAGCAGCATTCATGTGCATCAAGGAAGCCTGCTTAAAGCTGTACGCACGGTATACAACATCTTCCTTTTATCGAAGAGCCCGGCAAACCAAGCAGTCGCACAAGGCAGTCTGACGCAAATGGTCCACCACGTGTTTGGGCGTGTACCACGAGGAGGGGTTAGCGCAGGGAACAATGCAGACGGGACTCCTGCGGAGAGCGTTTCGCCGAGTAGACACGGGAGGAATGGGACAAGGAGCAGCAGCATCGTAAGCACAGTCGGCGAAGCGGCGCTCTTTGATCAGAAGCAGGAAGAGGCAAAGCCGCATGCAGGCGGCGCTTCCCCGATGACCAAGGCATCGGACCTGCCCGTCGCAGGATCAGAGCAGGGAATTGCTTCGAATGCTGACGAAGCCGAGGCCCCTGAAGAATCCGAGATTCCTCTCAATGACGAGGAGATTCCAGCGCCGGTTGCCCCTCCGAAAGACATCGCTGAGGAGACACGCCTGTCTGCAATGGATGATACACAAACCGCTCAGGAGGCGCCCCAGACGGAAGCGACAGAAGAGAAGGTGACACTGCAGTCCCTTGAACGACGGAAATCCTTCGAGGGCGCCAGTGAAGACGCGACAGCTGCTTCGCTTGGCAACATCAGTCAGCATGAGCTACTTGTCAAGGACGCTTTTCTCGTCCTGCGTGCCTTGTGTAAGCTCAGTATGAAGCCTCTTGGCGCGGAGAGCGAGCGTGATTTGCGGTCACATGGCATGCGGTCGAAGTTACTTTCGCTGCATCTCATCCTGACGATCCTCAAGAGCCATATGCAGGTCTTCCAGGACTCAAGCATCGTCATCCACAGCTCCTCTACTGGAGAGCAGACTGCATTCGTTCAGGCAGTCAAGCAGTACGTCTGCCTGAGCTTGAGCAGGAACGCCGTCAGCTCGGTCAACCAGATCTTTGAACTTGCTTGCGAGATCTTCTGGCTCGTTATGAGTGGCATCAGGGCCAAAATGAAGGTGAGTCGCAACGCGACCCGCTTTTATTGTACAAGTTTGGCGCTGACTCACCATTTCTGGTTACTTCCATAGAAAGAGATCGAGGTCCTTCTAAACGAGATCTTTTTGCCGATTTTGGAGATGCGCAATTCGACTGCCAAGCAGAAGTCGATCCTGCTCAACGTCCTTATCCGACTTTGTCGAGACCCGCGGGCGCTGGTAGAGGTCTACATCAACTACGACTGCGATCGAACAGCACTAGAAAATATCTACGAACGGTTGATGAACATTGCTTCACGAATCAGCCAGACGCATGTCGGGCCCGGATCGACGCTCAGTGCGCCCGAGCCGCTGAGCCCTGTCGCGCAACGCACAGATGAGTCAGGGCTAAGCTTCCTGCCTACGCTAGGCTCCAGTAGTTCGGCCGCGGCGGGTGAGCAGGACCCCGCATCTGCATCACAACCGGTCGAGGTGCGACTCAAGCGGCAGAGCCTCGAGTGTCTCTGCTCGGTACTCCGCTCCTTGGTGCTCTGGTCGAGTAGAAATGGGATTCCTGCAGAAGGGTCATCGTCACAAGGTGATCTGAGCGGGTACCCTGTGGGCTTGTCAGCTGCACCAGCAGAGAACGGCAGCCCGCGGGCTAGCGAGGAGGCTCGGTATCCGGACACTCCACACGAGGGGCAACGAAGCATGGGCGACATGGGGTCGCCAAGTGGCGCTGCGACGCCGCTTGCGCCTAGCACACCAGACCCAGGGCGCTTGTCCATGTCCGTAGAGCAGGCGCAAGACGACCCGTCTCGCTTTGAATCTGCAAAGCAACGCAAAAATACGTTGCTCGAGGGAATACGCAAATTCAACCAAAAGCCAAAACGAGGCATCGACTTTCTTGTTCAACATGGGTTCATTCGGTCGCGAGATCCGAGAGACATTTCTCGCTTTCTGCTGTACGCGGATGGACTCAATAAGGCGCAGATCGGAGAATACCTCGGAGAAGGAGAGCCGGAGAACATCGCCACGATGCACGCCTTTGTCGACCTGATGAACTTTGAGCGCATGCACTTTCTCGCTGCACTGAGAAAGTTTCTACAGGCATTCAGGCTTCCTGGGGAAGCGCAAAAGATCGACAGGTACATGCTCAAGTTCGCTGAGCGATATGTGGCCGGCAACCCCAACGTCTTTGCCAACGCCGACACTGCGTATGTCTTTGCATACTCGATCATTATGCTCAACACTGATGCACATAACCCGCAAGTCAAGCATCGCATGACGCTGCAAGACTTCATTCGCAACAATGCGGGTATCGATGACGGCAAGGACTTGGCAGAGGAGTACTTGGCAGAAGTCTACGAGGACATTCTACACAATGAGATCAAGATGAAGGATGAGGTGCTGGCTAGCAGCGGGCAAGCGGCTACTTCGACTGGGCTGGCCAATGCTATTGCTGGAGTCGGGCGGGACCTGCAACGCGAAGCATATGAATTGCAATCGGAAGGCATGGCCAACAAGACGGAAGCGCTGTTCCGCACGATGGTGCGAGCCCAACGGCGAGTCGCCCCGCAGCAACGCGCTGCTGCTGAGCGCTTCTTCTCGGCTTCGCACATCGACCATGTCAAGCCGATGTTCGAGGTTGCGTGGATGCCTTTCCTTGCAGGCATCAGTGGGCCGATGCAGGATAACGATGACATGGATGTTGTCGAGCTCTGCCTGCAAGGTTTCCGTGATGCAATTCACATCGTTTGCCTCTTTGGCCTCGAGCTGGAGCGCAATGCTTTCGTCACTACGCTCGCCAAGTTCACTTTCCTCAATAACTTGGGCGAGATGAAGGCGAAAAACATCGAGGCCATCAAGACACTCCTCGGCATCGCTCAAACAGAAGGCAATTACCTCAAAGGAAGTTGGCGAGAGCTACTAACCTGCGTGAGCCAGCTGGAGCGTTTCCAGCTGCTCAGTGGTGGTGTCGATGAAAAGTCGTTGCCGGATCTCGGTAGACGGAAAGTCAATGGGGCTACTCCGAGTGGCAAGCAGGCGCAGTTGGCGCCCAAGGCGAAGCAGGCTCTGCCGACCAATGAGGTGGTCCAGGCTGGCGGCTCCACCGAAGTCACGGTTGCGGCAGACATGGTTTTCTCTTCAACACCATCCTTAACAGGCTCGGCCATCGTCGACTTTGTTCAAGCCTTGTCCGAGGTATCTTGGGAGGAGATCCAATCATCCGGCATGACGGACAGCCCAAGGCTCTTTTCGCTGCAAAAACTGGTCGAAATCAGCTACTACAACATGGAGCGCATCCGCATGGAGTGGTCACACATCTGGGCAATCCTGGGAGAACATTTCAACCAGGTCCTTGTTACTTCATCGCCTTCCGTGTCAGCATTTTCAGTCGATGCCCTGCGGCAGCTGTCTATGCGCTTTTTGGAGAAGGAGGAACTCCCGCGCTTCGCTTTCCAGAAAGACTTTTTGCGGCCCTTTGCCTACGCCATGGCCCACAGTCCTGAAATTGAGACGCGCGAGATGGTGAGTCAAGGCTCTTCGACCGTGCTCCCGACCAGCATCGGCTGAGAAAGATGCGCCCTTCTTTTGTCTGCAGATTATTGATTGCCTCTGGCAAATGGTGCAAGCACGTTCTGCTAATCTACGCTCTGGGTGGACGAGTCTCTTTGTCATTTTGACAGCCGCTTCGAAAGATTCGTCTGGTGAGCACCTCACATCGGGCAACAAAGTGCTCCAGGAACATTGCTGACGAGACGGTTTCCTGCAGAGCGAGTTTGTGCTCAAGCCTTTGACCTCACTCAGAGCCTATTCGAGTCGCACTTTCCGGAGATCCTACGCCATGGATTCGCAGACTTCACCGTTTGCCTGACCTCCTTCTCCAAATGCAAGGCGCAAAGAATATCCTTGCAGGCTATCGCTGTTTTGCGTGGACTCGTGCCTGCGATGCTGCGCTTGTCGGATGTGCCGGGCCACTTCCCATCGTCCCTCACCGCAGCGCATGCAACAGAGGGCGAACATCCGGCGCACGATGCGTTAGTGCAATTTTGGTTCCCTTGCTTGTTTGCTTTCTATGTGAGTCTCCTCCGCACAGGCCGTGAGTCAATCACTTGTTCAACTGAATATGTGTTTGACCCTCAGGACATCGTGATGAATGGAGATGATCTGGAAGTCCGCCGGGTGTAAGTCACTCTCACACATTGCTGACTGACGCGGTGGTAGCTGAGACACTTTTCCATCGTAGCGCACTTGATTCTCTTTTTGACATTCTCAAGAAGCACGGCCATACATTTAGGCCAGACTTTTGGGACACAATCTGCCAAGAAGTCCTGTTCCCCATTTTCTCTGTGCTTCGCTCGCGCAATGACGTGTCACGCTTCAGCACCCACGAGGACATGAGCGTATGGCTCAGTACCACCATGATTCATGCTTTGCGCAATCTTGTCGACCTCTGGACGTTCTACTTTGACACTCTGGAGCGCTTGTTGCCGGGCCTCCTTGAGCTTCTCTGCGCCTGCATTTGTCAAGGTGAGACCGGCGCGCACAACTTATGATATTCAGGAGTGTGCCAAACTCACCCAGTCTTGTCTGGAATGCTGCAGAAAACGACACACTGGCGCGCATCGGCACGTCCTGCCTTCAGCAGCTCATCGAAAAGAACGTTACACGCTTGAACAACTTGCGATGGTCACAAGTGGTGGACACGTTCATGCAACTGTTCCGTACGACTACTGCGCACCAGCTCTTCGATCCTTCGCTTCGTGCCGGCGGTGCCGCAGTCCCTTCTCGACCGGGAACGCCCGAGGAGCAGCAGCGCGCAAACGGATTCAGCACACCCCGGCCGTTGTCGCCTGGTGTGCGGCCAGACGGCGCCAGCGGCGCTCAGCTTCTACCACCGGTCGCCATGTCGTCGACTGATCGGCGTCGCGTATTCAAGCAGATCATCGTCAAGTGTGTCTTGCAACTCTTGCTCATCGATACGACGAATGAACTTCTACACAACGACTGGGTCTACGAACGGGTCCCGCCTGACCAGCTGCTCCGGTTGCTCAACACGCTTCAAGACAGCTACGACTTTTCGAAACGCTTCAATGCGGATAAGGACCTACGGATGGCGTTGTGGAAAGTGGGCTTCATGAAGCAACTGCCAAATTTGCTCAAGCAAGAAAGCAGCTCGGCATCCACGCTGGTGGCCATCCTCGTCAAGATGCATGAGGACCCGAGAGCAACGCACGTCGCAGCACGCGTTGCGATCCGAAAGCGGTTCGTCCCGCTGGCGGAGGAGGTGGTGCTGAGCTACATCCCGCTCGACCCGGAGACGCAGGCGCGCAACATTATTGCCTGGACGCCGGTGGTCTCGGACGTGTTCCGTGGTGTCTTTTCGTTCAACGACAGCAACCCTGCGAAAGAGAGCCACGGCGCCGCACAGTGGGATGCAGAGCCGGAGCAGTGGAACGAAGAAAACGCTACCTTCTCGTACTATGCACCCGTCTTTTATCCGCTGGCGGTGGAACTGATCGGCAAGGAACCACTAGCGAGTGAAGTTGTCATCACGCTCAAGTCGTTCCTTTGGAAGGTCGGCATGGCCAAAGGGCTGTATGGTGGCCCGGATGGGGAGCAGCGTCGGCGCCGAGAAAGAGCACAAGAGCGGGAGCAGGGGCGCTCCAGCTCCAACTTGGACAACCCGCTGCGCATCCCGCCTTGGCCACGAGTAGCCAAGGCGAGCAATGGCAACGCAGATGAAAGTGCAGCAAGTGCCAACGCCAGCGACGCTCTGAGTCAGAGCTTGCTGAATGCCGGCAGCCATAGCCAGGGAGCAGCGACAGGTGACTCTGCTACAACCGCTGGACCACATCGCCCACAGCCTCTGTCGATCATCCCGCACGTCGTCAACGTTCCTGAGGTAGAGTCGGCGACGGTCAGCGCGCCGCTGACGAGTGAGAAGGAGGCAGCGCCAGAAGTTGTGGCACAAGGCGACGACGACGGTCATATGCGCGAGCGTGTTCAAGGTGGCTCGGCAGAGCAGGCGGACAGGGAGGCGACGATGGCGACTGCGCCGCAGGACCTTGTGGATTTGAGCTAGATGATCGCGATATAGATGTGCATGGGGCTCCATGCTCCGCGCCCAACGACTACATGCATCGTCCATTCCTGCAGCGTGGCAGATATCGCGAGCTGGTTGGAGATCCACGAGGAAAGGAGGTTGATGGTGGTGCAGATGAAGCATATGCTCACCTTGCTTCCTCGATTGTATATCCCTGTGCCATTCTATGCTATGAGGTCTCGTTTAGGAACATCGACATCGCATGGGATCGTGCCCCCTCCTGGATACCGTTCCCCAAAAAAAATCCGTCCCCACGACAGGAAATCCCACGGGCTTCCAGGGGATCTTGTAAGCATATCTGTTAAGTTCATTCAAATCGCTATGGTAGCCCAAATACATAGCTGGGTTGGGCCGGGGACAAGGACGCACATATTACCTTGCTTGGGCAAATTCCCGATGTAGCTATGACATGTGTATTTGGGTCGCTAGAAGAGCCAAAGAACCCCTTCCATTGCTGCTGATACAGCCACGTTGGGTGCAAGCCCGGATCTCACGGGACTGCTTCCTCCGTTCCCATTCCCGTTACGAAATCGGGTCAAAAGCCCTGTTGCGGGAACGGGACAGTGGTGGATCGAGGGATTTCCCTGATAATGAAAATTCCTGTGAATTTCTAATTCTCAAACGAGAACTCTAGCTGTGCTATGCAATGCCATGCTCAGTGCAAGGCACTGCACTACAGCAGTCTCGTCGCTGTCCTCTCTTTCACACAGCCGGAGTTGCCGACGAGTTCGTCTGAAGTGCTGCCTCCCAAGCCTGAACACATATGAAAGCTACCTCCATTGCCAATTGGTGACAGTGGTGTTCGTGGCGTATACAACGCCAACAGCCGCATCCAGACAGACAGCATTCAGGCGCCGTACCGCCAAGTCTGCCCATTATGGACAGGTGAGCGGAGGCTTGCGTTGGTTGTGCAGGCTAGACCTGCCCGCGGGAGCGGGGTCTCTTCTCTGGGCCAAAGCTAACCCTTTCACTCTCTCCTTCCCCTTTCCCTCCTCCTAGCCTCGACTTGTCCACTCACCAGCTCATCCTCAATGAGCTCGCCGTCACCTTGGCATCCCAGGCATCCCATGGCAAGCTTTCCACAGCGGACACCGCCGCCCTCTATGGCTCCTCTCGCGGCGCCTCGGGTTCTAGTCGCAAGGTCAGCGGTAGCGGCAACGGCAAGTACCTGGTGAGTTTGACTGGGAGAGCGCATTTATATGAATACTCGAGGTCAGACTTGCTCACGGCCCCTGCTTCCTTCCGGATTGCCTTAAGAACGTTACCGACATCCGGACGCAGATCGGCTTGGCCCAGTTCGCATCGTCGATCGCGCACTCAAAGCATGCCAGCGCCGAGGCGCACCTCGCGCCCGTCCTGCGCGAACTCACCGCGCTGCTGGCCGAGCTGTCCAACACCGAGCTCGAGGAATCAATGGACTGGCAGGAATGGTGTCTGCCAGATCAGCTGGCGTGTGCCCTCGTCGCGTCCATGCTGCGCGTCGCCAATGCCGCGCCGCAGCACCGCGATAGCTGCGTCGGCGCCATCCTCACGCTCGCCCAGCGCCTATCGGACGGCCTCAGCGCGACGGCGGGGGACGCGCACATCGTCGCTGTCCGCCTTGTGCCCCTATTCCACGGCTTTTACCGCGCCGTCGCCAGCTTCGGCTTTCAATGGGGCGCAACCGAGTTTGCTCGCCTTGCAACGGCGCTCGCGCCACTGACCAGCACGGCGCAGACGGTGCGCCGCCTCAATGATGCCCTGCTCATCCTCCCCGAGCAGGAGGCTGCGCTTCAGCAGGCCAACCGAGCCACGCGCCGCAAGCCCAAGGCGGCCACCGTTCGTCCTAACAACGACGATGAGGGCAATGACGATGGCAGGAGCGAGGGGTCCGTCGACACGTTCTTCTCTGGCGACGATGAGATCGAAGAGGACGAGCTGGACGCCGCCGCCAACCAGGGAGGCTTCGTCGACAGTTCCGACTCGGCTGCGTTCGACTTCCGTACGACGCTCCTCCTCCACTACCGCAAGGTCTTCCGCCCGCTCTCCGGCCACTTTGTCCTCTGTGCCGTTATCGAAGTCCTTGCGTCCGTCCTGTCACAGCTGCTCGCAGCGCACATCAAGACCAGCACCGCTGGTGCTTCGAAGTACTCAGTGCCTGCTTTCCGGCGCGACGCAGACGAAGCTGAGACGCTGCACCTGTCGCTCGAGCACGACGCCTCCGCCACACGCAAGGCTTGGAAGTCCCTGCTTGCGAACCCCGTCGCCGATATTCACGTGCGCAGGCACAATGACATGAACAACCCCCAGGCGCCCGAAACGAGCGAAGTCAACACGACAGGGAGCACCGCCTCGCGCATCGTCAATGCGCTGCCCATCATCATCAATGGTGGCAATGGCTCTGCGGCGTTTAGAGACGACAGTCTTTCCGATGCGCTCTCCGCCCTGCCGACAAGCCTGTCCAGTGCGCTGAGCCAGACCCTGCATATGGCCAGCCGTGCATATCACGATGTGCATCGCTTCGTCGACAATGAGGGCAGCAAGCAGCGCAGTGCTAACGGCGACCTGCACATGGACATCTACGCCCTTGAGATCCTCGCCGAGTCGCTCAAGCTCGGTGCGCTGTGCTCAGTCGCGCAGGCGCGTGCCGGCGCCAGCTCGGTTGGGCGCAATGTCAACTCGCACACGCTCGTGCGCGTGCGCACGCTGCTCAGCGAGCAGGCCAGCGTCTTTGAGCCCGTCCTGCAGGGCGCAGCGCTTCAGGCGACCGGCTTCCTCGTGCTCAACTTCCCCGCCATTGCACTGCCCATGACGACGCAGCTTCGACGCTTCGTCACCAGTCCGCTCGCCATGTTCGGCGTCGAGCCTGCGTCGACTGCACACACCATGTCGCCCATCCTCGCAAGCGCGGCCAAGGCATTGTGCGCCTGCGTCACCGCACATGGCAACGACGACCTCGTCGTCTCGACCATGTATACACTGCTCAACTACCTCGGAAAGGACATGAGCTTTGGCGGCTACGCAGCCGGCGGCGCCGCAGGCAGCGGCATCTCTGTGCGCAGCGGCGCCTCGCGCGCCGTCAGCGTGCGAGACCATGCCGTTATTGGCGGCGGAATGCACCACGCCGGCTCGCTGACGAGCTTCGCGACGCGCACCGAAGAGCAGAAGGTCGCCATTACTGCCAGCACTATCGCGACCGTCTCGCGCCTGGCAATCGAGGTCGGCCAGCCGGACGTGATTGCACTGACGACGAGCATGCTGCTGCAGCGTCTGCGCACGGCCGAAGCGCACGCCGAGGCCGCCTTGCTCGTGCACCTCGTCCCTCTCGCTGTCGCCGGATCCAAAGTGTCGTTTGTCGAGGTCGTCCGCGCGCTCATCAACGCACTGCGCAGCGCCATGTCCGGTGGCGCGGGTAGGCGCGCCAGCCAGGCGGCACAGCAAGCCCTGCTCCGTCTTGCGCAGCGCCTTGGCCAGCGCCAGGAGTGTGAGGAGGGCGATACGAGCAGCGTAGAGCAGCAGGAGGCAGCAGTAGCCGTCGATGTTGGTGATAACACCGACCTCAGCTCCGGTCGCAAGGAGATCTACCTAGTCGAGCTGCTGCAGCTGTTCGCCGAAAAGGGCCAGCAGCTGCAGACGGCCGCTTCGTCTGGTAAAGCGAGCAAAGAGGAGCTGGCGGAGCTCAACACGGACTTGGCCAACCTTTTGCCGACAATTTCTGCGCTGCTCGCGCACTCCGACATCAACCCGCAGCTGAAGCCGACCGTCGAGATGGTCTCGCTCTTCCGCAACATGTGGTTCCTCTCTATTCTCTTTGGTTATGCCATGCCACCGACAGAGCGCAGAGCGGCAACAAGTGCCAGAGCTCCCGGCTCTGCTGCCGCTGCGCACGAGGAGCTCGTCAGCAGCGCACTAGCGTCCATCTCGCTGAAGACGCCGACGCTCGTCCCTGAGACGGCGCACAACTACCTCGAAAGCGACCTCGAGTACAATTCCGTGCTGAAGCGCGACTTCTCCGCCGCATCCATCGAGACGCAACGTAGGACGCTTGCGGTGCTCATCCCCTCGCACACGTCCGAAATTCGCTCGTTCAAGTTTGCCGAGCTGACGTTCCTGCAGACAATATTCAACCTCGAGTGCATGCGCAGCAGTCTCGGTCGTCCATCGATGATCCTGTGGTACTTTGTCAACGACGGCTTGAACAGCAGCTCTCTCGTCGGCAGCATGGAAGCCATCGCCGACAAAGTCATGCAGCAGTTCATCGCGGATATAGAGCCGCAGCTGTACGAGCATGCACTCGACCCACGCGTTTCAGCTGAAGTTAGGAACCTCCTCCTCGGCAGTGTACATCGCGTCAGCAAGGTCCGCGTCGTCTCGCGCAAGTTTCTCGATCGCCTCATCGGCGCCTACCCTTCCTTGCTCTGCGATGGTGACCTCGTCATTCTCATGCTCGAGATGCTCACACTCGTCAGGCACGGCTGCGAGTCCGAGTACAGGGATGAATACTCACCTGTCTACCACTTCCACTCCGAGCGCGCCAACGTGGCCTTCGACATGTCCGACTCGTACCCCCAGCGCGAGGAGATCCTCCGCGACTTCCTTCAGCGCACCAGGACCTTCCTCGGCGCGCTTGTCGAGCGCGCACCTGTCGAGCTGCAGGGTATCCTTCAGAGGTACCTCAGCACGCTCGATGACACCTCCTTACCCGGCTACACTGAGCTTGGCAAGAGCGTAGCGCTCGAATACGCCAAGATGGTCGGTGTTGGGAACCGCCAGGAGACATTCCTACCGCCTCTTGGCGGCTGGACTGCCGACACGTCCAGCACGCTTGTCAACGACCTCGTCGCCAAAAGCAACTACATGGGTGAAGTCACCGGCATCCATCTTGCGCTCACCAATGGGCTCGTGGAGCTTCGTAAGGACCCCAAAAAGAGCTTCTCGACGGTTAATATCCAGCAGTGCAAACAACAGCTTGCAGATGTCTCGCGCGAGCTCTTGTCCAAGAAGCCAAACGTGTCATTCGCCGAAACCCGTCGACTCTTGTACCGCACCGCAGCTTTGGCCGTCGCGCTGCCCGAGGTGAGTGGCTCCTTTCTTGCTTAGTGACGTGATTGCGATCGAATGCTGATCGGTGAGCACCCTCCTTTGACGTGCAGATCGACTTTGACTTCCTGCACTACGTCGTCTCGATCCCCATTAGACTGTTCACACCCGCATCGATCTTGACTGCTAGCCATGTCTGGACGTGGATCATCGGGGAGCGGCCAACTGCGGAAACTAAAATTATGGTCGAGGTCACCATCGGCTGGCTCTCAACCATTCAGCTGCGCAAAGGCATCTTCTCGAAAAGTCTCAACAGTAAGCACCCGCTTCTGCAAAAGACCGAGATGAGCGCTTTCGATCGGCAAACCATCGTGGCCGAGCGCGAGGCGGCCACTAGGCTCTTCACGCCTCACCTCATCTTGCTGCGTATGATCTCGAGTCGCTACCAGGCTTTCCATTCGCGTGACCCTTCCATGGTCCTCACCATGGCCCGCTTACTCGATCATTCCGCCAGGAGCGTCGACCGCATGAGCACGCATCCTCTCGCGAGAGAGGTGCGCTTCACGCTTGTACACTTTGGTTTGCGCCTGCTTCAAGGGAGCAAGCTGGATGGCTTGGTCGAATTCCACTTGCGTCAAGGCTTGTACAAGATCGCTTTCGCTTGGTTTGCAGAGTGTCCCCAATGGTCGTTCGGCAGCAACCGGCTGCAGGTTCAGGCAGAGATGCGGCTCCTTTCAGACACTCTGAAACTGCTGGCGAGCGACAAGATGAGGGCCTCTCAAGTCATCACTAGCTTCCCTGCCGACATGGCTTATGTCCGCCTACCGGGCAGGCTCACCGTCGCCGAGTCGAGCCGCGCAGCCAGCGACCAGCGCTTGCTGCTCTCCTTGCTCGTTGAGAGTGAGCTCTCACGCTTCTCTGTCTGGAACAACCCGATGGCGGTTCCGGGCCGCGGCAGCGACTTTGTTGGCAATGCGACAAAAAGCATGACAGAGGCCACCTGGGCTAGCGTTGTTCGAGTAGCTTGGTCTGTCAATCCCCAAGTCGCTGTGCAGATGACGCAGCGCTTCAAGTCGGCCGCCGTGACTGCAGAAGCCGGACGCCTCGTCCGAGCGGACCCCGGCAAGGTCGTTCGCAGCCCCGATGCTCTGGGCTTGCTCACGGAAAGCCATCTCCAGCTCGCTTTGCGCGAGGGTACGGATCTCAGGTGGCTGCTGTACTGGGCCGCTGTCACCCCTGTTGAGGGCATCGAGCTGTTTTCGCCAAAGTATGGTAATAACCCGATGCTGCTTCAATACGCCATGCGTGCACTCGAGGAGTTGCCCGTTGAGTTGACCTTCTTCTACGTCCCGCAAGTCGTTCAAGCGCTCCGCTCTGACGAGTATGGCTACGTTGAGCAGTTCATATTTGAGACATCCAAGATCTCGCAACTTTTCTGCCACCAGATCATTTGGAACATGAAGGCCAACTCGTACAAGGACGACAATGCCGGGATCGAGGACCCGATGAAGCCGACCCTCGATCGCATGATCGAGAACATTGTCCATGCTTTGTCAGGCGAGTCCCAGAAGTTCTATAACCGCGAGTTCGGCTTCTTCGACGAGATCACGAGCATCTCGGGCAAGCTCAAGCCGTACATCAAGAAGAGCAAGCAAGAGAAGAAAGCCAAGATTGATGAAGAAATGGCTAAGATCAAGGTCGACCCGGGCGTGTACTTGCCCAGCAATTCGGATGGCGTGGTTGTCGACATTGACCGCAAGTCTGGTAGACCGCTGCAGTCGCATGCCAAAGCGCCGTTCATGGCGACCTTCAAAGTGCACAGGGACGTGCTCAAGCCCGGCGCTGCCCTTGCAGACGATGGCGAAATGCAAAAGGAAGGAGTCGACGTTTGGCAAGCCGCCCTCTTCAAGGTCGGTGATGACTGCAGACAAGATGCTCTCGCCTTGCAGGTCATTGCAATGTTCAAGAACATCTTCACAAACGTTGGCTTGGACCTTTACCTCAATCCGTACTGCGTGGTCGCGACGGGGCCTGGTTGCGGTATCATTGACGCCGTGCCCAATGCCACGTCGCGCGACGAGATGGGTCGTGCAAAGATCAACAACTTGCTGTCTTTCTTCATTGGAAAGTACGGCAACCCGGACGGCATCGCGTTCCAAAAGGCGCGCCTGAATTTCATCCAATCGATGGCTGCCTACTCGCTCGCGTGCTACATTTTGCAGATTAAGGACCGACACAATGGAAACATTATGATCGATGGCGACGGCCACATCGTCCACGTCGACTTTGGCTTCTTGTTTGACATTGGACCTGGTGGAATGAAGTTTGAACCGTGAGTTTTTGGGGCTTTTTTCTATTTTTCTTATACCAGGCCGACTGAGTCCATCATTTGCTTCTAGGAACTCGTTCAAGCTGTCGCACGAAATGGTGATGGTCATGGGCGGTGCCGCTTCGCAGGGGTTTAAGATGTTCTCCGAGCTGGTCGTCAAAGGCTTTCTCGCGATTCGTCCGTATGCGAAGGACATTATCTCCGTGTGCCACATGATGCTCGGCACGGATCTGCCATCATTCAAAGGCGAGCCGACGATCCATCGACTGCGCGATCGCTTCAAGCTGGAGATGACTGAGCGCCAGGCGGCCAAGTGGGCAGAGGGCCTCATTGCCGATGGCTTCGAGAACCCGCGCAGTACCTTCTACGACGGCTTCCAAAAGTTACAAAACGTGAGTGATAATTGTTTGCAGTCACTTGCTCCCTCGGAGGGATGCCCACTGACTTGATCCCATTTTGCGCATCACAGGGCATCCCATACTAATAAGAGTTCCACTTTCCCTACTCAATCCGTTTCTTGTGCCTTTGTCCCCTACTGAGAAATGCGATTCCTTTTCCTACCACCGAGCCAGTCTGTGCAGTCCAATTCGAGAGATTGCAGCGATGATGTTGGAGATGATGATACACGGAGGTGCGGGATTTCAAGTGAAGATCTGTATCACTAGCCCGTCGAATGCTTTCGTGCGGTACGTCAGTTGCCCAGCTCCGCAACCTGAGCCAAAGTACGCTTCTCCAAAGCAAGAGAAAGCCTTGCACGCCGATGTTTACGAACGGTACAGCGCGCGCTTGGCCACCTTGGCGACCAGCTCTGGGGTAGGGAAGCTGAGCGCTTCGAGGTTTTGCGCGTAAGGCGTCGGGACATCTGCGCCGGTTACTGTCAAGAGATAAAGAAAAGTCGTGGTCAGATCTTGAAGGTTTCGACTAGTGGCACACGACGTAGAAACTCACCTCGTTCGACGGGTGCGTCCCTGCGCGCGGTTTATGATAAGAGGGAACACGGGAGGAAAGCAACAGATGGTGAACAATGGGGCGAAAGTAGATTTAAAGTGGTGAGCGCCTCGCTTTGCAATACTCACAAGTAGTCGAATGCCTCGCTTTCCATGATCTGCGCGCAAATCTCGGAACCGACGCCAAACATGGGGAAGCCGGTCTCGACGGTGACGAGCCGGTTAGTCTTCTTGACGCTCTTGATGATGGTGGCGATGTCGAGCGGGCGGATGCTGCGCAAGTTGATGACCTCCGCTTCGATGCCCTCCTCCTTCTTGAGCATCTCGGCGGCGCTGAGCGAGTAGCCAACGCCGATGCTGTGCGCGACGAGCGTGATGTCTTTGCCCTGCCGCTCGACCTTTGCCTCGCCGATAGGGATAACAAATTCATCGGAGAGGATTTCGGCGTTGACGGGGAAGGTCTGGCCGTACATGATCTCATTCTCAAGCACGACGACTGGGTTGGGGTCGCGAATGGCGGCCTTGAGCAGGCCGCGCGCGTCCTCGGCGGACCAAGGGCTGACGACCTTGAGACCAGGGATCTGGCCATACCAGCTGGCGTAGTCCTGCGAGTGCTGCGCGCCGACGCCGGCCGCAGCGCCGTTGGGGCCGCGGAAGACAATCGGGCAGGGCACGTTGCCGCCGGACATGTAGTACGTCTTAGCGCCCGAGTTGATGATCTGATCGATGGCCTGCATCGCAAAGTTAAACGTCATGAACTCGCAGATCGGGCGCAGACCCGACAGCGCCGCGCCGACGGCCAGACCTGTGAAACCAGCCTCAGTGATGGGCGTGTCAATCACACGGCGCTCGCCAAACTTGTCTAGCAGGCCGCGCGTGACCTTGTATGCGCCGTTGTCTGTGGGTGGGGAGAGGAAAGTCATCAGCATTCAGGATTCAATAGGGAACGTGGGTCGACGGACACAATGGACGCACATCGCGCAACCTCCTCTCCCAGGAGGAAGACCTTATCGTCCCGCAGCATCTCCTCCTCCATAGCCGAGTTGAGCGCATCGCGGACGGTCATCTCCTTGGGTGCACCGCCGCTGGCAGACGAGGCGAAGCGTGCCTGGTTGCGGTAAGACGCTGGCAGGCTGAGCGCCGCAGCTGCAGCGGGCACATTCTCCTTGATGGCTGCCTTTGCTGCTGCTGATGAGGAGGAGAATGAGGACGGCAGCAGGACACCTGACGATGAAGCCAGCGTCGAGCTGGAGATGGCACGTCTCGAAGAGCCCGCTGCTGATGTGCCTCTGCTGCCGCTGGCGCTGGCGACGAAGGATCGCCGTGCGAGTGCGACGCGGACTGTCGATGCGAGGACCATGTTAGCGGAGGTAGATCGGGGCGCCTGGTGTGTCCGGGAATGAGGGCCTCGGGTGCGTGTATTGGCGACAACTTAAGAGCAAGAAGGAAGAATGAGGGTGATTGGTATAGGATGGATGGAGGTGATGGTGATGGGTTAGGTGTGGAGCTTTGTGGTGAGGCAAGGGGGCACTGCGCAAGTGTCCCCCGCTCGATCTTCTTTCGCTCGCTCGCTCGCTCGCCTGTCAGAAGAAACTTTTGGAAAAGTGTTGTTGGGGGAGTGACCAAGTAGGTTCTCTCGGCCGAGATGCTCCCTTTTCTTTCTTATTTGCCTCAGCGTAAAAAGAATGACATGCCTTCGATAGATATCCTGGTATGAAGCCAGCCACATCCGCCGTGCTCGTCATTATTTCATGCCAGTCCAGCTCGTCGACGGGGAGATTGCACGCCGAGCAGACACGCAGGCAAGCACGGAATCAAAGTCTTCGGCCCCCTCTGTACAAGCGGGCGCCTACACCTCGCACGCCAACATGTTGATCAAAGTCAAGACACTGACTGGCAAAGGTGAGGTGCACCGTGCGCGCATGCTCTGCCCTCTACCGCTCTGTGTAGCAAGCTGCGTAGGGCTCGTGTTGCAAAAGAGACGAGGAGAAATGGAAGGAGAGATAAGTTATTCAAGAGGGAATGGCTCTTCTCGATCACCCGCCCCGTTGCGGCGTTCCGCTTGGAGCGGACTAAAGCAATGGCGGGTACAAGCATAGACGTGATAACTGCTGACTGAGGTGCACAGTCATCGAGGGGCTGCTTCGCTGGTCAGGCGAAGCTATGCATCTCGCCGACGGTCATCCCTTGGCACACACCTGTCCATCTGCAAGCCCGCTTACTTACCCTTCAAACTTCCTTACCGTGCGAACACCAGAGATCGAGCTCGACATCGAGCCGACGGACAAGATCACGCGCATCAAGGAGAAGGTTGAGGAGAAGGAGGGCATCCCACCCGCGCAGCAGCGGCTCATCTTTGGCGGGAAACAGATGTGAGTGTCCTCCTCTGATTCGCAACTATTCACGCTGCCTAACGGACTAGAACCCCTCTGCTGCAATTATAGGCACGACGAGAAAACAGCAAAGGAGTTTGGCATAGAGGGCGGCTCGGTCTTACATGTTAGTCGTGCCTGCCTCGGGGCTGCCAGCTCACTTGCTCGATAGCGTAGAAGGCTGACCGCTTTTCTTTTCTCTCTTCCCCCACCATCTCTGCTTCCATACGTATGCGGTGACCAGTTGGTCCTGGCACTCCGAGGCGGCTCGCTATGATCCCTTTGCACTGGATTAGATATTGAATCACCCATTCTGCCATACTCATCCTTGAGAGTGCACGCAGGTATGCGCGCAAATCTTTAGCTGACATTCAGATGGTGGCCAGTGCGTGTTGCTCCACCATCAATCGCCTGAGCCCGGAATCTCACGTCCATCACGCGCATGAACGGACACACTTCGCAGCCTGATCGGAGCCGGGGGAAGACACAGACAAGACTCACGTATCTCAGATTGCCTGTGACCAGAGCGCTTGGAGGAATATGGCCTTCAATTTCAACTTTGAGAATGATCTCGAGATGGAGATAATAGCCAGCGTTATTACGAGTACAACGACAGACGCGCCGGGGTCTGCCGGGGTCCTCATTGCATCGCTGGGACCAGCCTTGGAGTCTGCAGAGCGCGACAGGCCGTGTTAGCCATGGGTCGAAAGTTCGCACGCGAGTTTTACATCGTGTTTGGATAAGATTGTTGCAAAGCAGTCTGAAGCATGCGCGGCACGACGAGCGCTGGTGCAGATAAGCAAGAACGACCATTCTGATGCTACAGGTCAATCATCCTTTCTGGCCCAAACATGTGCGCCTCTGCTTCCGCGAGAGACCCCACGCCGTCCATCTTCACATGGCTGGTGCTGAAGTCTTATAAAAGTGTCCGTCGCCCCTTTCCTCTCGTATCGTGCTCGCCTGTCAACGTTAAGGGCTTCACCTTCCACCTTGCAGCTCCTAGCTCTTTCCCTCTTTACCACCCCGCAGCGGGTGAAAGCAGCAGCCGTAGCAGCACACTACGACCCTTCTAGCTCCGTCTCGGCCGAGGCTGATCGCAGACCGATCAAGGAAGCAAGCGCGTGTGATTGCGTGGCAGCTCAAGCGCCTTCCTGTCAATGTCGCTGCTGTTGAGGTTGCTGCGACGGTTGTGGCCCTTGCCATCGCGCATCCCCAAGAGCATGAAGCTCTCGTAACTCGTTTCCTGGCCGCTCAGATCAACAGTGTACTTTTGAACCTGCACGGGTGGGCGAGTACAATGTAGATGCAAGTTAGCGAAACGAGACGACGCCATGAGAACGCAAAGACGTGAGCTGAACGCACCTTGCCAAAGCCCTTGATCGCCTTGCGCCAGTAGCACGCCGCGCTCGCAGGCGACACGTAGCGGTTCCTAAAGTAGTTCCACTGGTTCTCAGCGATCCTGTGCGCCTTGTCGTCATCCTTGAGCAGCGCATCCATCACATCGGGCAGGCGCTCCCATGTGCGGTCGAAGTACTCCTTGTCGCCATCGTGCACGAGAACGCCCTTGCCATTTCCGGTCGCCTTGGGCACGTAGACGATGTTCTGGTCGGGTGAGTTCCAGTCGGCGTTGTACAGGTGCGTCCAATGCTGGATCCAGCGCGGCGGGTGCGTAATAATAACCGTCTTGCAGTTCTGCAGGTAACGCAGACGGCCAGAGTATGTGTTCCCCTCGGCGAACCCTTGGAACTTCCACTTGCAGTGGTCCGCGATCGCCACCGCCGTCGTAGGGTTCGACCAGTCGACCCCCTTGATGTCGTTCCACGTATGCCCCCGGGCAACTTGGACCATGCTCTCACGATCGGCGGTGCCGACCTTCATGCTACCGCGCCAGAAGAGCTTGGGGACCTTTTCCTCCCACGGCGTGGCCTTCTCGATGGCTTCAATCTTCATGCGCACATCCAGATATGTGCCCACGTGCTCGGGCCACGAGAGGAAGCCATAGTCTGGCATCAGCCAGACATCATCTTGATCGTCCCTGCGGTCGAGGCTGAACTTGCCGCGCATGCCCCAGTCATCGAAGCCCATGCAGAACTCGATGTTCGGCAACGGCTCGCGCGAGGTGATGATGGACTGGTGCAGCAGCGCTAGCGCCGCTAGTGGCCGCGTGAAAGTACCGGTGGAAGGCGTGAATTTCTTCAGATAGAGTCGATTGTTGTAGATAGCCACTCGTGCATGTGTCCATTGCCCATCGTCGCAAGAGCTTTCGAGGTACTCCTTTGTGAACCTGCGGAGGCAGGGCATGAGTCAGAAGAGATATGTGGAGCGCAACCCACGAGGAGTCTGTCATCGGCGGCTACTCACGGATTCTTGGTGTAATACTTGACGCTGCGATCAATGTCCTTCCAGAGGTCCGGGAAGTACGCGTCGCATTGCTCCTCTGTGAACGTGAGGTCGTCCGGATTGAAAGGGTCATTGTACTCTGGCTTTTTGGGTAGCATGATCGTCTCCCCGCTCTTGACCGAGTAGCCCCATCCTTTTGCGATGCCCTGGAGCTTGACCGGCAATTGTGAAGTTGTGCTTGGCTTGGCAGAGATGTGCAGGATGAGCAAAAGGATAAGGGCCGCGGCGAGCGCTTTACGGAGCCGAGTTCGGAAGGTATACGCGAGCGTATCTTGTATCCGGCCAGAAAAGTGGAACAGCGTGGGCCAGGCCTGCGACAGCGGCTTCTCGGACGCTGATGCCGAGTGGGTGTGTTCGCGGGATTGCCCGCTAGACACCTCCAACTTGCCTTTCTGCTCGTGCTTGCTACGCTTCGCATCGTGCTGTGTCAGCGGCAGCTCGTACTCTTCCTCCGGCATGCGGTTGTACTGTGCAGACGACATCTTTGCTAATTTGATTTTCCAGTGCGTTGAATGACCGATCGATCGTCAGATCGAGCAGTTGCGGTCAAACTGTATGTGGGCGACCAGCGTCGAGTCCAGTCCAGTCCAGTCGAGGTCTCTTGATTCTGACCGGGCCAAACTTTTCTCCAGCGCCTATCGAATCGATGTTGATGTATGGCCTGCAGTCAGGGCACAACAGACGGGGCGATCATAAGACTGTCCAAGGTTTCTGCGATGAGTGAAGCGGCGGAAGTAGCACGGGACAGTCTGGCCCTGGTGTCCACAGAAGGAATCCGATGGATGTGGGAAAGCGTGGGACTGCGGTAGGCCATGACCAAGCTGGACTGCGCCTTATCAGAGTCGCGGCCCCCGTCGTACGACTGATGACGGCGAGAGTGCGGACGGGAGGGCGAAAGCAGCACTATCCATATCAACGTCGAGCATGAGAGGATGAACCAGGCGTAAAGAGCAAGCCAGGGAGGAATCGAAGATGCACTCAGTGATTGGAAACGCGAGGGAGGCGGTGGGGGAGCGCAGCCAGTTGGACCACGCCAGGTGAGAGGGCGCAATGCCCTAACTCTAAACACGAAAAACTATGTTTCACTGCAGTTCTACTAAGAATTCGATTCAATAAGAAAGAAACCCAGCAAAAGGCACTGTGCAGACTGTGACGAAGTTTAAGGCCAAGAGGCTGAGCAGCTTTAACCTCGCCTCGGTTGAGTCTGACTTCCGACGCCAAGCTTGCCTTTCAGCCACGAGTGCGGTCGCGTGAACGCCAGCAAATCCGCCTCTACTGGCAGACCAGAGTATCCTTTTGGCAACGAGGTACGAGCCCCGCTGAGTTTGCAAATCCGCGGTTCTCTAGGGTTGCGATTGAAGTGGTTGCGGTTTAAGTACATATCTAGTTATCAGAAAGATTCAATTAACACAGGCTTCCTTCTCGTTCCTTCCGGTCGATTGAGCCAAACGAGGTGGTGTATAGGTTGCTGAGTAGACAAGAACACGCAAAGGTGGCATTTTCTGCGAGGGTCCTGTATTCCTTGCGCGATTAGAGTCTGGCCCGCGATATCTGCACACCATCCTTGCCGGAATCCGACGCGCCGGGGCGCATGCTCTTCTGCGGCGCGCTCTTGTACTCGGCCATGCCGCCGCTGTTGTTGAGATGGTCGAACGTGGCGATACCCTGCTCATTGCGGTAGACGCCGAGCTCGATCAGCTTAGCAAAGGCCTTGGTGAAGTGGTCGAAGAACAGATCTTTGTCCGTTGCGTACTTCTCCACCCATGGTCGGAAGCTCGGGTCCTGGATCAGCGCCATATCCGTCGGCAGCATCATCAGCTCCTCCCCATCATCCCCTACACCAGGCGCCTTGGCGGCCCACTGGAACGGCATTCCCTGGCGTCCCTTCCAATTTTTGGGCTGCCACTTGAGCTTGAGCAGCAGCTTGTAGTACTGGTTCGAGAAGCGCGTCGGGTTCGGTACCCACGGTCCCTCGAAGCCGGAGCGGTCGCTGTGGCATCGCCCGAGCGAGTGCGCGCCGGACAGCGCGACGATCTCCTGGTCATTCATGTTCATTTTGTAAAACACCCATCGCAGGTGGTCAGAGCCTTGCGCTGCGTCTGGCAGCCTGCCGCGCGGCGGAAGTAGCGAGTCATTCGCAAAGTCAGAGCGGCCCGGCTTCCAGGGGATCTTGGGCCCTCCCATCTGCTCGATTGCCACCACGCCAGCCAGTGTCCACAGATCAGAGTAAGTAATCCAGCTGTGCTTTTCCTTGATCGCTTCGAGAAAGACGCGCGCGTGCTGAAGGCCGGCGTTCGCAGGGTCCCCACCTGATAAGCATACGAAATGCAAATTGTCAGTCGTAGCACGGGTCTTGCTCGATGGGACATTGGCCCACCTTCTTCCTCGTAGCGCATACCAGCTCCATTGGAGCCACCGGTGTCTGTCTCCTTGTCATAAGTACCGCTGTGATAAGGGCGGAAGCATGTGTACGCAAAAGGGTCAGCCATGCTGGTGAAACACTGAAAATGTGCCGGGAAGTTGGCGACTTACGAGGCATGCCATGCCAAACGGACGAGGACGGGGCCTATGCTACCATCATCGTACTCGGGCTTCCGCAGGATCTTCGTGATATCGTTGCGAACAGCTGTGGCGCCAAGAGCGGGGGAACAAGTAACCCGTTCGGTTAACTAGCCCGCTTTCTGGTGTCAATGTCCTCGCGAATGCAAGCGTACCTTCAAAGTCCCGCGAGTTCTGCATGTTTGCGTTGCGAAATGGCTTGTAACCCTTGTGAATGCCAGTGCAGTTCAAGGGCCAAACACCTTGCAAAGTCAGGTGGCGATGATAGAAGATCGGCGAGAAGACAATCAACGAAAGGGCAAGCACATTTGTAAAACTCTAGCCAGCGTGCTACGAGGAACGGTTTATAAACCATGTCTGGGGAAGGTGTTGTTTCACATCTCTCCCCTTCTCAGTCATCCATCGATACGTTGTCTCTGCGAATCCAAATTGTCTAATCTCCTTCGCGCTACCGCTCCTTTTTCGCTGGGGCTGGGCGCGGTGACGGGAAACAAAAACCGGCAGCCTTGCCTACCGAGAGGAAACGGTCATCTCCCACATTCGGCCGACGTGAAAGCCGGAATCACCGAGAGCCTCCGCTTGCATGGATTTACAAATATGGTCCCTGCGAGTTGTGGATTACATGCCAAGAGATGTTGCGTGCTGTGTGGTCCGTGCAACCTAGGCCTCCGCCCGGTTCCACTCCCCCCCCCCACTGACACTCTCGCGGGCTTGTTCGCCCTGTCTCATATCCGAGAGCCAGCCAGCCAGGCAGCAGTGTAGCGGCGCTCTCTCGATTGGGAACCAGATCACGCCTACAGAAGAAAGTAGAAGAGAGCTTCGTGATCCATATACATACATACGCATACACCGTTACTTGGGTTCTTCTCGAAACTCCATGCTTGTTACGCAACCTAACGCTGCTCTTTTGCTACAATCACGCTTCAAAAAAGTGAGCAGCGCACAGAGCATCGCATGACCGGCTCATTCATCGCCGTTGCTGCCAGAAGACTCTCCCAATCCGCTAGACACCTCTCGACCTCCTCGGCAGCATTGCTATCGCCCACCATGGCCAACCTAGAGTTCAAGACCCGCACCATTGGTGCCCCTAACACATTGGGTGCGTACAGTATGAGACAGGGCATGCGCGCGTGTCGCACACATTCTTGGGGAAACCCTTTTCGTGCGACAGGTAAGAGAGTGTGCTGACTCGATCGTGTCTGCTGACCTCCTTGACCGCCAGACTTCCGCGTCTGGCTCGAGAGCACGCGCACTGGGCAGGCCGTGTCGGCGTTCCACGATGTGCCCCTCTTTGCCGATGAGGCCAAGACGATCATCAACATGATCGTCGAGATCCCCCGCTGGAGCAACGCCAAGCTCGAAGTGTCCAAGGAGGAGCCACTGAACCCGATCAAGCAGGACACCAAGAAGGGCAAGCTGCGCTTTGTCCGCAACTGCTTCCCGCACAAGGGCTACATCTGGAACTACGGCATGGTCCCCAGCACGTGGGAGGACCCGAATGCCACGCACCCGGACACCAAGGCCAAGGGCGACAACGACCCTCTGGACATTTGCGAGATCGGCGAGCAGGTCGGCTACACCGGCCAGCTGAAGCAGGTCAAGGTCCTCGGTGTCATGGCCCTCCTCGACGAGGGTGAGACTGACTGGAAGATCATCGCCATCGACATCAACGATCCGCTCGCTCCCAAGCTCAACGATATCGAGGACGTGGAGAGGCACCTCCCCGGCCTCATCCGTGCCACCAATGAGTGGTTCCGCATCTACAAAATCCCCGACGGAAAGCCAGAGAACCAGTTTGCTTTCAGCGGCGAGGCCAAGAACAAGGTGCGCTGTATCACTCCGCTCATGGGCACCGCCGCTTGAGGGTCGCGAAGCTGACGAATCTGCTTGCTCCTCTCTCCTGACTGGGATGCAACAGCGCTACGCCATGGAGGTTGTCCACGAGTGCCACGAGGCGTGGAAGAGGCTCATGAGCGGCCAGACCGACGCTGGCGGAATCTCCATCGCCAACACCGCCGTGCAAGGCAGCAAGGGCTACGTTAGCCCTAACGACTCACTCGTCCAGAGTATCCCGCACAACGCCCCGCAGCCTGCAGCTCCGATCGACCCGAGCATCGACAAATGGTTCTTCATCTCCTCCTCGGCTACCATCTAAGTGTATGCCCACGCGGAGCCGGTAGGTGAAAGGGTTGTCTAGAGTTGGGGAAAATCGCATCGTGCATGCGCGCGTAAAATTTGTACTTCCACCGAATCAAACACGACAGACAGAAACCAATGCGCTTCTGGCACATCTGATTCGAAAGCGAGAGCGGCCAGTGTGATAAAGATAAGAATTGTCCATGGTGTCGTCATTCTTACATGTAGCAGTGGGCGATTGCCTGACCTCAACGGGATGGGTAGCTAGACGTAACCTACAGCGCTACGGGTCCGGGTGACCCCCTGCCTTTTTCGGATCTCCACTCTCAAGCGGCTCGGTATGCGTGTGGCGACGGCGGGCGCGGGAACGAGTAACAGCGTCTATTTGATGTTTCCCAGTCTCTGTGTGCTCGAGAAGACCTTGGTGTCGAGGTTGGTTGTCTTGTCTTGCAGGCGGCGCAGGCGCTCGTTCTGCGCGTCGATCTCGCCGCCCATGGCGCGGCCGAGCTGGTTCAGACGTCCGCTCAGGCGGGAGATCTCATCGAGGTTCTCGTCCAGCTCGTCCTCCAGCTCGTCATCGCTGGCAGTCGCCTCAAACTGGTAGCGCGAGCGCTGCGCCAACTTGGTCGCCTTGGCGTCCTGCAACGGTCCGTCCTTGTCCTTCGACCCGAAGCGCCCGCCGGCGAAGCGGTCGAAGCGCCCTCCACCACCAGCTCCGCTGCCCGGCGCGCCGAGCGACTGGTCAACGCGGTTGCGCGCAGCGAGCGTCTCGGCGCGCAGCGCCTCGCGTTCCTCGCGCTCATCGACGTGGCGGTTGATGATGCGCGCTTCTTCGGCTGCACGCTTGGCCTTCTTATCGAACTGGATGTTCGGGCGGAATATGGACCGGTTCAGCGCGACAATCTCCTTTGCATTGTCGTCTGCGCGACCCGCATACGCTTTCGATAGGTCGAGGTTGCGTTCCGTGTCGGCCAGCTTCTCGCTCTGGTCACCGAGGCGCATCATGCTGTTCGTGGCCGTCTCCTCCGCCTCCCTGGCCATCCGGAGCGCATTGCGCGTAGCGCTCAGCGACTCCTGCTTCGTGAAGCGCATCTGCTGCTTGACGGCCTCCACCTCCTCATCCGACTCGGTGCGCTCCTCTTGCTGCTGCTGGTCCTGCTGCTCGCCAGATGGGCCGTATTCGTCGTAGGCGGATCCGCCGCCGCCGTACCCTCCTTGGCGAGATCCAGCGCCATACTCGTTTTCGATCTGCGCTTGTGTAGTGTGCCCGCCGTGGCTTCCCTGGCTGTATCCACCCCTGCCCTGTGCCCCGTACCCTGTTCCATATCCACTGCCACCGTCACCGCCTGCAGGCGTGCCATAACCATTGGGAGCACCGGAATCGCGCTGGTTTGCTCCCCCATATCCTCCGCCGTATTGATTGTTCTGAGCTCCGTATGGCTGGTTGTACTGGTGCCATCCGCCTGCAGCCCCTGGCTGCTGCGCCCCAGGCGGCGGGAGGTTGCGGCTACCCGGATTCGGAGGCGGGTTGTAGCGCGCCTGGTAGCCGGTCCCGCTACCTTGCGCCGGACCCGCCCCTGACTCTGAATTCTTGTTCTACAACGGGTTTCCGGTCGACGTTTGAGCAAAGGCAAAGTGTGGGTGATCAGAAGCGCCATTCAGCACAGCCCTGTCGGCCGGGCTCATTTGCTCACCTTTTTGAAGAGGCCCATCTCTAGCGATCGCCGACACTGCAGGTGCTCCTAAGGAGTATCCGGGCTCGGGTTCTTCCACTGTGTGGCAGACTTATCGCAGGACGGTAGGCCCGAGAAGCATGTGCTACCGCGGATCTCTGCAAAGACTGCCACGAGGGAGTGTACCATAAATGCATGTAGATGCCTTGAAACGATCGCAGACGATGTGAGGGGCTGCTTATGGAGAGGTGCCAGTCACCGCGATTGGGGAGTGGTGCACTACAGCATTAGACTAATCGAAGGTTGACTGCTCTCGTGTCGAGCGTGGCGCTCGCGCTCTTCCCCCCGGAACTCGGGACATATTATAAATCCGCTCACTTGGGACAAACCCTAGAGGAAAGAGTAGGGTTCATACCCATTATGTAAACCCAGCCACACTCGGCCGGGAGCGGGTCCAGTCAGCAACTAGCGCCTCCGAGCCCCGCAGGCTGTGGCCCGCCTGTGCCTAACAACAAATAAAAAGATCGCCAGTCTCCAACCTGCGACCAATCACCTCGGCGATACCCCATCGTGCCCCGCTGACTGTCACATGCACACATCGATACACCTTTCATCCTGCGTGTGCAGTCAACAGCTCTATCAGCACTCACCGCTCAGGCGCTCCCTGTTGCACCGGAGGCAGCCAGAGTGCTCTTCCCGCCCACAGTGTCACACTAACAGCGGTTTTGCTGCCAACAAGTGCCGCAATTGAAGATTGCGCCTTCGCGTCTCCCGCGTGGATTGGTGTGGTACAGTCATCCGGGCCGGCTGCTGTGATGTTGATCGTACCTAGTACTAGTGAACAAAAGTCCAAACCTGTCTTAACGTTAAACCTCTCTTTCGGTCATCAGAGAGCAACTAGAATGGAGCCAGGGTCAGCCAGAGTCAAGAGAGCCCGCAAATCGGTTCCAGCATCGTCCAAAGGGGCAGATCTTCCCCATATGATAACTTCGGATGTGCACTGGGCATGCAACTGGAAAACTCTTCTGTCCAGCACATGCGATCCTGTCAGGCATCAGGTTTAGTGGAGTTAATCCAAGAATAACTTCGGGACTTCTGGAGGAAATGGCACCATAGTCAGCGGACTGAGAACAAGACACCCAACTTGTCGGTGTTTCATCATCTTCACCATTGCCTTCTCCTTCACCGTCGACGGGATACATTCCCTGTTTGTGTCTTCTCCTCCTTACTATGCTTCGTCATCACCGCCCGCATACCAACTTCCGAGCATTTGACTCTGTGATACCCGACCGCCCCGTTCTTTCGCTTTCCGCACAAGCATCGGTGGCATCGGCTTGGGCCTTCCAAGCCGTATTTAACACATCCTCGTTCCTCTCCCTTTATCTAATATACACGCGTTCCTTTCTCACTGCCGCCTACCCCCTCAGTCCTGATCCCGTTGAAACCTTCCAAGTCCACGGGGTGTGCAGTGTAGGAAAGCTCATCGACCTTCCCTATTCCCACGCGCAAGCAGCTCGCCCAAGATGCAGCTCTCTTCCTTCTCTAGTGTCTCCTCGCTCGGCTTCTTCGCCGTCCTTCTGTCCATGCTGACCATCTCCGAGACAAGCGCCGCAAAGCGCGGTGGACCCGACACGACGCCGCTCGCACACAAATTTAGCGGCCACCACCTCAAGCAGCACAACATTGGCATCAGCCACGGCCATGGGAATGCGCACGCTCGTGGCGTCCACAATGATACCAGCGAACACCCTGCAAAAACCAAGAGGCTACTGAATATGTCAATTGGAGGCGTACAGCTGCCATACGACAAGTGGGATTTTATGGATAAGAGCGCCAAAGTGTACGGCGTGAATCTGGGAAAGTGAGTTGCACCACAAGGGAAGCGTCTGTCTCGTCTTCAAACTGACAATTTATTCATTTTTCCTTCCTCAGCCTGTTCCTTCTTGAGCGCTGGATGTGAGTGCAATGGCTGCAACTATGCCACGAAAGTGGCCAAGTCGCGCGTAATTCACTTTGCCTGTATTGCGGCCTGCGTTGCACACAGGGACGAAGATTGGTTCACCAGTCATGCTGGAACGGATGTCTACGATATGTGGAACTGGATGAAAAAGCTAGGTCCCGTCGAATCCGCCGCGGCCTTGACAGCGCACTACACCGACTTCATTGCCGAGCTCGACCTCGCGTCGCTGATCGCTGCGGGTGCCAACCACGTGCGCATCCCCATGGGCTACTGGTCCTGGATCGACATCAAGGGGAACGAGCCGTTTCAGAATAACGGCGAAGTAGCCAAGCTGTCCGAGCTGCTCACCGCACTCTACGCGCACGGCATGTACGCCACGATCGACCTGCACGGCATGCCTGGCTCGCAATCGACCGACGCGGCGTGCGGACACGCTGCAAGCTCCCCGCAGTGGTTCACACAAGAGAACCAGGACCGCTCAGACCAGATGCTGGAAAATGTCATCAACTTCATCAGAACTAGTCCTGTCGGTGCCGTTGTCTCATCCGTCCTCGTCGTCAATGAGCCCTGCGGACCCGTCGGCTGCCACAACGAGCATCGTCAGATATTACGCGATTACTACGAGCGGTCGTACAAGAAGCTTAAAGCAGCTAGCATCCCGATGTTCTTCCACTCCGGCTTCGTCCCTGGAGGTTTGCATGCCTGGACCGACTTTGTACAAGGCAAGGACCCCAAGTATCTGTGAGTGGTGCTTTCACTTTTTGCACTCAAATCGCATTGAAGGATGTCTGGCTGACCGGCTCGACCATGCGTGACCTTGTCTGCTACGTAGCATCGGAACTGACAACCCATACCCTGCCGCCTTCCCTCCCAAGTCCAACCAAACGCAGATCTTTAAGTTGCTCTGCGACATGGTGCAATCGTACACGACGCTCCCCTTCCCCGTCGTTCTCGGCGAGTGGTCCCTCGGCTCGGCCAATCATGACCCGTCGTTCCAGTACGCATTCTATGCAAACCAAGCTGGAGGATACGCCCGGTCGGCCGGCTCGACGTTCTGGTCGTACGTCGTCAAGCCGACGCACGTCAAGGGTGGCATCGGCCAGTCTAAGGCTGGCGCACTGCAGTGGTCCTGGAAGGACGCTAATGCCAAGGGAATTGTACCCAGCCCGAAAAATGGAGAGAAGATCCTGTCTTTCTTTAACACCCTCCTGGATCAGCAATGCTAGCAACTCATCAACCGTCACCCCTTTCTTTTCGTGCAAAGATTCCCCCCCCCCAAACAGCATGCAGCTAGCCTACTGTATACTCCATTACGAATACACTTTCTCGCAAATGCAACGCAAGCAATATCCTCCTACCCTCATCGGACAGTCTTAATCATCTCTTTTGTCTCTCGTGGCTCTCCCCTTTCACATTCTTTCCTGCATCATTTTCGATGGCAATGGAAAATTGTTCTTGTATTCGTTGCACTGCAAATAGTACACTCATGTTTTTCCTTCGGTCACATGAAACCTTAATGGAAAGTAATGGTGTAGAAAGTGTAGAAGGGTATCCTCGCAAGAGCGCCATATTCCAACCAAGTCACATAACCGTTGAGCTACAGCTAGAGCCAGAGCCTTCGCTTCAGACCCTCCAGGAGCGGCGCAAACAACGATGCGTTCGCTTTGGCTTGTGCGAGGCTGCAATTGCGGAAGCAAGAAAATTTTGTGGTCAGCTCTCAGCATCCAGTTCAAGCTCAACGGGAAGGAACACACCTCTGAATCGTTTCATCGGTCACGAAAGCCTCTTCGCCGTCCTCGCAAGCACCGACATCGCGACACTGCTCAACGACCATGCCGACGAGGCGGTCAATCGTCTGACGCGGCGTGAGCACCAGGACCTCGTCATCAGACGATGACTTCTGCCTGCCGCGATTGGAACTGGGGTGCCCCCACTTTTGCTGCTCGTTCGTGGCGGCGCTACCTCCGCTTGTCCCGCTCGAACCATTGTTCGTGCTGATAGAAAAGTCATTCCCCTCGCTGCGGACAGCGCGAAAAGCGAGAAAGTTCGTCGTTGATGTTTTGGACGGTGGAGGCATGTTGCGGATGGAAGCGTTGTTGAGCCTGTTCGCACGAGAGAGCGATGAGCACGCTCGGGTTAGCCTAGCATCGCAAGTTGCCATTCCTCACCTCTTCTCCTCAGTCAAGTAAGAGAGGACCATGCCCCAATTGTCCTCCGGATGGTACGCTTCATTGGGAGAGATGATGTAAAGCCCCTTTTTGATACCGACAATGTCGCCGATCAGGATCCTGGAAAATTCCGACAGCTTCTCCGAGGTAAAGTCGTAGCCACACGAGTATAGCGCTTTCGGTGTCTGGTAGATAGTAGCGAGATAGAGCACATATGTTAGCGCCAATCCTCCCACTCGCGCTCGCGGACGCCTGCCCACCAAAAGAACGACCTTCTCCTCGAATTTAGAACCATGGATCTGGCTCGACTCGACGGGCGAGAACAAGGTCCACCCTCCCAAATGCGTTTCATCTTCGCCGAGCACCATGCTAGCGCACGTCTCGATGGCGCTTGCTCTGACTCGGGCTAGGCGGAAGCTCTCAGCAGGATCTTGTGCGGCAAGCTGGTCGTTATAGCGTTCCAGTCCATTCAGACTGAGACCACCATGCACAAAATCAATGACTGTTTGCCGGAAGAAGTCGGTTACGGCACCTTGCACCATACGATATACACTGGCGGTCGCGTCGTCTGTGGAGGAAAGTAACCGTGAGCATCAGGCCTTCTTCTGCTTCGCTTTGAAAGAGGTGTTCACTCATCATGCCGAAGAAGTTGCGCTTGCCAGTTCTGGTAAAATCGCCCTTTAGCGCCCTGGTGCCTGCGTACGCCTGCGAAATCATGTCTCCATTGTTCGCCCACGTGTCATTGTAGACGAACTCAAAGTCTTCGTCTTTTGATGTACCTAGTGTCACATCTGCCTTCCCCAACTGAATGCCCAGGACGTGCCGCCCAAAAGCCGACTGAACGACGTTGGTCCGATCAAGGCAGTCGAGGCAAGAAACGCGGAATGCGCCCATCTGCTTACTCGCGATGGTAATGGCACTGGTCGCATTTTTCTTCGAGGCCCAAAAGTAGCCCATGCTCTCCATCGTCTCGTGGACATTGCCCAGCAGTTTGCTGACATTTTCAAAGCGCATCGCGGAGCACTCCTTATGGAAGTCAAATGCAACGTACTTCACGGAGTCGCCTTTCTTGATGTCCTCCTCCACGCGCTTGCGATATGCCTCGGTGATTTGCCCCTCTTTACCGTGCTGCTCGGCAAGATTGATGCAAGTCACTTTGCCGTACCGCTGGACCTGTTCGTCAAAGTGCTTAGAGCACGCTTTGACATTATCTGCGTCGCTGCGCTCAAGAACAGGCGGCGGCTTCATGCTGAACGGGCTCTGGCTCCAGAAGAGTGGAATGCTCCCGCGGAATTGGACAAAGCTGAGCAGATGCGACTGGGTGCCCTTCCGGGTGAAAGTTATCTGTTCTGTCTCGGTGTAGTTGGCGACCTGTCCTGCGTCATTAATGCCCCTACGCTGATACCGCAAGCCAGCGCGCTCCTTAGACCGACGCGAAATAATCATCAGTTGGGCTTCAGCATCGTCAGCGGAGGCGGCTTCCGTAACGGCATCCATCGCATCGCCCACGGAACTACCTGGTCCCTCGAGCGATGCGCGTTGACTGCCAGCTGATGGAATGGGGAGATTCGTTACCTGAAAGTAGCCTTGCATGATCGGAAGGATGTAGGCATGCAAACTGAGGTCGACAAAGTTTTTCGACAGCGCTTCGTTGTACCAGAATCTCCGATCAACGCGCTTCCATAATGGCAGCAACGGTGAAGGCTCCTGAAAGGGGAGCCCAGCAGTGGTTGCGCTGTTCCCACAAGTGACGAGAGCGTGTTTTCGCTGCAATGATGTGGTGATGTCCAGATCGTACGAGAACCACATCTCTCCCCTGGCGAAAAGCTTGGCGGCTTCGCGGACCAGCTTATCCTCCAGCTCAGCCTTGGTCGCTTCGTGCCACTGCTCGTCCGGCGTCAATGCTGGTCCATTCGCATTATCGCTGTTCGCATCGTCTTCGAGAGCAGATCCGGCTGTGCCATCCTGGTTGGGTAGCTCGACATGAGCTGTACTTCCGCCTTCTGCTGATGGGCATGTCTTGTCTCCCGGCGCGGTGGCCTGCTCGAGTGAGCTGTTATGGGGTGGAGCATTTTCCCGCTCAGCAAGTGCTGGGTTTCCTTCCGAGATGACTCTTTCCCTCCTAGATGGGGCCGTCCATGACTTGCCGCGCGCGGGTTTGAGCGTTGCAGCGTAGCTCGATGCAGAGGTGTCGCCGGACTCTGTCAGGCCAGCTAAGAAAGATTCTCGTGCCACAAGCGAGGGCGTGAGGACTTCATCTTTCTGAACATCTTCACCATCACTATCGTCCGATTCGGAGCTGCTTGTGTCTCCAGACCCTTGATTAGCCATTGCTTGACGGGCGTTTTCTGCCTTCAAGATAGGCAGCGCCATATCATGCGACAGTGGTATGGCTAAGACGCCAGAACAGCGGTAGATGGGGAGGGACGCATGGAAAAAGTCTCCAGCGTGAGAGCGACTAGTAATGACTAGTAGATACGCGTCTGGCAATAGCACACTGCTTTCAGCTTGAACGTCTTCCAACCAACCAGTCCTGCTGTAATGCTCACAATTGAATACTCTCATGATACCAACGATTCCGAAAGCTTGAATTTCTGCATCTTCTGTTGCCGAATCTAGCAGCGACTTGATCTCTCTGCCGGCCACCTGTTCAATTTTCGCATCCCTATTCCACGCCAGCTTGATCGCTGCGGGGGTTGTTACGACCTTGTGCTCAAGGCTGCCGCCGCTACCGCAGCCGCTTGAAGAGCTCTGTTGGTGTTGGTGCTGGGGGGTGCTTACATTCGAATGCAACTTGGGCGCTACCACGAGCCCGGACGGTGTTGCATGGATCGTCAGCCGCCGTTCAGGCGAGGGCTGCGAAATGTCGGGTGTGGAATGGGAGCTGCTGCTACTGCTGAACCCGGTCGCCACAGACGATCGTCGGCTAGAGCGCCCAAAGATGGCCTTCATGGTGTCTGCGCCTGACCCGAACCTGGGCCTCGGCGTCAAGCGGTAATGCTGCTTCGATATCACCTTCCACCCCTTCTACATGCGGTGTCGATCGCCATGAAGGGAAGGCACCATGTACCATCGAGACGATCATCATGATACCATTGCCCCCTGAGAGGAAAGACTCGAGCTAGCAACAACTGGTAGACACTGGCCTGGTGCCTTTGAAGTGGGATTGCTCGAATGCGGGGATCGTGCACGTCTGGTTCGTTCAAAATCCACTCTACACGCGACTCATTTCTTGTTATTTTCATTGTCACCTTCTATCCCGGGTAACGCCAATGCTGGATAGTGCAAAAGCAGGACCACATCTTGCTTTGGTTCCAGGACATGGCGAGTCCTGCCATTATGGGTTAGCGTTCGGAATCAGACTGCATCGTCCACAGATTTGCGGTCGGCTGCTAGATATCGGATGCTTTGGACGAGGCTACCCCTGATCCCACATTTCAAAGGCAACAACTGTTCGGGTTCCTACTCCAAGTAGTGACCAAGGCGTCAGGTACTGAAAAGGGTGAACAGTCACCGTGGACACGTGGGAAGTTCTTATCCTCATCAATGAGGTATCAAATTTTTCCAAGTGAGCAACATGGGCCATTTTGCGGGAGCGGCTGTCGCCCAGAAGATGTCGTGGCAGATCAACGCCCAGTCAGATCAAGTTCTAACACGAAGTGAAGTCCGGAGTCACGTGTGTGTCCCCAAAGGAGCTCTCTGAATTTTGTCTGATACTTTATAATGAACGTTCAAACATCCACCTGGCTCTGCTGATGACTCAATCGAATGTTGATGGCATCATTGATGATCTTAAAACAAGGCAGGTGGTTGTGAGGGAGTTGGCTTGAGCGGTGAAACAGAGAGCACGGAAAGCACGACATGTGATTACACACCTGATCAACGTCCAGTGGAGGCAGAGAAGAGAGCATCGACTTGGTCTCGGACTGATCCAGCTCCTCTAGCGGGTCGCGGCTGTTCATCAGAATCGCAATGCACACGTACAGGTGCAAGTCGAGGAAGTCAGGCATGGCAAAGTACGTGTCTGCAGCAGCGGTAGTCCCGTTAGCGTGGATGCATCATCATGACGTCCAAGTAGCTCTGAGGCTAATAAAGCAAGAGATGAGGAAGACAAGACTCACCCCAAAGCCTCATCAAGTCAGGCATGCGCATCTCTTTCGCCAGCAGGTTCTGCAACCATTTGCTCGCGAACCCGACAACGTCGACCTCCTCCTCGTCAAAGTACGCGAACAGCTCTGGTAGCGTGGCGCGGAACAAAGTCAAGAACGTAGCAATGCGAGACGCAAGTGGCACGCGCTTGTTATGCTCTTCTGTAATACGTGGCGAGAAAAACATTCTTCGTATGTCAGTGAGAGGCGCAAGTGTATCAAACAACAGGAATACAGCGCACTCACCGATCAAGCTCATGAGCTTCTCAAATGCAAAGTACATGGATGCTTCCACCTTCATGCATTGTACAAACGGGACGCAAAGATAGACGAGAGCCGGATGAAATTGCACCGGGTATGCGACGGCCATGTAGCGCTCCTGCTGCTGTTCCGTCAGTAGATGTTGCTCTTGCTGTCGTGCATGCGCCCGTTGCACAGGCGGCACCAACTGCTCTGGTGCAGCCGAGGTAGCAGCACCGCCTGCAGCATTATCATTACCCTTTTCTTGAGGGCTGTCATGCGGACGCACGGCAACGTGGAAGAAACGCGGCAGCGCGGTAAAATCATCGTGTTGCATATTCGCACGGCCCCTTTGTATCGTGCCACCTAGCATCGAACCACGTCCGTTTCCAACTTCATACTCTCTCCCATTTAATAATGGATCTGATGTTGAGGACCTAGATTCGCTGCGCTGGTGCTCAGGTTCGTGCGCCTGTGTTTGGGATGACTGCTGCAAACGATGCTTATGATGTTGAAAGGCGGAAGTAGCTGGTGTGTGTGGCGTGGTGCGCTGTATAGACCAGTCGAGATCCATATCATCACCCTCCCTCTCTGCGAGTGTGCTGTTGCCTGTCTCGTGTTCCAGCTCATCATTTGCGCCTCTCGCTCTATCTGAATCGAAGCTTGAGCCTCCGATCAAGCTGGCCTGGGCATTAAATCGCTCTTTTTGCTCCTTTGCATCCTGTGCCATGTCGTGTGAGTGCTGCTGCGGTTGAGAACATGACAGTGACGGTCCATATGAGCTCGGGCTCATGGAGGAAGATCTCGAGCGTAGATGGGATTGAAGAGCCTGCTGGCGGTGGGCTGTGACAGGTGTGCGCGCGCTGAGTTCCGACATTTGTTCAGGTCGTCTCAAATGGTCCCTGCCGTTATCCCCACCGAGCCTCAATGAACCACCTTGCAAGCTAGTCTTGGAACTCGCAGAGTCGCTTCGGTCACGTGGGGGAGTCGCAGCTGCCGGCCGTCCTTGCGACTGGTTTCCTCCAGACGCAAGCTCCTGTTCAAGGCGCATGCGTTTTTCATGTGCCAGCTGCAGCTTCCACGCCATGCGATTAAGAAAGGCACAAACGACATTGTCGACGTTGTCACAGAAGCGTTGCTTGATTTCTTCACTGGCTGCAGCTGCAGCCGTGGAGGAAGCTGATGCCGATGCTAATGATAGCCCTGCGGCCGCTGTTGGCGACCGGGGAGGATAAGCAACACTAGGAGAAGACGAAGCTCGAGCACACTGCCTTGACGGCTCTGCCACCGCATCGGTATCAGCTTCGCTTGTATACTTGGGCCACCGGTCAAACTCAGGGTCTGTGATTATGTGCTGATACGGATGGTGAAAGCGATGTTGATCTTCCTCGCCCGCATCCAGATCAACCGGTGTTACTGCACTCCTGCCAGAGCTGTTGAAGAACCGTGCGCCTGACATTTCCAAGGTCTTCGCCAAAGGGTGATCTTGAAGGACTGTGGGCGCAGTCAGCGGCGTTGGTGGCCCGGCGGCGCTATCAGCTGGTGCGTGGATGGGTTTGACAAGGTTGTCCCCGCCATCACTGACGTGGCTACCTTGTGTAATATACAGCTGCTTCCCAGTTTGTAGTGCAGGTTTGGCCATTTGTGCCCCAGTATGTTCATGGTGCAGCTTGCTCCTAGCCGCAATCTTGTGCGAGCTCTTGACAAGCCTGCGGTCCGGGGGCGGCCTCCAAGCGAGCCTGGTCTTGTAGAACTTCTCGCTCTCAGTATGGATGGACTTGTGAATGAATGGATTCTTGTTGTGCATGCCCTCGTACTCAAGAAATTTGCTGCGGACCGAGGTCATCTCTTGCGACTTGTCGCTGGAAAGGACACCGAGAAGGTAGAGCCAAACCTCGCCACGGACGGAGGGCTGGACCCCATGACGAGCGTAGGCTCGCAGCTTGGGTAGGTCCACATGCTGTTCTGCATTGAGCAGCTCGATGTACTCTTCGACTGTTGCGCCTGACATTGTTTCCGTCAGTCGGTGCCCGTACGAGCTGGTCCGCAGGTGGCCTGTTCGTCATCGACGACGCTGACCGAAACAGCAGCGAGAGAAGACAGGGACTGCTGCCGCCATCTCTCACACCTCAGCGCCTCACCGCAGCCTCATGGTCGGCGAGGGTACGAGAATGCAACGCCTTCAGACCACATCACAAACCCACACGTCTATGGGCTGCTGACGGTCATGTTTTGTTCAAGCTCTCACTACATCAAGTCGATCCTTTTGGAATTTGGATCCTGCAGTCAAGCGCATTTGCCGCAGCTCATTAAGTTGAGACTCTCACGAGCATGGGCATGTGGAGCCCGGGACCCGGGACCCGGGGTTCGGCACCCGTTCAGGATGAAGTTGGAACGTGCGCACCTAATGAATCATTGAATTCAAGTCGCTATCAGCCTGTCGCACATCCATTTGAATCACTTGGATTGCACCCATGGAGGGCAAAGGATACATGCTCTCCAGTTAAAGCAGACACCGTTCAGCTGCATGAAGGCCGGACACCTCTTCACGGTGCATGCGATAGAGCTTACGTATACATCGACATTGGTGGCTGTTTTGCCTTGCTTGGGAGAAACCACCACGGAAATATGTGGTGAGCCCGGACAAGCGGGTTGACGAGTCTATTTTCGCCACACGAGCTCGCCGTCCGGTGAATCCACCTTTCACCTCTTCCGTCGGCGCCTTCTGGGATCTCCGGCCGCATGCGAAGACTAATATCGAAACGACAGGAAAAGCTAGTTGAATCACCCCCGGTTGAATTGCCGCCTCCGCGCCGAATTGTGAAGCATTCAGTATTCAATTTGTATTCGACGTCGCTGCTCTATTTGCAAGAAAGAAAAGCTTCAGGGTGCCGTTTGCATTCCGTCTCCCTTCAAGGCAAACATAATATTTTCACCATTCTTCCAGAACCAATCCTAACAGCCGCCCAAGATGAAGTTTGGCAAGCAGATCCTGTCCCAGCAGATCTCCGGCTGGGGGTCCTACTACTTGGACTACAAATTCCTCAAGAAAATCATCAACTCGCTTGAAAAGGGCCGAATCACGGATGCAGCGCTTCTTGCGACCGGCATGCGGCCGGGTCCAAAGGTAGCATCGGAACAAGGTGGTCGGCTTGAAAGTGACGGCCAGCAGGGAGAGGCACCTTCTGAAGTAGACAGAGAAGCTGCAGAAGCTGTTGCCACGCAGATCCTCATCGGTGGCCACCATGGTGGAGATGGATCCGACGAGCTCAAGCTGCACAAGGCTGCATTTTTCTTCAAGCTAGAAAGAGAACTTGAAAAGGCGAGTTTTCAGTTCATGTTCTCAAAGAAGCGGCAGCCTTCTAACGTGCCCTAGACCACTTTTGCAGATCAATGCCTTCTACCTGCAAAAGGAAGCTGAGCTCAAGGAGCGACTCCGTACATTAATCGAGACACGACGCCTCATCTTCCAATCAAGGAACATGGGCAAGCTGTCCAAATCGTCACCGAGCTTTGTTGCACTCTACGAAGGATTCCGTTACTTCGAAAAGGACTTGTCCAAGGTACAGCAATTCATCGAGATCAACGCGATTGGCTTCCGCAAGATCCTCAAAAAGTGGGACAAGAGGAGCAAGTCGCAGACAAAAGAGCTGTACCTTGCCAGACAGGTCGATGTGCAGCCGTGCTTCAATCGAGAATTCATCGCGGAGATGTCTGACCTGGCGGCTGCCAACCTGCTCGAGCTGGAGAACCACACGGACACGAGGCTGCTGAGTAGCCGAGGGGGCGAAGGTGCGAACGGCATCATCACAAACTGCAGTCTGTCAGGCAGTGGCGAAAGACTCGACTTCGCAGCCGCATGTGAGCAGCACCAACACGATGACGCACTATCGGACCTCGAAGCGAATCTGCGCTCTGCCGTGCGCTCTGGTCGCACCGAAGCAGCGCACGAGATGGTGCGTATCTGCGAGCAGAATGAAGACCGCACCAATGTCTCGCGCATCGTCTGGGACGCCTTACTGCGTGCGCCGCAAGATTCGATCAAAAAGGTCCTCGATGCCAAGATTCCCGATTTCACCTTTGTGGACGACATTAACCATCGGACTGGCCTGCACGAAGCGGCTCTCGCGGGGAGCGTCTCGCTCGTCCGTGCTGCTATCGCTAATGGCGTCGATGTCAGTGCGCGTGATATCTACGGCCGGACAGCCGTCTCGTATGCTGCGCTCAACGGGAACGCAGAGGTTTGCCAGTACCTACTCTCGCTTCCTAATGTCGATGCGGCTGCTGTCGACCTCGACGGCTTCTCTCCGCTCGTCCTGGCCGTCATGAATGGCCGAACGGATGTTGTGCACATTCTGCTCGAGCATGGCGTCAAGGTCGACCCGCTGGAAAGCTCCGAACTCATTCCTCTTTGTCTCGCCTCGCAAGGCGGCCACGCGAAGATCACGCAGCTCCTCCTCTCTGCAGGTGCCAAGATTTTGCAGAACGCAGAGGGACTGACGCCACAGGCACTAGCGGCAAGGCAAGGCCATGATGACTGTTTACGTCTTCTCCTCGATGCCAAAGCGGACTGCAACGTTGTCGAGAAGGGCGCTCTGTGGACGCCGATTTTCTTTGCAGCTGAGAATGGGCATGTCAAGTGCATCAGGACGCTGCTCCAATACGGTGCCAAGGTGCATGTGGTGGATGAAAAGGGAAAAAACGCGGCGTTCTACGCGGCTTGGAATGGAAAAGCGGAGTGTCTCTTATTGTTGCTCGAGGCCGTTGTTAGGCAGGGCGATACGGGAGATGGAATGGATGCGGCAACGGCTGGGCAGGCAGGGGTATCGAAAGCGTCAACTGCATCGCAGCGGCCTAAAGCGACGAATCAAGATGTAGACGACATGAACCTGGATGAGGACATCGACGGTATTCCATCGCTTTCGCTGCCTCCGCCGATCATTCCCTTCCGCACATACGGACACAACTACCTCGATAAGCACACCCTCGTCTCTGTTTGCCTGACCAACTCATCGGTAAAGCTCTACAAGCAGAATGACACCAATCGTCCTGAGCAGTTTCCAACCTCCTCTCTCAAGCTCGTGATGAGCTCACGTCCAGACGTGGCCTCCGCATCCGTGATACCGCACAATATCAGTCTGCCCCTCGCAGAAGATAACGAGGTGTTTTCTTTCCAAGTTGACAATCTCGAAAAGTTCTCCATCGAATGGGAACTGATGCCGACTTTCGGATCTAAGGTTATCGGCAAGGCTGTCGCGCTGCCCAGCTCCTTCGAGGGGATGAAGGAGAGGAAGCGCTTTGTCTTGCCTTTGCAGGATATCTACCTGAACGTCGTCGGGGAAGTGTCGTTCGAGCTCGATTTCGTCAAGCCTTTCGATAGCGTGCAGCTTGAGATTGGTGGCCGTGTTGAGACGTACTGGAAATCCATGCTGCCAAGCGCTGCGAATCCACCGACAATTCCTGCTAGCGTCAGGATGACGCCCAACGCCGTAGCGACGAATGGCCAATTAGCTACCACAACGGCATCCTCTGCTTCCACTTCGGCAACGACAGCCATCGCGGGAAGTCAACAGAACTCGCCCCTGTGCGCCGTTCACGGAGCCAATGCGCTGGGTGCTGCAATCAGCTCCTCCGGTGGCGTCATGGGCCAGACGAGCTTTGTCACGGCCTCGTCGCTTTCAGGGGAGTATCTCCGTGTTGCAGTGCAAGTAACGCGGGATGATGTACCGATCGTGCTGGCAAGCGATACGCTGCCTGTTGCGGGTCTGGACGTGTACACGGGTAGTGTCAGCGGAGCGCAGGTTGACGAGCTGGCGAGAGTGACTGGCAAGCAGCTCAAGGTGACCAAAGAACAGGCAGCGCAGTTGTCGATGGAGGACTGGCAATCAACTCTCACCAACACTTTGTCCTCGCTCAAGAATCTCCTTGAGGTGCGTCTCCCCAGAGATCGACAAATGATAAAGGGTATGACTAATGCTCTGTTGTCTGCCGTCATTTGAACAGGTCCTTCCTGTCAGCATCGGTATCGATGTTCATGTGCTCTACCCATCGACAGCAGAAGTACGCGCAAAGCCGAGCATGCAAAAGGCGGAAGTAAACCTTTTTGTCGACGCGATTCTTCGCACTGTCTATGATGCAGGTACGCAGTATCGCTCACAAAGCCGAAAGATCATATTCAGCAGCTACAGTCCGACGGTGTGCACGGCGCTAAACTGGAAGCAGCCAAATTGTGGGTGATGGCCCTTGCTCTGCTCTTTGATCACGTGTACAAGCTAACTGCTTACGTCGCACCTTCAATGTTCACTGCATAGACGCCGTCTTCTTCTGCTCTGACTGCGGCCTGGACCGGGCAGCAGCGGTGAATGGCAGAGTGCAGCCCTCAACCCGGCATGAGATAGATCCTCGACGGCAAAGCCTGCGTGAGGCTGTCTCGTTTACCAGGAGCAACAACTTGCTCGGCATCGTCGCCCCATCTGTCTTGCTTGTGAGTGAAAATCGAGGGGCGGACAATCGGGAGTGGTGCCGGACGAAGCTAATCATTATCACTCACTAGGACGCGGTTCCCCACCTCATCGCGAGCGTCAAAGCTGGCGGCCTACTTCTGATCACCTCGGGTTTGGGCACTACGTCTCGTTTAGCAGTTACGCCATCGGTCGCGGCGACAACGATGATTTCGCCTTCGTTTGAAGGCGCTAACGAGGGGGCCACATCGGCGTCGCCGGACGGATACTCCTCTCAAAACTTGCTCGTGTGTCGCAGCTGAGTTCTGTACAATTCAATTTGTACCTTTTCCTTCATCGCAGGGGTGAATTAGATGTTCCATTGATCCAGAGCACCAGCGGTGACGATCACCATTCTGAGAGAGGAAACTTCTACGGTTCTAACAAGGGCTGCTAGATTACACAGGCCATGCTTACGTTTGCAGGTTTCGGGTTCATTCCGGAGCGACATTACCCCTGGGCGCGCCTCCGCCAATCTCGCTGATGCCTTGCGCATCCTGGCTCGCAGCGCCGACACCGCTTTCGGCCCCCGTGTTTCTACCGAGACTGTCGAGCATCTTGTCTGGTCCGCGATTGGCGGATGAGACGTTGTTGTTCTGCTCGTTGGTCGGATGAGGCGCAGAGCTCGCTTGCGATGTCCGTACGATATCCAAGAGGTTCGGAGTGCATTTGTGTATCTCTTTGTTTCGTTCACCTTACATCAACCTCTTTCCTCACCGGGGGTCTACGCGCTCTAATCCTGGTCATCGGGCATACCGATGCCTGTGTTTTTGTCCGACTTGCTGCCCAACAAAATGACATCGCCCTCTCTGATGGCCTGCGCTCGCTCACGCACAAAGTCTGCCGCGCCGCCCAGCTTGATGCCCAGCTGCTCGGCGCCAAACAGGCCATGCGAGGCCTTGTTGGGGCCACCACTGGAATCAGGACCATGGCGTGACACGTGGTAATTATTCTGCGACCCAGCCTGCGTAAAATGGTAAAAGAAATGAAGCACGAAGGAAGCGAGCAAGCTGGCATCCGCGCCTCTGAACTCGGACCTGACTTGCCCCGTCCAAGCCGGAACTCGCGATTGATGACGGAGATGCCTCTGCGCGCATGATGTTCACGGTGTAGGTGTCGCTCAAAGGTTGAAAGTAGTCTGAGAGGACAGAGCTGAAATCTGGGTGCTCCATAACAAGCCAAAGAGACTAGAAAGAAAGTCTAGGTCACGATCACCTTATATATGGTGCCCCCGAGGAGCTGCTGTGCTTTGAAAGACGAGATTCTGCACCACCGAGACGCAGCGTGATGTATCTAATTGTGATGCATGGGTCATGGTGCCATCTCTTGGCAGGAGCCGAAAAAGGGGTGCAGCTCAGTCGACAGCATGAGGTGCCGGAAAAGAAGAGCAGGGGTGTGAAGAGATCGCTGGCCGTTATTGGAACTTGGACGACCTTGGTCTCGCGCTCCGCCCTTCCCGCCTCCGGAGGTCCGAGTGATGACGTTTTCTGTTCTGTTCGTTCTTTGGTCATCATTGGTCAACCGCTTTTGTGTGGTTGAGAGGGAGTGGATGATAGACGGCTCACGGCAGGGTGCAAACGACCATAACTGCTGGGAGAAGAAGAGGTGTCCTTGACCTGGACCTTCAGCAGCAGCTGGTGGCGGAGATGGGTCGGGCCAACGTTCAAATGTGGACCTAGGGCGACCTGTTATTCAGTGGCACTGATCATCCAAAATGGAAGCGCTGCGACCTTTGAGAGGAAGAAGCTCGATGCTCGAAGGTCGAAAGGTGAGATGCTTACTGTCCCATATCTGACTAACAGCTGGTGTTCCCGAATGTTCTTGTTTTCGGATGACCTTTGCCCCTTCTACGAAAGGCTGCCAATCATTCGACGACTTCACCTCGACTGTCCTCGATCTCTTCCCAGCAATTTGCCCACACCCCGGCTGCTGCAATCGCACAAATCACGATGCTCGCTGGGCTGTCCACGGCGCTTGACGCACTGCGGGTGCTGATGCCAATGCTATTATTGTACCAACACCAGTCGAAGGTCTTTATTGACCTGTGTTCGCTTCGAGAGCGGATGTCTATGCTACATCAAAAACTTGCTGGTGGGAATTTGTGCTTAGTGATGAGTTCTCTAAAAGGCAATGTGCTCCGAGCTGTATGCAAAGTGGTTGCGTTCGCTGTCTATTATTGATCACGCTGATGTGATGCTGATAGACGGATGTCGTTCTCAAATGTGTCCGTATGGGTCTCTCTGGCCCCTCGCTTGCTTCCAATGACTTCCGGTATCTTCATCTTCCGGGAGTCCTTGGTACTGTCCTTCGTACTCTGCAGAGAGAGGTTCCGCCATGCCGACGTTTTCTCCTTCCTCCTGCTGAAAGCCAGTATATGATGTGGACAAACGACGCATGATGTGGCCCCACGCTGTGGCTTCGAAGTGACTGAGAGCGCTGTTACCCTGCGCAGAGTCGCTAGTCTCATCGAGATCCCTGCTTGGTGGAGCTAACGAACCAGCGTCTGCAGATGGCAAACCATTCCATCTGGGCGATGAACCTCGTGGCGACAGATACCCTGCTGGCCCCGCGCCGTTATCGCTAGCGCTTGTCGGTTCCATCGGCGATAGCGAGCTGTCTCCGTGCTGCAGGTCTTGCGTTGCAATACCCAGGTGCTGCGGACCACTGTTGCCGTCGTCAAAGCCAGCCGGGGCCCCGAACCGATTAGTGAGCAAGACGTTCGGCAAAGGCGCAGATGGGTGCAGCTGTCCTTGCTTCTCTGCTTGATGCGCTAAGAACCTGCGCCGGAGGTAGACCATCTTCAAAACGCCACGTACCCGCTCCAAGCTGATCTGATTCTCCACCTGCTCCACAACCGCGCGGCGCTCAATCAAGTCCTTCACTTCAAGTGCATGCACCTCGTTGATCAGCTTGTAGCTGGACAAAATGAGGAGCATCTTAGTGAAGGAGACACCTTTACCCCGATCATCTGCCAGCAGTGCCTCGTGGTAAAGCCGATTCAATCGAGCTCTGCGCCTTCGAATTTCCACCACATCCAACTTGTCTATAGCGTGGTTGAGATCCTCCACCATGAAGGGGGGTATATCACAGTGGCGTCTCATGTCACGTTGCGTGCGCAGAAACGCGCTGCCGTCGCCTGCCGCACGCGGGTTGTCGAAGCCAGGAAATGCGGCCGACATGAGTTGTTGCAAGCTGCACTCGCCTTGGTATATCCGCACCTCAAATGCGCCAGATAGGCGCGCCAAGAATGGTCCAATCTGGTTTCGCGTGATGTAGCCAGAGCGGTGAACATCGTACTCTGCCCACAGCGCTTTGAAGTCGCGGATCTGTTGCCGTGTTAGGAGGGGCTTTCCGCCAAGCTGAAAGACGTACGAAAAATTCTCGACGACAGTACCAGTAAACACTGTGGAGTGGGTGTGTGGCAATGGGTAAGTGGAAGTCGAGGGCAGGGATATCCATACGCTAGCTCACTGTTCAGGAAGATGTACATCGAAATGATGTTCCAGGAGATGAAAAGAAAGTACGCCCATGTCGAGCTGCCGCAGTCGGAGAAAAGGTAGTTACTGTTGGGCATACAGTGCGGCGGATCGAGGGCATAGTCATGCATGTACTGGTTCCAATTCTCGCCTGTCGTCATTCTTGCCAGGAACACGAAAGATGCCCAGAAGGTGGAGAAGCTTTGAGCGTACGTCTCATTTGGGCCCCAACGTGTCAAGCCGAAAACTTCGAGTAGAAGGATGGCCCAGACGAGAAAGAGTACCACCCAAAGTGCGAAAAGAGACAAGATTGCCTGCACGACGGAACATGTCAGAGCTGGCTCGCCGCATGTCCTTGATCGGTGGAGCGACTCACCGGAAGACTGGCGATTGCAGTCTTGAACAGCTGATTGAGGCTGTCGAACTTCTGCACCAGCTTGAAGCAGCTGGCTGTCAGGAATACCTTTTGCGCATCTTTCATGCCTACGTTACCACTGCCAGCGAGCAGCGGTAATGTGGTGATCACAATACCAGTAATGATGACGACGTCATATGTACTCCACCACGTTGCGAAGAAGTTGCGTGGACCCAAGCCTACGAGGCGCACAAAGACATCAACAGTGTAGCAGAACGCGAGCACGAGATAGATAGAGGCTGGTGAAAATCAAAGTGTATTAGAATGAGGGGCGCGTCGCACGGCTGCAAGCAGATGGCTCACACTTGATGACGTCGGCAAGGCCAGTATCGTCGTAGGTCGAAGTCATCAAAAGGATTGCATTGACAATGTAAAGCAGGGTGAAAGATCTTGACCACCAGCCACTCTTGTGTATACTCCGCTTGTAGCACCACAAGCGAAATGCGTCCGTCGGAGGGCTCCTCGGCCGATGCGAAGGCCGTTGCCTGAAGATGAGCCGCTTCAAATCAATCCATTGGCGCTGCTCTGTTGTCAAGAACGCAGCGCCAGAGAATGTCCGGAAGTTTTCGATGATCACGCTGACGAAAAGTGTCAGGACAATGACGGCACCGATGAGGTTATAGATGACGAAGAAGATTGCATTGACCTGGCGGTTGTCGTGTTGCAGCTGCTGATCTTTCCCTGCAATTGACATTGCAGTTGACATGACATTGGTCCAACCTGTATAATTTGACAGTTTAACACACGAAAAACCACGATAATCAACTCGGGTGAAGGCCACTCACCTTCCAAGCTAACAATCTCGAAGAGAATCAGAAGAGACGACTTGAAGTCATCAAACGAGTAGCGTGATCCTTCTGTTGGGTTTTGCCAGACTCTTGGCGCATAGAAGGTCCAGTCGCCAATTGGGCTGGATTGAAACTCCCCAGAGCAGTCGAGTTTGGTAGCGATTCCGGCACCCCCGTCATTGCACGAGTACAGAAGTCCTGCAAATAGGTTCTGCCCCCAAACTGCATAAGGAATGATATAAAGGATGGCGAGCACTGCTGCATCAATCATCCTTAGCAAGCCGCTTTGGAACATGATCTGAAAGGTTTGACGCATCACAGCGGACAAATTGATGAGGCGTAGCGCACGGACCGCACGCGAAGCTCTTGCCAAACGGCTCTCTCCGGCGAATATGTTGACGAACATTGCGAGAAGGACAAACAAGTCCAGCAAATTCCAGCCGCTGAGGAGATAGGCGTTAGGCGTGAAAATGAAACCGTCCGCGACGACTTTGATCAGAAGCTCAATCAAGATGAGCGTGGCCAGCAGAGCATCCGCAAGAACGAACCACGAAAAGTAGCTGCTATTCGAGTACTGTATGTCGTACCACTTCCGGTATGCCGGTGTGGCAAAACCAGCGATCGCGATAGATGCAATGATGGAGGCAAGGAGCAGCGCTTGATAGACGCGAAATCGCAACGGCGCCACAGGCCTGCCAAAGAGCCTCTCCCCATGGCTCGAAGGAACGATCGACTGGCAAAAGCGTCGAACCGGCGATGCGTTAGAAAAGATGAAGAGGGACTTGTCATAGCTTGGATACTTGGCTAAGAAGCGTGCCATAAGCATCCGCGGGTCATTGGTGACCCGGGCAGCATACTCTGCATCGATATCGGCTTGTGATGGACCTTGCACCCTATGGAGGCCGAGCTCGCCACGCGTCCGGAGCATCCGCCCATGGCGGTCGATACGTTGGAATTGCGCGGATTGTCCGGGCAGATCACTGAAGTCCATGTCCAGAACCGATTGTGGCCGCCCGCTTGTGCCAAGCATATCAGCAGCACTGAATGAGCTGCGGCTCCGCCGGCCTTGTACCAAGTTGAGGTTAATGACGTCGGAACGTTGCTCCAGGCCAAAGTGCTTCCGAGCAACGCGTGCGAAAAAAGAAGCCGTGGTGGAAAACTTGGCGAAGGTTTGGCCGCCAAAGGTTGGTTGGCTAGCGCCATTTGAAGCGTCGGAGTACCCAGGCTGAGGCCCTCTAGCACGAAGTTCAGCTTCGAATGCCTCCCAGCGACGCCCATAGGGACTGAGTTTCTTGAATATCTTCTGGCGAAAGCCCTCCTTCGGCGCTTCGTGGCGTTGTAGGTACGCTTCAAGCTGCTTCTGGCGTTTTTCACTTTCTGCAACCGTGAAATTTTCGTTGATGACAGCAATGAACATTTGGAGCATAATGACTGGTAGACAAATGACCATTCAACCCTCGGTTCACAACTAAGATACGGAAACGGCTCACAGTTCGAGAAAAAGAACCAGCCGCACAAGAAAATGCCGGCAAGGACCGCCTGATGGAACTGTTCTTCGCTTGACAGAACGCTCCATAAGACAGTGGTCCAATTCTCGGATGAAAATATCTGCATCCAACATATGGTGTCAGCACGAGGTTCTAGCGACATCTGTCTAAAGACTCACTTGGTACATGGCCAGAAAGCCATTGTACGTCTGCTTGAAGGTCATCTCAATCGCTTCACCATCTGGCTCTGGCTGAATGTCTCCACGAAATAATTGCATGGCAATGAGACATGCAAGGCCCACCATCAGACCCAAGAAAAGGATCATGTTGAGGAGCCCAGCGACGGAGCCAAGCACTGCCTTCAGCAGATTGCCCATTCGCGGCACCGCCAAAATCACACGGTAGAACCTAGCGAGAGAAAAGATGGTGAGCCAAGGGTAGACTGGCGAGAGCTTGACAGCTGGAATCTGCGCGATCGATGCAAGGACTGCCAAAGCAAGATCGAACGAGTTCCGCCCGCGTTGAAAGAAGGGACGCCAGCCGCCATCGAGCAGGGGAACGCTGAAACGAAAGAGCATCTCGACATCAAACGCGATGGCGAACCACAAATCTCGATCGACTGTGAGAACATCTCGTCAGATCACAGCCAGATGCCTTCGTATTGAGAACAACTCACCGACGCTGACCTGCTCCGCATCGGTCCAGTCGGTGGAGCCTTGCAGCGCAACATCTACGACAATGAGCAGAACCCAGAACCACCTGGAGTGCCACACGACCTTGGCCCAAATATGGGCTACATGCCTAGCTCGTCTCAAATGGGTGCTTCCCTCCGTATGCGGGACAATATGCTTCTCATACCCAACATTCTCGGCAGCAAAGGCGGAGCGATTGGTTTGGGATGTGATCGACGCGAATGTGTTGGTGATGACTGCGACGAATAAGTTGGCCATCCAAAAGTTGGTGACGATCAGGCCGATAATGAAAAAGATAGAAGCGGCAGAGTAGTTTGCATCTACCATGTCGTACAGTGTCTGTGACCATCCATTGGAGGAGATGATGATGAAGGCTTGCAGAAGGGATTGGAAGATGTTATCGAACCCTTGGGTGCCAGCCTGAGGGTCGCTACCCTCAATACATGCTTGACCGAGAGGGCATTGGTAGCCTTTTGCTTGTGTCGACAGCATAGATCCGTCAGGTCGCACATGGCCATACACCTGTCCGCTGAAGGGATCCGTGTATGATCCACAGATCTGGCTCAGTGTCTGGTTTCCGTCAGTTGGCAGCGTGTTGTTGTTCCACTCAACGATCCACATGCAGGATCGGCGATAACTGCCTTTGAAAGCCTGCGTGCCGATGATGGAGAAAAGCAGAAGTGAAAAGACAGTGAAGAAGGAGACATTGACCAAGAGCGGTCCGGCCTGTTTGAGGGAGGCGAGGATGGTGGCGGTCCCGCTCGTAATTGCAAGCAACCGCGCGCATCGAAGCACGGAGATGGCGCGAAAAACGAAGATGTGGTAGTTCGGCGTGATTTCATGATGAACTTGGGCGAGCCAGAAGCACGCCCAGTAGGCGACTACGGCGACCATATCAATGCGATTCCAAGAGTGGCGCAAGTACGCATAGTAAGGTGCTTGGGATCGCTGGATCACAATAGCTTCAGCAAATGGTAGCACACGTTGACGCCGCATCATAAAGTCGTCCGCGGTGGTCTGCCTGAAAGGTTGTGAAAGCGTGCTTTGCATGCTTGTGGAGCCGTATGTTGCCTCTCGTTGAGGATGAGAAAGTGTGGCCGCTCGCTCCTGTGATTTCACTTCTACATCTGAGGCGGTCGAAGCTGCAGGCGCATAATCGAAAGGGCGGCCAGTGAAGGTGTTGCGATTTGGACTGATCTGGGTTTGCCTAGAAGTGTCGAATGCATCTGGTTTGAGCGCTTTCTGCGCAGAACGTTTGAGGGTATCGCCAAAGTATGCAAGCGACTCCAATGTGTTGCTTTGAGAGCCCTCGCGCCTGTGGTGTCCGGATGCAGCCTTTTCTCGGAGCAAGTGAGACGGCAGTGAGGCGCTATCTCCATGAGTAGCCTTGTCGTCTACCGAGTGAAGTACCTCCGGCAGCGAAGGCGGATTGATGATCAGACCCGACACGATAATCTTTGCCATAATCTCAATCCTGTAGAGTGGTCCAGCGTGTTTAGCTAGATATCAAGGATCGAAGGCAATGACACACGTACGTAAAAATGCAGAAGATAGCAAGCAAGGCATAATCCTCCCAGTGGTCGAAATAGCCAGGCGATCTCGGGCGAACGGCGACATCGCGAGCAGATTGAATGATGAGCACGACCGCGTTGAAGGCAATCATGGCAAGGATGAGGGGTTCAATCCACCAATGAGAGAGCAGTCTGGCCATGCTGATCCGCACAGGGTTTGTCGACGAAAAGACACCCAAGCTCTTTCCCCTGAGCAAGCTCGTATTGAGTTTGACACGTGCTGGTGGGTTGGCAGACCTGTCTTGTTCCCTGCGCACACCATCGCCATCCACATGGTACGCCGGGCCCGCATCTTCGTAGTAATCATCCTCATCTTCTGTATCTTCGTTGCCCAGCGGCTGATGCTGGTGGGTGGGGCTGAAAGCTTCTTGACTGCTGTTGGCAACCCGTCGCGATATACGCTTGACGGACTTGCTCAACTTCACCAAACCTTGTCTGGCATTGAAGAAAGTCAGGTTCTCCCCGCGCACATAAGCGAGCACTTCTGTACTGTTCCGTTGCTGCTGCGGTAGTTCGCTGCCCTCGACATCATCCGGATGCAACTCTGATGTGCCGCCATCTCCCAAATAGCCTGTTACCGTTTCTGAGTGTCCGCGGGTGAGAGGCGGCGGATACGCGTAAGTATGGTTGCGAGACATTGAAGACGTCTGCGCGTACATCTTTCCAGCTGCAATCGATGCGTCATCTTCCGGAGCATAGTCTGGTCCTTCAACATCATCCCACCCATTGGCACCTTGCCCCATGACCTCCGGCGAAGGATGCGATAACGTGTCCAAGCCGTAGAGGGAAGCAGTCCGAACGAAGCCCGCTTCGTTCGGTTGTGGTTCCGCAAAAGTAGGTATAGGAAGAACTCCTTCACGTGCAGTACCAAGGAACTGTGCATCTGAGCTGCCCTGTCTCCAGTAAGAAGATTGAACACGTCCTGCACCTGCCGCTGGCACATCCAGCCCCTTGGCAATTCCGCTTGTATCGGTTCGTCCGATTTCTTTCTGCTCGCCAGATAGTTCAAAGCTGGACCTTGCTGGTGGTGCGAACACCGATCTCCCCGAAGGCAATTCCTCAAATTGCTGATTGACGAACGTACTTGGCACTCCCGAATTACCTTGCCTTGGTGTTCCTGGCGTAGAATGTTCCATTCCCAGCTTGGGCGAGTTCGCTTGGCTTGCAGCTGCCAATGGCATTAAAACGGCGTCTGCTTTCTGCGGAGAATCAATGGAGCTCAATCTGTGCGCGCGGCTTGCCGAGGCTGAGGCAGACGCCTGCGATTGAACGCCCAATGGCCGCGAGACGTTGGAAGGAGAGCCGAGGTGTCCGTTATAGTATGAGCTAATCCCTATGGATCCCAGGTCAGAATTAGCAGATGGAAAGGAAGATTCTGCGCTCGACGTGACTGAAATGTGTCGCCCATGCTGCTGCGCAGAGTCCTGAACAGATCCCTCGTTTTGCCGCGACCACTCCCTCGCCGGGGACCGAGGCTCCATCTTGGCTGGGAATGAGTGACAAGCCATGCATCTAATCCATCAGTGCTCAGACACTTGTCTAGCAAGGTATCTCTTCAAGCAGGCCCTTGCTTCTCTGTGAGGCTGCAAGTTGCACCACGGCATGCATTCGTTGAGCACAGCTTGCGTTTGTCTAGTGAACTTAGCTGTAGGAATGAGAGTTGCAAGTCCAAGGCACCGAGTTATCGCCAGTGCACTCAACTCATTTTTTGGATTGGCTGCGCCCACACTCTGAATCTCGGGCATAGCCGGTGCCATTCAAAGACATCCTCACCACAATAGACTGTTCGACAACTCCAATTGTTGGAATTGTCTTGAAAACAGGCATTGACTGGCGTGGATTCATCAATGCTGCGCATGGCTGTTGTGAATAATTGACGAAGTCGCCCGCTACCATCACCAGATCTTCAGCTTGGGAGGCACTGCAGGCCTGCAACGTGCGCCATGCTGAATGGGCAGAAAGCAATTGGATCCTGCTGTTGACATCGCTCGTGTCCCTGACTAACACCGGAACGCGATGTGTGCAAGATGGACTCGGCCACCAGTTCGGACGCGGAGCCATTCTGTCTCATCTGCTTGGGACTGATAGTCGACAGGACGATCCTCCCTTCCTGCTCCCATGGCCAATTTTGCTTCAACTGCATACACAAATGGGCTGCTTTGCGGCGAACAGTGAGTGGTGGCTAGTGCAGCGCTTCTTTCTCTTGACGAGGACCTTGTGTAGAGACTGATCAGTATGCTCCGTACAGTGTCCGCTTTGCAATGCCCCGATGGGTCCGTTCCTCATCCATGACATACACGGCAAGCACGACTACTCAAGATTCTACCTGCGACCAGCACCTGAGACGACCGTCGACGAGTACTTTCGACACCTGTTGGCAAGCACGCCATCTTCGTCACGCCAGCCAGCTTTGTCCGAGTCGACACAGCGCAGCCGCAAAGGCCACCGTGGGAATTACCAGTGCAGAGACGGTCGCGCATTCTGCTCCCCACCTATATCCGAAGCAACACTCGCCGAAGCAGGGTTTCAACGGGTGGACGAGGAAGTAGCGTTCAGGCGGCGCATCTACCGTTGTGAAGCGTATGCAAAGCATGTGGGCTGCAATCGCTATTCGCGCTATTCAGCTCCTCTCAAACCTGACCAAATAGCCAAGGATACCGATGCGCAACATCGAGCGACAGTGTTTATTCGGCGGGAACTTCGTGTGTGGCCGAACCTTGATATCGAATTTCTTACATCCTATTGCGTGCAGATTCTCAAAAGCATCGACTTGCAATCCGATACTGCGCTTCGCCTACTTGGCGATTTTTTGGGCGACGAAGTGGCACATCATTTCGTACATGAAGTCATACATTTCCTCAGGAGTCCCTTCAGAACGCCACAGGAGTGGGATCGGACTGTGCAACATGCTCCGCCCTTGATCGAACCTCATCGCGATGGCAACAGACGACGGCACGACGAAGAAGCAGACCGCAGGTGCGACAATACCATGCACGGACGCACAGGCAAGCGAAACAGTGACGGTAATATAGAACGGGACTACCCAACGCGGCCATTCTCGGATCAGGAGCCATCGCGAGACTTTGGTTCCAATCACGACGCGGCGCAGCCACCGTCGACAAGGAATTCGTGTGAGACCGACGTTCTGTCAGCAATGGCAGAGCAGCCGACTTCGTTCCTTTCGAAAGCATCACCTTCATTGTCACGTTTGCCTTCTACTGAGCGCAATCGGATCCTTGCCCAGCGCCAAGAAGTGAGTCAGCGACGCGCGAAGCATCTAGCCCGGCTCGAGCGAGAAAAGCAGCAAGTGGTTGCCACCCCCCCACTTCAAGCGCCGAACACAGCGGTACCAGTCACGCATACAGTCAGCATAGAGTCTGCTGCTCCATATGAGTTCACCTTCCCGCAGCGGATCCCATCATTAGAAGCAGAAAGGGCAAAACGAGAAGAAGAGCTCCGTGGGAAGCTGAAGAAGAAGAAAGAGGAGAGGCACGAAGTGGACATGTGCAGGAGAGCTAGGGAAGCGAGGCTGAAGTGCCTACTATTGACCCAGCGACGGAAGGAGGGAGAGCTACTCAACGCAACTGGCGAACGACATTTGCGAGATGTCATGAGCACAATGAAAGGCGAACTTGTAGACTAGGATTTCCTTATTGTAACGCATGTACTGAGCATGGCAGGCGTTGCAAAGACCTACGTGGTCATTCGCTCGGACGGAGAATCTTGCAAATGATGCCCGGTATGCCGTTTAGTACATGTCCAGGTACATAACAGAGAAAAGCGCTTGCTGCGTCTCGCGCTTTGAGCTCACTGCTATGTATACGGAATCTGTGCCCAGCGGAGGCTATCTGTGAGCACCTGATTGCAGACCAGTCGCTATTGATCACACTGTTGCTGAATGTGGCTTGTCCCCTCATCAGCGCATCGGCAGATGGGTTTGAAAGGTGCAATGACGACGGGTTGAAACACTGAATACGGGGCGAACATGAATCGTGTAGACGATGGACATAGAGAGAGTGATGTGGATGACATTGTCAACTTGCTTGGAAGCTGTGGGATCTGCTGTGATACATTGGAGGATTTCGCCGGAGAGAACTGAAATTGACTTGCACTACATTTACCTGAAAACCATGGCCTCCGCCACGGGATGGGCCACTAGAGCCTCCACTGCTGGGCAGTTCGCAGTGCGCACATATGTACGTACAAGTACATGATGCTCGTGACGGGTGGCCACTTCGGTCCCGCGGACCTGCGGCAACCTGCGATGTCCGTAATTTGAAAAAACGACTGCGGAGGCCCGGAACGCTGGACTCGAACAAGCTTTAGCCTGGAGTCATGGACTGTCGAGCCCCGCTGACTGCTGGATTGCCTTTGGCTGGTCGGGAGGGGTGTCGATTCGTGTAAAAATCTGCAGTCCACCAGAGCCTACTCATCGCGGGGAAACAACTGCAAGCACAGCGACGTGGGGCTGTAAAATACTCTTCAAATTTTTCTGCTTAGTCCAAGCACTTGGGTCTCATGCAGGCTAATACCATATATTCTAACCGGGAATGGGGGTGGAATGGCATGCGGCCTGCTTCAAGGTGCCCATGCGCACTTCAGACTTGTAATGCCCACTCCCTTGCTGTTGCAAGCCCACTTACATAACCAATGCCCAAGTCATGGGCCAAGGACGATGGTCTCAATTGAACAATCTGGAGTTTGGCGGCTGGCCATGTGGTGGTCACTGTTATGACTTGATGAACTCTGCCTGGTCCATGCAGACTGTGAGATCGTGAGGCGTGAGGCGTGATATGTGAGACATTCTGGGAGAGTGTAGGAATAGCATCCAAAATTGGGTTGGTGCCTCGTTCCTATCTTGGAAGTCAAGAAATGGGCACAGACCTCGAAAAGATCTCATGGAATCCGATCGCTGAGCATGTAAGCAGCTCCGTGCATGCACGCGCCTACAAAATACAAAGTGAAAATACTTAAAAGATCCCGGACGCAGGACAAGTCAGCGACTTGTCCAGTGCTGCTTGCCCCCCACCACCTGAATACTTCCCCGAAACTCGTGAATGTTTTTTTGCCCAAATTTTGGTCGATTGCGCTGAAGCCCCAAAGGTGTCGGGCTTCCGAGCGCTCTCCACTCTCCACCAACAACACTCGCAGGAGAGATCCATCCGCATTTCCCCATCCTCAGATGCTCAACGACGTCGGCACCTCACCTAATCCACTTCCTGACCCCTATCGAATTTGGTAGAAAGCATATGTTTGGTCAACTCTTTCCTCCTCATTCTCTCACCGCCCTCTCTACAGCTTTCTCTCATACCCATCCTCCCTCGTTTCGCTCTCTCCGCTCACGTCTCAAAGTCATCGACTTGGCAGCCCAGTCGTAATCGTCCAAGCAGCACCGAGTCTAATTCCTACCCCCATTACCGCTACTCGGCGACGGCCTGCAGCTCGCAAGCGGTTCAAATCCCCTTACTTCCAATTGATCAACGAACAGACATCTGGTTCGGATTATTCATTTAAAGGCGCCCTACTTGTTTCTCCTTCCATCGAATCCATCCGCTACTATGTCATATGCTGACCGCTCTCAAACACCTGAGCCAGGGCTGTACCCCCACAGCCCGGGCAGCGCCACGCCCCAATACCGATACAGCACGGCGGCTGACAGCTATAGTCCAAGTGACGCTGAGAACGAGAAACTCTTCGGTGGAGCAGCTGCAGCAGGAGGCGCCAAAAGACCAGTCAGCACCCTCATGCAGCAACTCAACCTCGACGACTCGGCGCAGCCGGGGTACATCCCTGTCGCGACAGGCACTCCAACCGCACCCAACTTTTCTATCTCCGAGGACAAGTCATCAAGCGAAATGTACGAGCAGGGACGCGGTAGGTTTAGCGAGTCATATCCCTACGTGAGTTTCATTGTTTACGATGGGGAAGATCGTTGTCCATAGTTCGGGACAAACATTGGCTGACTCATCGATTTCGCTGCTTGCAGGCCCAACAACAATACCGGGACGCACCAACGCAGGACAGTGGATATGGCGTGCTGGAACAATCTTCATCTTCACCAAAAGCCGGCGCTGGGCGGAGCGGCTTCGCAGGCTTCATTAGGCGTAAGCCAGTTTTTCTTTCGCTTATCGCCCTGCTCATTCTCGCTGCCGCCGGTGTAGGTCTTGGTGTTGGCTTGACGAAAGGCCTGGCCAATAAGAAGGCAACAACTGGCGTGACCGGCCTTGCAGACTCGGATGGCAAGACCAGCCCAGGGGGCAGCAGCGGCAGCGGCCACAACGGCGGGAGCAGCGGCAGCACTGCACCCAAGTTGGACAGCTCAGGCAATGACCCTTCCAATATCAAGCCCTTTGCCCCCTGGAACTACTCAGATCCACAGGCCAAAGTAATTGGCGTTTCACTTGGAGGCTGGCTTGTGCTCGAGCGATGGATGTATGAGGACTGGTTCACGGCGAATGCTGGCAACGACGCACTGGACGAGTGGTCGTTTGTGGCAAATACTGGCAAGAATGCGGCTAATCTGCTCGAACAGCACTGGAGCACCTGGGTCAACGAGTCAGATTTCGACACGCTTCTTAGCGTCGGCGTCAACCACATTCGCATCCCGCTCGGCTTCTGGACTATGATCCCGACCACGGGTGGGGAGCCGTACATCAACACGACCCAGCTTGATCATCTCGAGCAGGTGCTGGGCTGGATGTACAAGCGCAACATGCGTGCGCTAATCGACATGCACGCCATGCCGGGCTCGCAGAATGGAGATCAAAGCAGCGGTCACGTCTCCACCCCGGGATGGTTCTCGCAGGACAACCAGGCCCGCTCGGACACCGTCATCGATAATTTGATTAGCTGGGTGAATGCTAGCCCATACAAGAGCGTCGTTTCTTCCATCGCCCCCGTTAACGAGCCCTGCGGACCCGGACAAGCGACTTCGGACAGGCTCAGTACGTACCAATCATTCTTGGGGCGGACGTACCCTAAGATCAAGAAAGCTGGCTTCGCGACGTGGTTCCACCACGGCTTTGTGCAGAACCCCTCTTCCTACTGGAATGAATATGCTTCGACGCTTGACCCGGCATGGGCCGTCATCAACGACAATCCTTACCCTGGATACTTCCCCGCCGTCAACGACCAGAGCACTATCAACAACAGGGTCTGCAACAACATACAAGGCTGGGCATCCTTCCCTATTCCCGCAGTCATGACCGAATGGTCGCTAGCTAGCGGGATCCACGACGCCGACTGGAATCGGCAATACTTTGCCACGCAGGCCAGTGGCTACGCTTGGTCGGCCGGCTCGATCTTCTGGAACCTGCGCATGCAGAACAGCAGCAACCCAGTGCAGGCTGCACCCTCGGCTGTGCAGTACCAGTACTCGATGATTGACCTGATCAACAACGGCATCATTCCCAAGATCAACCAAGGCCAAAGTGCGCTAGACTACCTCCGCGCGCTGCCTAACCCGGCGTGCGGCTCGATCAAGCTGAGCAAATGGTGAGCTTTCTGAAAGCGAAGAGAAAAAGGGAAACGTCTGGCACGCCTCCTTGGCGATTAGACCCGGCCCATCACGTCAGCTTTGTCGAGCTTTCCCCGAGTTCCTTCTATTGGTACACAAGCATACATGCAATAAAACGGAAAGCCAGCACGCGCATCGAACGGTCATGAGCAAGCATCGCATCACTCACTCAGCACATTCTGCGGACCCCACTTCTGGACAGATCCACATATCTCGCCGTCCCACGTCATCTCGGTGAGCAGGAGTTTGAGGATTGCTCCTGACCAGCCGCAAAACACATCCATCACATTCGCAGCCGCCTTGCTACATACACCCTTTACGCCGTGGGATTCGGCGCCCTGGCGCCCCTGACTCGACCTGAATACCTTCCCAAAATTACCGACACCTTGTAACTAAGCGGATTAGCATCAGGCCGCACTCGCAAACTCGCCATCAGTCGCATTTCCTACGATTTCGCCTGGTGGCCCGATAGTTGATTGTCTACCAGACCGCACCGGTTCTCTCTCTCTCATTCTTTCCCCTCACGCACGCTCCTGGGATTGTAGCTGTACTTTTATCTCAAGATGCAATCTCCTAGCAGAATATCGTTTGGCGACCAAAGTCCATCGTGACTATATGGTGACTCGTGACTCGTGGTGAGTTGCGGACTCGTGAGCGCGTAAACATCGTTGTCATCTCGTCGCTCCAGGAACTAGGTCATATCGGCCAGCGCACAGCTGCACAAGGCTGCCTATGTCGGGAAGCCAGCTGAGGGCGTGAGATAGTTTGGAGACAGAGCAAAGAGGCAGAGGTGAGACGGGGCTGCTGACTGGCTGACTCTCTCTTCAATTGACAAACGGGAGAAAGGGAGAGTCACCTTTTGCATTCTGGAGCCTGGTGTGCACTCTTTGCTGCTGTCTGGAGTCCTCTGGCGTCTTGAGAGATGTCCAAAAGGTCGGGAGACTGTTGTGGGAAGTGAGAATGCACTGTGGCGCGTGGCTTTTCTGCAAGTGGATTGTGGCGAATCTGCTCATACACACATACGCACTCACAGACTCTTGGCCGTTCGCAGAGACTGGCGCTGGTCACGTTATTCGACTGGAAGTCACAAGAATGAGTTGGAGTATCCTCGGCGTCTTGACACCATTCCCATCCATTCAACACCGTCTGATGCTGGCGCTGGAAGGCCAACAGCAGCAGCAGGCACGGCATCGCAACATGGCTAAATCTTTAACAGCGTGCCTACTGCGCAGAACTACAGTTCCTAATCATGTCGATTCTCTCCGAGGCTCGCCCATCGCCCCATCCTATTACATGAACAATTCAGCCGTGTCCGTCGCCCGTTGGACACTCTGGTCCTCTCTGCTCCTATTGGCATTTCTCTTCGATGGTCGCAGGTCAATGCATACCCGTCCCGAAGCTCGGGCACACTTCGCCTTCATAGCGTGACTCTGCGTTGGCTACTGGCTGCGAGAGCGTGACCATGGGCCGCTGATTGGATTCGGAGCGCGACTCAACACCATTAAGGTTGAAGCACTAAAGGCTCTTGTCAACTGACCAGCTCTTTCCTATAGCCTGAGCCATTTCCTCTCTGATAACCAAACGTATCGCCGCCGTGCCGTCTGGCTTACTGCCCAACAAAGCTCACCCTTTCATCCCCCCCTCCTGGCCATAAATGTGCTACCTGCATATCACGCGTTAGCTGCACCTCGAGGCTCCCGCGTCTCCGCGACCGGCTTGACGTACCAAATAGGATCAAGCTGTATGCAAAGTTCGCAGTGCCGCTCGAGCTGCTTTTGCAACAACGGATTTGCGCGCCCAAGCGAGCCAAAGGCAAGAACTGCCGCAAAGGATTAGCTTGCACGTAAGGTACATGCTACAAGCGCGCATGTCTGGGCAGCAAAGATCAGTGCAATGCAGTTCCTTGCTCACAGAGTGCGCGGTGATCGTCTGGATACTATGGCCGGAGCGCGTGCAAGCCAAAGGGGGGCCTTCATGCGTCGTGCTACAAGGACGCAGGGGGTAAGAGCGGGACCTGCCAGAATTGCAAGTGCGCCACAGGATTGGCGATGTCGACGCCGACGCCAACTTCGAGCTCTGGAAGCCCCTTTGGGGCCCTATCCACCAGCGTAGCGGCTTCCATCGCTGGCGCCAGCCTGCCCGATGGTGCAACGCCAGACGGCGACTTCTCCACCGGCAGTTTCAGCGATTTGACACCAGTCGGCAGTGTGCAGTTCGTCACAGAAGTCGCTGCCATTTCTTACGCTCAATACAACATCAGCGCCATCCAGGGAGTCGGGATCAGCAAGGCAATCGACAGTCCTTCTCCACGTCGGCATCAAGCGCCGGACCCTTCCATGACGCAAGCGACGACAGCCACGTACCAGTACCAGGTCCAGTCTTTTTCCATCGAATCTGGCACACGCGGGAAGACATGCTACATCGGCTGGCAGCTCGACGACAACCTCAGTGGCAACGTGCCCATCACCGCCGTCGATGTCAGCTCCAGCTGGAATACGGGTAGCATCCGTGCAACATGCCGCTTCTCCCTGACCTGAGCAGCAACTGCCGGTTTTCGAACTGCGCCTACAGAGTCTCTGCCATCATCAACATCGCCAAGGTCGGGCCAGCGCAGGCCACCCGGGCGACCCTGACCCCGCCTTCGCTCGGGGTGGAGGAGATCCGGGCTTTGAAACGGGCTCGCTGACCAATTGGGGCGTCACGGGCGCAAGGAACGTGCACAGCAGCACGCACGCCGCCAAGATGACCGTCAACGCGGGATACGCCAACGCTGCGATCCTCGGCCAGTCCTTCAATGCAGCTGGCGCGGCGACGCGATCTGCAGACCATTCAGCCACGCCAAGCATCGACACTGAGCAGGGACATATCTCTCTAGTGGAAGATTAAAAGATTCATCTACTCGACACCTGGCGCCGAACATCGCTATTGCTATTGGCGCAGCGTTCCGGATAACACGCGGACGGCGTCAATGCGTTCGCGACAAGCAATCTGGCGGATGGGTGGAAGCAAGTACAAAACGCTCAACTTTCAGGTTCCCGCCTCGGAGGTTGCGAACCCACATCCTCAATTCGTTCGACGTGGAATTATGGTGCAACAGCGGTATCATTGCCGAGGTCATTCTGGATGACTTCAACGCTGTAACTTGTACAGCCCGTCATCGGAAAGGTGAAAAGAGACGTTACGCTTCGCTTCTGCAGCATATTTCCCATATAGTGAATGCGATGTATGCCAACATAGGTCCATTCGCTGCCTGTGGTAGAACCGCCAAAATAACGTTCACTTGATTTCTGCGTCGACAACCGATGTGATGCAAGCGTCTGTCGAAATGATCTGGATGTATGCAATGCGGATTATGAAAAGTACACGCAACATCTGGCTATGGCTGCATGCTTCATCAGCAAAGAGACAAGCAGCGAAAGCTCCACCGAGCGTTCACTTGTAGTAGTGAACCTCCTCGCGCTCGCGTCCCCTCATGTACGCAGGCTCGCTGCCAGGGTAGCTGTGAGGATAAAAAGATGATAGCAAGGTCAGTGTGAGATGATCGGGAGATCACGCAAATTCGGCAGGGCCACTCACTAGATGTCGTCCCACAGCGTCTTCTCCGCAGGCCAGTCGCTCTTTTTGGCCTCCTCGACAGCCTGGTCCACCTCTTCCTTGGCGGCCTTGTCAATCTTCTTGAGCGACGACTCGTCGATGACGCCCCACTCGAGGATCTTGGACTTGAGCCCCTGAATGGGATCCGAGGAGGAGCGCATAGCCTGGATCTCGTCACGTGTCCGGTAGGTAGTGCCCGGGTCCGAGAGCGAGTGGCCGCCATAGCGGTAGGTGACGAGTTCCATGACAAGCGGGCCCTTGTCGGAGAGCGTAAACTCGCTCGCGAACTTGGTTGCCGCCGCAACGGCGAGAACATCCATCGCGTTAACTTGCAGGCCAGGGATGACGTCGCCACGGGTGTAGTAGGAAGTGTTCATACTGCTGCGCTCGGCTGGCGTGCCCATACCGTATCTGCAGAACAATGGCAAGTAAGACTTTATACCCTTTTCAGCAGGGCCTTGTACACACTGCCAGCTCACTTGTTGTTCTCGCAAATGAAGACGCAGGGAAGGTTCCAAAGCTTGGCCATGTTGTACGCCTCGAAAACTTGACCCTGGTTGGAAGCACCGTCTCCATACATGGCGAAGACCGCGTTCTTGTCGCCGTTGTACTTTTGCGCAAAAGCAAGACCAGCTCCAACTGGGACTTGCGCACCGACGATACCATTGCCGCCAAAGAAAGTGGGCGTGAACATGTGCATCGATCCACCTTTACCCTTGCTAATGCCCGCTTCGCGACCGAAAAGCTCGGCAATGACAGACTTGATCGAACCGCCACGCATGACGGTGAAAGGGTGGCAGCGGTATGCTGTGATCAGCTTGTCTTCCGCCTTCATGGAGGCCTCCATGCCGATGGCAACGGCTTCCTGACCGATGGCCAAGTGACAAAACCCGCGAATGAGCTTTTGCTTGTATAGGCTGTCTGCAGCCATTTCCATCCTGCGCATCTTGACCATGCTCTCGTACATCCACACGAGCTTCTCCTTGGAAGTCTCGTACTCGAGTGCGGGGCCACCTCCGTACCCATCCAACCGGTACTCTTTGAAAGAGTCTGGGGAGAGCTGGACCTTGAATGCGTCTGACTGGGACTCTGGAATGCTGGACGGGTCGGCCGAGGAAGCATCCGCAGTGATGTGGACAGAGCGAGAAGACGCAATCGACGAGCGGAGAGACTGTGTGAGAAGCAATGGATGGGACGCATTAGCATGCGGCTAGAGGCGGTCTGTTATTGTAATGTGGCCAGTGTGATGAGCTTCCGACTGGTCCCCCCCCTCATCCCCACGCTGGTAAACACCCAAAGGACTGGAAGCTATTTCTTCGCGCTACGCAGATGAATGACCGATGTCCATCGAGTGAAGTGTATCATAGAAAGACGCAACTCACCATCGATGCTCTGCTCATTGCTGTCGCCCGTGCTGGGCGAAGCAGCGAGCGCAGCGAAGAAGCTGAAGCCATGGCGGAAGTCAGCAAGCTGCAGAAGAAGAGTGGCGAAGGGTGGATGAGGAAGCTGCAGAAACGAGAGAGCCAACCAGTGTGACTTCCAGCAGCACGGGCTCCTGCCAGGCTATCGATAACAAGGAACGTATCGCGGAGGGAGTGCAACTTCAGGCAAAGGGAGAAGCGCAAGCCAGATCCAAGATTGGCGGTCGAAAGGATGTCCTGTGCGAAGATGGTGGGGATGAGATCTCGCCCCAGCATGCTGCACATACAGCTGGCGCCCTTTTCTCGCGTGCAGTGCCGAAATTTCAGTTGGGAACCCACAGGCTGATTTTGGGATCCACAACGCGCACTTTCCGAGTCCCGAAGATGCGAGCGTTCCGCCCCCTTTTCGTTTCGTCGTCTTGACTTTTCTCCAGTTTTCTATTTTGTCCTCTTCTCCAAATGCTTCGTGTATAACTCAAAACCCTATCCCCCGACGGCGGGCCTGTGGTCGGATTAGCATGACAAGGTCATGTAGGAAGCCACTCCGCTACCGCACACAGGGCACGCATGGCAAGTGCATCGTCGGATCCAGTGCCTCTGTCACGGTGGGCTTATCCAAGGATTCCCTTGGAAGCCTCACCGCTGGATACGATGAAGTCATTGCCACGTGCGCTGGTGCGGTGGTCGTCTTTCTCAATACGGACAGGACGGCAAGAGCAGGCTTCATGGTGGAGAGAGCACTTTCATTTGCGTAGGAGAACACGAAAAGGATGATTACCCATTATAGAGTCAAGCACGGATCCATCCTCTTCATTGAGGATGATGCCGAGAGCTTCGAAAGAAGCAAAACTCCTCTGAACCAAATCTCCCTAACTTGGTCATCTTCAAGTCGATGACTCATATGTGCTGCGCTCTCTCCTGGCCTAGACTCCAGCTCCCATGTTAACCCTTGTAATCTTATAAGTTGAACATGTCTCCCTTCCAAAAAAATATATAAGCCCGTGCGCCCCAGATGTACCGTAGTAACCCAAAAAGCCACCCCAAGTTACAAAGCTACAATGTATGGTTACAGTCAATTTACTTCGCCCCCGTCAGTCTCACCTCGGCTGCTTGTCATGGACTGGAGGATAAGCGGGAGCCGCAGGCCTTGATGGCGGAAAGAAGATTGGAAGGAATCCTTGAGCGACAAATCCTCCTGATGATCCAACGCGGATCCGTTACTAATGCAATGATGCTTCTGAGCTGCTAAGCTTTGTTCTGCGCGGCGTTTGAATGTTCCATGCACAACACCGTGCTCCGGCTCTGCAGCATTGAAAGCAAAGAGCATCTCTCATCGGCAGGGGAAGCGCTGGATAGCACAGAGTGCTCTAGCGACAGACGTCCATCATGTCACAGCTCCTCCACCTCGGCATCTTCACGGGCGGTCTCGTGCTAGGTGTTGCTGCAGGGAGCGCAGTTGTTTCCAGGTCCGGCATATCTCAATCTAACAAATCGCAAGCCCACGCCCAAGCTACACCTGGGCAACCCGTGGTGGCTTCCGGGGGGTCTGCTTCTTCCCCGTCGCCGAGCGTTGTAGTCGACAGCGGAAGTAGCACGGGCGTGCTCCCGTACTTTAGCCGTGATATCCTCAAGCACAGCCAAGTTGTTCCCGGGCCGATCGCTGATCTGCTCGAGCACCAAGCGTACATTAGCGCATATGATCGCAGACTGCGACACCCATCGTGGACGGCCGAGCACTTGACGGCTGCTTCCCTCCTGGCCGCACCTGGACCACCTACCCCTGCGCAGATAGGCTCCGCCTCGTCCCAACAAACCTCACAGCCAGCTGCCCCCGGCAACCGCAAGTTTTCGGTATTCAAGGAGGATGAGCGCATCCCAGAGCTCTTCAGAGCCAAGCTCGCGGATTATTTCAGGAGCGGGTACGACCGAGGTCACATGGTACCCGCTTCCGATGCCAAGAGAAACCAGGTCGCAATGGACGAGTGAGTGTTTTTCAGCAGACATCATGAACATCTGGAATACATCAGCTCACATGCAGCAATCATATAGGACCTTCCTCTTGACAAATATCGCGCCGCAGGTTGGTAAAGGTTTCAATCGAGACTATTGGGCGGGAGCGGTGCGTCTCTCAGTGTGCAGTGCAAGCCTTATGCATGGCTCATCGTGCTAACACATACCACCTTGCTCAACTTGAATCACACAGGAAGAATTTGTCCGCAGTTTAACGAAGAAGTTCTCCGATATCTACGTCTTCACTATACCTTTGTACCTCCCGCAGCCAGATCCGACGAGGCCGGGGAAATGGCGGGTCACGTACGAGTAAGTTGGACTGCAGAGCCGACCACGTTTCTCCACATTGCATGCATCTGAGATCGGAGCGCATCTTCCCTTTTTACCTAGGGTCATCGGAAATCCGCCAAACGTTGCAGTGCCGACGCATTTCGCAAAGGTCGTCCTCGCTGTCAGTGGCCCGCAGAGTCTTCCATCGCCAAGCACCACGGCACCAGCGCCTGTGCCGGTCAGCGGCAGGAATAACGCGGCAGGAACCTCCTTCCTCGGCCTGCAACGCACAAACAGCTTCTCGCTCGCAGCATTCGTCATTCCGAACGCTGCGGTACCCAACCATGTGCCTTTGACTAGCTTCATCGTCCCTGTCGACTCCGTCGAGCGTTCCGCCGGCCTTAACCTGTTCCCGCCGGCGATTAAGTCCAGCGCGAAAGCGTTGTGTGATGTCGTCAAGTGTGATATTATCGTCCGTGACTTCTCGGATAGAAACGAGCAGATCGCCAGTGGCTCCTTTCCGAACCAAAAATACCCCCCGGGTAGCAGTAGCGCACCGCAACCCCTTCCAGCACGAACGTGATTGAGTTCATGTCACCGTATGTCCACGGTATCACAGCGCATTTCAGCCCGCCACAAGCTGCGAGGGTTAGTGATAGCGCCGAATGTACATTACATTGCACCTGCTGACGCTCAGAAAGACTGGTCTCTCTTGCCCATGTCCCATTCACGTGTCTTGGGATATCGCATTTCTATGAGCTCTGTGCTAGAAGTAGGCTTGCGGCTGTCGCTAGCCTCTTCTCTGACACTTTGCAGCTTCGACCGATGCGGAGACGGAGAAGGCGATCGAGAGGGGAGAATATCACTGTGATCGTGCCCGTGGGTTCGATCTCCTCGTTCGCTGTCTCTGCTTCGTTTTTTACTCTCCTTGTGCCTGTCCCTGCCTGAACTTCCCTTGCGTTGACTCGTTGCACCATCGTCCTCGCTGCTGCTGGAGGCGCGAGACCGGCGCTCCCTCCTCCTACGTCTCTCCTCGCGTCTCGCTTCCTTCTCACATCGCCTTTCCTCTTTCTCCAGCCGCCGCCGCTCGGCCTTCGCATCCTCTTTCTCAAGGATGACGCTAAGCATTTGATCCCAGCCGGCATCGCCTACAAGGCCTGTTCTTGGGTCTGTGACTGCTTCGATCGAGTCTCTTCCAATGTCGAGACGCGGATCGTAGTCTGCGGCAAAATACTTATCCATCTTGGACGGTGGCAGATCTGCAGAATGGCTGACATTGCCTCTTTCGGGGAAAATGTCCCTGGCAGAAGTCTTTCTCGGTGGCGGTGATGCAGAGCGGGACCCGCCTCGGTAACGGTGGCGTCGTGGCGCAACAGCATCGCGCGTCCGCTCTTCGGAACGGTCCCGAACGCCATGTCTTGATCTTGGCATACTGGATTGAGCGGGTTTAGCGCCCCTAGGATCGTCAAAGATCACTTCCCGACTGTGCTCTGAATCTTCTTCATCCGAAAATGCTCGCATCTTGCCTCTCGCTTTGGCATCTGAATGGCCCATTCGAGTTGACATTCGCGTTGACGGTTGTCGAGGATGTCCATTTTCCGGCACACGGCCCAAAGCCCTCGTGCAGCGATTCGGTCCTTCTTGTGAACGATTCAAAAGGTCTTGTCTTTTGGGGCTGCTTTGAAAAAAGGTCAGGTCGCTGTCACCGTGCTGCTCCGCCCGTGTCCGCTCGCGCTGTCCTGCATGTGCTTCCTTTTCGAGATGGCGAATCACAGAACGATTGTGGCCTTCAGTCGCGCGGATCAAGTTACTCAAAAACTGCTTATTGGTGGGAGCAGCTCGAGTTGTCGATGGCTCCTCCCGAGCGTTGCGCGACGAACTGATGGTTGGATCATTGCGCTGCTTGGCCTCTTTCGCGATCAGGTCCGCAATGTACCTGTCCAAATCGTCGCCTTTGAGGCCGGGTGGGATGGATGAAGCATCCTGCCCGAGCGAGGAGCGCACAAGGTTGGACACGACATCTGAGAGGTGGGATCGCGGCCTTGTGTTGCCTTTTGATGTCATGTTGGCCACATTAAGGATCTATCCCCTTCAATATACGAGATAAGAGAAATGATCAGGTCGTGTCACACGCTGCTCCTCGTGATCAATGATCGCCAGTCGTTTGCAGAATTGAAAGTCAAAGAAGGGCTTGTAGGGTGGCAAACATATCATCTTGCAACCCAAGCATCGGTACGCAATGGCCCACTGAGGGTTTGATCTCCCAATGACGCTTGAAGATTCGGGTCGACCAGATCATCTTCGATCTCGGCGACTCGGGCCATCTGAAGCACAGCACTCAGATCAGTTGTATAATGAGCGTCGCGGGACTCGGACTCCAGGCGTCGAGCTTTTGCCGTTTCGCGTCTCTCAGCTCATATCCTATCTTGGCTCTCTTTTCGCGCGGCAGGGAGACCTCGGCATCTTTCGAATGTAAGCTCGGCATCTTGATTCAAAAATTGCCTCCGAAAAACAGACATCTCCAATAAACCGTTTCTCAACTGGCTTTCTAACATTATGCTCCTTGATGCGAACGTGGCGTGGTCATCGCGTTCTCTACTCCAGGACCACGATCGCACGAGGAGGTACAAGAGCGACTGTCTAACAAGATGGACGCTCCACTACAAGCTTACACTGAAAGCAGCCAGCGAAATGGCCGAACCGGTCCGTCTGCGCACAAGTCAAAAGGCAAGGGCAAGGGGAAAGGCAAAGCAAGCTCAGCACGTCCAGCCGGCCCGATCAAATACAGCAGGAGCGCCAGGCGCGTGAACACCGTGACGTTCGACGATGCGGCGCGCGCAGAATACCTCTCTGGGTTCCACAAGCGCAAAGTCCAGCGCAAGGAGAAGGCGCGCAAGTATCTAGAGGAGCAAAAGAAGATCGAACTTAAGGAGAATCGGCGAGAAGCTCGGGAGGCGCGGAAGGAACAGGCCAAGGAGAACGTCAAGGCTGAGCGGGCGCTTTTCGGTGATGCGTACGAAGGAGGGCTAGGAGAGGAGGAGGATGGCAAAGGCGGCAACGAGGTAACACCAGAAGGTCCAGAAGAGGAGTACGATTCAGATCAACACTTCACTTCTGTCGTCGTGCAAGATTGGGATCCGGATGCAGATCCAGATGATGCAGGGCCTTCGAAAAATGCTGCACAGCCGGTGTTGACGTCTAGCAACGACCCGGCGAAACGGCGAAAGAATGGGAGGGAGCACAAAACAGTGCCACCGGCCAAGCCAGCGACAGCGGCCATTTCTGACCTCATCGAACCAGAAGCAGAGTCAATACTGCGTGAAGCAGATCAGATTCTCTCGCAGCACCAAGCGCATTTGGCTGATGCGTCGTCCTCCAGCAAGCCAAAGGCATTCCACTATGAGACGGCGGCCGAGCGTGCGGCGAACCGATTAAAAGTGCGTGAGAAGAGAGCCAAGCAAGCTGCCAAGCGCAAGGAGGAGAACCGCGAGGCGCTCAAGGCAGGATCGAAGAAGGGCAGCAGCAAGCTCAAAAAGGCGGGCAAGCGAGGGAAGGGCGGGATCGGCAGCGGCGCCAAGAAAAAGGCCAGCAAGTCGTAAAGAGCGACTCTTTTTTCCATCTTGCTTCACAATGCTGTTTATTTGTCACGCGCGCAATAATGATCATCACGCGGCAGTCTCTCGCCTGCGTTCAAAACGATCGTAGGTTTGCTTTCGAGTACATGCTTCAGATTGGGGTCTGAGGAGGATACTGTTTGAATAGTTTACAGTTGGTTCGCCAAGGGTTGGATCGCGTTAGGAGCGGTCATGGGGGTTGCATGCATGTGAACAATCGATAAGAGGGCGCATAGTAAAGGAGGGCTGTGAAGGATCGGGCATGCGCATATCACGAGAGATTATGTCCTCAAGATCGTCAGAAGCCTTCCTCCATGTTGGCAAATTTGCCAAATTCGACACTTCGCCACGGGGCATGCGTTTCCGCCTCGTCATCGAGGTCAGCGAGGTACGATTGCATTTGCTTGCTGCCTACCGGCGCCGAGGCGGCGCTGCGGCTGAAGGGAGCGCGAGGATGGTGCTGTAGCGTACGGCCGGCGCTAAAGGGGTGGGCACGCGTCGATACTGGTGGAGCGAACGATTTGGTATGTGCAAAAGAGCGTTTGGGCAGCGATGAGATCGTGCGTTGCTGTGAATTTGCGTCTGCCTCCATTTCCGAGCCGTTGGACGAGTCTTGTGTCGAGGGTGGTGATGAGTTCCTGCGTGCGGTCAAAAGACTGATAAGTACAGCTGGAGGGAGTTGAGCCATTGGCTCGGCGATGCTTACTCTTCTTCTTCCTCGGCCCATCGTGCGAAGACCGAGTCCTTATCGTCTTCGCCTGAAGCGTCGCGCGTGCGCTTTGGGAGGACAGGCATCACGCTGACCTGATCGAGCTCATTTAAGGTACCCAGCTCCTCCTTCTGCCATGCCCACGGGGCCGAACGCTGTCTGCCGTAGCCCCCTTCCACGTCCGCCACGTTGGCCAAGGGCTGGACCTCTCCGACCCGTTGATCAACTGGCATGCTCTGCGTTCGCGCAAACATCGAGCTGCGCTCATTCAGCCTTTGCAGAAAGGAGCCATGGTCCTCGAAAATGGCGTGACTTGCGGTCGAAGCAGCGCTTGTGCTGGTATTGGAAGGCGACTTGTAGCCTTGGTGAATCCGGAAACGGATATTGGCAGGATAAGTGTGCAGCCGTTCGAAGAGATCTCGCTCAATCCGATTGTTGGCCGTTTCCGAGCCGGTGTAGGACCCCGCTGGCAGAGAGGAGAGCGGGGAAGAGACGGCGGGCCGCAGGGCTTGGCGCTTGTCGATATGTTGATCCATCTCGTAGATGAGCACCCACGCTGAAGGTTTCACCAATGTTCAGCGAGGTCCTCGCGTTGGCTGGTCCCCACGAATGAGCCTTGGGAGCTATTTACCTCGACATTGGCTTGGGCTGAACTCGACAGGGGGGATCGTGACGAATCAAAATGAGAGGCGAAGAGGTGGCGAATGTGTCGCGACGCGCCTGCTCCGCTTCCGCGAGCACACACCCTTACGCGACGTGTCACAGTGCCGTCACGTAGCGAGCACTTGCAATTCTGTCAGTACAGCAGGGGCCAAGATGCCAGGGTTGGGTGTTTGTTCCCTTGCAGGTTATTAAAGGCTCTCGTAAAGAGCATTGTAGGTGGCCCCTGAGTGGAGTGTCTGGATGTCGAACTACTTCACCACATGTGCTCCAGAAAGATACCTACCTGCGCCAACGCTGTCCGTATGCGTGAACTGGCCGCCTGCACCCCCTGCGCCGTTGCCTCTGGTCTGCGTCTGCGGCAAGGAGGGGACGCACGGAGGGCAAGTCTCAGCCAAGTCATATTTGTCCTTGCTTGTTGCCAATCGCGGCCAGACCCAGCTAACTTTTGTTCTGTGGTTGCCCTCTCCACGGCCAAGGCGCTTCTTCTGCCCACCCGCAGCCAGGCCTGCAGCAGCAATCATAAAGCAGCAGGGATAAGCCATCTGACTCGGGCGTTCAGGTTTGGCTGTACCAGCCGGCGCGGGGTGTGATCTCGGTTCCGGCTGCTCTCACTACCGCATTGTCGCAATGGTTCGCAAGCGTGAAGTCCGTTTAGGCATCACTGCCGAACCCAACCAGGAGGTTCTTCAATGCAGATTATCATGAAACTGAATGCTACTCATAAGAGCAACGCCCATAATACATATCATTTAGAGGATCAATGGCTGAACAAACCAGCTCGGGCAGGGAAGAGGGCGGGGAAAAACAAAAGATATGTGCTGGAAGCATCATTGTGCTAGAACATGCGAGGGTGCATCCTCCTGTCAAGCCAAATTGAACATGGGGCGGACGCATGATAATCAGGCCATTTCGCGACTTCGAAGAACATCCTAAATATGCGCAGACCACTAACCATATTTGTTTCCTCGATAACCTTGCGAATCTTGTCCACTTCGCTCCTGTGTGAAGCGCCGCTAAAGAATAACCCACGTGGTCAAATAAGCTGCGACAAATAACTCCCACGACGCGCAAAGCACTCACTCTGAAGAAGCCTCGGTCTTGAGCCGGTTGATGAGCCTGATCCCGTTGACGGCCTTCCTGAACGTCTTTTTCGCATTGAACGCCGTTTTCATACCCGGTAGCAGATCCATCTGTGCGCCTTGGACTTCGACAGCCTGGATCGCGAGCCATGGATGTGAGAGCGCCTGCGAAGCGGTCATCCGCACTTTCGGGTCGATCACGAGGAGATTCTTGATAAAGTCTTTTGCCTGGGTTGACACACCTTCCCAATACATCACGGGTGTGAATGAGTAGTCGGCGTTGATGATCGCTTGCATCTCTTCCATCGTCGAGTCTCGGTCAAAGGGGGTGTAGCCACAAAGCAAGAAGTATGTGATCACACCGATCGCCCACAAGTCCACCGGCTTGCTGTGCCCACTGGTGGATCATTCAAGATGACGAATCAGAAATGGTGCTCAGGTAGCAGCAAGTATAGAAGAATGGACAAACCTTTTCTTGAAGATTTCTGGTGCCATATATCCTGGCGTACCGCAAGTGGTGCTCAGCACAGTCATCTTGTCGTCGTCGACCACCTTTGACAGACCAAAGTCTGCAATAAGAAGTTCAGAATCCTCGCTCTTGTCCTTGAAGAGCAAGTTCTCTGGCTTTAGGTCTGGAGGTGGTGGAAATTAGAGGGATAGATTCACTACAGCGTGCCGGTATTGCGATTTTCCCTCACCTCTGTGAACGACTCCTTGATCGTGCAGGTATTTGACAGATTCCACGATCGTCTTGACGAGGTGCGCAGCATCCCTGCAAGTAAGGAAATGCGAGTGGAATCAGCGCAGGCCAGAAGCGAGGTATCGGCGCGAAGTAGCGTGAACTCACCTTTCGTAGTAGTTCCCTCTTTCGCAGATCCTGTCGAACAGCTCTCCGCCGGTGCAGAGGTCCGTGACCAGATAGAGGTTGTTCATCGTCTCAAAGTAGTCGACGAGTGTGACGATATGCTTGTGCCCCTGTGAGACCTTCTTGAGCGCCATGATCTCATTCCGGACCATGTGCTCCCTGCCTTCCATCAGCCGCTTCGAGATGACTTTACATGCAAAATAGGCGCCATCCGAAATGCGCTGGGCTTCTTTGACAACCTGGAAGCAGTCCACAAAGAACGAGCCGGGAGACTCTTGAGATCCCATCCATGTGTGAACTCCGAGAAAGTCAAGATCAGGTCACTCTCACAGCATATGTGCCTTGCCCCAAGGTCCTCCCTGTCTTGTATGCACACGGCACCGTCTGTGGCTGCTGCGGCCGTTGCGAAGACATCTTTTCCGGCCTGTACTATGGAGTATTCGTCTGCCAAGCGTCAGGTGGAGGGGCTGACTGATAATGTCGGAGCTGAACGTGAAGAGCGCGGAGCCGCCTCGAGCTTTGGGCGAGCGCAACTAGCTGATCAATGCAACACTTCGTTTCAATCGGTCAAGAGGAACTTCAAGCGCAAATAATACCTGAAGACGTGCCCTTCAATGGTTCTTCTGTGCTTGCAATGTACTATAAGGACGGTAGAATGTGTGCAATACAAATCCAGGGAGAAACGATCGACGTCTGGACAAGCTGCGACGACGATACCTGACGCTTCACACCGCAAAGTGCTGGGAGCAGCGGGAATTGCATTCGAGGGTTGTGTGTTGCATAGTGTGCGCCGTGATGGGGTGGGGCGCTGGGCGCCGGGGTTCCTTGTGGCTTAGGCACTGTTAACCGCGCTGCCCTGCCCGCCCCGCCCAGCCGCCCCAAGCGCTCAGGAGAGGCGCTGCCGTAGCGCTGCTAAATTCGGGGACCATTCTCGCTCATGGCTAGTTATTCGGCTTACTTACCGAGAGCGCGCCCTCTTCTCAGTCGAGGTGGAGAAGCAATGGAGCAAGGTATTATCGACACTCCATCAATTCATCAAATGCGTGGCCGCGACATGTAGAAGCATATACAATGACTGGGAGGCTTTCGCACAGTTGACAACCGTGAGGGCTGTTAGCCCGAGCAACTGCGGACGCAGCCTCAACCTGGCAGGTATAAAGCCTTAGAATGCCCTCTGCTGAGCCGGGCGTGACAGCCTCTGCGGCTGCGAAGACCTTTACTTGTGTCGTATTCTTCGGACAAGCCTCTTGCAAGGCTCAATGGCTGCACGCGAGAAAGCGGGCGCCAGCGCAATGGATGCGCCTATCCGGACGGGAAAGAGAAGCTGCGTATGCGGAATAAATCAGCAGGTTTTGGGCGTCAGGTCTCCTGCAACAAAGTGGCATATGGGGATTCGGAACTACTCGCCTTGATAATGACGTAAGCAGCAACTGCGTCTGCAAAGGCACCGGCCAGTACTTTGCTGGCCCCTGCTCCCGTTGCTTGATCCTCGTCGGTTGGCGCAACATCCTTCTGGAAGCCAAAGTACCCTTTTCGTCGTCCATACTTCTCCGCACGTTTCATGCCCTCGTCCAGCCAATCCTGCAATTTCGCTGTCAGCCAGAAGTGCTGTACTGGTTCGGCAGCGCCGCTTCCAAAGGTGGCCTTGTCTACAGCGTCTGTGTCGAGTTGCATGAGGCCGGGAAAGAGCCAATGGAGCACTGTCGCGCCTATCCCGAGAAAAGAAAAGAAATAGAATAGCACCACCAATGGCAACACGGCTGTCAATTCGTGGAGGATGAGGAGTGCCATCACCAGGCTGGCGGGATCGGTCCCAGTACGCTCAGCAAGAGCACGAACATGAGTAATGGCAGACCTGATGGGAGATTCCTTTGGCTTGTGCGAGGAAGCGCTGTATGAGCGCCTTGGTATTCGCGGGATCTCGCGTGCTTGAAGGGGGGCGGCGTATGGCAGGTTGCCAATAAACGGTCGCGCACCGATGCGCCCAAAGTACGGCTGCAATGGCCCTGGCAGCCACTCGACATTTAAATCTGCCTCTCCTCCTAACCAGAACTTCCGAAGGCAAATTGGGAGGCGCAACCTGCCACCTTCTGCTCTCCCGTAATTCTCGAGCAGTGCCACGACGAGTCTTGGGATCGCAGCGGCTGTCCCGTTGAGAGTGTGCGCAAAGTCTGCCTTGCCATCGCTGTTGCGCGTCTTGTGCTTGATGTGCAGGCGACGGGACTGGTGGTCGGTGCAGTTGGAAGCAGAGCTGATCTCACCCCAGCTTCCGCGTCCTGGCATCCAAGCTTCGATGTCGTACTTGCGGTATGCGCTCGCGCCGAGCTCCTCAGATGGCATGTTGAGCACGCGATATGGGATTCCGAGCGAGCTGATGATATGTTCTTGCAAGCTTCGAAGCTCCTCTAGTATCTCGTCTGACTGTGAGGCATTGCAGACGACAAAGAGCTCGGCCTTTGCGAATTGGTGTACGCGATAAAGACCGCGCGTGTCGGCGCCACGGGCACCGGCTTCGGCACGGAACGAGTGAGACAATGCCACGACCCGCAGCGGTAGCTGCTGCTGGCTCAATGACGAGGATCCGGAAGATTGCGCTGTAGTCTCTGTCGCGCTCGATGATTTTCCCGTTTGCAGAGGCGCGGGGAAAGTGCGGCCGGCTAGCAAGGCGGCGATCGAGATTTCAGCCGTACCCACGAGGCACAGCTCCTCTCCAGAAGAATCTGTACGGCTCGTACTGACAAAGTACGTCTGACTCGCCTGCTCGTCTCGAGGGTTGAAGCCGCAGCGTGCCGCAATGTCCGTCTTGACCACCTCAGGCGGCGAGACAAGCACGAAGCCGCGATCGCAAGCTGTGGCCAATGCGTATTGAGCAATGGCGTGCTCGAGCATGGCGATGGTTCCGAGTAAAAAGGGCCATGATGACCCAGTGGAGACGACACCGGAGCGCAGATCAATGCCACCGTGGCCACCTACAACGCCGTCCGCGACAGCCAGGTGGTCGGGCGCGGTGTCTCTCTCGATGGGGGAGGGATCTGCCTCCGCGATGGTTGCATTCATATGTTTGTCGAAGCCTTTGGGTAGCAGATGCGCAGGCCCTCCAATACCTACGATACGAGCATTCGGCTCAGGTCCTCGCGGCGTGTCACGATGGGTTCGATTTGGCAGTCGAAGTCGGAGCTCGAGGCTGCGTGCCAGCAGCTCTTCTTGTTCCTTTGCCATTTCCTTTCCTTCTTTCCTTGCATCAGCTGCTTCACTCTGCGCCTGTTGTAAGGTCATTTCTAGCGTGACCTCTTCTTTGTCCGCCTCCTTGCTGTCTGCCTGCTCTTTCGCTCGCATCTGCAAAGCCCGCACTGCCAAACCAAGTGTCTTTTGCTTGGCCGAAACAGCCGCATGGCGCTCCTGCAGGAGCTTGGAGCGCTGTCGCAGGTACCGAAGCTCCTCGAAATCTTCTGGTCGGAATGCAGCTTTGCGCAGTGCCACTTCCTCCGCCGCGGCAAGTAGGTCGGGCTCGTTCCAGGACCAGTTTGTGCCTGGTACAGGAAGCCGCGGCGGCCCGGCGCCTGCAGGAGTGTTACAGCCCATGTTGTCGTCGGCCTTACTGGCATATAGCCGGCGCTGACCCACGGGCTTTGCCCGGTTCGTTGACGAAACGGTCCTGCATTGGCAGACACATGCTTGAGCAGTCGGAGGCCGCAACGTGGAAGGGGTGGAAGATCCGAGGTGGTTCCAAGAGCCAAGTCGTCGCGACGGCCGAGCTTCGGCGCGAAGAAGGTCAGACAGGCTTCGGAGAGCCATACTCAGCACAAGCGAGTATGCGGTGCATACCCCGTTGAGAGTCGGCTCAGAGGATTGAGTGTGCTGTAGGTACTCAAATGCGAGAATGAAGAGCCAGAAATAATGCCGAAGACACGTCTCGCGGGTGTTTGGCCGCACATCGCGTCACAATTAACACCACACGCCAAGACGTCTTTTTCTCCAACTTCCTAAGCCGATCCGGAGGCAAACAGGAAGGTGGTGCATGAGGCAAATAAATCTAGCAGCATTAATCGTGTATGATCAAGTACAAATGGATCTCTAGACAGAAGCCTGTATGCAGTCTATCCTCGCACCCGCGCCAGCGCCCGAGGGAACGTGAACCAATCCTCGAGGGCGCCTCTCCCTCTGGAGGCAACGCCTTTCTTGACGCCATGCATGATCTGCGAAGCGTGCGATCCGCCGAAGCTGAAACCAAAGCCGCCACCGCTAATACCGCTGCCGGTACTGGTAACGGCGCCGTGCTGGTGGCCCATGTACACCCACGCGAGCACCACGACAGCCGAGAGCAGGAGCAGCGTCGTGCGATCCCCAAGCGCGCTTGCGAAGTCGTTCAGCTTGTCGCTCTTTCCTTTGCTGTATGGTGATGATGATGACGATGCTGATGGCGAAAACGTCGAGGGATGAGATGTGAATTTTGGAACGTTCGAACGCAGCTCGGTGAAGATGACCGGTAGCAGGACGACGCAAGCAGTGTAGAAGACTACGGCGCTCTTCACAAGTAGTGCTGGGTATTCGAGCAAAGAGGGCTTGGCCTTGCTCCCATTCGCAGCCGTCCGCTCGTTGGTGAACAGACACCAGATCGAGTACAGCGCGACGGAGAAGAAATGATAGACGAGCAGTAAAGGCTGTGGTGCGAGGCCCGAGAGCAAACGCACCGGCCCACCGACGCATTCGCCGCCGAGTTCAAAGTACTTGAAGCAACCCTCTCGAAGGACTTCAAGGTTCTCGTCTGTATGAACCGGATAGCGAAGTGTCAGCAAATGCAAACTTGGTCTATTCACGTGTGGGCTCAGTGAGCGTACCACTCACCATCAGCTCCAAAGAGGCTGTATAGCGCCTGTGCGAGAATGTTGATAACGCTCGCGAGTCCCTTGCGATTCCAGTGCCAAGCGCGAAGCGCTGGCCTGACCTGAGCGTCCCACTGGTCGAGTTTAATCACCGCAGCCTGCGTTGTGGAAACAGCGTCGCCTTCAGAGGGGGGCCACTTCCCACCCCCAAGGGCGTTCGTGAGATGTACCACGTCCCAAAGGCCTACGGACATGCCGCCTGTAGATGAAAGGAAGATATATCTTTCGTGTCAGCTGTCAAGTCTGGGCGAACGGAATACAGGAAGCGACTCACCGCCTGTGAGAGGATGCCGCATGTTCATGGCGTCGCCAACGACAATGACACCCTTCCTGTCGCTCCGCTGTCCTTGCATGCTTGGCGGCAAGAAGCTGTTCGGCATGCTCCGCAACCGTTGCTTCTGCGCGTCGAGCTCAGCAAGTAGGTTCGCGCCCAGCGGTGTCGGTGCCGATGGCTTCGCCTGCTGCGGCCGATCTACGGCATGTGACGGAGTGTCAGGAAGGTAAGGCACGACATTATCGCGGATGTGCTTCTGCAGCTCGCCTTTGGCGGCGCTGGGGAGCTTCTCGCCGGGCACGTCGATGAGAATGCGCGTCATGGTGCTCGAAATCTGGTAGAGAAGGATCGGGCCCGATGGTGCAAGGACAACGTGCCCGTGCTTGGGCGCAGGCAGTGGGGCGTGTTCCAGCTCCAGGCCTACGAAGTTGGAGCGCACGATTGGTGCGATGGACGATCCGAATTGCCGGCGGAACTTGCTGAAGCAGCCGTCAGCAACGATGGTAATGGAGGCACGCAGCTCCAATGCCTCGTCGCTGTTTGCACCAGCTTCTCTCACTTCTTCCGGCGAGTGTTGCGGTAGCTTGCGCGTGGCAGAGACGCCAACGATCTTATTGCCGTCGGCAACGAGGTCCCTGACGGTCGCCTCAATAAGCGTGACGTTCTGTTGCGCCGATGCGAGAGTCCTGAGCGCCTGGACAAAGTTTCCGTGGTGGAAGCTGCGTCCCTCGACTTTGCCGCTGGCGCTCTCGATATGTTTGCCCTTGTCGTAGGCGAGTGCGCCGGCCTGGGCAGGGTAAGGGATGGGCACACTGCGCGGGCCATAGAAGACTTGGTAACCTTCAACGGGGATGGCGTCGATGTCGCGCAGTGCGTCCTGCAAACCGAGCATGCTGAGCGCCATGACGCCGCCTGGCTGCAGCAGCTCGCCGACGATGCGATCTGGGTGGGAGAGGTCGCGCTCGAGCAGGGCCACGCGCCGACCGGAGCGGGCGAGCGCAGAGGCGAGAGCGGAGCCGACGACGCCAGCACCAACAACGATCATATCGTAACATTGCGTGGAGAGCGCTTCACTAGAAGCCTGCGTCGGCATGACGGCGAAATGTGCGCTACCTACGCCGTTGTGGCTGCTGCCTGAGGCAGCCGCCCGATTGCTGACGCTGGTCGAGGCAGTCATCCTGAAGGGGATGGCGTCCCACGTGATAGTGTTCCACTGGACAGCTCGCGGCTACCGATTCGCGTATGGGCCTTCCATGAGAGGTAGTTCATACGGCCCTCTCTACGCTCGAGCATGCAGTCGAGGGTATATGTAGCAGCTCCCCCGCCTGCAGAGACTCTAGAAGATTGGCGTGATGATGAGGTTGCCCATGTCTGGTGGAGAGTGTATAGTGTTGTGGTTCGACTATTTCTCTTTGGTGGCATAAACTTTGCGACAGTGAAGTGTGCAGGCAGGTGGAGAGACTGGGCTCATGCCTCGCATTGCGGGCATTGGCCTGCTACTGAGCAAAAACGCGAGGAGAGGCACCCCACGACTTATTGCCTTCAGTGGCGATTCCAGCTGGCTACGCGCCGACGGCGGCGTTAGAGCACAGTCAAGCTCACCATGCCCGGCTGTGTGCGGGCATTGCATCAGACCAGCGTCCATTTTCTTCTTCCAAATTAAACGCCGGTTGGCTTATTTTTATTAGGGTTAGTAGTGCAAGCTTTCTTGCTGGGGGGGGGGGTAAGTTGGGTATTATGTAATTGTGGTCGATACATGGACCTGGTAAATATAAGCTTGCGGTTTCCAGGCTTGCCTTGTCTTCCGTCTCATCGACTTCTTGTCAAGCAGTCGACTCTATCGTTCATCCCCATCGCTCCTTGCAGCAGGGCCCAGTGCTCCCAGCCGCAATGCACCGTTGCGCGTCATGCTCATCGCACCGGGCAGCGACTCGCCTACAGAGGATGTCTGCGTCTGGATATAGAACTGTTGCAATGGGCCAAGCCGTGCAGCCCAAGCCTGTTCAAATCTAACCGTGCAAGCTGTAAACCATCGCTGATGAATGCACCGCGAACGAAGACTGAGACCAATAATATCTGTAATCTCAATGGGGACACCTTCTGAAAAACTCAGGCCGGACGAGCAGAAAAAGGTGGAAGAGCAGCTTCGTTGCGTCGCATCCCGACATTGCCACCAAACTAAGGCGGGGTCTCTCTTGGTCTACCCCAAGCGAACGTGCCCTACTCCAAGCCGCCCTAGTATCTGGCGAGGGCGACAATTTGCAGTCTTGATGACGCAGACGAACGAACACAGCCTTGGACAATTAATACCACAGAAGTAATTAATTAAAGGTGGTAAATAACCTTCTGCCTGCTGGTCATAGGCATGCTTGTCCCTACCCTCAGTCATTTCTCACCCCCACCCCCCGCTTTGTCCTTTCCGCTTCGTGCTTTCCCGCTTTTTGCCCTTGGACATCCTCATCAAGCCGTCTTGTCAAACGCGACCGTATCCCGTCCGTCAGCGCATCGCCGTCTTCGCTGCGCCACACACCGTAGAGCAGCACCAGATGCGCTGCGAACAGCATACCCGATGAAAGGGAGGTAGACGGGAATGTCTCCCAGCCGTACGAGATCGCAACCGGCAGAGCTAGCCTGATCGAGTGCAAGCTTTGATCAGCACGTGGGATAAGAGTTGAAGACACGTTCCACGCGCGGCCGCTCTCACTTAACAGGTAATGGGAGATCAGCACTCCATAGCAGAAATGGGATCTGGTGCGCGTACCAGCTGAAGAACTGGTAGTGCAAGCTGCGGCTGAACGTGATGCCGATCAAATTGGCCGTAAACAGCGTCGTGACGATGTCTTCGAAAGGGTAGGCGCCCATAAGAACGAGAGTGCCAAGATCGCAACTCGCTTCAAACTCACAGCGCGGCGTTGGCCATCCTCGAATCTCATTTCTCCCGCCGTCCGAATTCTTGAGCAGGATATCCTCTCTGAGCCACCGCACGGGGCCTTTCCGCCCAAGTTCCGTCCATTTGAAAGCTGCAAAGCACAGCAGCGCGAAGACATGGCATGCGAGAAGGCAGTGCGCAAATCTTGACGACATAAACGAATCTACAGAAACAAAGCGCCAGTTGACGGTCCATTCGTACATGAAGGCTCGTCTGAAGTCGAATGCTTGCCGCAAGTACGCCTTTGCATTGTGTTCCAGGAATGGGTACCCAAGAACGAGCTGCACAAGTGGGATAAGTAGAGTCGGGATATCAGCGGAGATGCCGTAGGCTCGAGCGAGGATCAGGCCCCACGCCGGCAGGAAGAGAAGGAGGTTCATCTTGATGCTCAAGGCAAAGCTGCGAGGGGAGATCGAGAATTAGCCGTGTAAAGACATCACATCCAGCGAAGGCACCCACCTGTACAAAAGGCATGCGCTGATGACGGCTCTCTTGCACAGGAGCACGGTAGCCAGATAAAAGACTGCCATGGCCACTGGGTCGTTGAACAGGCGTAGCACAAAGATGCTGTGCAGACGCTTGGACATTGCGAACGTGACAAGGTGCAGCGCCGGCGGGAAGGACCGACTTGCTAGTGCAAGCGCCGACCGGGAACTGCTGACCTTGCCCGGCTTCTCGTGCTGGTAGCTAAAAGATGCCATGTAGTAAATGTTCATTACGAGCCGAAAGGTCAAGAGGTACAGTCCAGCGAAGAAGTACTGCACCGTGCGGAGGCCCTCCGGGGGGATCTCTGACTTATTGCCGAGCAGTCCTGCTGGCACCAAGGGACGGCTCTGTTCGATGATCCGCAAGATCCAGCCGTACACGAACAAGTGTCCGGCTGGGTACACACACGGCCCCGAGTCACCTTTGATGGCGGCATAGTCGCGCACACCTTGGTTGACGTATAGATCAGCTTGCTGGAGGTATGTTGAGAAATCAATCTCCGTGTAACGGACTTTGTGGATGATCGCTATCAGCAGAGTCCCTTCAACGAGCAGGAAGAGAGAGGTGAACGTGCTGCTGTAGGCATGTGTGAAGAGGAAGTCGTGAATGAATTGAAGAAACCGCCGCATTGGCCGCTGAGGTTGTGCCATCTTGACAGGGTCGTACGGGTCGGGCGAAGGTCTCTCTGTGACGTAGCGAGGCCCCTCCTTCGCATTAACCCTTTCAGACCATTCCCTGGATACTAGGATGGTGTTCTGAGCAGATTGGCTGGGCGGTACGAGCGTAAAATCCGGCGCTTATTCAAGGTATAGCTGAAAAAGCACAGTCAAGTCTCACTTTGGGCTTCGTCGTAGCTTCGCATATGTAGATGGTGGTACTGCACAAGTAGTCTTGCCGTAACTCCGAGAGTGGGAGAGGTCACGTGTCTTGTCTCCCCTCAGGAAATGTATTTAAGTACAAATGTGCAGCACAGCTCACACCTCTCGATTGGCAATTCACATTCGCTGCATTCACCCCTCACTTATCTTCGGTACCATCAGAGGTGGACAGGTTCTGCTTGCGCTTATCGGCCAGCATAAATTCAAGCTTGCACTGCTGGGCTGCGTGAAATTTATCGATCAAACCTGCCTTGGTATGTCTCGTCGCGGCGGACTCGTGGGCTCCTCTCGCGGTGGCCGCATCTCAAGCGCTGGAGGCAGCGTTCGGGGCACGCCTGACCCGAACTCAGCTGCGGGCCCCAGCACGAGCGCGAGCGCCAGCTCCAGTCGAAACACCGCGTCTACGATCTTTGGCGCATCGTCCATCATTGGTGCTGGTGGCGCGCGGCAGAAGGACCCTAGCGGCCGCATCCAAGAGTGGAGTGTGAGTGGATTTGAGCCGCTGCGCATTCGAAGCCTGTTCTTGTCTATGTGCTGGGCCAGGTAGTTGCTTGCTCTGATTCGAGGTCTGAATTGCCATTTTGCCTTGGCAGTCTCCCGATGACAAGTGCCCGCAATGCAAGACAGATCGGTATCTCAACTCAAAGCTGCGGCTATTGGTTGGACCGTGCTATCACAAGATGTGCGTACGCAATGCGATTTATGCGACTGGTGTTATGCCTAAGGACGCTGACAATTCCCTTTGGTGCGCCAGGTGCGAGTCATGCATCGACCGCATCTTTGCTCTAGGCCCGGCGCCTTGTCCCGTTTGCCGACGGACGTGCCGCAAGAATCAGTTCGGTTTCCAAACGTTTGAAGACCTGCAAGTCGAGCGTGAGGTCTCTATCCGGCGCACCATTACCAAGAATACGGCACGCAGTCTGGAGACGGACTTTGGTGGCGACTTAAAAGCATACAACGATTACCTGGACAAGGTCGAGTCGCTCACCTTCAGCATCGTCCACGGCAGCGAGGCGGAGGCGGACGAAGCGTGGCGCTGGATCAACGGGCAGGAAGGCGTAGCGCGCAACAGCATCGGCCTGCAGGCGCGCTACGCGGAGCGCGAGAGCGAACTGGCGCGCGAGGCGGAGGAGATGGAGCGCAGCGAACGCAAAGCCAAGGGCGAACGTTTGCGCGCCATCGAGGCGCGCGAAAAGCTTGAAAAGGAGCAGGAAGACAGAATGCTGGTCGAGCTCATGGAGAAGGGGAAGATTGACGCGCAGGAGGTGCAGAGGAGGCGAAGAGAGGGCGCACGGAAACGCGAGCGAGATCGAGATCGGGAGGAGGCCGCCGTCGAGCGTGAATTTGCCACTCGGGCGGGGGAGCGGCTGGGCGCGGCAGGCAGAGGCAAATCTGGCGGGCCCGCTGCGAAGGGCGGCTGGAGCGAGGCGAACAAAGCTGCGAGGCTCTGGGGCCCAGCGGGCTACCAGCCTGAAATGCTGCTTGACTACCGCGGCCCGCTCGCGTACCTGGACGACGGAAGCGCGCTGCTGCCCGGCGGCCGGTCTATGTTCCAGCCGCATGAATCGGCGCACGATGCAGCGAGGCTTCTCGCGTCTACGGGCATCGCGAGCGCAAGTGCGCTTGCGCAGATGAGCAAGGACGATGCACAGCGTATCACGGCCGGCGGGTACTCATGGACAAAGGCGTTGGGCAGGGATCACCTAGCCGGATTCGCGACGATCAGATTTCAGACGCCGGAAATTGCGGCTGGTCGAGTTGAGTAGGCACGTACTGAGTCGTCGTCGTCGATCTGTAGAGCGTCGCGGTCATTGGAGCGCATGCCCCCACATGCCACATGCAATTGCGCAATGCAACTCGCTTTCTCTCCCCGCGACGAAAAAGGATCACGGACTGGCATATTTGCCCTCAAGATGCCGTGACCAAAGCCTGCGGCAGCTCCTGCTATGTATGCATTTCCTGTTCCTGGCACCGCACCGGCCGCCTTGCGCATCTTATCAGAACTGCCTCATGCAGAATCTGCATCGCACAGAGTGTCATGCATTGCAGATGGGCATGGAATGGCTGCTCACCAACCCAAGCCATACAGAGTGTACATGTATGTGTAATAATGACTCGCATGCGCATGCAGAGTGCGCTACCCCGGCCGGGCACGTATACATGCTGTGAAGATGTTCCATGGAGACCAGCAGTTGGCAGATGCCGCGAACGGGCGATGCGATGCCCCCATGTGCTCGCTCACATCCCGCTTTCGGCCGACAGAAAGGGCTAAGAGGGGGAATGCGGTCATGAAGGGGACTGTGAGTGCGCCGAGGAGAGATTGAGAGCGAGAACGAGAGGATTGATAGACCACGACTCATCACGTGTTGCTGCTTCCGCCAGGTTCCACTGCATTCCAGCGAGGCGCACGCGAATGTAAGAGACGGTAACCAGAGCAGTCTGCAAGGCTGTGCCTACCATGGACGCGGCGGTATATCTTATCGTGCGTTAGTGCATAGTATGTATGTGCACGATGCCTCTCTCATACTGTTCGGCTGTGGTTACTCGCAATCGATCAATCCATCTCCCAATCTCCATGGCATGGCGTGACTGGCTCTTTATCGAATGAGCGAACTTGCTTGTGTGTTGCTGTGTTGTGCTGTGCTGCGCACCACTAACTCCGGGGGCGGGCCGCCCCGCCCCCTGGTTGTGCCGGATGCGCGGACCCGACGCCCGACGGCCCCTCGCGCGCCGCGCCGAGACGCCCCCCAAGCGATGAGCTCCATTACAGCGTTGGCCATATGTTAGCTTGGGCGAGGCGGACTTAATGAAAGGAGCTTTCCCATGGATGAAACAAGCTGCGCAATACATCACGGTATTTAGTAATAGATGATGGAGCATGGGTGGAAAACCACCCCATCCACCCCGTCCAGCCCTCCCACATCGTCTGCCTCGCAGCACATCCATAAGAGCAAGCGCCGTATCCCACCCACCCATAGTTGCTCCAGCCCGCCTCACACTCACTCCTTCAACCCATCCCCGAAAACCTACCCTCCGAGCGCCAGCATGTCGACCGCTGCGAGCATCTTGATGCCCTACACGCTCTCTCTCGGCGCAGGTCTCACCAGCGCCGCCAGCTCCCTCTTGGGCAACTACGGCGCGGCCAACCATGGCGTCCCCCCGATGGGCGCGCCCAAGAACCTCCCACAGATCCAGGTCGATAAAAGAAAGGCTGTCCGCGACTATATGCACTCTTCGCACGTCTCCTCCACCAGAAGCAGTAGCAACACTAGTGGCACTAGCGAGCACCAGCGCAGCATGACGGCAGCAGCGGCCGAGGCAAATGCACAGAGCAGCGGATCTGTGCCAAGCCGCAGTGTCAGCCGCGTTGTTCAAGAGCACCAGCAGCGGCTGCATTGCGGCCCCGCCCTGAGCGTGTCCTCTTCTGCATCGTCCTCGCCGCTGGCTTCCCCGCGGCTGTCGCCGTCGCCGTCCTTCGTGACGAGCCCGAGCACGCTGGCCTTCGAGCCGTCCGGGAACATGCACATCAACGCGCTCGGACACCCGTACAGCGCACCGCACTTTGTCGCCGTTCAGCGTTCCCGCTCGGACGTCTGTGCTCGCGCAATCGGCGCGGCCTTCTCCTCCAGTGCTCTCCACGCACCGAAAGACGATCCTGCCCCCACTGACGTAGTGGCCCCGCCCAAGAGACGCCGCGCCAAGTCGAGGAGCTACAGCTCGCCAGCACTCTTCTTCCCTGATCATGCCGACTATCACTTTACGTTCGGCAGGGTCGATTAGCTGTGCTTCGGCAATGGCTCACTCGCACTTTTAACCCTCGTCATTCGGACTGTCCATTTCGAACTGGCAACCATCGACCAATGCATTCGTCGACCAAACACGCTCACGCCCGTCCCGCAACCTCGCGATATCACCAGCACCTGGACGCCTACCCTATACTGTTTGGCTCACACGCCTTGCGGCCGATCGCTTGCTCTACTCGTGCTGCTCTGAGCAAGGCTGCCTCCGCACGAGCTCGCTAGCGCCTGCTCTTGGCATGTGTAGCCAACAGTCCTGCGATGCAGAAGATGCACAGCTCACTGCCTTTCCCTCCGCTTCTGACAAATGACCAAAAAACGACCAGCCCTTTCGAATTTGTCTGCTGCGATGGACCGCGGCATATCAACCGCACCCCACCATGAACCCCGCATCCAACCCCCGCCGCGCCGTCGCGCTGCCACACTACTGCAACCCCAACATGCAGAGTTCTTCGCCTGGTCCTTGGAAGCGGTCACGCTGCAAATGGTCAGCTGGGTGCTGCACAGCGGCGCCGCATGCACCTACACTGGTGCACGCGCCGCGGCTGCTGCCCATCCACCCCGCCTGTGAAGCTCAGTAAGGCGCTGTACGGCGCCGCGGCGTCGCTCATTGGTATTGTTGCGTACACCTGCATCGTCGATGTGTCGTACCTTGCTTGGCCAAGTGCTCACCTGGACAGAAAGAACAAGGCAGGTCATCCTGGTGACGCTCATCCCCCTCCGTTGCCGCAGCACTCGACGCCGTCTGCAGTGCTTGACAACAGCAAGAATCTCCGTGTGCACTCCGACCGCGCGAGAGAGGCCAACCGCAAGTCCGTCATGAGCACGTCTGCAGCGGCGCCGGTGCCTGCCAACACGAGCATGACACACGACCCTCATGCTAGGGACCACATACAGCACCTGGTGGTCTAGAACACGCAGTACACCTCGCGCTTAGCGCCGTCGCTTACGCCGTCGGCCTGTATGCGGCGCTCGTCGTGTGACGGACACTTCAATCGCCTTCGGAGTATCTCTGCGTTCGACGCTGAGCCGCAGTACGTGCGTGCTTATATGTACGTTTCACCCACCTAAATTTCACACTTCTGAGCAGAGGGGATGATGTTTGAACGCCAGTCTATGCTATAGTGTACACGAATCCCGTGTGAACTTTTGCAGATGTTGTTGTCATGGATTCAACTCGACTCCAGCGTGACTTTCGGCTCAGGGAATGAGCCGTCCGTATCGGCGACCTAATGGGAAGAGATGCTGCTTGGGCTTATTCAGCGTACCTCATGCACCGTGGCCGTAGCGCTGGCAGCGCGGCACTGCCCGCCCTAAATCCCCTCGTAGGGGCCCAGCGCAGCCCGGCCGCAGGTAGGGAAATAGACCCCGCCCACCTGCCGAAGAGCTAGCGACGGGATTGCGGCAGAGACAAAGACAGCGAGAGAGCCCCATATAGTGGCGGGTAGCCACCTCGCCAGCGCTGTTGGGTCGATATGACGCACCCGACTGCCTGAACGCTCATCCGCGCAGGTGGACTCCCCCGGGCAGTTTCTCCATTTGCACCGATTGCACCGGACTTTTGTATGTGCCATTATTATCCGTTGTGCTCACATCTAGTCATTTGGCGATGAGCTTTCTTGTGAGTCACGACATACATGGATATAGTCTGCATGGCTCCCTCGGACAGACTTGTTCTCCGTTCTTTTCATTGCGATTCCAAGACGTCTACTTCGGTCAGACACCCTGCTCAAGGCACCTGGTCCCTCCCCGTCCTCGGTAGCAGCATGAGCACGCAGCCAGCAGCAGACCGCGCGCCCGGCGCCGCCTCGATGTCGACGTCGTCAGTGACACTCGATGCAGGCTCGCGCACACGCACGATCAACCTCGGTGCCGGGCCATCCATGCTGCCCACGCCGGTCCTCTTTTCCGCCTCTCAGGCACTGGTCGACTACCAGAACCTGGGAATGGGTGTAACGGAGATCTCGCATCGTTCCTCCACATTCCAGAAGATCGTCGAGGAGGCGGAGCAGGATTTGCGCCAGCTGCTCGGCATCAGTGACGAGTTCGCCGTCTTCTTCACCCAGGGCGGCGGCACGGAACAGTTTAGCGCCGTCGCTCTCAACCTGATGGCAAGGCACATGGCCAAGTACCCAAAGTACTGGCAGCGCCAGCAAGCTTCGATCGCAAAAGCTGCAGCCGCGGCCACTGGGGCCGATGGACCCAGCCAACTGCGGCCGTGCGGCCCACCAGCAGACTATGCAATCTCAGGCTCGTGGTCTGCCAAGGCATCCAAGGAAGCCAGTCGCCTCGGGTTCGATTCGCGCGCCGTCTTTGACTCGCGAAAGGATGTGGAAGGGTCACAAGGGAAGTTCGGCGCGATACCGCCTGTACACACCTGGCGCCTCTCTCCCATCTCATCAACGGATGATGGAGTGGATGCGCCACCTGCATTCCTCTACTACTGCGATAACGAGACTGTCGATGGCGTTGAGTACAATTTTCCCTCGAACGACACGTCCGATGGCGGCGGCAAGCGCGGGTTCCCGGTCGACGCGCTACCTGCCTCGTACGTAGCCAACGTGCCGCTCGTCGCAGACATGTCTTCCAACATCCTCTCGCGTCGCATCCCGCACCTCTCCTCCCATGCGCTCATCTTTTTTGGCGCGCAAAAGAACGTCGGACCGTCAGGCGTGACAATCGTGATCGTCAAGCGCCAATTCATTGTCGACCCGGATGAGGCCCTGCGCGCGGCAGGCCTCTGGTCCGCGCCGCGTATCCCGACGACACTGGTGTACAAGAACCTGCTGGACAACAGCAGCCTGTACAACACGCCACCAATGTTCAGTATCTACGTCAGCGGCCTCGTATTCAAGGACCTGCTCCAACCCGCCCATGGAGGCGTGCACGGCGCAGAAGAGCGCAGCGAGCAAAAGGCACACGCCATGTACAGCCTGATCGACAGCAGCCTCGTCTTCGTACCGACGGTGCGCCAGAAGGAGGTGCGCAGCAGGATGAACGTCACATTCCGCCTGCAGCGGCCACCGCAGTCTGGCGGGGCAGCAGCAGGCCCAGACGAGCAGCTTGAAGCCGCCTTCGTCAAGGCGTGCGCTGCGGCGGGCATCGTGCAGGTCAAAGGGCATCGCAGCGTTGGCGGCATCCGAACCAGTCTATACAATGCCGTCACGCTCGAGCAGACCGACAAGCTCGTACAAGTCATGCGCGACTTTGCCGCGCAGGTCGAGGCGGGCAAGGTGTAGCGAGCGTGTAGTCCATTAGCATGTAGATACAGTAGATCAAAAGTTTTTAACTATGATACAATCGTGTAGCCCCTTGAAACAAGCGGAACAGTGCCCTGAGGCCAGCCTGGAGCGCCCAGCGCCGACTCCCATGCGATCAGTGATGGTTGTTGCTCAAACCGAGTACTTTCGCTGCCTTGTTCGTCACATTGCCGATTCCGAGCGTGCGGGCAGCCTTGCTCGCCTGAAAGATCGACGCGGACCCGGCACGTCGTTGCTCTGCGCGGTCCGGGAACCTGCCACGCGCAGAGAAGCCGCCGTCGTACTCGTCGTCATCGGCATCCGAGTCGAATGGGTTCTGCATGACATCGTCCGCATCGCACTCGCGCTCGATGGCAGTAAGCGCGTGCCGCATCGCCTGCGGCGGATGCCACGGCGAGCTGGTGTCTTCTGCGCCGCTGATGCGGACACGCGGGGTGAGCTTTCCAATGGTGATGGAGGGCAGCTCGTCATCCGACCTCTGTTCTTCTTCGTTGGCATCATCGTAAAGAGGGCTGGCGGTCCCCGAGCAGGCTGTCCCGCGGGAATGCGAAGACCAAGGCCTCCGCGCCGGGCGACCAGTCGCGCCGCCTGCATTCAATACGGTGCGCTCCCCTTCCTCTCCCGGCAGCGCGATTTCGCCGTGCCCCTGCGGCTCCTCGAGCGGCGCCGCGCCCGAGAAGCGCCGCACGGCGATCGGCGTCATGACCGCGACGCAGACGCCGGCGAGAAGGAAGAAGTTCTGCCAGCTAGCCAGGTGGAAGTCGTCCGGCGACGTCATCTCGTCCAGCTTGGCGCCGATCGTCACGTGGATAAACGAGATGGCCATCACGCCAACGGCTGTGCTGAGCCAAAACAGTGGGATGGAGATGCCGAGGTGCGGGGCGATCACGTTCACCACCCAGTGTGGCGGTAAAGGCAGATGCCGAATGAAGACGAGGTAGGAGAACAAGTTGGACTGCGCGCTGATGCGCCGCTGCCAGCTGTCGACGCGCGTCTTCCATGAGGGGACAGCTACGAAGACCTCACCCATCTGCCGGCTGATCACGTAGCAGATCGTTGCGCCACTTGCGATGCTCTGATGATCGTGATCATGCGAATGTAGCACTCATAAGACTCTGCACGCAAGCTCTCCAACGCCAAATCGGATGGTCGGACTCACGCAAATGACGATCGGGAGTGAGAGTGCAACGCCCCAGATGGCACCTGCGAGGATGCTGAGATACATGGATCCAGGGATGGAGAACGCTTGGAGGCTGTGATGGATGGCGAGCGTTTGGGTATGTCAGTAGAACAATCCAAAAGCGCCACAGGTTGGGTCACCCGCCTGACGCACAACAAGTAGATGACCTCCCAGCAGACAAACACTCTAAAACCATGATGTGTCTTGTAATGTTGAAGTACGCCATTGAGCGCTTTGAATTCTTCGAATGACCGCGGAATCTTGAATGCAGGTCGGTCCGCCCTGCGCACAAGCAGTCGGTGCGCGCATCAGTGTTGAACATGGAGCTCGCCTGCACAAGCGTGTTATATGCGCAGAGTACGGAACTGCAAAACTCACTCATCTATTTCTGGAAGCCCGAGCCACAGAGTGCAGAAGAGAGCGACGAAGCAGATCATGAACAGGAGTAAGATCTGACTGCCGACCCTTACAAGCACCCTTCGACGCTCCTGTATGATCATCGCCTTCGTCTCGGCGTTGGCAGCATCATCCTCGTTACCATTGATGGTGATGCGCACGGTTTGATGCTGTGGTACAGGGGTACCAGAGAGGTCGGTCCAGTGTGCCTCGTCGTCGCTGTCGGAGTAGGGCCGCGGTAGGTCAGGTCGCGCAAAGCGACTGCCAGTAATGGTATTCCGGATCTCTGGCTCGTCGTCATCGCCATCACTGCTGTCAGGAAGAGCCGCAGCGTTGCCCAGGATCAACCTAGAATTGTTTTCCGTATCGGCGGCAAACGGCGAGGGCAAGGACGGGGCGGGCCCACCACCATTGGCGAGGGTCTTGAGCGAGTGCTTCGAGACGAACGATGCGTCGTCGTCCACCTCGGAGATGGCGTCCGATTTGGAGACAAGAGCGGATCTGTCGATATCCATGGCTCTTGTTTTCCCTGCAATTTCTAACCCTCCTCCTCCTCCAGCAGCACTGGTGTAAGCGAGCCCAGCGGCCGCAGTGCTAGCGGAGCCACTCATGAATATCCTTGCCGCGGCGGGTTGCCGGATCGAAAGGACGTTGCTAGACGTGATCTGGCGGGAGGGGTGCCTCCCGCTGCCGCAATCGTGCACCTTTCGTAGGCTCCCTTGCAATAGATGATTGGCGAGGTCTACACCAAGCGAACCGAGGTAGCTTTCGGCCCTTGTCCATGCGCATGTTTGTGGACGTACAACGTCACAAATGGTCATTTTCCATCACATACGCATACTAGTATATATGGAGCTGCTGCACACGGGCCAAACGTGGCCGCTGAGCCGCCCAGCTGCCGTGGGGGGGGAGGCACTTGACGAGTGTCGTATCGTGATATCTGTCGCCCCCTTGCCTTTGTCCGCACAATCTCGATGTAACTCCCGCTGCGACGCGTCGCGCTCTTTCTTTCCAGCGAAAAGCGACCAAAAAGAAAGAATGTGAGAGAGCCGTGTGATGAGCGCTTCGTTGGATGCCTACTGCTTTGAACTCATCGCGCTGCTCGCAACCGCGTCGGCTTGCTCGCACTGCTCATCGATATGTTTTAGCCATTCGGGGGTTAGAGGACAGCCTCCGACGACTTTCAAGCTGGCGCAGCGAAAAGGGAGCGGCAAACCTGGGGTATAAATGACGCGAGTTGTGCGAGAGCGACTGCAGAAGAGGCCAGATCGGACGTCGCGCTGTGGCCCGTGAGCGGGCCGGCACGCGATGAAGACGAGGAAGATGCGAATGCCGCATCGAGCCTGCGTGAAGAGAGGCGAAGCGATGATTATAGAACACGGTAATTCTATCGAGATGATGCGCTGCCTTGCAGCCCGCTATCCTGATTCTGGCCGCACACCGAACGATGCCGCGACACCCCAAAGTGGTACCATTACTAATCTCCGTGCAACGCCCAGTTATGCAGCATGCAGGTTCAAGCCTTCATGCCCTCCCAAGTTTCAAGGGCGATGATAAAGCGCAAGCAACGACGCCAAAACAGTTCTTTTGGGACACACGACATCGAAGCCCTGCTCAGCTCAGCATCCGATGTCAAGCAAAATTGGCTTGTCGCCTCTTCGCTCCCTTGCCAAGCGGGTCCCTGCGGATTTGCGAATTGATTAGTGTTCCCGTCGTTCCTTCTACAAGCACCACAGGTATATCCTTTTTCCCCGTCTACATCTCCACAAGTGTCCTCAAGAAATCAATCTCTCCGCAACAAACTTTGCGCGGCTTACATATTGTTGACTAAGCACGTGGGCAACTCGGGCAGTCAGACTTGCCCTGTAATGAGAAGCGTCTAACGTTGTGCCTGTGGCTGGTGGGCTTCCGAACATGTCAGAAGAAGGTGGTAGCGGCTTGTACCAGAGCGGCGGAGTGGGGGTTGCTGGGCTGCGCGAGTGAAAAAGGAGACATCGACCATCCATGCTCGCTCTCACGCACGGCCGAGTTTGCCAGCTTGCAGCCATCCTTCTTTGCCATGTCTCTTCGTCCTTTCTCTATAAAGACGTATCCTTTCCTTGCCCTCACCCTTTCTTTCAGTACTTTCATCTCTTACTTTGTCAAGCCCAACGCCGCGTCCCTGGCAGTTGTGTCAGCGCCGTCTTCTCATCGTCTTCCTCCTTCTTTCCTCTTCTACTCCCTCGCGAGCGCCTGCCTGTCTCTGTCTCTGACCAGCACGCCATATCTTGAAGACTGCCTTGCCCACAACATTAGAAGATAGAAAGACTCATCCCAGCATAGCAGCGCTCCCACAACGTAAATCTCCTCCTTTCTCCTCTCGTTGTGCGCGCACACACTCTCAGTAGTAATATACTTTGTCAACTTTCAAGATGCAACAGAACACCAGTCATCATCGTTCTCAAGCTGCTGACGATGATGGACGCCAAATTGGCCCCATGCGTACTCCGTTGGCTCAGCAGCAGGACTTGGCACCTGATTCAGCCATGTCGCAGACACAAGAGCTTCCACCGCCCGGTACCCAAGCTTTCAAGCTGTCTGGCCTGGCCAGCATTCCCCCGCTGAGCCTGCCGCATCCTTCGAGCCTGCAGCAGCACATTAGAAGCAAGACCGAGCAGCCGTCCGCTTCGCCACCACAGCATCACCTTGTTCACGACCCTTTTGGCTTCAATCGCAACCGCCACGTGGCCGCGGGTGCTGGCGGTATCAGCAGCAGCGACGGTGGTATACAGCCAGCACCTGACGTCTTCTCTCAGCGTCCGCCGCACAGCGACCCTGCATACGACATTCGCATGGGTATAGGAGGCCCTCTGGATGACACGGGCATCTCATCGCCATGCGACACGGTCCCGCCTCATGCTAGATCGCAGACTGCAGCCACGGATGAGGCAGCGCTCAGCTATGGTATTTCTGACGGCCGCACAGCATACAGCCAGCGTCTGCATGAGCCCCAGGTCGGCGCGTCATCCCTTCAGTCGGGTTTCACGGTATCTATATTTCCAAGAACAGCTTCCGTCGAGCCTAGAGAACTGAATCGTAACACACAAGGCGCCCATGTCGGCGAGCACAGCGTCCTGCCAGTGTCTGTTTCTGCTGCTGTTGGGAGTGCTCTCCGCCTGCACGATCATAGCACTGACGCATCTCAGCACGGTGGCTCTGGCCTTGGCACTGCTGGACTCGGCACAGGCTGGACCTCCTTCGACACCAGCGGTGCAAAACAGGCCGAGGCCTCCACCAGCGGTACCCTCGTCTCAAGCATCGATTTGGATGAACAGATGCGCAAAGATGAGAGCAGAATTTTTCACTCGACGCCTCCAGGACCCACGCGTGCCGAGATGCTCAGGTACAACCCGCCCATTGCGTCGACTCCGCTGAGTGGCAAAGTCATGCGCATGAACCCTCACGTCCGGCAATCGACCAACAGCACTGTATCCCTTGGCTCGGACTCGGACAGCGTGCAGCAAGCCCAGGTGAGCGGGTCCCTACCGTGCGCCAATCCTGGAAATTAATTCTGATTGACATGAGAACCCCCAACAGGCGGAGTTCGACCTGCGCAAAGAGAATTCAGAGCTGCGCTCCCTCGTCGGCAAAATTGCAGCGCAGCTTGACTATGCCCATGCGCAACTTCATGTCGCGAACGAACAGATTCAGCGTCAACACCCTATTCAAGGAACTTCGAGAGACTCTGCGAGCCTGTCGCAAGGCGGCGGACCGAGACCCGTTCCGATGATCAATCCTGCTTTGCATGCTGCTCTTATGCAGGGTGGACAGCCGTTTCTGCCTGTTTCGTCTGCCAACGCTGCCGCCACGGCTGGAACACCGCCGAACGCGCAGCAGCTGTCTGTCGTAAGTCACACTTCGCTGCTGCATTCTTCTGCCCCGTCCAAGCAATCGCCGGCACTCCTGTTTCGTCCTACCTTCAACACACCTGCTCAAGAAATTAGCTCGGCCACAACCCCACCGAGAATCGCGGCTCCTGCAGCGACCAGCAGGTCTGGTGCGGACAGATGGGCTGCGCTGAAGGAGGACGGTCCGATCAGAAGACGAGATACAGAAACGTCAGCGGAGACTCTGATCGCCCAGGTTCTCTCTGGCCGCAATGGACAAGATACGTCGATATTTCTTCAGCAGCAGCTCAAAAACTGCACAGACGAACGCAAGAAGGCTATCGTCAAGGCGATGAAGCCCGTACTCATCGCTCTGTGCGAGGACAAGCACGGCAACTTTCTGGTCCAGCGTGCGATTGGAGTCGACGCATCCCTCGCTTGGGACCTCAAGGAGAGATTTGTCGACCTGGCGCTGTCGCAATTTGGTTGTCACGTGGTGCAGCGAGTGCTTGACGAGGAAGAACCCATTAAAATGGCGGTAGTTGAAGCATTGCTTTCGGACCGTCTCATGGACACGCTCGCAGCTCGTAGCTCGGTGCACATCTGGCAGAAGGCACTGGAGATCACCTGGACCCAAGCCTCATTCCGCGCCAAGATCTTCCAAGTCCTTAACGATAGTCTTCGTGCGAAGTGGGCCCTAACAGCCATGCAGGAGACTGGGAGCATTATCTGCCAAAACATTTTCGAGAGCGCCGATGCCAGCGAGAAGGGAGAGTGCATCCGGGAGATTCTCGAGCGTATCCCCGACTGCGCCAACAACCAGTGGGGTGTCTGGGTCGTGCAGCATATGATCGATCACGGTGAACCAGAGACCCGGCAGACCGTTTTTCAGCGGCTACTCGAGCAAGCGGTGCAGCTCACGCTCTCGCAGTATGGCCAGAAGGCGATCATGACAGCTCTCAAGACGAACGATCCTGCGTTCATGGTGCCTTATGTCGATATCCTGTGCAACAGAGACGGAGGCGGCCAGGCGTCCGGCACGTCGAGCCGCCGCTCGGTCTTGATCGACATTGCCTGCGTCCCGCAGGGATTCAACATTGTCACACAGCTGCTCACCAACGTCGACATGGAGCAGCGCGAGCGCATCGTCTCCACCGTGCGTCGCAACTCGGTCTTCCTGAAAGGCAGCAAGGCAGGCTTACGCGTGCATACATTGTGTGGTGAGTTTCCGTCGTTTCCACGCTGGCTTTTGAGTTAAGTTTGGCTACTGACGAAGTTGTCACGGTTGCACAGAACGTGCTCGCGCTTACAGCGGATATTGAGGGGGATGTACTTTTGGCTCATCCTGAATTTCTGTATGCATGAAAGCAGCAACCACAGGTCTGTTTATGTACGAAACGGTACGTGGCAATTGTCGCGCACGCCTAGATCATGTCTCCGCTCGCAAGTTACCAGATCATTTGTTCGGTTTGAAGGCAATTACACTGTCCTGCCCGAATTCACGCGTGCAGTGATGGATAAGGTCGTGTAACCCGATGCCTTCGTACCCGACTCCCTCCTTTCCCAGCATGGTCTTGCCGATGGTGACCACTAATGCGTCCACTTGCACTGTCAGCATCGCATGTGCCTGTAGCAAGCTGCTGATGACTTCGGAACCGCCTTCGATCATAACAGAGCGGATTCCGTGCTCGTACAACGTCTTCAGCACGGAGGGCCAATCTCTTGTTGATGCACCTGCAGGCACGTCAGCTACAGTGGCTCCAGCAGCTTGCAAAGCGAGTCTCCGTTCGTGCTCCTGTGAGTCGACTGAGGCATCCGCGGCACGGCACACGATCAAAGGTGCCTTCCCTTGGCCAGTTTGAGCATTGCGGATGACCTTACAGTCGGGAGGCGTGCGGCATGTGCTATCTAGAACGATGGGTCTGGGAAGGCCATCCAAAGCAGGTGGGCTGGCAAGCTGCCGTGCTGAGGAGACGCAGAGATGAGTGCCGGCCAGCTTCACCACGCCGAGTGGTATTGGCTTACCATTCAATTGTGGATTATCATTGAGCAGGGTACCAATACCGACAAGAATCCCGTCGTGCATTGCCCGCATCCTGCAGTATACAAAGTACAAGTGCACCGAGGGGTCAGCCATTCGAGCTCGGGTGAAGCGAGATACGCGCACCACCCTAACACATGAGTCATCTTGAGGCTCTCTTTTCCGCTAATGGCCACCTGTTTTCCATGTTCGCCCGCGATCTTGCCGTCGAGCGACTGGGCAAACGTGAGCGTCACCCGTGGTCGATCCGCGGTGGTTGCCGGCGACGGCGCATGGCTAAACAGTTCCTCGAGAAAGAGCCGCGCATCTTGCTCGACTGCGTCCATTCCACTGTTTAGCAATGGCCATGTCATCGACACGGGACTGCTGCTCCTGCTAGCAGATCCTCCTTCTGCCTGCGCATCACTGCCCATGAGCAAGTGCGATCCGTGGAGCTATGAAAGCGAGAGCGTCACTTCCGATAAGTTCGAAGGCTGGTGAGCATTATTTCATTTCTTTCTTCGTTCTTTCTTTTTCGTTGCGCCGCCTCGCGTCGCGTTTCGAGGACCACATTTGCCAGGGAGTTTGGAGAGTGCAACATCAAGGTCCGAAATACATGGATTGCGGCATTCCAATGTCCATAGCTTGAGTACTGACCCCATGCGGACCAGACTCACGTTGGCCTGCATTACAATCGAGCAGATTGTGAATAAGCGTGCCACTCTGAGCCCGGGATTATGCTGAATGCCAAGTTCGCCAAACGCCAACTCTACTGGTCAAAAGAGCTGCCGTAGTCTGCAACAAGTGCGTGAAGGCTGCCGAGCTCCTTAGGCGCCCATCAAGATGACAGCTCCATCGACAGGCCTCATCGAAGGCCTTCGAGTCGAAATTGCCAGCCTGGGCATCGGAACTGTGATGTTCAACGGCAAGACGGGCTTCTCAATAGGCAGTTGGGTCGGGATCTGCTTGGACGAACCGAACGGCAAGAATGATGGCTCGGTCCACGGGAGAGTCTATTTCGATGCGCCGCCAAACCATGGTGTCTTCGTACGGCCAAGTCAGGTGCACGTGCTACCCGACGATATGCAGAATCCTCGGCCTCCAAGCAGTTTCGGGGATGCAGCGTCGGAACACGAAATTGACCTCGAACAAATTCAAGTCGGATGTAGCAAAGAAGGCGATTTGCTACGGGAAAGCCCTCCGCCGCCAGCTACCCCCCGAGGCCCCATGCAAACTGCCACAAACTCATTGCGATCGCTCAGCCGACAGGCCAGTGCCCCTCGCAGGAGCGTCAGTCCGACAAAGACCTCCGCACCTGTGAGCTGATCGTAAGAAGCGGACCTCATCGGCGCACAAGTGGAAATTGACATGCTTCCGTGCTCACAGTCCAAGGCGTTGATGACTCCTGGTCTGCGACCGAGAGGCTCAATAGCTTCGGGGTCTTCCGCGCCGACTACTAGGCCTCCTTCGACAGCTCCAAGGATCGCTTCTCCTATCAACTTATCCGCTGCCCGCTCATCGGTCACGACACCCGTCTCACGCCTAGCTCCCGGTGGTCGCCGATCGCCCACAAAGCCAAGCACGGGTCGTCCCACGCCATCATCCCGACCGATGTCGGCTCTTTCTTCAGGCGCGAGGCCGTCATCTGCATCCTCGTTCTCAGCTGCCCGAGGAGCGACGTCTGTGTCCACGCCTGCTTCCAGGACCGCGACCCGGCCCGCAGGGGTCACAACAGCCGGTGCAACCAAAGCTACACCAAGTACGTCAGTGGCAGCACGCTTGCGAGCGACACAACCAGCAGCACCGGCGACAACAAATGCAGCGCGTGCAGCACTTCGCCCTGTTCCGACTGCGCGACCTTCCATGCGACCCGTCCCCGCCGTTGGTGTTACATCCAGAGCAATTGACGGCGAGAAGAGTACTGCAAGATCCAAGCCTCGCGCTGCGCCGCAGTCCCGTCCCCCACTATCAGCCCCACTGCCCAGCGCACGCAGCGCTGTGTCTGCTGACAGAGAGTCAGAGTCCGACTTTGGCATGGCATCACCAAGTCTGCGAAAAGCTGCCGCCCTGCGAGCCGCATCGAGGCAAAGCTATGTCGATGGCGACTTGCTCTCAGATCACGTTCGCTTAGAGGATGCAGAGGACTTAATGGACGGGTCAGTCCAGGATGACGAACAGTTTAGGCGAGATTCGATGGATGCAGATGCAGAGCTCGACGGTGATGACACACTGGGGCTGCTCTCGACAAGCGAGCGAGCCGATTTCACTTCTTTAGAAAGCAGACAGCGACAACTTCGAATGCTAGCAGATTCTGGTATGCAGAAGGAGCTGACGGATCTGCGTAAGAAGGTCACCCTACTGGAGAGGCAGAGGGAAGATGATCGAGAGAAAATGAAGGAGCTGAAACAGTACAAGGAAGATGCGGACAAATTCTTGTCACAAAAGCCGAAGATGACAGGTGCGCTCACTCACGCGCTGGGTACCAGCAGTATTGATCAACTAATGTCCCTCTGCCCTTTACAGAACGCTTGCAGGACCTGGATCAGGATCTCCGCAACTACGAAAAAATGGAGAAGGAGTGGCTTGCTCAAAAAGATTCGTACGAATTGCAAATCCAGGATTTGCAAGAACAACTCGAGATGTCGACCCTGGACAAGGAGATGGCCGAAGAGAGAGCTGATGCTGCAGCTGAGGAGCTAGCGCTAGAGAAAGAGCGCGCAGATGAGCTGCAGATCGATCTGGAAGTTCTGCAGGAGCAACAAGCTGCAGCAGCAGCACCTGAGCTTGCCGAGCCAAGAGCTGAGGGAGAGGAGCGCGACGAGTCTGAAAAGCCATCGGCCACCATCATTCAACTGGAGAGGCAGAACGAACGACTCAAAGAGGCTTTGGTTCGCTTCCGTGATATCACCAACGAGAGTGACACAGTGCAAAAGCGCAAGATCGCAGAAATGGACAAGGAGCTGGCGGCGCTTTCGAATATTCAAGCTCAATATGAGACTGCTTCAGCACGTCTTGCTGATTCAGAAACTCTGATTGAGGATCTCAAGTTGCAGCTTGATGACGCGTTGCATGCAGAGGAGATGCTGGAGGAACTCACAGAGCGAAACCTCAGCTTAAGCGAAAAAGTAGAAGCAATGAGGGCCATCATTGAAGACTTGGACGCTCTGAAGGAGCTCAATGACGAGCTTGAAGAGACACACATCGAGACCGAAAAGCAGCTGCAAGAGGAAGTTGACCTGAAAGACATGCAGCTGCGCGAGCAGCGCGTTCGCAACGACACTCTGAATGCCAACATTGCTGATTACGAGACGACCTTTGGCCAGTTCCGCGAGCTTATCCTGAACTTACAAAGCGACCTGGAGACCCTGCGGACTGAACGAGCACAGGTCAGGGACAGAGATGAGCAAGGTGCTGGTGGCGACCTCAACAGTCAGAGCCAGGCAATGCTCAATCTCAACATGAAGCTGCAATCGTCAGTCTTAAAGTCGCAAGCAAAGACAATCGATCTCGAGCTTGGCAAGCTGGCCGCATCGCAAGCTCAAACGAATTTGGACATTATTAGGCCCTACTTGCCGAGCATTTTCTTCGAGCAGGACGCAGATGCAGTGAACTCTCTGCTCTTCTTCAAACGCATCGGGCACAAAGCCGACGTCATCAAAGTCGTCGTCGAGACGAGTCATGACATTCAAAACCAGCTAGCTAGCGGTGCATCAGAATCTCTGATCGCCGTGTGCCAGATGCGTCATTCGCTCGCGCACTTCTCGGCGCTTTCGAAACAGATCGCTGCCATGATCGGTCAAGGGACGACGGAGACGTTCCTCAAAGCAGGGCGAATGTTCAGAGAGTTGCTGTCGATCGAGAAGCGCGTCGACATGTACATCGACGCACTGCGCAAGGAGGAGCTCAAGGAAACAGAGTGCGCGTCCGACTTTCAGCGCTTCATCCATCAGCTCGAAGAATTCTCCTTTACTGTCAGCGAAGATGCTGGCGACGCAGACCTGTCAGCGAAAGAAGTCGGCAGTGCCACTCTCTTTGAGCACGATCTGGACACGCTCTACGCCGCGCTAGGCTTCACGAAGCAGACTCTAGCAGCCCTGCACGTCGATGCCAGTATTGAATGGGAGCTGGGCGGCAAGACAGCTGACGACGCGATCTTCACACCACTTCAAACACTCATTGACAATTTGAAGGCTGCCAAGGTGCCAGCACGAAAGCTCTTGCGGCGCCTCGAAGTCCTATATTCCAGTAACGAAGCTGTCAAGATGGAAGCTATAATGGCGCTGCCTGGTTTGGGCCACACCAGCTCTCAGCTTGTGACGTTTGCCTCCCAATTGGCGGTCAAGTCGAATGCCTATGTTCACGAGGTCCGCACCGCCAAGATGCCTTTCATGCTGTCGACCTTCTTGCGCTTGGTATCCGACGCGACCAGTGAAGGCTTGTCCATGAGTGACCATGAGCCATGGGAGACTTCTTTGACCTGGACTGTTCAGCTGGCCAGCAAGGTCTCCTCCCTCTTGAGCACAGCTTTGGAACATGAGAACACTATCTCAAGTGAGTACTCTCGTCCGCTGGATGAAGGCGTCATCATCTGATTAATCTTTTCTGCCTGTCAGTTGTCGGTGACGGACCATGGATCGCGCGTGTTCTACAGGTCAAGGCCGACGCGTCGCGCAACCTTGACGTGGAGCGGCAGGTCGCAAAGCTGCAGGATGAGGCCAGAGATCTGTATCGTGAAATCAGGTCACGAGACGAACGCTTGCAGGAGGAAGCCATCAAGGTCGAAAGACTTGGTCGTCAGCTGAAGGCAAGTAAGGAACAGGCTGATCAGATCCTCAGTTTGCGCCATGACCTTGGGGAGACGCAGAAACAGTCCAAGGCCTATCAAGAGGCCAACGAGACGATGCAAGGCGACATTGACAATCTGGAGAAGCTTGTACAACGACTGCAGAAGCAGCTGCCTTCCGCACAGGCAGAACAGACCGAAGCCGGAAACGCCAGCAACCGCATTGAGGACATGCCGAACCTTGCCGGAGCCAACTACGAAACAGCATATCTTGTGGATCAATTGAAGTCACTTCGCGGAGCTGTCAAGTACCTCGTCGGCGAGAACGCCTATTTGAAGAGTGTAGATTTGCTGCGCGAGTTTGCGTTACTTCCGCCGCTGAACTCAGTAGCTTCAGAAGTGCAAGAGGAAAGCGCAGCTTCCCGAAGGAAGGAAAATGGTGTGCCAGTACCCTTAGATGCGGGTGACAACGACATCCCCGATCTGCACTCAGCCTTACTCAGGGTTAAGGCGCTTCGCAGCAAAGCGCTCCACATGGCGGCCTCACCGAAACTCACTGACATTTCCTTCAGAACGGCGTCGAACGAAAGCGCCGCGCCGAAGAAATGGACGCCAGCCGCACTTTCGCCCGCACATCAATATGCCGCACAAAGGCGAGCCATGCTACAGGTGCAAAGGGATGTGCAGAAGCTTAACGACAAAGTGAAGCGTCGCTGGGTCACACCGCGCGCGCATTCGATGGAGCACACCCTTCTGCTCGGCGGGTTTGCATAAGGACGTTGTCATGAGATTGAGACACACCTGTACCATACACATTACAATATGCTACATTATTGCACATGTCGCGCGCGGCTTTCGCCAAAGATGAGAACAACGAATCCGCAACCGATGAAGATGCAGCCGATCAGAGAAAGTACCTTGAGCTGTCTACCAAGAAGAACGTCCGCGATCTCCACAAGTACCGTTGTCAAGAGGCAAGACACGGAAGCCAACACCGGTCCCCAAATGCTCAAGAGGATCATAAAGCAGGCATTGAAGAAGACCCCGCAGATGGCAACAATAGCTAGAGAAGCTACGGTCGCAAAATTGTAAGGCCATTCGAAGGGCTCCCAACCCGCAAAGTGCGCAATGACCACGCCCAGCCATAACGATAGGGCTGTTACGAGGCCGATGCCGCTGGTCATGATGTTAGAATGCATGCCCCATGGAAGCGGAGGTGGCACGTCGTCGAGCAGACGTTTTCGGCCATTCGTGTGCATGGGCGTGGAAAACGCCGAATGTTGTTTTAATCGAGTGCGTGAGCTCGTCCGCGAAAGCCGGGTCGTGCCGCCGGTCGAGAGCTGGGCTAATTCTGCTTCATCCAACTCGCTCTCTGATTCAGAGGAAAAGTCATCGGCTTCGCGCGAATATGTAGTCGGACCACTGCTGTTCTTGTTGCTTCCGGCCTGCTTGGCCTGCTTCTCTGTGTCCTCGTCGCCGTCGAACGATGATCGGCTTGAGGTGGAACGTGATTGCGATGGCGACGTTCCCGTCGCCTGGTAATTGGTGTCTCCGCTGAGAGCATTGCCTTCGGCTTGATCTTCATGCCGGCTCAATCCATCTGCGGCGTTGACAGGGCGGTACTCGATGGAGCTTTGGTGGCCGCGGCTTCTCCGGTGGCCGCCGGCAAGTGCGCCGCCCTTGCCATAAAGTTGAAGTTGTAGCTCTTCGTCTGGCAGCGTACCGACGAGCTTAAAAACAATCTCGTAGAGACCCATAGTAACAGCGCCGAGCAGAGCGAGCATGTCGCCAACGAAAGGATGTGGGAGCTCCGCAACAGCGGCTGTGTCTGGCTTTCCTTTCACTGGGTCCAAGAGTCGAGGCGCCTTCTTGTGCTCTGCGCCACCGTATGACACAACAATGACGCCCCCAACGGCGAGCAAGACAGAGACGACTTTGTACTGGACAGAAGATAAATGTGAATATGCGTGGTCTGGAATCAGTGATTGACCAAGTGGTCAAACTCACTGCTTGCCAGCGGTCGCCAAGGAACCATACACTAAAGACAAGTGCCGAGACCGCAAAACAATTGTACAAGGCAGTAATATCTGCCATGCTCGTCAGGGGTACAGCGGCGTACCTGTGCCGCATCGAAAGCGTCAATACACCATTGAATATGCCTTCGTCTCCGCGATACTTACCAGCTGAGTGCGGGGACGGTAATGCCGATCGTCAACAGCGCCAGGATAGACAAAATCCTGAATGCATCGAACCCGCACCATCCATTGAAAGAGCTCCTGATGCGCCATAGGGTGCTTTCAGCAACCACTTCGTGCTGTATTGGCGAAGGTAGCGAGAGCCCACTGTCCTCTTGGCCTCCCTGCAGCAGAGAGCTGCGAATCGTGCGGGACTCTGTCTGCCATCTCAGATTCTCTACGATCAGATGCCAGTAATGCTTACGTATTGAGCACCCTGTTGTGAACTTGAGAAGTAGCAGATGGAGCGGCAGGATGACTATAAAGCTGCTGTGACCAATGTAGCTGCCGACGCCCAAAGTACACCAAGCATACACTTAGTCATCTGCCTCGCATAATGTTGCTATACCATATCATACGCTCACAGGCTGAAAAATGGCTTTTTGTAGTTTAGCGTCTGCTGCACGTGCTGGGCAAATTCGGTCTGGAGGGTGTAGGCAACCAATGAGAGGATGAAAGCCGTTATCGCCTGGTTGCATGCAGTGCAGAGAGGAGCATGAGCGAAGGGCAATACAGCCAGATACGTCAATGGCGATCACACCTTGTAACCACCTGGAATCCCAGGCACTGCCTTCTTGTCGCCGGCTGCGACATCAGTTCCTCGACCTGTCGCCGCAGCTGCTGCGTCATAACATCCAGCACCACCTACGCGAATGTCGTGTATCGAGCTGGCAGATAGCGATCTCGCAGCGCGGGACGCCGCGTCGTTGGAGCACGATCCGCTCGTCTGTGATAAGGCTAATACATTCGGCGGCCGACTTTGGCCCGAGAGCGAGGTCATGCAGCGCGGCTTGTGGGTCGTCTGCCGCAACAGGCGCAGACGATGCGTGCTTCTAAGAAGCCAAGAGGCACAGGTTGCCAATCACCCAGATGGCCGCGTCTGCGACTGCTTTTCCAAGGTGGAGCTGCTTCTCTCGTTCTCGGCCCGGACCAAGAAAGTCCCAAGATTGTTCGGGACAGACCTCTCATGTGATGGTATGGAAGCCGAAGCACTGACCGCCTGCTATGCTGCCACTCTACCTTTATGGTGATGAATGGTTGTGAGAGAGGTACGCGTGCCGGTACAGCCGCACAAGAACCGTGGTTCGTTTTGTGGAGCATCGAATGGCATTTTCAATCCGGTTCAACCGAAAACAGCGTATCCATCCCGTCATTCGTCATCATCGGCACGCTCCTTTCACAACGCCGTTCTGAGGGCTGCAAAAGCAAACAACGCACTTGCGGGGGGATCAGACAAATTGCTCCCTCATGATCCGTCACACCTTTCTTTTTTAAGACCGAGGGTCACAGCAAAAAGGTACGAACTTGCTGGACATTGCTTTGTTCTTGCAACTTTAGGTCATCCGGGCACATTTGGTCCGACAGCTTTTCGTCACCTAACCTGCAGCAGAATTGGATGACTGGCTGATTATAGTCTATCAGAAGATACACAGACACGATCGAGAACGCTGGATGGCACGCGAAGCTATCACCTGATGACAGAGCTTGGAGGACGACGTCATGGATTTCGCATTCGCATTCGCGAGCACCGATATTGACAATAGTCACTTGGGTCATCATGAAGCAGGGTAAACGGACAAAAGTGTGACTGATCGTTCAGACGAGCTCGTAAGCCGGCAAGCCATGAGTAGCGGGAGTCAGGTTACCAAGCCGTACCGTTGATGGACGGTCAGGAAAAGTCCTGGATGTGAGAGATGGAGGATGGGAAGTAACCGTGTTGGAAAGATCATATGAAGGCCTTCTTCGTGTCTGCACTTCATTTCAATCAAGAAAGTTATGTGAGTCCGTTCAAGGAGCCAGGGGAGACTGCGGCGGTAACTTCTTTAAATAAGGGTGGCGATGGCGAGAGCGGCACCGGCGATAAGAGCGCCCGCAACACCTGAGGCGACCTTGCCGGCGGACGAGGCAGTAGTGCCGCTGCCTGAAGCACCTGAGCCGGACGACGAGCTGCTACCAGGGGCAGCCGCAGGATCAGTACCCTAAAAAGTGACGAAGCGCGGAAGAAAACAGTGGGCCCCGTCAGCAACCATGCGCGCATGCGGAAAGGCCACCGGTTCGAAAGCTGCAACTCACGTTGGTGCCGGAGTTACTGGCGGTGCAGGTGCTGTTGCCGGCCACGGGGCAGGTGGGGTCGAGGCAGACTGACTGGACGGCTGGGGATGCGCTTGAAGGGACTGCCAAGGGGGCACCGCACTTGTTGTTGAAGAACGTGCCGAGGGCTTGGCCGACTGGCGCGATGTCTTCCATGCTGACACCGAAGGACACTGCCGAGTAGGCAACCTCCTGGATGAAGTAGCCCTGCAATCGCAAAAAACGCACAAGAAACAGGAGACAATCACCGTCTCAGTCAACAGTATCCACATTCGCTCTGCAGTTTGCAGCCGTACGCACAAGCTCTGCAGAATTAAGGTTCATGAACCGATGGACGTCGTATTGGCTGGTGGAGCCAGCGTAGGCCGGGAAGCCATTCTTCCCAACGGAGCTGCAGCCAAGAAGGCTACCCTGTAGCGACATATCAAGAGGTAACGATCAGCAAGTGGAACTCATAGATGACACAAGTCGATCGTTGGATTACGCACGAAGTACCTGTTTTGTGAGAGGCCGCAGAATTGGGACGGAACAATGGGAAATTTGAAAGAAGGGATGCACGGTCAGAACAGCGTTACCGCACAACAAAAACGGCGCAGTGGAGTCGACTACGCACGAGTACAGGTGGGTGATGAGCATGTGCTGGTTCGACTTGGTGTCGTTGGCAGCCTTGTTCTGCTTGAGCGGGGTGGCTCCACCACCGTCAAGGAAGTTGAGAGAGACGGCCTTGCCGTTGCGGTTCGTAGATAGGAGCGAACCATCGAAGTACTTGAGGAGGTTGATGTTGTTTACGCCGTTGAAAGTACCGCTGCAGGCCGAAAGAGTTAAAGAGCGATCATGAAGACGTCAATGACTGACGACCCCACAAATTTGCGAGGCAAAGCCTGTCACACCGTGCAAAAGCGCAACTCACTTGGCGGTCAGGATCCCGGTAGGCTTAACGGGTGCGTTGGCAGAAGTCGCATTGGAGTAGTTGCCGATCAAAGCGGAGTTGACAACGAGGGTGAGCAGGGTGAGCTGCTGCGCCCCATCAGTCGAGTTGAACAGGGCGGTCGAGTACTTGTCGCAGAACGACTCGGCGCTGACGGCTGCGGCCCCAGCGAGGGCACCCACGGTGATGGCAGTGAATTTCATCTTGAAAGGATGGATGATGTGCGGGGTGCAGTAAGGGAATTGAAGAGCAAATAGGGGGTGGATGAAGGGTGTTGTAACAGCGTTTGAATGAGGTCAGAAGGGGGGTCAATGTGAAGAGAGACGAGAAAGGTGCATCCATATTTATTGTGCGGTCACCTGAAAAGGCAGGCGGATCATTGATCGTAATGAGTCGTCGATCATCAGGTCATATTCCTGCTTTGCTGTGTACATCGTGTAGCTCCTGCACACGGAAAGGACACAGGGCTAACAAGGTGTGTCGTCCAGTAGCGCACGGTCCTGCATCCAGCAGTCGTGCGCACATCCTCATCTCAAGGCGGGCTCGGGGCGACCCTCCACGGTCGATCGTAACTCAGATTACGTTGCCAGAAGAGCTGCCAGGCGGACTGCAGCGCAAATGATGAGAGGGCCCACGTCCCCCACTTGTTCACCTGACCAAGTGTTTTAGACCGCGTTCAGTTGACCACTGGAAGCATTGAAGCGCTGCCTCAAAAGAGTGTTCATCCACCCAGTTCACACATCCATTGCAAAGAATCCTGGCAACGTCTCACCCCAGGCTGCCTGCCGTGGAGGTGGAAAAAACAACAACAGGATGGAGCATGTCTCTGCTTTTTCTTTCTGGAGCAGATCCCGGAACGCATTGACAGACGCGGCGTGGCAGACTTTGAGATACGTGCACTCCGCAGAGTAGTCTCGAGCGGGTCTGGAGCAGCGCCGATGCAAAGAGTCCAGGACTGCCGAGATATGTACCATGATTACGCAACGTCTGCATCACTGGTATGTAATGAAAATGCCCGGCTGCGCTGTTTCATGATGACGATGTGTAAGTAATATGCACTGGCCACTGATACTGCCAAGGTGGCAACTGAAAAGAGTCCCAGCCGGATGACTAAAGATTGGCCGTAGTACGAATAGTGAATGCAGAGCAGCGCAAAGACCCAAGGTGCAGGAGAAGCAGATGCCGGGGGGGCGGTATTGAGGGTAGCTTTACTGCTGCTGACCGTAACGATGAAATAAAATGGCCTGACATTCGTCTGACAAATGGCCTGACATTCATATGACAAATGGCCATCCTGTCGCTGATCGGACTGTGGAGTGGTGAGGCGTTCCAGGCCAGGGGCGGAGACGCAGCGACAGCCAGCAGCAGCAGCGCCATTAGTAATTAAAGCGCCGCCGATCCTCGATCGTACGCGCCCGCACCCACTCCACCATCATCACAGAATTGCACAAGGGCTTGGACTAGTCTGACAAGAGAGAACGGGAAAACGCTCCTGCCGAGCGTCTTGCTCGACTGATCCGGAATCGGCTGTTGCCTAGTCTACGGATTGTGGAGCACGGGACAGCCAGGTGTTTGGACGAGCATAGGGTAGCAACTTGGCGTGCACCCCGCTTGTCTCGGTAGTCTTGCGTGGTGGATGGTCATTGTCGAGTGCAGGAACTGTGACGGAATGGCAGGCAGCAGACCAGTATGTGTCGTCGTACACTCGCGTCGCCTATGTACCGTTGCAGGCCGTCGCAGATGGCTCGTGCGCAAGACTGTGCTAGTCCGTGCCGCTCATTGCTATATACCTGCTCCACAGTCCACACCCCTCTCTATTCTCCAGGTCTCCAGCCCACTTCACCTTGACATTTCACAACCGTTGGAGGACATGGGCATGTCCATCCATGCGAGTCCGTGGAACAACTCTTTTTCCAGCATGGATGCGACGCCGACCCTATTCCCCTTGCTGATGCGGCGCTGTGACTTAACAACACTCAAATCTGCGGATGACTCGCGCAACCGCGTGGAGGGATTAGGGAAGGCCGAAAATTGGAATGCCTGCCGGCTACTCTATTCTGTCTACATCATTCGGGCGCACGCAACTGCCAACCCAACATACCTGTGGAGCTTGGGTGCATGCAATCCGTAATCCTTCCTCGTGTAATTCCACTTGCGACGACAAAGCTCTAATCATCCCTGTTCGCCTCGGGTCCTCGACGGATATTGTTACTGCTTTTGGCGCACGTTGAAGTCAAAAGGGGGCCACTTGCTTGGCGTGAACGCCTTCTCGAACATGTTTTCTCATGAATGGATTGAGATGAAGAGAGCCTCATTGTCATTCGCAAGGACCGCTTGAGTGCGCACAAGGGCATCAGGGCGTTGCCAGTTCCCATCCTGACCATTGGCATCATCCGTCATCTTTATCCGCTACGCCAGCAATGAGCGCGCCGATGCTCGAATGCGCCTCTGCCAACGGCGTGCGCAAGCGAGCGGGGACGTCCTCGCTCTTGACCTGGGTATCGATCCTGAGATCCTCGCAGAGCAACCGCATGAGCTCGTCGGCGCTCAGGACCTCCCGGACGTTCAAATCAGGCGAAGGCGGCGGCAGCTCCTTTTCACGAACATGTCCATCATTTGCGCTGAGCGGCACTGGACCATCTTCTGCAGTAGCACCCGCAGCGCCGTTCGTCTCTGTGATCGTTGAAAAGTCCTGCCCTGCAACGAATGAGCCTCCGCTCGCGCGAGCAACGGAGCTGCGCGTTGAGGAAGCGCTGTTTGTACGCCGAGACGCGAGACGCGAGCGCGCAAGCTTCACACCGCTGCCTTTCCCAACACTGCTCTGCCGCGTGCCGTCGACCGCGCCAAGGTCAGCAGTGCTAGCAACGTCATTCGAGCTTGCCTCGAACGAAGGCACGGGCGCGTCGCACAGCTTGTAGCGTTCGACCCCTTCCAGTGTCGATTCTGGCGTAGCATGGATTGGCTCGTCCACCTCTACTGAGGCACGATAGAACTGTTTGCCCGTCGCTGCAGCGTCAGACTCATGGCCCTCGACGGTCGTGGATGTATTGGGGCTTGGGGCCAGCGGCGCTGTGCGCGGCTGCTCGGAGGCCGACACGCGCCACCCATCGATGACTGGCCTTTCGGGCGTCTCAACTATCCAGACGTCCTGATCAGCCCTGGCGCGCTGCCCAGTGGGTTGCATCGGGATCGCATCTGACGCGTCGGAAGTGGACTGATTAGTCCGCGCAAATCGTGACCGCTGCAAACCTCCATTGCCGGCGTCCATCGACGCTGGGCTGTGTACGACAGGCATTTGCTCAGGTGCGTGCGGACGACCTGTCTTCTCCAAGACGCCATCGCGCCGGAGATCCTCATCCGTTGCGAGGCACTCCAAAGTGGCACGCACGTCCGCTCGCGTGACTTGGCGAGTCTTGGCAAACGCTGCGGCGGGCACCATTGTGGATCCATGCTCACGCACAACTGACACCTTGCCCACGGACGACACTGAAGAAACGCGACTGCTCTCTCCAATGTCAATGGCGCTGCCTGCATCGCTCGACTGCCGCGATCCTGGCGTGGTTGAGGCGCTCCCCTGGGCCGCATGCGATCGTCGCGATAACTGGATGGGACTGCTCGCATTGCTGTTCGATGCAAGCGGACCAGTTGAGACTTTTCGACTGGTGCGAATTGCTGAATCTGGTGTCGCAGACGGGCTCTGGCCCGCTTCACGTGGCGGTCGTGCAGAGCCTGTCAAGAGCAGCGGCTTTTGCCCATTCGCTCGCAAACTCAGGCTGCCGTGTCGTGAATGGCTGCTCAGCGCTGCTCGTATGCTAGGCAGCAGTCGCGGGCTTTCCGACCCGTTCCTATCGCTGTGCGCCGGGCTCGGAGGCATGAACATGGCTCTGAGAGTTTGAGAATTGCCAGCTTCTGCAAATTCCTGGCGACCTAAAGATGTATCGGCGACACTTGGCAGCGGGAACTGCGGGAGGTCATGCCGAGAGGAACGCGCAATGGCGGGATGCTGCGGCGGCGTTCTTTGTCCTTCGCTCGCCGGATTGGGTGCCGATCGACCGATGCTAGCGGCAGCGCCGCGTGCACGATTCATCAGATCTTGCCCTGCAATGCTGAAAGACTGCAGGCGTTGCTGCGCAGGTGAGTTGTTTCCTGGCTGGTTTTGCCGGTCGGACGAGCGATTCCAGCTCGTCATTGCTTTCGCAGTAAGGTTAGTGCTCATCTTGGACAAGCTGGCTGCTGCGTCACTAGAATGTAGTGCCTCGGCGTAGCGATTGAAGATGCTTCCACTCGCGCTGCGCGGCTTCGGTGATCCGTCGAAGGGGACATCATCCATATCTTGCTGCTGCCTCTGGCTTTGCGGAGAGAATGATTGGAGCCAGCTCTTGCCGGTACTGAGCTGTGGAGATGTTGTGTTTCGCAGATTCTGGTACATCTTGGCCGCACGCTCTCGCAGGACGGCGGCGTTGCTTAGCTCGGCAAACTCCTCCTCCGTTGGCGGAGCATCACCAGTGAGAGCAGACGCCAAGCGCCGCTGGCGGTACAGATGCGCCATTTCCAGCACAGGCTCGATGTCTTCGTCAGGGTAATTTTGCAAGAGCCACATGCATCGCGCAAATGGCCCCTCTGTACCGTCAGCATCTGCATCCGTGTCATAAGACCGTGCTGCATCGATGAGCTGCTCGCGGATCCTGACCAGCAAGGCGCAGCAGATGTCGATGAGAAAGTCAACCTTCGTTGGTGCGTCGACCCTTGAGGCGTTGTTGCTGGGCGCACCTTGCTGAGCAAGCAGGACGTCCCATACACGCAAGAGGGAAGGTAGGGTCAACTCCGTGCTGAGGAGACACGCTAGCCATCGGAAGGAATAATAAGGTAGGCGAGGGTCGAGGGATGTGGCGCGCTGCAAGAGCATCGTACTTCATCCTGGTGAGCGTCTCTCGCTCGACATGATTGTTGTTTGCATGGTTTCGAAACTCACCAAAACCGCCCAAAGCTCCTCATCCAGCCATTTGAGCCTCAAGCTGAATTTTTTCAATCCGCCCGCCATTCCACTATCCGCAATATTGCCAGCGACATCCCGCGCTCTGACATTGCTGACCCGCAACCCAGCCGCGGCATGGTCGACGCCATCAAAGTCGAACAGATCGCGTACCTCGCCGATCAGCGCGCTGAAGCACCAGAAAGCATCAGCCTCGGCGTGAGCGGTCCACTCGAGCACTTCAATATCACCGGCTGCGACTTCAACTGCCGCTGCTTCTGCGCCTGCTTCTGCTTCTGAGCTTGCATCGGCGCCAGAAGAGCTGTAGGTTGCAGAGCCCATGGCAGGGATGTGGTCAACGTGCACGGTCCCTGAGGAAGACACGATGTCCCGCCCAGATCGGAAAGCATATAAGAAGACGAACGCAATCTCGTTCATACCCTGAAAAGATGCTTGTTGAGCGCGATACTCAAATGCCTTGAGCGTATCCGGAAGATGACTCACCTGGATGTATCCAATGGATGGATTAAGTAGTGCATAGATGTAGAGTATTCGCAGCAGCGAATGCCACCTGACGTCTTCAAGCTCAGGTTCATCCTTCCCTGGTAGTGGCGGAGGACCGCTCTCAACTGCCATCGACGCAACATTGCTTCCATTCCGTGTCCCTTGTGTGACAGGTTCGATATCATCGGCGTCCTCGGCATGCCTGGCTTCTGCAGAGATGAAGGATGTCGATGATGAGCGACCGGAAGCCGATAAGCCGGTACATTGCCTAGCCTCGAGTGCTGCGAGACGGTCTAAACAGCCTTCCATTGCTTTGGCCTGCCCACCATGCCTTCCATCATCAGGCACCGTTTCCTGCTCATCCACTTTTCCCTTGTCCTTGCTGGCATGCTTGACCCTTTCCTTATTTTCCCGTCGAAGCCTCTGCATATCCAACGCGAACGAATGGTTGATCTGCTCAAGACGGACGAGCAAATCGTGCCGGCAGCTGAGCCTTTCCACTGCTGGCGAGGTATCCTCGGCGGATCTGGCTGGTGCCGGGGCGAGAGGACATGTCTTGGAAGGCTTGATGGTTGCCTGATAGAAATCGAATCCATTCTTCCGAGAGCGACTCAGATCTTTATATAGTTGATCGAGGAGAACGTCGCGCTCTGAGAGGCTGCCGGGAAGAGCGCTGCTGCTGACGCTGTCTCCGTCCTGCTGATGGGGCCTCTGCAGGGCCATGGGTAGAAAGTCTTGAACGAATTGCTGTAGAGCAAGAGATGATGTCAGCACCCTCCGCAAACATACTAGCTGCTTGAGATATTACCCACATAGTATTCCCCTCTCCGCTTGGACAAGACCTCGGGCCAGTCGCGCTTCTCTATCGGTAGGTACTCTAGCAAGACCTTCCACGCTTGTGACCGCAGCCAGTCGGGTGACTCTGGCAGCGAGCCTTGCAGGCATAGCTGTCGAAGCGTGTAGCTATCCGCCAACGTTTGCCCCGGCATGAGATTTGTGGGATCTAGCAGCGCAAGAAAGGCCTTGCGCCGAGCGTTGGCGGCTGCCATCCCTGCACTGTGCGAAGTGAATCATAGACGGTGCGGATGAACGCTTTGCTCAATATCTCACTAGCACATGATGACATGAAGCATCCCTCACCCTTTTCCGTCCATATCGCCGTATCATGAGCGCCGTACCATGAGCGCCGTACCATGAGCTCCGCTATGAAATATCTTGGGGTTGTCGTTCTGGTATGTATACACTCAAATACTGTCCATCAGTCTATCTTCCCTTCGAAGGTGCAGGTTCGGTCGTTCGGAACTGGCAGGTCTCGCACGGTACATTATCCGGAGGACCTCGAACCAGCCGGGAGAAAGCTCAGGTTGCGAACAACAGGAGTTAACAGAGGAGGGCGTCCGTTGCGATCGCTGCAGGCGCAAGCACTGATGGGACGTCGAAGGAGGGCCTCACAGCAACGAGTGCCGTGAGTGGCCCGTGATGTGCCACTCGCTTTGGTGTGCCGTGCCGCCCGTGTGCGTGCGTCATCCCTGCACGCGGTGCGTCAGAGGTCATCAGGCAGTGGGCGCGCCGCACTGCCGCTTCAGTTTTCTCTTAACCCTTCATCGTCGCCTCGCTCTCAAACTTATTCCATCGCATCTTTTGCAAGTAAAACGGCTCTCCGCCAGCAGATGGCCCTGAGGTTTGAAGCGGCGTAAAGAGTCCTGTGACACATGATGCGCTCTCCAGGACCCCCTTCCTCTCGCCAAGCGAACATCCGACTATCGAATTGGCTCAGTCTAGGTTCTAGAGCAATGGAGACGCCGAGTGGAGCCACTCCAAGTTCTGGGTCGGGGAAGGCCGTCCCACCCGGAACTTATGCAGAGCATGATCAGCACCCCAGCCCCGAATTGTGTTTAGACCACAGAAGAGAAAAATGTGGTAAGAGCGAAATGGTGCCGACAATCTATGGTACAAATACTGTAATGCATGCGAATGAAGATATTCTCGGCCTGCGACGCAGCCCCTGCCACTTGCCAGGCCCAACTTGGGACAATGCTGTCCTAGATGACCCTAGGGGCAAGGCTGACGATCTTTCCCCATCCCTTTTGCCTTAACTCAGACGCAACAACACCGCTGATGCGAGTGCCTAGTGGCTCTTTGCGATTGTTGAGCAGCACGCAAGCGTTGTCGTCGAAGCGGACGACCTTCCCATCTGGTCGGACGGTCTCCTTCAGGGTCCGTACAACCACCGCGTGCCGCACATCTCCGCGCCGGATACGCTGCCCACCACCTGAGCCACCATGCCCTTGGGTTTGCGGAATTGGTCGAGCCTTCTTGATGACGACTACGATCTCATCGCCTGTCCACACAGACGGGCAGGCGTGAGGGAAGAAGATTGGGATGTGCAAGGTAAGCAACGAAACCATAGGCGGAGGGCTCCCAGTGGCACTAGACCCACCGATGCGCGCCAGGCCATGATTACTCTTGTTCTTCAGCACATTGACGCATTCTGCTACCAAAGCGCCTGAATTGTCGATGACCTACGCAGCGAGAAAAGAATTGCTACGTGAGCACGAAGAAACACTCCGATCTACACTTGTTGCACACTCACCGTCATGGTCGCCTTTAGCCCCAACATCTTGAGCAGGACGCCTTCTGAGTCTCACAGGATACGTTCCGCTTCTTGCCCTTCGCCTGCTCAAAGGTGGTCTACACTTCACGCTGTACTAGGGAAAAAGGCGTGGTGTAGATTGACCTGATCGACTTGATGGCAACGTATTCAACAAGACTGAAGGGGGGGGATCAGAGAGATGAGTGTATTGCGGAACGCGGGACATGGGATTCGGAATCAATCCCTTGCCGTTTGATGAAGCCAGACGTGATAACGCGATGGGTACGCGTGCCACATTGGCGCGTCGAGACAGACGGTGCGCAACACTCACTGAATGTGACTCCGCTTCGCTGATATGTGATGCCCAAGAACCTCCTCTCACTCTGTTGTATACTCGTCTGGACCTGGACCTACATCCATACGGTACGCACCCTGCTTTCAAGGCTGAAGCTACTCTGCACGTATATACTGCCAGGCGGCTAGATTCTGCTCAGAATGGCGGCCGCACAAGACCCCTTTCAGACCTCGGCAGGAGGCGTGGCGAGCGGGAAAAAGGCTAGCAGGTACCTGACAGAGCCGACAGAGGCGCATGCCAGTGAGGCGCTTCAGAAGCATACCCCTGATATACCCTTCTATGAAATTTGACGGTCTGATGATCGCTATCTTGGCCCTTGGCGCTCATCGTGCTGTCTCAGTCACGTTTGAATGGGTGAGTTGCCATGAATACACATCGCTGAGTGCTTCAGAGGCTGAGCACGTGTGCCTGTTTGCTCTGCAGCCATTGACAGGCCTAAGAAAGATCTTCGACGAGAGCAAGGATAATGTCAAGTCTAAGGCCATCCGTTCATGCTCCTTTGGAGGTGGACAATGGACTGTGTTGCTCTATGCCCAGAGCGGCGTGGACCAGGTGAGAGCCGCATCGCGCATGACCCATGCTCAGATACGCGCTTACATGTACAAAGCCGCGCCGCAGAATGTATCCCTCTACCTCAATGCAGAGCCACTTGCATCAGAGAAGGTTCATCCTTTGATGACTGCGGTTAAGAACCCAGCCGAGCTGGAACGACATGTAGGGACGATCAAGGAAGGGGAGCAGCAGTCGAAGGCAAAGCAATCCTCTCGCACAGAATGGCACCGCGAGGGCGTGTTCCGTTTCACATTTTCCATTTACACTGCAGGGAAACTGTCACTTATCTCAAGTAAGGAGGCACTCGGACATACCTTCTCATCTCAAACTGCCAACTGGGGCTGGTCTGGCTTCTGCTCCAGAGACCGCGTCTATTACAACCATCACACAGTCAAGGAAATGGACATGTTCGTCGTTGTCGTGTCGCTCACAAAGCAGCCCAAAGCGCCAGACTCACATCGCCCGAAAGGTCACATCGTCTCACAGTCTTTGACGACCGCGATGGGATCACTCCTGGATACGCCGGATTACAGGTGAATGGAACAGTCCCTTTAATATTCTTAATCTGCAGGCTAAGCAACCACTTTTCCGGCGTCCTATAGCGACACTATATTTGTCTTCCCGCGCCAAACACGCAGGCAAGGCAAAGTGATCAGAAGCTCCGGGGAAAAAACAAAACAAATCTTCGCCATCAAGCAGATCCTTACCGCCCGCAGCGATTACTTCCGCGACCTCTTCGAGGGTGGCTTTGCCGAGGCGGAAGACAGTGACGACTCGGAGGGTTTTGATCAGCAGGATGCCGATCAGGCCGCCAACGACTCTGCACGTGCGGCTGTGGGCGACGCCGGCATGCGCAGTCTGTCACCTGATCATGATGATAGTGACGAAGGGCGAGATCGGCGCCGTGCAGGTTCGAGCGCTCGGGACACCCATCAGAGGCAATGCTCGAAAAAGCGGCGCGCAAGAGCGAGATCAAGTGGGACCGCAGGTCTGGATTCGTCGCAAGCCTTTGCCGAGGCAGATGAGGAGTTGGATTACGACGGCGAGGGTATCTTCAATGACTCGGATGCAGAGTACGAGTTGACTATGCAGGACGGCGAGACCAGTGACGATGCCAGCAGCGTCAATACCGATGAGGAGGAGCGTCAGGGAGAGGATGATCACGGCGACGGGCCAAGTCAGGCTTCAGATGGTGACGACTTGGCGGCTCAGCAAGCGAATTATACCTCGGCCGATCCCGCTGCTGCTATTCCATCAGAGGATAGGCACAACACATTTACCGCGACGCTAGCAGTCGCAACCCCTTCATATCACAGCGGATTCTCACACGGCAAGTTCAGCCCGCCACGCGAACCTCCTGCAGACGTGCCCACATTTGATGATGATGAAGACGAAGACATGGGACACGAAGACGAGATCGCGGCTGTGAGCGGTGGTCCAGGCGGCGCGCCGGGTGCAGGCGCAAACATTAATGCGAACGCGAACGCCAAGGCCAATGCCAACGTCAACGCCAGAGCAGGGGTCACGCCCGTGCTGAAGACAAGTGACCCTGCTGCCGAGCGCTCCATTCGAGCAGGCAGCGGAGATAACACATCGGAGGGAACCACGAAAGGTTTGACGAACCGGATGGCATCTCTAAGCACGCCCAGCGCAAATGCAAGGGATGCAAATGTTGCCGGCACCAGCGGTGCTGGTGAGATGGACAAAGGCAAGAAACGTGCTGCAGACGGAGATGTCAGCGCAGAACGTGCCAGGAAGAGAAATGCATTTACGGGTCGCAAGCGGCGCAAGGTGGTAAGTATGATGATAGGACCTTTTGTTTACCTTGTAGCTGGCATACTCATGAGCATGGCCCAATGCGTCTCCTGCCCCCGTAGGTCATCCGCGACAGCTACTATCCAAGCTTCTATGCTCTGCTCTACTTCCTCTACACCGACATTATCGAATTTGCCCCCCTCACGTCGTCGTATTTGGAGCTGGATGACGAGAGCGATCATGCCAAGTCGCACACATTCGACAATCCCGAAGAGCATCTGGAGGATCTGATCTGCGCACATTGGAGGTAAGTGTTCTGCGCGACATTGCGCTCCTCTGCATTGCGCATATTTCTGACATGTCGACCGATCTTTTTGTTGCACACTGGCCCACTCCAAACCCCCAGGCGTGCCGACATGATATGCACATACGCAGATCGTGCAGAGAAGGCACCGCTGTGCTCTGCCAAGTCGATCTATAAGCTGGCGGATAAGATGAACCTGCCCGAGCTCAAAAAACGCGCCAAGGCTCACATTGCCGGCAGCTTGACGGTCAACAATATTGTTTGGGAAGTCTTCAGCAGCTTCACGGTCCGCTACCCCGAAATACGGAAGATGGAAATCGACTTCCTGCTGGAACATTTCGCTGAGGTCAAGAAGACAGCCGCGATGAAGGAGCTTTTCATGCGTAGTGTTGCGCATCCTGGATTGGCGCAGGGTGAGTTTTTCATTTACAGATGACTGGGTACGAAGCCTTGAGCTCACTGGCCTGTTGCAATCCTCCCTCTGCATCACGCACACGCAGTGTGGCCGGACTTGCTCAGCAAGCTCGAATATAAGAAGATCGAAGCGGAAGAGGCAGAGGCGCACGCGTCCACATCAGCAAGCGAGTAGCATAACAAGCATGTGAAATGTTTTCCGGCCGAATCGTTAATCTCAATGACACTGCAAAGTCAAAAGACCATCGGATTGATCGAACAAACGTTCATGAAGACTGTATCTTATAGCCCAGCACAGAAGGGCCAACAGCACTGCGTGCAAACACTATCAGATTGCGTGTGTTTGGAGTTGGAGCCTAGTAGAGGAGGAAGCCGGCGATCACAGGTTATCGAGATCATCGTCCTCCTCGTCCTCGTCGCTATCAGCCTGGTCGAGCCATTCGAGGAACGGCGCAGCGGCGCGGCGGACCTTCTTGCTGGTGTCCTTGTCGACGTATTTCTTGCTCGTGTGCGTGCCCCAGTGCTTGACAATCTCCTCATCCAGCGCGTCGATCTGGTACAGCGCCATCAGCAGCTTTGGGACGCCGCTGGGGACCAGCGAGGGTTGTTCAATGCCCGCAAGGCGCTCGAGGCCGCCTAGCAGCGACTTCTGGTGTTTCTCCGAGGTGGTCATCTGAAGCAAACAAGCATAGCATCAGAGCAAGCCCACGAGCTTAAACCAGACGAGCGATACGGTAGCTCACCTTGGCAATGACGGCCTGGTACTTTCCCATCTCTTTGACAGCGTCCTCGGTGAAGAGAGACTGCATAATCAGCTGCACGGAGCGATGCTTGTTCTCGATGCCGAGCTCCTGAGCCTTTTTGTACACTTCTGCAGCGGTGCATTCGCCGCCCGCAGAGCCACCTTTCCGGTGTTCGGTGAGCCACACTCCGAATTGGTAGTACGGGCTGTTCTCGTCCTCGGCCTCTTCGTCGTCCTCGCCAGCGGCGAGGACGAGGGAGGATGTGATGCCTCCCTCCAGCGCCTTAACGCGGGCTTTGACGGCTGCCTCCGACGTGTCGACGCTCCACTCGTCTCCGCCGTTCTCCTTCGCGCGCTGCTCAGCAGTGGGAATCAGAGCCGCTTCTGAGGCAATCTTGGCAGTGAACTCGTCGTCGCTGCCACCGTTCTCGCCATCATCACATCCGCCATCGTCAACGCTTTGGCCAGCAGCCTTTCCAGCACCTTTGACACCCTTCTTCTTCTTGGGCGGAGGGTGGTTGGTGATGAAAGTGGTAAGCTTGTGGCGCATATCCACGTCCGTCATCGCACCGCAGGCCTTGCAGTCACGGTGAATCATGCCATCCTTGCTGATCTTGAGGTCCGTTTCGGGGTTCTTGCAGGCTTTGCAAAGTACAAACTTTTCAATGAAGCCGTCAAGGAGCTCGCGCAGACGGACAGCCTCGTGCGAGCCGTTCACAATGTAGCGCTCATTCTTTTCGTCAAACTGAGTCTGTGCGCCAAGCTCACAGCCGAAGAACTTGGTCGGGTCTGCAAAAGAGTACGCACGGCCCGTATGTTAGTGGGAACGGGGAAGCGGCTTGGCTGCTCGATGATGTAATGGCTCACAAGACGCAGGGCGGGAGAGGGCCCTACCAATGTCCGCCATGTTGGGGATGACAGTCTTGATGCCGTTCCCTTTGCCCTCAATCTTGGTCTGAAGCAAGGGCATGCTGTTGAGGGAACTATAGTCAGATTCTGATGTAGACTGGGTATTAAGAGCACAAAAACGCACCGGTATCGATAGAACTTGTCATCGACATCTCTCCTGATGTTGACGACAGCCATATTGACTACTGATCACACTCTTCTCGCAATCTACGAATGAGTGAGACTTCTTTGCGCTGCTACGGTGGGCGTACCCTTTGTGCGAATGCACGCTATATGCTTCGAGGGTTCGGAGTGAAGGGACGCAAGTTAGAGAAAGAGGTGGCTAGCAGCGGGTCTCAGCCAAGACAAGCATGGGACTTCTGCTGCCCTTGTTGTGATGATTAGCGATGACAACAATTATTCCTTTGGAGGAATTCGAAGGGAGGTTTGGCTCTTCGAAGGGTGGAATGGTGGCGACGACTGGAGTCCGGAAGGATGATGGGCAATGGAGACATGTACAGCGTGCTCTTGCCGCTTCGCTGGGAAGGCCTGCTGTTGCGACTTTTGTGCGGGGGAGGTTTGTCAAGATGGTGGCAAGCTTCGCTCTGCCGTACTTCTTGCTGATGGTTCTGGTCGATTGGAGAGGGGTTGATGCAGACTTTGTCTCCTGCATTTGATGGCCGTCAACGATGAAGGTTGAGAGCATGCAAAAGGGCAACTGAATGGATGCTTTTCTTTGCGTTGACGCACTGTGATGGCTGCATATGCCCATCTCCTGCGGCTGAGGGAAAAATTTGGTTGAGGCTCGCTCTAGTTCTGAGATCGAAGAGCTAGTGCGGAACGAAACGGATCAACAGGTTCCATCTTCTGCGATCGCGCTCCAGACCACTCACTCTTCTCGCCAACCTGGCAAGGTCCTCTAGGCTTCGACAAGGTCGATCCCTCGCAGGTCATAACTTGTATCTCGAGGGGGCCATCAGTTGGAAGTGGCTGTTCGTTGCACGTAGCATCTGAAAGACAGGAACACCTCGAAGAGACAAGCAGAAAGACACCCTCTCTTGTCACAATGGCGCTCAGAACATCAGTCGTCCGCATGGCCGCGTTCCGGTCCTCGCCCCGTGTCGGTGCGCCGCACATCAAGCCTGCCTTCCAGCCGCACGTTGGCAGGTTCGCTCCGGAGAACGTCTTCAAGTGAGTGCACCGTTTCCGTAAGGGGGTAAACTAGGCAATTAGAATACCAGCCAGAGTCGACACATCGGGAAGATGCGAAATGCTTATTCACAATGATGCAGCGATATCTGACGCTGACTTCCTCTTCGTCTATTCAATCCACTCGGCTTCGCTTTGATCCTCCTTTTTATCTTATGAACCTCATCTTGGACAGGGCTTCTGGCGCACTCGCATTCTGGGGCGTAGCAGGCGCAGGAGGCGTTGCCCTCTTTTTGAGCGGCGTTCCGAAGTTCAAGCACGACGTTCTGCTGAAGATTCCATTTGTGAGTCTACGCTACTGGTCATGGGTTTGCAGACGTGGACAATATGGACTTGGTGCAGAGAAAAGTCTACCAGTGTCTCTCATATGCAGAGTGACCCCCAAAGGCCTTGTGTTCGGCGGCTGTGTGATTCGGACACCATGGACTAATCTCCAAGGACCGCCCCCAGGGAGAACAAGCGTGCAAGTGTTGAGCTGGGGGTTCATCTTGCTCAGTCAATCGTCTCTTTGTGAGCTTGTTGCTGACCAGTGTTGCGTCTTGTTCATTCTTGCAATTTTTTAAATCTCCGACGCCCCATAGGTCAACCAATACTTCCAGGGTACGTTCCTCTCCCATCCTGTCCTCGAATGCGAAGCTCACCCATGGTCGTCCCTCTTTACACTTCCGACGCTGCAGACAATACCCCGGACTCAGACAAGCCCTTCTAAGCGCCTCGTTTCGAAAATCGTACAGCATTCGCAGTATTACTCGGCTTGGCTTTAGAATGTAGCAAGCAACGCCTCTACACTAGATCAACATCAGCCTTCCAGTTGCCATTCTGATTACGTAGTGAGAAAGCTAGCTAGGCTAGCCGACTGCATGCCGTACAGCGTTTGAGAGGCGATCGGTAAAGTGTGTATGTTGCCCTTAAACCCATGTACCTCCCCTTCAGACTGGTGCAAGACACTAGCGTTGGTAATGCAAGTGTCGGTGAAGCTCCGAGAACCCCGGCGAGCGTGCTGTTTGCGCAAATGAGGACCTGCGAGAGCATGTGGCTGGCGAATACCGTCGATGGAAGCGCGTATTTCTATTTGAACGGTCGACGTTTGAGCGCGCTGAAGGTGACAGCTTGCGAGGTGATAGTGCAACCGACGCAGTGGAACAATTGATCCTCTTTCATAGCATACTAATACAACGCATGCGTGATTCGTGCATCCAGCTCACATTGATGAGCATGCATGCCACAGCCCGTTGGCAAACCAGCTGCCCTTCCCCAACTCTCTGCTAATGCTGAGGCAAGCGAGATGCCCAGGGCTCAGTTCTCCACCCTGTCGGAGAGGTTGAGCAGCAGCGTCGCAAGGCATCGCTTTGTGATCTGTCAAGGCCGTCCACATCAAGCGCGTCAATATTGGTTATTTCTTTGGAAGGCAATTCGTTCAAGGCTAAAGGCGAAGGGAGGCTCACATGGTCGTTCTTCAGCAGCTGCGAAAAGGTAGCATCTCTCAGCGGACCTGGCAGGCAAGCGCGTAGTGCCTCGCGTGCTCTGTTCGAGAGTGATGGAGCCCCTGTCAGCTTTGAAACCCCAATAGCGAGTTGACCAAAGACGCGTGGCCTGCGCTGTCACTCACCTCGAGTTATCGCTCAGACGCAAATAGCATCGCACAACGTGCTTGAGAAGACGCACCGCTTGCGTTTCGACAATCTGGTTGACCATGTTGCTCAGCACGGTCCCGACAGCGTAGAAGCGCTCGTATGTCTGACAGATGTAAGCCAAACCAGTGTCGTCGAGCAGGATCTTCTGCACAATGAAGATGGCAACTGTCTTACTCAGTTCCGAGCCCGTCTCCATGATACGTAAGCAGAGTGGGATGATCTCGGTTGACAAAAGGAATGTGATGACCTCGGTGTTGTCATTCTGCTTGACCAGGGCTCCGATCACTCCCAGCGAAGTGAGACGGAGATACTCGAATGGCCGCGTCTTGGATGTCGTGTTGAGGAAAGGGTAGAGGAACAAGGGGATGTGCGCTTGCAGGAACAACCCTCGAGTCTCGTTGTGACTTGCGATGCATTGTAGCAACGCTAGGGCGTTGCACACCCTGTTCGATGCATGCGCCGTCAGCGCCGGTGGAGAAAGCAGCGGGTAGACAGAAATAATCTCTTGCAAGAGGGAAGTCATGACGCCTGAAAGGTGAATTGCGGTCAGCAAGTCCCATCTTGCAGAGAGCAAATCGTATCGTAACGACGTACCAAAACTGTGCCAAAGCACTAACGCTAGATCTTCGTACTGTTCTCGCTTCTTGCTGAGCTCGAGCAGAGCATTTTCCCTCTGCGCTGAGCTCCCGGGGGAGTCATTCAATACCGCTTGCCCTTGGCCAGGCGCATTCCCCGATTGGTCTTTCCCACCAGCACCTGTCGCAGAAGCAGCACGTGGATCCGGGCGCTGGCAAAGCTGAACGATGAGTGGATACACCGACAACGCTGTCGTTGGGGTACCACCGGGGCCGGTGCCAGCCGGAATGGACGGGCCTGACGCCGGAGCAGGACCGGCAGCTGACAGCATCGAAGGTGCGAGCTCGACACCGGCGAGTGATCCTCCTTGATTCGTTGATGATGGCGACGACATGATGGCGATGTGTCCTCGTATGCGTCACCAGTCCACTCAAGTCTCTTTGAAAATTTGTTGCAGTAGCTACGCCACCATCGCCGTGCTCCCTCCCCCGATCGCACGTCTCAGAGTAGATCCAATCTAGCCCACTACTCCAGAATGCGCATCTGCGGGCATGTGAACGGCGCTTTGCAATGATAAATCCAGAGGATGCGTACACATAGCAGGGATTGAAGTGTGTGCGAAGTTGACGCAACCTCCCATGGGTCGTGAGTGTAGTCGCTGGTGACGAGAGGGGAGACGGCGGCGACAGCGCCGCAGCTGTGAAGTTGCAGTCACATGGCCCCAGCATTTCAATCTGGGATCTCAATCTCAATAGCCTTTACTACAATCGACATCGTCTCAACCCATTCGTCATCAACAACACTCTTGTGATGAAGGCTGCACTTCGTTCGCGCCATCCTGGAACTCATGGACACTTGTGCTAGTCTGATTAGCATACCCAGGACGAATCATTGGAGGGGTACGACACTCAGCCATGTCAACCAGCCCAGGAAGTAACGCCTCGGCGCCCGGCGACCAAGCCGGTTCCATCGACACTGGCCTTGGGGCAGGTGCTCTACAAGCTTCCGGATCGACAGTTCTAAAAGCACCCGTTGATGTTGTCGAAGGAGGCGCTGATGCTGCTGACGAGGATGGGCAAGACGCAGTGGATGATAGCAGCGTGCCTGTGCCACTTGATGGGGGCGACATGACGTACGAGCAAGCAGAGAGGGATGCGGAGGCAGAAGGCGGTCTTGCAGATGGGGACGATGCTAACCCAATACAGTCAGGCTCAGAGGGAGAGGAAAATCAAGGTGGAAGCGCAGAGACAAGCTTAAAGAAAAAAAAGTGTGTGGGCTTACCCTTGAACGAAGCCCAGGCTTGCTGACGTCCCTTCTCGCTCCTCACAGGAAGAGAAAAGACAGATCTACAGAAGAGGAGCAGGAAGAGGAGCGAGAAATGACCCGAGCAGAGGGTGAGGCTTGAATTTGGCTCCACGAGAGGATCCTTCATCCTGATTGGGCTTGTTTCGTGGGAACAGTTTCGCAGGTCCGGATCAATGCACAAATCGACGCCGCCCTCAGCGTCGGCAAGAAGCGACCAAAGAAGCGAAGGACAGGCGAAGATGTGCGTGCTGATCTTATTTTTCCTCATGGAAGACGTGCCTGACGCGTGTATGTCGAATAGGATCTCGATCAACTGGCCGATGAAGAAGTGGAGAGGCTCAAGAATGATATGATCGCTGCAGCCGACGCGGACATTGAAGCAAATGAAAAGAAGAGGCCGGCGACAGAGAAACTCAAGCTGCTCCCAAAGGTTGTCAACACATTGCAAAAGTAAGGCGGCGTGCCGAAGTATGGCGCTCCGGTTGTCCTGACACTCTTCACTTGGGCCCGGCAGAACCCACTTGCAACAATCAATCTTGGACAACAATCTTCTAGAGGGGGTAAAGCGGTGGCTTGAACCTCTGCCGGATCGCTCCTTACCTGCACTCAACATTCAGCGGCAATTTTTTGCAATCTTGGAGAAACTACATGTGGACGAGATAAGTCTCAAAATGAGCGGTCTAGGCAAGATTGTGCTCTTCTACAGCATGTGTCCCCGAGTTGATGCGAGGATCAAGAGGATCGCAGAGAAGCTGATCGGTGAGCTTCTTCCACGAGCCTTTGCCGAGGTGCCATTCCTGACGACAGCCTCGCTTCTCGCAGAGGTATGGTCGCGGCCGATCTTGAAGCGATCTGCATCCTACCGGACACGCAACGTTCCGCAGTCCAACCGAGAAATCAGGAGGACGTATCGGAACGAGGCTCAAGAGATTCAAGCGCAGATTGATCCAAATCGTCGTCACGTCACAGTTCCACAGGCCGTGCAGACAGGGTATACCTACGCACCTCGGGCTACTGCTGGCGCTGTTGGGCAGGAAGAAAGTCACCAGGCGCGCCTCATCAACCACAAGAGGCTTAATGAGTTCAAAGGCAAGCTCAAGGCACACAAAAAAGGCTGAGTGTGTCTTGTGAGAGTTTGCGTCGTGTATAGTAGGCATTGGGTAATCCATCATCGTAAAATTATAAGACTGCCGGTAGGCATCTCACATTTCGAACCTATCAAAGCCATAATTCTCTGGCGCACACCGCCCTAACACTGGACTTCAGGCCTATGAAATGTTCCAGCTTGCCCCTCCTTGTCATTTAGCCAGGACGAATGGCAATTGCGTGAAAGCGACGGAATCATCCTGCATGAGCAAATAGATCCGGGAATGCAAAAATACAAAGCATAGCAGTGCAGCGAGGAGCATGGCTCGAAGCGAGAGCGGATTGGCAAAGGGATAGAACAGGCTGTTATCGGGTACCTCAAGAAGACAGCCCGGGCCGAAACGAGCGGGCTACGCGTCAGGTCTCAAGCCGAGCGTGCGGAAGGGCTGGGGTCCCACTGTCCGTCGGGCGCGGGCGCGAAGCCTTGGTCCGGGACAGGGTAGCGGACCAAGCCTTGGCCGTGCAGCGTGTTCGCTTCAATATTGTTTCCCCACCAAGGAATGCCCGTCTCGGTGTAGAAGACGTTGTCTAGCGCCGGGGCGCGGGGATATTGTAGCGCGGGCGTGATGATGATGACGGAGATGGCCGTCCCCGAGTTACAAAACCGCGCTAATGACGTTGTTGTACGACCCTCAGAAGACTGGACGCTTCTTCCTGAGAAAGTACTGGAAGAAGAAACCGACGGTGGCCCAGGCAGTGTATGAAGGCGCAGAGGCGGGAGGGAAGTAGCCAGGACCAGAGAATATGATAGGCCAATTGATGAAGCAGACAAACGACTTCAGGAACTTGCGCGCGAGGAAGTATATCGGAATCGGCAGGAATGCCCCGATGGCGAACATGATGTTGGTGTACTGGTACCGGGCGCCCTCGTCGAATGCGTGGCGCGGCCCGATGAGACCCCAGAGGATACTGGCGGTGTAGAAGGTGCGTGCGTAGCTGCACGTGAAACGAGATGGGTGCGCGTCGGCAGTGCAGAGGCCGGGGACGTTCTGGAAGATCCAGGCCATGACACCGAGCTGCACAAAGACGGAGAGGATCTCCGCGATCATCTGGCCGGCGAACATCGTGCGCGGGGGCACCTTCATGTAGTGGCCGAACATGAGGTCGCTCAGGAAGGTGACAGCTTGTACCATGGTGATGTAATCGAAGCACTTGAAGATCATCATGGCCGCTAGGTGGCCTGGAAGCATGTATCCGATGATTATCTCCGTGATGACGTTCAGGCCTATGGTTGAGCCGGTGATGACCGAGATTATCGCGAGCAGAAGGGTGTAGATTGCAGCGAGGATGAGGGCGATGATCAAGGCCAAGACTGGCAAGCTGGTCGAGTAACTGCAGACGGCGGGGACGGCCATGTCGAATGAAACGAGGAACGTCGCTGTGTACCACCAGACAGGCGCTTCCTTGTAGCGAGACATGAGGCGAGCGTGAATGTCGGGCTCATCGCCGATTGTGCGCCGGAACTGTTTGACAGTGCCCTTGCCATAGAAGAGTGAGACGTGAACAAGACTCACAAGATGGCGCCAAAGCCCCAAGCGTACGAGACCATGAACGAGCTAGGCAGGTACGGAACGGAGTATGTTTCGTACGCCGCCTCTTCCAGTTCGCCGTTGGCACCGAGAACGTGAGTCGAGTTGAATGGATTCCTGAAGCGGTCGTAGGACAGACCCGACGAGTAGGGGATGTATGCACCATACAAGTAGTTCTTCGCGTGCAGCATCGGTGAGATGAAACAGATGGAGAACATGAAACCGGAAGAGATGTTGGCGATCGAGAACCAAGGTTACCAGAGCGGGGAGCCTAGGTATCCCAGGGTTGACCAGTCCAAAGAGATCATGTTCAAACTGTAATCCAAATGATCATCAGTGACCGTTCTGAATTCAAACTCCCGTTGCTGATGGAATCGCACCCAATGCCTCCGGTACCGCCAAAGACCATGTTGATGCCATAGTTCTCCGACGTGATCCAGGCTGAAAGGGGTAGAACGCAAAATCAGGTCCTCAGGCGAGTCCCTTCATGTATGCGTGCCAAAGGAACGTACTTGGCCAGCTAAAGTAGGTCAAAGAGGTGAAGAGGTACACAGGAACAAACTCCCAGCAGAGGATTGCGAGGAACACAGTGACGAACATGTGGTTTCGCGACCACTTGGAGCCCTCTGCGGCCTCCTGGGTGTGGTGCAGGGTGTTCATTGGTGCACAGTTGGGTAGGTTGGTAGGCCAGATCATAGCCGCGGGTCAAACGAGCCACTGGCGGATGAAGCCGGCGTAAGAGAAGCCGGTGAGCTGGGTGGAGAGCCTGAGGAGGATCTGGTATCCTGCCGGAATCTCCTGGTGGTAGTATACCTTTTGGACAGTCAGAATCTCGGTGGCGTATGCCTGGCCGTAGGCCACTGTGGCCATGACGGTGATCAGGGTGTGCTCTTTGATGTTGAATGGGCCCGGGTTGATGAACCAGCCCAGCGGCCATTCGGCCTTGTATGGGATCAAGGCGAGCGCCTTGCCGAGCGGGAAGGCTACCAGCTGGGCGATGATACACGTAATGGAAGTCAAGGGCGACTGGAAGATGAAGAACTGGTTGATACCAGAGATGAGGATGGTGGAAACGATGCCCAGGAACCAGGCGCCGAGCTTGTTGACGGGCATCGACGGATCATCAATGTTCGTCACGGCAGCGCGGACCTCTGGGTAGATCGAGTCCTCCTCGAGGACGCCCTCGAAATCTAGCTCGGCCGTTGGGTCATGCTTTTCGAGCGCCGCCTGGGCTGTCTCGATGAGCTCTGGGTAGAGGTTGGGGTCATTGACCATGTATGTGGCAATGGCTCTGGAGATGTTGGCCTCAACTTGCGGGATATCCTGGACGCGCGGCAGTGCGTCTTGTTCGCGATCTTGTCCTCCTGGGAGGAGTGGCGAAATGATACAACTGCAGCTGGCAGCAGAGTTGGATGGCTTTTAGTCAACGAGTTCACTCCATTAACACGAACGCCCTCCTGCCTGCGTATTCTTGGCTACACTGACCCGGTACGGTGAATGCTGCTGCCCCATCTCGATACAGCTGAGCGTAAGTGTAGGTCGGATCCCCGGATGGGTCGTAGCAGGTGGTCACGAGGGGCGAAGGAAGCGGCGCGCATTGCAACGCGCTAGTTTATGCATATATCCCGCGAGCTCCAGTGACCAAAAGAAGCTAGTAGACGCTGTGCTCAATCAGATGTAGGTGGGGGAGTATGTATGGGGGTGGCTAGTTGTATGTACAGAAGGACGCGCTTGAAGAGGAGCAACAGTGTAGAGACCGAAGAAGACGGGTGAACCTGTTGTGAAGGATGGAAAGAAACAGATGACGATACATTCAGCTTTGTCACGGCAATGGGGCCCACCATCGGCACATGAGGGTCTCCCCTCTCCCCCTATCACTCATGCTCGACTCTGGTATATGGACCTGTATGTTCCTCAGACTTGGATGAACCTAGGCATCCTCCCTCCCTGCCTTCGTAGAGTGCATCTGCACCTCGGCGTAATTGGTTTGCATTAAGCACCGAAGGACCGCAATTGCTGGCAGCGCACCAGAGCATAGCGCAGAGAGAGGACGAGCAGGTGGGAACCGGGAACAAGGGCATGTGCTTATCTGCTGCTGGCTGCTTCGACTGCGCGAAAGGCCGACTTGTCCAGTGTTCCGCACCCAGCGTGCAGCTGTCAGCAACCCTCTAATAAGAACGACTCACATGTCCCTGACTGATAGTGCGTTGTTCCTCGTCCCCGCAATGAGCACCGCCGCGCAGGAGTTTCTTGTGATCGTGCGTCGTGACAGGGATTCCGCTGCACGCAGCATTGATTTGTTGCAACTGAAGGGGGTAGAAGAGTCGAGAGATAGGATCGACACGGAAGGGGGACGCTGATGAGTGATCCACATTTACTGCGAAATTTGAAGTGCCCAGGTCCCATCAAAATGACCTGGAGATCGCACCTGTTCTGACGAGTTTGTCCGTCCTGTTGCGACTCGCGACACGTGCGGCAGAGCACGTGTTTCACATTGGGGTAATTGTCGCGGCATCGGCTGCCGTGGTCGCCAAGCCGTCGGCCACATGGCATCAACCCCCGGAAAAACAACACGGCGGAATTCCATGCAGCACACCGGCAGTGTGGCAACTGGCAAGTGCAACGGACACGGAAGATGTTGCACTCAAGTTGCTGTGTGATTTCCTTCAATGCTCTGATGCTGGTTAATTTTGTGCATGATTCTCTCTAGGCGAGTCAGCCGAAGAGACAAGAGACTGGCCAGAACCGCGAGAAAACACCTGTAATGCCAGAGTGACGTGACCAGAGCCCAGACAAGCGCATCCCAAGGATTTTAGCTTGTGATGCGGTGACGCAGCCTGCGTCAAGCTCTAGCAGGCGCTGCTAGGTACAGGACTGCAATGGAAAGGCTCTGTTCCTGGGGGTTTCCGGTCGTATGCGGTAACATTCCTTTTTGAGGGTATCACGCCGCAGGGAGGAAATTAGGTTTCACATTCACAATAAATTAAAATATAACATATCATATTTGCATGCTTCTTTCCATCTGTCATCATGAGTCAGGGGGCCATGTACGAACAGCGCTAAAATTCAAAATTGCGCAACAGACGCTGGGCGCCTGGACAGGTCGGCAGTTCCCCTACTATATGTATGTTTTACATGAAAGTTGTTTGTTCAAATGAAGACCAATCCGCCAACTGACGTTTCATCATCATCGATTGGCGAACTGGATCCTTCATCGAGTCTCGCGCTCACGACGGAGAGTGCCAACCCCGCCGTGTTCAGACCTTTGGAAACTGCTAACCTATACCTGCATGTACTACAACTCGAAAATTTGAGCGAGAGCTGAGAGGCTATGATATGTGAAGTTGTGAGGCGAAGAGCGGGAGCCTCCCATCGCCTCATCAATGTCTCGTCGTCATTCTGGCCTGCCGTCAAGAATCACAACTTAAAGCTGTACAATTTTAAAGAGCTTCTTAACAACGTTTCAATGCTGCTTTGGCGACGTGAGGTGCACATGGTCGTTCCCCCAGCGCCCACCTTACACTGGACGATAGCCAGTCGCTCCCAAGTTTCCAACCGGGAGACGCGTGATGCGACGCGGCTGGTGCAGGTGATGTGAAGTATCATGAACATGCCAAGGCCAGTAAGCCGATGGCTGCTGAAGATTTTGGCCCTCTGTCCTGTGTTGAAGGGTATTCTGGCACGTGTCCTCTGTCTGCTCGGTATGACATGCATGGGGCTTTCCGCCTGCATTGGTCCGCACAGATGTGCGAAAGGCCAGCTGAGAGCGATTGTGGGGCTTCCAATTTCAAAATAATACGAGCCGTGAGCGCTTCGTTTCCTCGTCCCAGGGTATGTCGTACGCTATATTGTAGTATGCTGCTTAGCCGAACATGACATCCGATCGAAGAACCCATTTGGTACCCTTTCGAGGCGGTCGAGCTTCATGGAGCATGCATGCCTGTCGCATCACGATTCATACCGACTCAGCTCCCGTCGCGACGTTGATGCAGCACGCATGCAGGGACTCACATTGCCATGTCGATGCAGCAGTGCACTCCCTCGCTCGAGCGGTGCCACGATTTCCCTGTCGCTGTCGCCTTTTCGGGAATGGTCTTTGTAGAACACGGTCTCGCCACCTTCAATGCCGTCTTCGATGCCCGACAAGTAGATGAGCAGAGTCCACTCGCTCTTTTTGCCGGTCTTGGGATCCGTCACAGAGTCATCGTAATGGGCGCCAAACAGCTGAGATGGAGAATAGCGGTAGCTGCCAGAAATAAAAGAGCGTCAGCCAATCTTCGGAGACGCCACAAGGAATGATGTGCACTCACACGCGAATGTTTGGATTCAGGCCACTCGCTGTTCTGCCATTGACCTTTGCCTCGCTGCCCACCCACCCTTGACAGCACTGAGCAAGTCCTGCTTCCCACAACTTTTCGGCAAAAGCCTGATCCTCAAAGCTGAAACGATCATTGGTACGATGAGCCTCTCCCTTTCGTGGCGGTGGCGAGGCGATGAATGTCAGCTGCGAGCAGGCGGTGATGAATGTCGCGCATTCTTTTGCCGTCAAAAAATTCCGCACAAGACACAGTTGGTCCGGGAGCAGCCAATCCACTGAGTCCGTGCTCAGTGGTTTGGGAAAGATCGAAGGAAAGGGGACAGACGACGGCGTGCTACATTTAGCGTCATCATAAGCCCGGCTTGACTTTTTACCTCGCATGGCGGCAATTACGCAGTGGACGTATGTGCATCGAGATTTCCAAGGATGTGCGTCAAGACAATTGGATGCTGCAAGCAGGCATCATCTCGTGCGGAGAGAAAACGGACAACGTGCGTAGAGGAAGCTTTGACCTGGTGATCCCACACCTCTCCAAGGACAAGGCCGCAAGAGTAACCTACCGTAGCTCCCGCATCCGCTCGGGACTAAGATTCCGGCGTTTAACGGTTACGAGATGTGATCTTGCTTGGCGTGACTTCCATCCGCCGCAAGGCCCTCTTGAACGAGTCGCTCCTCGTGGGAGAGATGATATTTTGTGTATCCCTCTTCGTTGCGATTTGGGATGACATGACGCCATTTAACGCAGTAACTGCAGACAGATCTGAGCGCATCTGTACTTGCGTCTTACATGCTGTATGGCTTTTGTCCTTTTTACGCCAAAGATTGTGCTTCTTGGTACCGCATAGCTGAATTCTACTCATTTCCGTCTCAAACAGGAAAATGCGCGGACAAGGGAGTAGTGAAAAAAGCGAGCAAAAGCTCAAGAGAGGAGACACTTGCAAACCTGGCCTCTCAAACTAGTTTTATAGCCTCTAGCATTGAGATAGTCATTGGGCCAATTGGCGCAATGGTAGCGCGTTGCTCTCCTACATGTGATGATTGCTTCATGCGCTTGGGGCAAGCAGAGGTTGCAGGTTCGACCCCTGCATTGGTCGTTTTTTTTGCTCCGTGTCCATTCTTGGCTTGCAGCATCTTGGATTCTCCCTCATCCGTTACATCAGCACTCAGACGTTGAGGAATGTCGTAGCAATCGGAACATTAGCATGCTGCGCGCTTCAGTTTCCCGTCAGGCAGACTCTGGATTCCCTTGTCGCATCTCGATTGCAAGCCTTGCCACCTCGCAACAGGTCAAGAAAGCTGGGCCAATTTCAAACACAAGTGTATTGGTTTCTCGTCATGTAGATTACGATCCTATAATATCACTCTCGTTCATGTCTCTTTGAAACGTTGGTTTAAAAGCTTGTGCTCGTTCATACCAAGTCAACACATCAAAAACGGCGTGGTGTGAAATACACCAAAGCGAAAGGAGGCAGTCAGACGCGCGAAATTCGCAGTGGCATTTGCGGGCCGGCTTTTTCTTGCCCGACGACGCGGGAACGCGTGACGAGTGACTGTCCAGATCAATGAGCCCAGTAGGCTATTCAGCGGCCGCGTTGGATGGTAGAGAGGCTGTATCTCGCGCAAAAACAAAAATGCACTCGCAACACGACTCACCAGCTTTGGCTCGATCGTCCACCCTAGAACACGCTCAAATCGGAACACGGACACAAGTTGCATCAACAGAACCTTGGCTTCGATCACTGCAAACCTGCTCCCAATGCAGCTGGAATCGATTCAGGGTGAGGGAGCGCATCAGAAAAGCGGGCGCCGCAGCACGTACTTTCGCAAGGTACTCACCCTCGTGGACCTATCCCAAGATGGTGAGAAAAGGCGATTCAGTCAGCATCCGCATCGTCCACAATATCGCGGACAAGCCGAGCGTAGCGTCAACCCACCAGCTATAAAAGTCGCGAGATGCAGGGGAAAGTCAAAGTCATTATTGACCTCCGTCGGCAAGTTGAACCATCTCTGCGGCCTAAACGCCAGCGCATCCGGGCCCCACCTGCGGTTTGGGTAATTCGGATGAAAGCGTGAGCAGAAGCGTAGATCAGTTCGCTGAAGAGAATACTTACACGTCTTCGCTCGTGTTGAGAAGCTCAATCGGAATGATGAACTCCATTCCTTTGGGGATCAAAAGCTTGTCGAACGTTCCCTTGCCATCCTCCCGAGGATAAGGTTTGCTGAGCGGGATAACCTTGTCCACTCTCGCTTCTCTCTGCAACGAAAAGACAGGTGGGGTAAGGCGCAAGGATTCACGCACGACCGCGTCGACCCAAGGCAGCGCATTGATCCCGTCGTAGCTCAGCTCGTTGCGGCCGGACATGTGCTCTTGCACTTCAGCGCGGACCTTGTCCTGCACCTCAAGGTTGCCCGCAAGGTAAAACAATATCCAAGACATGGCGGTCGCGGTCGTTTCGTGGCCAGCGAGGAGAAAGTTGGAAATCTGCGCAAGAATGTCATCATCGGAAAGGCGATTGCTGTCTTTGACATCGGACGACATGTTCGTCTTCATCATCTGATGCAAAATGTCTACCTTGGATCCGGCCGAGACATCCTCCCAGTCGCTTTTGCGCAGCTTGCCGTTCGCGCCCAGGCCATTTTCCTCCATTGTGCGGATGATCTGTTCGCGCTTGCGGTGGACGATGTCCAGCGCAACGCGGTTCATGCTGGCAAGTAACTTTTCCATTGCCTTCGTCTGGGGGTTAATTTGACGCCTCGCATACTCGAAGACAGAAATGTAGCGTCCCAGGATGAACAGAATGATCGATAGCGGGGAGAAATTCGACGATGCGCCTATGAGACTGTTGAAGCTCTCGGCCATTTCGTGTCCTGCCTGGCCGTCCTTCATGGCCATGGTGCCAAAGTCTTCATCAAACCCTGCTTCTCCGATGCTGCGGTGCAGAGAAATGCGGTGCGAAAATCAGGAGAATGCATCGTACTCTACTACGCACCGCTTGCTCACATGTCCAGCGTGGTGCGGCTGAGCCACCAGGTAATATCGGTGACTGGCTTGCCCGTGATGCTGGCTTTCGCCGCGAGTTCCGTCTGGCTCAGGGACATGGCTTCCTGAGTTCGTCCTTCAGTGCCATCGACCATCTCGCCCAGTTTGTCCGTCAGTCGTCGAGCATGCTTCCAAAAGATGGGCACCAGGTCCTTGATGGCGCTCGTGCTGAACGCAGGACTGAGCACCTTTTTCTGCGCCTTGTGGGCATCACCCTCGGCAACGATGATTCCTGGTCCGATCAGGCGAGCAAGAAACTCTCGATCGAGCACCGTCTTGGGGAAGTCGTACGATTGCGCAGAGGAGAGAATGTGTGAGATCGCGAGCGGATCGGCCACCAAGAGGCGGGGGCCGTACAGCTCTCCACGGTAGCAGATGACGGAGCTATTGAGCTCCTTGAACCACCTGCGCTGCGGCACGCCCATCACCGCCCCGTGGATCTCGGATGTATCTCCCAAGAACAGCCTGCCAGGTGTAAAGCTGCTCTTGGGCCGCGGTACATGTTGGAAAGGATCGGCGTGGAAAACGTGGAGGCGGACAAAGTGGTAGAGCGCCGTGCAGGAGACGCGAGCGATGACATAAGCGATCGCCACTACGGGCAAGAGTACGAGCACCGCTCCTGTGGTGAGGAATGGACGGTGCTGAATGCACATGCGCGGCATTGTCAGTGCATGCTGTGCCAAGCCCAGCAGGTATCGCTGAGAGTCGCTGAGAAGTGCCATCTTAGCGTAGTATATCGAGTCAGACTCTTTCGGCGCTTGAGCGTAAACAATTCTCAGATCGCAAAACCTATCGAAGGGAACTATCGAAAGCCGTTATCCGATACAAAATGCAGACAGGATGGAGGTACTTATATAAGTGCTTAACTCCGAAAGCCAATGGAATGCCGCTGGCGATATCAGTTGGTTCACCATTAGGAGGTACTTATATAAGTGCCTAACTCCGAAAGCCAATGGAATGCCGCCGGCGATATCAGTTGGTTCACCATTAGGAACTTGAGAAGTACCTTACAACAGTCGCAAACTCGCTAGGACTAATAATCGATATTGCAGCTGGATGCGAAGACGCGCTAGCAAAGCAAAACGCGACGGGCCGGTGGCTGATTGGTGAGTGTGGCGCCGTTGCGGGGTTAACCACACTCCACACCTCCCTGGCCCCTGGGTTTATTAACGTACCATAGAAAGCTCGGATTTCGAAGCAACCAATGGAAGATGTGGTTTCAGTGCTTTGGCTTGATTTGCCATCGCACGTAAGCACACCGACGCCGACCAAATGTGCAGTGGCAATCGACTTGCTGTCATGCTTTGCATTGCAGGTGTACAGAGTGTGCTTTGCGGCCTGTGCCCTCCCATAACCTGTGCATTTCCTACTTTCGCCGTCAACATGTTCCTCCTGATCTTCTCCATCTTCGCCTTTAGCCTCTGCCTCACCCTCTGACCTCTCCTGCTCTCGGCCTGCTTGGACGGGCACACTTCGCCGCGGCGTCACTAGTCCATGTCGAGCTCGGCAAATACCTCTCCGCCCGAGCTCATGCCATAGCGCTGCCCGTCTCTCGCGTACTCATCATCATCTTCGTCTCCATCGTCCTGGTCGCCACCGCCGGACGAGTTTGTCGAGCGGCCAGGCGAGTCGGCGTTGGTGCCTGAAGGAGACGTATGGCTGCTGCTGTGCCCGCCAAGCGTGGTGGTCGTGGACGAGCGCGTGACATCTTCCATCAAGTCTTCCTCCGGTGTCGTTTCTTCCGAGCCAGCACGCGCGTCCCTCGACAGAGGCAGTTTGCGCCCCACAGCCGAGCCGGTGGGCTGAGTCTGCAGAGCGGGGGTAACGCCTTGCGTGCGAGCATGAGAAGGCTTGTTCGGCTGCGGCTGAACTTGCGCTTGTTGCGCCTGCACCGTGGCCGGCGATGTAGCCGACTGCTGCTGGTGAAAGCCATTGGTAGTTGCAGGCGCCGTAGCGGGAGCGCTAGACTCGAGGTAGAGCTGAGAGAGATTGTTGAGCGGACTCATGCTCGGCGAGACACCGCGATCGCGCTGCTGTTGTTGGCGTAACCGCCTCCCCTCCATCAAGCGCTCGTAGTTAAAGACCTCAGACCCGAGCAGGCCGCTCGAAGGTGGGCTCACCGCCGCAGGCCACAGTGCCTTCTCCTCAGGCAGAGAGCGCGACTGAGAGTCCATGCCGACCAAGATGGCGGCCGCTTCCAGCAGCTGCACTTGCTGATGCTTGCTCAGCAGAAACTTGCTCGCCTCCTTCCAGTAGACAGTGTGTTCCTGTTTTTAAGGAGAGCCAAGAGTCAGTGGTGGTCACAGGTGCATCTATGACTAGCCACACCAGTCCGGACTCACCCAACGATGTTTAATCAAGCAGGACGGATGCCGGTACACCTTTGCGCAGGACTCGCAGCGATGCAGCAGCTGATCGACGCTCATACCATTGTAGATGACGTCTTCCCCATTGCCGGCCTTGGTGCCACTTGCAGCCGAGCCATCATCCATCGCCGAAGCGCTCGTGTCTGCGCTACCACGACGGCCGACCTGCTGGTGGTGTAGGTGCTTGCCTGCAGCGGCGGCGGCTTCGCTGTTTGCCTTGAGCTGTGCCAGGGCTGCCTGGCTAGGCGGCAGGTTCGGCAGGTTCGCATCGAGGATCGAGGGTCCCGTGCACTCGACACCAAAGTGCGTGTGTGTGCAACCCGGACTAACCATAGCCTTCTTGCTGGCGCTGCTCATCGGGATCGGCCGTGCTGTGGTGCCAGATGACGAGACCGAAGTGCCGTACCGCCCGTTTGTGATGCTGGTGGTCAGGAGCGGGCCAGAACGCGAGAGGGTCTCGGCCGCAGCGCCGAATGAGGTCGACAGATCTCCACCTACGCCTCCGCTCGGCAAGCGCACACCAGGTGACGCTCCGTACCGACTGACCGTACTTGGCGAGCGAGCGCGGTTGCCAGGAGCACCCGTAGGGATGGGCCGTGCTCCCGCTGCGGCATTGATCGTGTCTGCCGTCGATGCATGAAAGTGCGAGCCACTGGCGCCCTTCCGCATCTGCGCGCCGAGCGATTCTCTTCGTCTGCCTTTCGAGGGTACACACGACGGCAGCATAGCTTCTGCTTGTGACACTGGCGTGCTTTCCGCTGATGAGCTCCTGTTCGGGCCCGCCGCAAAGAAGCCTTTTGGCGGAGGGACAAATGTGCGCTCAGGTATCATGGTGATCGCCGGTGGCGCTGTCGCCGGACCATCGGCTTGCCTGTGGCCTGCATAGACGCTGCAATTGATGTGTGCTATCGGGGAGCCAGCTGGCGGTGCAAGTTCTCGCGGTGTCTGCGTGCGGTAGGTCGACAACAGACCCAGACCTTGCGCTGTCCCTTGATTGCTGTCTTGTGTTACCGCTGGCGACGCATTGCTGTTGCCTTCGGCTTGACTTTCGGCATAAGCAGCTGGGATGCCATTCGGCGCGAAGGCGCTGCTCATGGTTTTGACGGCCGGTCCCAGCAACGGTCTCGGCACTTCGAAGCAGCCAGCGGTCGCAGAGACTGTATGATCCTGGTCGTACCGGGAGAGTAATGGCTACTTCAGTATTTCTGCAATGACTGAGTCCAAGGATATGGCGTGCACGTGTGGCAGCGCGATGTCCAAAAAAGTTTGCGCCGCGTGTGTATTGTGCGAACGATGCGGGCGACCGAAAAAAGTTCACCCAGAGTGTTTCACGCCGTTCCGCCACATCCCGTTCCTTTCCTTCCCGAGACGATAAGAGGGCTGACGCGAGTACAGTAGGAAAGCTGTGCAGCAGGCACGCGGAGTGATCACCCCGTGTGCCTTTGCCCCCAACAAGGCCATGCTCCTCTACGAGCCAGCATCTTTCCTTGGTCTCAAGCAAGCGATGCATGCCTTCACATTTGAGTCTTAGCTTTTTGCACGTGTGGTCCCCCCACCACGCATCCTTCCAACAAATACGAGCAAGCAAACCACTGCTCTTACTCCACGCCGCCTCCATGCCCTGCTAATCTTTGCTCCTCGTCTGAATCGGCAGATCCTTGTTTATGCCATGATCGTTTGGCCCTTCATAAACGCCTCAAAGACGAGTAGTCGCGCTCCTAGTCACCCCCTCTGCTGTCTTTCCCGCGCCCATCCTCTGTTCCGCTCACGTCGAGGGGGATGACAAGTGGTACTTACAGCTGTGGTGCAAATCGGAGTAGCAAGCAGCAAACAAAAGAATCCTCCTCGTCAATCTGATCCGACGATAACAATAGCGCAGATTTGTGCGCTGGAGTCTGCCAGAGTCGTATGCCTGAGAAGCTTTTGCAACCTTGGTGAGGTGGAGGAGTCAGCGCCTTCCGCAATAACGTATTGGCGAGGCCGGTGCTGCGGGACAAAGTCGGACTTGCTGCCGCTGCTCCTTGCAATGAGACGGCGGGACGAATGCTGCGGCAATGCTGACACGACCTGGGAGAATGCACCTGAAGGATAGATGCAAAGAACCCCTTATGCCATGCATGTGCTGTGGTCGTGGACGCTTTGTGGGTAGGCTGCGATTTATGGGATGAATGAGAACAAGGCTAACGGAGTGGTCGAGCCGGTCACCCAAAAAAAGAAAAAAGTGCGGGCGGCACGCAGCGCGGGCACGGCATCAGCCGCTGTGGTAGTCGCTATGCGAGACAAGCGGCCGCGTGACAAAGGTCCACAAAGGGGGGGCACTTGGCTGTAGGGGAGACAGGCGACTGGAGCACTCAGCACAGCAGCGCACATGTCCAACGAATTGAATTTCCTTGTCGGTTTTGGTGGGGACTGACACAACCCTAAATTCAGAACGATGTACCCACACCGCCCACATGCACACAAACATTGCTTGCGGTGTGGCTGGGCCGCTTGGGGCTGGGCACCTCTTATCAGAGACATTCGACGAAAATTGAGTGAGCCTCAGCGGAAGGTCTGAGAGCGGCTTTTGCAGATAGAAGCCAGGGAGACGCAGAGTGCTCAACTGCAGCTCCACCCTACACTGGCAGTCAGGGCTTCCAATGCAAATCGCACACGCACGCATCCCGCCAAGCTTTTTCCCTTGGACATATATGTCTGCCGTTATTGCTTCCCTGCACCATCCACCGGAATTCGGGGAGGAAATATCCGGTTCAGGTTGCTGAAGGATCCCCCATGATTGTCTTATTTTTCGCCAATGCCTCAAACAATGCACAAATTCTTGGCATTCGCTGCAAAAGTGAGTCAACCAGCCAAGACTTGTCCAGGGCCGTTTGTTTCAATAATGCAGAAATGAAATTGTCGACGTGAGATCCAAGGAAGAAAGAAATGCGGGGAAACGGCGAAAGCTCCACGCGTGTTCCAGGAATCAGGATGTCCCTGCCTTTTTTTTTTCTCCAACGTTTTCCCGCCTACTGTTTACATACAGGTATGTGCTGGATAGATCATCCGAGGTTGGTACACTCGGCAGGGTCTGAGAGGATCCGCTCTTCGGAAGCTTCGGTAGTCTAGCTTATCTGCGGTCAGCAAGGCCTGTGCACTACATGCTGACTATTATTTGTCGGCCAGCGTTCATGCGCCTCGGATGATTTACAAACGTAGGATACGACGAGTATGACAGCGGATGTCCGACCAAGGATGCTTTCGAATTGCCGCTGACGAGTGGAAGCAGGAAAACGAAGTTGTAGACACAGCTAGCGCGTGTTTATACACAGAGTTGAAGACTCCCGGGTCGAGATTATTAGCTGGTTGCCTGGATTGAATAGTTCTTCCTTGACCTTCCCATCCCATCCTGTCCAGACTGAGTCTTGAGGATTTGAAAGGCTTCGGACTGCTGGCAATCACCAACGATTGATACTTCGCCGTTCTCTTGTATCGGTACCATGTAAAGGCTGGTGTTGGTCAGTTGTGTCTACTGCTGTGGTCAGCCGTCCTCCTCTGAGTTCGACCGTCTATGAGAGATCCCTCAATCGCGTGTTGCGTGCCTTGGGCGAATCGTGAAGGAAGAGGATGACCTTTTCTGATGACCGCACCGGCGCACCTATTCACACGCTATGACACGATGAACCCTTCCAGTCTTTAACAACACTTCGGCGTCTTGCCTTTTGTTCCTTTTGATCACAATAAACGATGGACAATTGGTTGCTTTTGCGTTCCCCTTGCACCCAACTCAGTCCCAAAAAATAAATGCCTTTGGGGGGAACGCACGCCTGTCAAAAAGCGCGGTGTGGCAGTGGAACCTCTGTGGTACGCCACACGACAGTCGGCCCCGCCTGTCGGCCGGAGTCCCGGGGCTGCGCAGCCACAACGAGAGAGTCGACGTTTGCCTTCTTCGCGCCTTCCACTCCGTCCTCAACCAACACCTTCGATTCTCCGTCCCTCGAAATTGGTCTAGCGTACTTTGTTCTCCGTTCTTCGCCACCTACCAACGCTCCTTGCAATTCTGGTCCACTCGGTAGCGGCCATCCAGTCCGGCAAACAAACAAGCTCCGTTCACTGCTTTATTCCCCGATCCTCTGTAAATTCTCGTGCTCTCTGCAGTCCTGCGCCGAGCACCGAAAGCTCCATTCCGCAGTTCCCTATCAGCTGGTCATCGTCCAACAAACAGCTTCTCGCTTTTCTTTCAACTCACAACCAAGAGCAGACCTTACCACTCTTTGTCAATCGCGCGAGCAGAAATCTCGACTGACCATAGCTTCCGGTGTATAGTCTAGGCGTTCAACACCTACCCGAGCGCCGCTATGACCATCTCCACAGCAGCAGCATCTTCACTGTCCACGTCATTCCAAGCGCCGCCACAGCGAGCGCACGCCAGCCTTCGCACAGGTGGGGCTGCCCAGCAAGCTGTATCCTTTGACCCACCATTGTGGCTTCAAAGGCAGGAATGGCTGCTCACGACGCTGCGCAACAACAATGCCAAGACTATCCTCGACATTGGCTGTGGGGAGGGGAAAGTTCTTGCTGCCCTGGCAAGACCTCCGCTTCATGTCGACGGTTTCCCGCTCGAGAGGTTCCCCAATCTCGCTGAACAAGCAGCTTCCTCCACGGCTGCCATGGGCTCTTTACGCATAAGCAACGAGGTGCAGCCAACAGCAGAGGGCAAGTATCTGGAATCTCCCAGACTCCCTTCCAATCATTGGATCTTTCGAGCGCCAGAGCTGTCACCGAGCAAGCTCACAGGCTTGGACATGTCGGAGGAGGACTTGGGCGATGCCAAAGCAACAATCGAGAACGTCATCATGCAGGTGGAGAACAGCTCCGAGGAGGTCCGCTGGGATCCGATCTGCGTATCATTGCTCAAAGGCAACCTCGCGCAGTACAATGAAGCGCTCAAACGCTACGATGCCATCATTGCAACAGAAGTGTGAGTTCGAGCCTGCAGTTTCACTTCATCGATGGAACAACATAAGCTCATCGCTCAGATCTACACGACAGTATCGAGCACCTCGACGAAGCCATCCTGCACGCATTCGCACCCTCAGTGCTCGGCCGTCTCCAGCCGGCCCTGTGCTTGATTACCACACCCAACTACTCCTTCCATGTGCACTTCAACCGTGACCCCGCAAAGGAAGGGGAACCTGGGTTCCTTGATCCGACAGGCAAGACTGCGCGACGCTTCCGTCATTCCGACCACAAGTTCGAATGGACGACATCAGAATTCCGGCAGTGGTGCAACCGGGTGGCGCAAGAATATGGCTACGATGTCGAAGTAAGCGGCGTAGGGCAGGCAATCTATCCTGCGGGCGTCAAAGCAGAGGAGAGGGCACGGGCCAAGGATGCAAGCGACGAAATCGGGGTGGATATCAATTCCGATGACGAGGACTCGATCAAATTTGCAAGTCAAGTTGCGCTCTTCAAGCGCAAGCAGCGCAACCGCTCGCCCAAGGTAGACGCTGCTGGCCATGAGGATGAAGGGTCTTCAGCCTCGCTCAGCAAAGACATGAGCGCCTCTACTTCTGAGAGCGAGAGTTCAGCCTCCAGTCGTCGGCCATCTCTCCGAGGTGGGCGCAGGAGGGCCAGATCACGGCAGCCCGAGCATCTGCCATTCCTCAGCGACATGTCACGCACGCCGGATGCAGTGCACCAGGCGATCTTCGAAAGTAGCGACACGAGCCCACTCGAGTCATCCATATCGACGTTGCACTCTTCCACCAGCGAGACCAGCCCCGGGCGCGATGCCGATCTGTCGAGCTCAGTGGCCAGCCTGAGGAAAGATGGCTCCCCTTGCAGCGTGCATCAGCTCATCTACGAACGTCACTTGCCTGGCTATTTGGACGGAGATTGGTCCACGAGACATCGAGCCGGCGAAGACCCCCGAGCCGGCGGTGCAGTCACTGCGTCTCCTGCAGGCGCATTCGACAAGTGCGCAGAGAACATCAAAGAGGAAGTGCTCGACCAGATGGATGCGCTGGCGTCACCATTGATAGCAGGCGATCAGAAGTTCATTGCTGCACGCCTGTGGGACATTTGGATCGACACTCGAGTGCGCCTTGCATGCGAAGGACGCTTGAACGCACTCGTGGAAGCACTGCAGCTGCGTTCTGCGCCTTCGTCCGCGTTCGACACGCTTGGTGGCATTGGCACGATCGTCGGCACATCACCGAACGGCGATTGGACACTAAGAATCGCCACAGAGGCAGCGATACGCAGCGCATCAGCGGCGGGCGCTGCAGGCGCCAATGACCTCTGGCTGTTCCACAAGGGCGCGCAGCTGGGCGACTGGGAATTGGCGCCTCCCAGTGACATGCACGCAGGACCTGCAGAGGCCGTGCCTGTCTCGCGTGCAACTGGGTCACGCGAGTCAGCCACTAGTTGGGAGTGACGCCTTAGCAGACACTACGAAACATCACGACATTTGTGCATTCAACGACAGTAGGCAGCGGAGAAACATACAAGGAACCTATCAGCAGCCCAGAAGGAGCAAAATGACCAAAACAGATCTGACTCAGATTCGTTTGATAATCCTCTCACAATCTTATTCTTCAACATGAACGTTATGCCACGAACACGGACCCCTTTAAGGAAGGCAGATTTCCTCTGCTCGTCACAAGGATCCATTCTGCTCCACTCTTGAAGCCTTTTGTGGTCCACGCCACCCATCAATCGATCCAGTACACGACTGGCCTTATTCATGTCAGGCCGTATTCTGTCGCACTACCTCCCAGCCCAGCGCCCATTCGCGCACAAAATTTGTACTTCTCGCCATTCCTACAACAATACACGTGTGCCATGGCTCATGCGTTTTCTCCTTAATCTAGCTGGATGGAATTCTTATCATTGTGTAAAACAATACGGCTCCAACCACCTTACACAGTTCCTTCACGAAAGGAAGCCGCGCACGCTCTTACCCACAGAAGCGGTGTCGAGTCTGTTGCAAAGAATGGGGTGGGCGATGCATCCAGCAGTAGCTCGGACAAAACACCATAACGAAAACGCCTCAACAAACTCACAAGAAACTGTCATGACCGTGCGGCGCGTCAATCTCGTAGTAGCTGACCTGCTCGTTGCCGATGCGCCTCAGGCATTCCGCGAGCTCGCGCTGCTGCTCGACGGGGAAGAGGATGTCGCTCTGCACGCCGATCACCAACGTCGGCTTGTCGCGCAGGTTGATGAGTCCGCGCGCGAGAGCGGGCACGTAGGCGTGCGCCGAGGGCGAGTAGAGCGTCGAAATGTGCTGCCGCTTCGCTTTGGCATGGTTGCGCTTGCCGACAACCTGCGGCATCAGCAACTCTGCTTCTTGCTCGGCTTCGTCCTGCTCTTCCTCCTCCGCCTCGATCGCGTGCTGCAGGTCCTGCAGCACATCTGACTCCTTTTCGCCCTTCTCGATGCGCTCGCGAATCATCTTGCGGCGCTCCAGATCTCGCAGCGCGTAGTCACTCATGTCGAATAAGTCCATGGCCTTGGAGATGTAGATGAGCGAGTTTGCATCGTACTTGAGGCAGAACTGCTCGCCCTGGTGATCAAGATACGTCTCGATCAGAAAATCAGGGCACAGCGCTGGATCTGCTTCCAGCGGCGCAGTTGCGCTGGTAGTAGAAGTAGTGGAGCTAGCAGACGATGGGGGATGTGGCATGCTGGGTCGCCGGCGCTGGCGACCGAATCGTTGCTCCCACTCTGGGCCCGAGCGGTACGTGATGGTGGCGATCTGTCGCGCAAGTTTCATACCTGTATGAGGTGGCAGCTGGCCATCGTCATAGTAAAAGCCGCGGTTCCAGTTTGGGTCGGCCATTAGCACTGCCAAAGGAACGTGCAAATTGATGCGTCAGGTCCCTCCTTCGCGATGCTTGCTCTTGCAAACTCACCGCTCCGTTGGGCATAGCGCAGTGCAATGCTACTTGGTGCGCTCCTTGCGCATCCACTGATACTGACCACTTGGCCGACACGCTCCGGGGCAAGGTGGGCCGCAGCGATACTCTGCATTCCACCCATGCTGCTTCCCACGCTCGCGTACAGGTGGTCGATCCCCAGATGATCCAACAACAGGAACTGCGCCCGCACCATGTCAAAAACGCTCAAAATGGGAAAGCGCGTACCCCACGCTCCGTCCTCGCCCTCGCTCTTTCCCTCTTCGACCGGATAAGGACTGCTTGGACCGGTGGACCCATAGCAGCCTCCGAGCACGTTGGTGCAGATGACAAAGTACTTTTCCGTATCAAGAGCCTTGCCCGGCCCGATAAAGTCCTGCCACCATCCCCTGCTCGGGTTCTGCGGCGTTGACGCGGCGTGGCTCGACGCGCTGAGACCAGTGTGGAGGAGGATGACGTTATCTTTGGATGGCGAGAGCTCGCCCCATGTCTCGTACGCCAGTTGGAAAGACGGGAGAACTCCACCATAGTCTAATGCCAAAGGTTGTGAGTGGTGGAACAGCGAATAGCCGGAGACCACATTGGAGTATACAGGCTCCTTGACGCCCTGGGTGCTGCCTTGCCCTGCACTCGTTGCTGCCGAGGCATCAGCAGCAGCGGAAGTGGAACGTTTGAGAAGCGGCGCTTGCGAGCGCAGCTTTTGCGCTCGGGCCTCGTTGGCGTCCAGACAAGGGAAAGCCAGAGAAGGGTTCACGGACGATGTCCCTGGCGATTCTGTGGAGGAAATGGTGCTGGTGTCTGATGCAGAGCGACGGTGCTGCTCCGTCGTTTGTGCCGCCGCTTGCACTGCTCTCTGTCGAAGCCTTTCACCTCGCGCCTCATTTGCGTCAACGCATGGGAAGGACGGAACCTGACTGCGTGAAAAGCTAGCGGCAGTCGCGCGCGAAGTCGAAGTGAATATCCCTCGCGCCATGGGCGAAGCTTCCATAGGGGACTGCCAAAGGACATCCTTTCTTGTGCGTCGCGCGAATGCCCCATGACCTGATCCGAACACCTTACCGATGAGCTCCATGCCCCCCTCCGCGGCAGGCAACGATGCCGCAAGCGGCCTAGCAGCACGAGCCAGCGACATGGTCCGGCAAGCTCGGATCCCCGTGTAGCCCCTGAGATTTTAGAATGGTCTATGCGTTTGTTGCGATATGCTCGTCCTTATGCGAAGGAGGGGTCCATTCGAAGGAGGCTGTAATGATGGGACTGGTTCATAGTCGGAGTTAACAGGATGGCGTGCTGATCCTGACTACGGGACCATGCAGACTGCGGTAAGGTGCCTGACTACAGTTTTCTTTTTCTTTCTTTCTTTATTTCTCGCTGGAAGAGTATTTAAGGATGGTGCTTGGATCACTCGCCCTGACACCATCAGCACATGCATGGTGCTGCTGACTATCTGCATGCTCTATGGTTCTACATCCCGGGGATGCCGCTGTGAAGAGTTGACTGAGAGAGCCCTCCCTTGACCGTGCCGAATCCCTTCACCGACTGATCAGAGAGGGAGAGAGATAACGCCGGCAAGATGGTGCAGTGAGTGATGTGTTAAGTCACAGTGACTTTGTCGGGGATGCTGCTGACGTGGGCCATGCTCTTGTACTTCCTTTCTCGCCGACAACTGTGCAACCTGCCTACTGATGGTATCATGGTCAGCGCTGATGCTGCTACTATCCCGGATGGGGTAAAGTCGAAAGCAGAGTTCTATGACCATCTCCACGCACAGCTCAGCTCCCTGTTGGACGGCCAACGAAACTGGGTGACAAATTTGTCCAATGCATCCTCCATCATCTATGCCTCCCTCAATCGCTTTCAGCAACGCCTCGCAAAATCGCAACAAGGCTACCAGGCAAAAACGGTCAACTGGGCCGGCTTCTACCTCCTCTCGCCCCTCTTTCCCACCTCGGATGCCCCCGCTTCCTCCGTTTCCTCAACCACCAAACCACTTTTGAGACCGACCCTGTGGCTTGGACCATTTTGCGGCTTACCAGCATGCCAGAAGATCAATAGCGTACCTGGGAGAGGCGTCTGCGCTGATGCAAGCGCTTTGCTGCCGCCGCGGGCGGTCCGTGTCGATCGCACGGACGATTACCGTGAGTGCATTTCCTTCGATATACCGGTGACCGTTCCGCACATGTCACACTCGGCGTACCTGACCATTTATCTATGTCTTACCGTTTCTCCTTCCCAAACTGTGAATTTACGCCCCCCACTGCTTGCTCCCCTCTCACAGCTGGTCACATCGCATGCGACAGCGCCTCACAGTCCGAGATCGTCATCCCGCTCGTCATTTCGCGCTCTTCGCACCTCTCGCGACAGCACGTCGACGCGCTCTCCAGTGTGGAAGTGCCGATCGAATGGCAAGGCCGTGGCAACGACGACGAAGTCATCATTGGTGTATTGGATATCGACTGCGAGCAGGTTGAAGGTTTCGATAAGGACGACGAAGACGGTCTGACAAGGATAACTAAGCTCATCGCCACCAGTTGTGACTGGTAGGCGCACCCAAATTTGAAGCTTACCCAATTCCATTCTCAGCATCGTGCTTCCTAAGAATCAAAGATTGTATAGAAATATGTAGATGTTTTCTTTCGGGACTCGTAATAAGCTACACTAAAAGTATCTAGAAAGAGTGACAAACGAGTCTTCAAAATGTCCGACAGTCCGCGCGAACAGGGCTAGAAGATGGGGGGCTTAGATGTTCGCGAAAAGATGCATGGGATACAGTCGGATACGTGCGAGGTTCGGGAGAAGGGATTAAACCAAGGCAGGCCCAGTCCAGACGAGTCAATCGAGGACGGTCAGAGAGATGAGGGGAAGGAATCGTGCTTGAAGGTCGGAGCGTGAGTCTGAAATGCTAGGCGGTGTCTGGATTGCGAAAGCCGGTGCGAAAGGTGGCCCCCCACAAAGCGACTCTTGAAATAGATGCGGTCGGGTATACAGTGCGTCGTTCTCGCGTGCTGGTATACGCTGCTGATGTGTAAAGATCGTCTCTTTCTCTCTTGTTTTTATTGCGGTAAGTTGCCTGAGTAGCTGAAAGTTGCAAGCAGCCTTTCGATGTACTCGTCGGACGGCGCCTCGCCAATCTGTCCCATGAACTGACCGCTCTGGGTCTGCATCATGCCGTCGCCGCCACCACCGCTCAAGTTGAGCTGCAGACTGTTGGACGTAGGCAGGCCAGCGTCCATGCCGGAAGACTGAAATGTCGGCATGGACTGGCTGGCAGTGAGAGGGTACGAGGTGTAGGCCTGTCCTTGCGAATTGGTTGGCTGTTGCGGATGCTGCTGCGCTCCATGCGCCTGCACAGCAAAGTCAAAGACGACCGGCGACGTCAGATCAAAGCCCTGCGCGGCCCAGGCCCTGGCGAGTCGTTCGCGCTGCGCCTTGGCATCCTCCTCAACCGGCATTGGCGGCGGCTCCAGCGGCGTCTGCACGACTTGAGGGAAAGGAGTGATCGGCGTGCGCATGGCACGCTGTTGCATCATGCCCCATGCGCCTACACTGAAGTCAGTCGAGCCCGTAGACGGACCAAGTGAGGCGCTCGCATGGCCGGTCAGGTCAATGTCTTGGTGCCTGCCTTGTTGAAGGTGTAACGGCGTAGGGGGGATGGTGACGACCAGGTTGGGCTTGTTGATCGACATACCTCTTTTGCGGAGCAGAGTAGGCATCCCAACTTCTGCCGCAGACTTGGTCTCCAGGCCTTGAATGCCAAGAGGCGCGGGTGAGTACAGATGAGCATGCGCTTCGACACCCAGCTGCTTCGATCGATGAAGTTGTTGTTGTTGTTGATGGTATTGCTGTTGTTGTGCAGGCATCGCATTGGCGGCAAGAAGATGCAAGTTGCCAGGCGCGCTATTGGTGGCCATCATGCCAGTGGAACTAGCAAGGGCTCCTTGCGTAGTGACATTTTGCAGAAGCGAACTGGAGTTTGTCGAGGACGTGCGAAGAAGCCTACTAGCTTCGTCGCTCCTCGGCGAGCTCTCGGTGTAAACGACCTGCGGCACATTGAGCTTCATTGCGATCGACTGTGCCGCTGCGGCGGCCGTCGCATCGTTGTCCCTCCTCACGTTGTTAGCGCGCTCAGACGAAGCCTCGAACGGCAACGCCTTGGTGGCAGCAAAAGGGGACGGAGAGAGGCTGCAGACGCTTGCGGTGGGCGAAGGGCGTGCAGAGCCCATGAGGATGCTGACTTGCGGTGTGCCGGCCTTCGTACCGAGGCTCTCGACGCACTCGAGGTCCCAGGCGATGACGAGGACTACATCGCCAACAGCGCTGCCAGGGCTAACGTGCTGGTCGTCTTCGCCGTGGAAGACTGCTTCGCGAGAGCTGCGCGCCTTGTCTTCTGAGGCGATGACAAACTCTTGAATAATCGTGACGCCAGCAACGGCCATACCGAGCGCGGCGCGCTCGCTGGGCTCTTTGCCGAATGATGGCGACGGATTGCGCTTGTTGTAGACGTTGACCGGGTGGCTGCGGCTGAGGAAATCAGCCCAGAAGTCTGTGGCAAAAGGCGCTTGGTGACAGAAGTTATGCCGCTTGGCATCATCACCGCCAGACGTGCCAGTGTTGTTGCTGCTGGCGCTGCTGCTGCCACCGTTATTTTTGAGCCCTGCGATCCGACGCGGTGCCTCGAGAGGTTCGACGAGCGACAAGACGCGCTTGCCATGCGAGTAGACGGTCGTGACGCTGGTCAGACGGTATTCCTGCAAGCTGGTCAGCGAGAGTTGCGTGCTGAATTGGTCGAACTGCGGCAGGAAGACGTCGGCGCGGGGCACGGAGAGAGGGACGTGAATGTAGAGGAACTGGCAGGGTAGACGCTGGTACATCTCCGCGAGTTTCGGATACCTGATGTGGCCTAGACGGATGGCGTCCATCGGCATGCGCGAGGTGATCGTCGTGTTGTTATTGCCGCTGGTCGCACCGTTGGTATCCAAGGACGAGTAGACGTGCTTGTCCTCGCTGTCGCTGCAGTGGACCCAGATGGAAAAGCTGGCAGGCAGGATGGAGCACGGTGTCTGCTTTGTACCTTTGTCGAAGGGTGGGAGAAGCTCCAGGTTGCCAAAGGCGTTGGTCATGGAGCCAGTGGCTGAAACCGGAGTGCTGATACCGGGTAGGTTGCCACTTCCGTTAACGTCGTGCGGGCTGTAAGGTGAGAGGAGACCGCCAGAGGCGATGCCATCGTATGCGGTGAGGCCTGTCAAGCCACCGTACCCGTAGCTAGCGAGCATTTGAGCATACATCATGCCTCCAGCGGGAATGTAGAAGTCTTCCTCAGTCTTGGGCTCCGCAATGAGCTGTTGGAACTCAGGATCGTCCTTCTTGACATTCTTTAGCACCTGAATATGACTCGAGACTTGTTTCCTCGTGCGCGATTTGCCTGTCTTGCGCTCAATGTAATCGGCAATGAGCTCATTGCGCCCACATGGCTTACCGTGGACCAAGACCTTGCGGCGTCCGAGTTTGGGAATCATGCGGAGGGCTGTATCGCCGCATTCACGGGGCGGGAGGCGGGTCATAAGAATCAGCTAAGGATTCAATGTAAAAGCATCGTTGGAAGTGTTGCAATGTATGCTCACCCTCCCAGAAAGCGACCTCGACATCATCGGGCCAGACATCAGCCGCGGTATTGGTCGGTGCCTTTGCGCTCTTCTCCACCTCCTCCGCCTTGCTGACATTGGCACTTGCACTGACCGAAGTGGGGATCGAAATGGTGGTGGTAGGCGGCCTGGGGACAATGGTGATGAATGGCGAGCCGCTACGGGGCGAGTCCTTCTGCTGCTGATTCTGCTTTGAGTCTTGTTTGTGTGGCTCAGGCTGGATGTGGAGCTGCGGCTGAGATGAAGGTTTCAATATATCACCATCAGAAGCGCTGCGTGCGACCATCAACAGTTCTCCCGCGTTGAAGCCTGAGAGTAAGCCACTATTCAGAGCACCAGAGAACGAGAGGCGTCTGTTGGCTGTGCGAGCAGCCTTCGCAGCCGAATCCTCGTTGTCGTCGTCTCCATCCTCTGCGACGTCACCGTTTGCGCTGGAGCCGACACTGCGATTTTTGCCACTCTTTTTCAGACGGTCACCCAGGGTGCCGTTGCCGCCATCGATGCTTGTGTTATTGAAAGAACGCTGAAGGCCGAAACTGACACCACCAGAAGACATGATGGTCGTGCTAGGAGTGTCGTTGATCGAGTTCTCACGGTGGCCGCTGAGCTCGCTATACGTGCCTGCGCCACGGCTGCTGCAGCTGCTGCCGCCGGAAGCTGCCTCAACACTGTTCATGAGCTGACGCTGCTGCATCTGCTTCCAGATGTTTTGATTCGGAGGCGTCTGCTGCAGTAGTTGCTCGAGCGTCAGCTCTCCGCTTTCGACAGGACCGTTGCTGTGTGCGCTGGCTTGATCTGGCTGAAAGGACATGCGCCGACGTTTGCCGTCATCCTGCGATGGTGTGCCGTTGAGTGAACTGTAATCAAGTTGTTGACTTTGGCGCTGCGCTTGCTGGCCCCCAGAGGCACGGTGACCGACGTTGGGCGAAAGGCTGACGGTGAGACGCGGCGGTGATAGCAAGAAGCCAGGGCTGCTACCAAGAAGCGGAATGTCTTCCGAGGCCTTTCTGTTGCTGCCGTCGGCTCCGCCACCCCTTGTCGTCAGAGTAAATGCGCCATTGTCGCCCGCAAGATTGGATGCGGAGGACTGCATTTGCGTTGGCATGAGTGGCTGCAGGCTATGTCTGCGACCGTCTGATCCGTTGCGAGTGTGGCCAAGCCTCTTGCCGAGGCTGACAGCGCTGCTGGTCATGCCGTTGTTGCACCCCATAGAGTTGGACATAGCGGAGGGAAAATCAAGTGCGGCAGCAAGGGACGAGGCATCGCACGCACTCGCACTCTTGGGTCTCTCGGTAGGTGGATGAGAAGCGAAAATCCAGGAAGAGGCATCATCCGCGTCGCCTCCACTGGCGGTGAACGAAGCAAAAGCAGCGCTGGCGGTAGAGATGGACGCAGGCAGGAAGAGATCATCCTTTGCCAGGTTGCTAAGGTTGCCCGATGGCAGCGTGTGTGTCCCGTTGTCGGGCGTGCAGAGATGGCTGCTCGTCCCGGTCGACGAAGAGCTGGTCGATTCGGACGAGGTCGGGGATGGAAAGAGATTGTTACGAACCGCATTCGGCGAGGAAAGCAGGGTGTCCATATTGGACAGTGGGACTGGTGTCCAAAGTGTCGCGATTTGGGCACGATGAACCTTGATGAGGGTGAGTATCCGTTAGCCTGAGCCGAAAGGAGCGTAGACGATAGAAGCGACGAATCACAAGAACGGCGCAGGGAAAGTAGATGATGCACAGCCGATGGCTCGGTGCCCCCACGAAGAGAGTTGGTACCACGGTTGAATGTCGACAAACGACGATAGATGGAAGCAGGCAGCTAGCGACAGAGGCGGCGCTATCAAAGCTGGCCGTGACGCTGCAAGTGACATGCGCAGAACATGTACAAGATGAAGCAAAAGAGAGGAGACCTGGGAAGTCGATTGGGAGCGTTGGAGGTAGCAATGATGGTACAGAAGAGGGAGAAAGAGACGGATCAGTTTTGGATGGAGTACGGTTGGATGATCAGCGTAAACAACACCCGCTAGAACTTGGTAACGAACGACGCAAAAGACGAAAGAGAGCACGGACCATCGCATCAATGCGTTAATGCACAGCTGACGCCAGGATGCACGGGACAGCAGGCAGCCTGCACCCCGTGGCATGGATCGGCCAACCCCGATCCTGCTCTTGGGCAGTGACACAGCGAGCCCTGCTCCTCCTTCCTTTGGGTTACTCTCCCTTGCACGGGGTGCACCGACTGTAGATAGATCTGCGAGGCCAAAAGCACATGTTTTCTTCTTCATCCAGCATGGTCGCATGATCTTCAAGGGGGTATGGACAGTGCGCCGACCCACAGATGACAGAGGTCACATTTTTCCACACACTGCGCGGGTCGCGGGGCAACTGTGCAGCGGCCGTATTATTATTAGGCTACAGCAAGTCATTTGCTGCAAGCCAAGTCCAAGTGTCCGCTCCGTTCGAGACTGTACTCTGTCTGTTATGCATTGGTTTCGACAGCGAGCTTCAGCATCAGCACAAAGGTCAAGGGACGCGGGGCACCGCACAGCAGTGCTTTGCGCTCAGCAACAGCAGCATCAACAGCCAGCGTCAGAGCGTTAGCAGTGGTGGAAGTAAGTAAGGAGAGCTGCTAAGGGGGTGATTGGATCAAGGGGGCGGCGTGCAGCTGGTTGTTTGTTTTCACTCCAGACTGCCAGCCAGTCTCCGTTCCGCTCGTGGGCGCAATTTCCACAATTCCATCACGTGATCCAAGCCCCAAAAAGAAATCGACTACCGCAAATATAAGAAAGAAGTCCCTCACAGGCGTTCGTTCAGATCCTGAGTGGGAGGCGGCGGCGTGTGACCAGGAGTGTGGTGTAGTGCCGGGTCGCTTGGAATCCATCCAGCTCATCGACAAATTTGTGACGCTCCGACATAAGGATATCCTTCATTAGCATGCAACCGACCGTCCACACCGTCGACAGCCTCATACATCTGGCACGGGGGCAGCGAGCAAGCAAGCATCCAGAGTATAGATCCGGACGTACTTTTTTCGGGATCGTACGCTTCAGGATCTTTCTCCCCTGGGGTTTCCCCAGGCGACGCTGCCGCAAAACGCGCGAGGTACATACAGCGCCAATCTGCGTCGCTCTCATCGTTAAGGGCTCAAATGTCTTGGACCGCCGCCATTTCTAACTTTCTTCACGGTGCCGATCCATCCAGCCGTAGCGATAGCCCTTCATCTCGTACAGAAAGAGTTTCCTCGTTGACAGGCGGAGTCGACGGACAGCAGCGACCCGTGACGGAAAATAGGAACGGTGGCCGCACGGTCCCCTCCATCGCCGCCACAGTAGCACCCATTGCAGCCGCAAGTGTGACGGACGCATCCGTCTCCGACACACAATCTAGCGCAAGGAAGGAGAAATCAGACGTGGATACGTCTGGAATCGCACGGGAACGAGTCCGTGGTCGTGGCCGTGGCCGTGGAGCTCCAAGGGTTACCAGTGCTAGAAGAACAGAGGCGCGCGCACACATCGCACCGCACAAAACAACCAAAAGTTGGGGATCTGCAACGCCAGGCCCCACGGACCCTCAGCATCTATGCATACAAGGCACCACCATGGACTCCAGAATTCATGAGCTTTCCACCTCTATGCTTACAGGCCCAGGACAAGCTGCTCAGGAACAAGGAGCTGTGGGGCCGTCTGCGCACGGTGGTGCAAGCAACGGGAAGCCTCATATGGCCGGCAGTGATCACCCTGGCGCACGAGTGACTGACCAAGGAATGAGGTACATGGATACTTCTTTTGGCCCCGTGCCTCCCTCCCAGCCTGTTGGGAACAATGCATCAACGGTGGTAGCCTGCATATCCACGTCAGCGGCTCCACGGTCAAAGCAAACACATTTGCACACGGAAGTGCATCACTTGCAGCCGGGAGCAGAACACTTGCAGAACGCCCAAGGCCCATCCACCGTTCCAGCTGCAACGGCCGCATTGATCCCACCGTCATCGGAGAACGCAATCCAAGCAGCAGCCACACTGTCACAGTCCTCGTGGTCGTCATCTGCAGCTCCTGCACCCACTGCAGGCGCGGCGCATTCGCAAACGCAGGCGCAGCTGCAGCAGCCGAGCCATGAGGTGCCGTCCACCGTGCCGATGCCGGGCAAGCGAACGATAGGTAGCAAGGTCGCCGAGCGGCGGATCTTGCCGGCGCGTTTACGGCGCGTGTCGAATCTACTCGGCGGACCCAGCAGTCTGACTGAGGATGAATTTCGACCTGAACATTTCAAAGACCATCAGCAGCGTCTTGGTGAGTTTGCCTCGGTCTTTGCAATTGACGTACTTTGATTTGCTCTAGCGATGGCATCGACACGGTGCGCTGACCCACCACGCGATGGCCATCCATTTGCATAACTGCAGCCTATGAAGATCATCTTTTGCCAGGTTCTACATCTCTGATCATTACGAATGATCCCTCCATTATCTTGAAAGCCGAGGTGCACCGCGATTATTATTTCAGAGACGCAATGAGCCGCTTCACCGATCCAGAAGTCGCTAGGGCTTGCCGCGCCGCGGCGATCATCGAGACGCCAGACTTCAAGCCATGGGACGAAGTTAGTATGGGCGGTCGGACGAGGATCCAGGCTGCTGAGGTGCGTTTCATGTTCATCCTTGCTCCTCCCCCTTCTTTCGCGTGTATCATCTTCTACGCATGCAAAGCCTTGGAGTGCTGATGTTTGCCACATACTCACATCCACCAGGAAGATACGAGCGACGAAGCATACGAGCGACGCCATCGAAAACCGGACAATGCGGAAAAGCGCGTGCGGAAGTCAGAGATCGACCGAGTACGCATCGAGCGAGATAGACTGCAGCTGCGCCTCGATCAATTACGGGCGATCGAGGCGGAAAAATTATTGCCAATTTTGGCTAGTCGATCTACTCCTGCTCCTGCTGCTACCGCTGTTGCCCCTGCCGCCTCTACATCCGACCATTCCTCGACGTCTGCTAGGACTGGAGGCTCCTCGGAGAGTGCGCAATTGGAAGAGCTGCGCAAGGATTTGATACAGGAGGCTAAGCAGATGCTGCAACGTCTCGACTCGCTGCTTGCTCTTCCGCCTCCATTTCCAGACAGGCCCAAAGCTTCCGAAAAGCGGAAGGTGTCCGGCGTCTTCGGCAACTTTACTGTAGCCGCTACTGGTGCTGGTGCCCAAGACCCACTGTCTGACGTCGGACCTCCTGCTGGCTCGCGCCAGACCGGAAGGAAGTCTACCGGACGTGGAGGTCGTGCGAGCACTGTCACCACTAGCCGGGGCGGTAGAGTGGTGGGCAGGAAGAGCCTGCCCGCGACCATGCCGTCGCATCACTCTGGCAAACCCTCCGAAAATGCCAAAAAGGGTAAATCGGCGGTGGGGACGGCAGTAGCGGGAGGTATGCGTCCGGAAGCGACGCGCGCAGAGAAAGTGCGCCGCGCCATGACCATATCTGCAGGGCGCCGATCGCACAATAGTGGACGCAATGGCAGCTCTACGAACGTATCAAAGGAACGTGTGCATATAGCAGGTCGCGAGGCGGTCGGCTCGCTTCTAAACAACCAGGGCAGAGTTGAGCAGGTGTTCTTAGAGGATGGAAAGCCTAATATTCACGCGCGTACTTCCGGCGGCCGCTTTGCGCCCAAGCCGAGGAACCCGGACGGCACAATCAAACGCGACGCACCGGCTGCTGGGACGCCTGCTCCCAGCAAGCCCAAGCCTGCTCCTAAACCGAAAGCTAGGTCGTCGCGTGTTAACCCCCGCAGAGCGGCCGCCATCACGTCACCGGGAACATCCACTCCCGCACTCGTCAGCGCCGCAGGCAACGCTGCTGCACATCCCGCGAGCGCTCTGACTGCCGGTGGCACTTCAGCCACCCAGCACGGAACGACGACATCTACCGCAGGGTTGAAGCGCAAGCGCGCGGTCAGCGCCAGCACCAGCGTTAGCGCTCGGACAGCCGCGAAGGTCGCAAAGGAGGAGCGGGATGTCAGACAATCGTCTGCAGAAACTACCGCCTCTGGCTCGATCGTGACGAGGGAGCGCTTTAACATCATCGGCCGTACCTCTGGCGGCCGCTTCGCATCCAAGAAGGAACTTAAAGTGCCAGGAGAGGGAATGCAGCGCAGCCCACGTCGCACGAGCAACGTCCGGGCTCTTGAAGAATCACCAGGTGCGAACAAAGTGGGACCCAGCCTGGCCGAGATCGCCGCATCGACCAAGGCGCCAAACAAACGCGTTCGACTTACTTTCAACAATGCTGGCAGCGAGTCTGGCTCGCCTGCACCTTCTGATCGCTCCAGCACGCAGCAGCCAGCCAAGAAGATGAAGACACCTGGTCTCGTTCCGGCTTACAAGCCGGCGGCGCTGAGCGAGGAAGAAGCGCAGAAAATGTTGGAGGCAGCACTAGCGGGCGACGATGATGACGACCTCGCGATCCTGTTCGGGTCCGGTGCGACGGGTTCAAGCTCGGCAACGATGGCGGATGCGAGCGCTGCGCCAGAGCCGCAGGTTGCACCTTTGTCTGGGTCCGCTACCGAGGTTGCAGCTGCGGCATCAGATGCAAAAGCTGAGCTGTCCGACTGTGCCACGATTCAGTCGGAGGGCTCGGCTTATGCACAACCGACCGAGCAGGATGCGAGCAGCATCGACACCAAGCCTGCTCTTGGCACGAGCCCGGAAAACGGAGTCTGCGCATCCGCCTTGCGTATAAGCGCTGATCCGCCTCAAGACGGCGAAGCAGGCCTGGTGGTCGCAAGCAGCACAAGCACCGACGCGGCATCATCGGTACCAACTTCATCTGCTCCTGCAGCCGCAACCGCAGCTGCATTCGTGCTCGATCGCAACCAGCCACTGCGCCGGGGCTCGACGCGCATGCGCTCCATCACTGCATTCGGAGAGAAGCTCCCGGAGCCACTGACAAAGGAGGCGGACTTTGCGATACTCCTCGAGCCGGTCATGCAGGACAATGAGTGGTCTCAACTTGGCGTGCAGACCGAGCGCCTCCCTTATGCGCCGTCACAGCCGGAGGACGGTCAGGCGCCAGAGGCTGACCTGCGCACGCAGCAGGACGACGGTAAGGGAGGAGCGCCATTGGCGCAAGCACCTCTTGAGCAGAAACTCGAGATGGCGACCGTATCGGCTAAGGACTTCACGCCGGACGCGGGCCCGCACCTTGCCTGACCCCCGGGTGCCGCTGCAGGGCAATAGATGCGCAACTGTAGGGGGAACAGGGCTGCAAGAATGTGTTTGCTGTTTATTTCCCGTGTCAGGCGTATCTACATGCCCAGCATTCGTCGCTCTGATCTCGAGGGCATTTAGAAGCCGTCCACCTTGATTCCCTTCGTGCGACTTCAACCGCTGCTGGCACGCGAGCTTGTTTGTCTGCTGCACAAGCGATACATGCAACGTGGCTCTTGTTTTGTATATGGACGCAGCTTCCAGCACAATTGATCATGTATGCTCTATCGTCTTCAACCGTTGACCCGAGCTGTGGTGGTGCTTGGTCCAGCTGATATCCTGCAAGCTCCTAAGGAGACAGAAAGCTGCGAGGGCCGAGGCGGCTCAACAGAGACACAGCACAGCGATCGCGCCATGTCCGTCAGAACGCCGAGCAGATGCTCAGGCGGTTTCACACAACTCCACTGCAGCGTGTGCAGCATTTCTAGGCGGCTGGGTCGGTCAGAACGTTAGGGTTATGCAGTGTTAGAGAGGTCAAGGCACTGTGCCTCTCTTCTCAACACCCGGTACAAACAATTGAATTGATAGACACCTTCGCGGTCGCGCACCATATTCATGCAATTCTGTTACATGCGAATATAGCAAGCAACCCTCCTTGCGATTGGTGAACACTTCATGTCAGACTCCCAGAGACAAGGTCTGGCGCTCGGTCAAGGAGGGAAATATGGTCTCCGCTGCAGCATATTCCGACCCGCGCACTCGCGGGCGCGTCAAGATCGAGAGCAGCAGCGATGGCATCGGCTTCGGGGGGACCTCCGGGGTGTCGCGAATCCCAACGGATCTGCTGCTGGGCCAGGTGTTCACCAAGACGCTCCTGGCCTCTTCGGCGCTGCTCGCGAGGCACTGGCTGCTCATGGGGCATAGTGAGGCGCTGCATCATGCTACGACGGCGCCTGCTGCCTCTGTCGCGAGCAAGGCGAGCGGCGGGTTGACGAGCCTGACAGGCTCCATGGTGCGCGACGGCAGCATCAGCGTGTGGGCCGTCGCGACGATCGTCTTCTCCATAGCTTCGCTCATTCAAGGCATATGGCTGCGGACCTGGACATGGTTGCCTGTCATACAGCGGGCAGATGCAAAAGTGGAGAAATTGCTTCCTAAATTCAGCATGCTCGCGCTGACCATGTTCGTACACATGCTGGTATGGCTCATGGCGCTGAAGCGGCTGCCGGCTGCTACGTGAGTTTTCTTTCTTGCACTTGCATTAAAATTGAATCATTGCTGACGCAAGGCTTTTAATAAAATATGGCAAGTGTTATTATCTTTACACAATTCTGCGAGATTTGGGCAAGTGACCTTGTCAAGTCAATGCGAGGGAGGGTGAGGACGGTTACGTTTGGCTCAGCGACATGACACCCATAGGCTGATCATATCACTACGCACAGAGTTATGGCGGCTACACGGTCCTAGTCGCACTTGGGCTTTCCTACATCTTCACCGTGGCGAAAGGTACCAGTGCGCCAACCAGCTTCGACCACATCTCGCTCTTTGCAGATGACGACGATGAGGACATTCCGGTTTCCTTGCAACGCATACGATCCGCCGGACTCGTTCTGCCATCTGCACTGGGTGGAGCTTCCGCTTTGGCAGAGAAGAATGCGGCGCTCTTCTCTCCCAGCTCGGCGTTCCTCGGACATGTCCTGCTGCTCATGTATGCTCTTTTGACGCTAGAAAAGGAGCGCGGGACCAATGCCGCCGGTTCTGTCGTCGGCGGCAGGAGACGTGCGCAGGTTATTGCAGGAACCTTGACCGCCATCGTCACCTTGCCGTTAGGCTTGCTAGGCTCGATCTTTGGACTTTCGACGCTCCCTCCCCTGCAATCGCTCGCTCCGTATCTGTTCGCATCATCGCAGAGCGGCGTACGATCTGCCCACTTGGCTGCCTACGTGCTGCTTGCATTGGCAGCACTAGTGCTCGAGCCTCTTATCACTGGCGCGTTAGAGCCACACGGAAGCGCATACACCCGCGTTTTCCATGGCTGGATGTTGTGTGCAATCGGCACAATCGTCATCGGATATATCGGCTTCGCCGTGCGCTCTTCGTTCGCCGAGGTGTTCGTCGGGGCTCTCGTCTGTTGGAGTCTGGCCATGATCCTCTCTTCCTCGCCCTACTTCCAGGCAAATGCTTACAGACAGGCCGGCGCTTCGGACGCCTCCCTTGCTGGGCATCAGCGCTCACCTTCCGACGCATCAGCGCTCGCTGGCCTTGCCCGGAGCGTTCAAGATTTCTTCTCGGCCTCGCAAAAGCACATCCGCAGCATCCTCGCCAACCCAGATTCTCGCAGCATCTTCCAATTCTTATGCCTCAACTTGGCCTTCATGGGCGTGCAGCTCGCATGGGGCGTCTGGACCAATTCGCTTGGTCTGATCTCCGATGCCATTCACATGTTCTTCGATTGCGCTGCCATCGGCATGGGCCTCTTCGCGAGCGTCATGGCGACGTGGAAGACGGATAGCAGCTTCACCTTTGGTTACTCTCGCGTCGAGACTCTGTCCGGTTTTGCCAACGGCGTCTTCCTCATTCTCATCTCCATCTTTATCGTCTTTGAGGCTATTCAGCGCATCATCGAGCCACCGGAGATGCACAACACCATGCAGCTGCTCATCGTCAGCGGAATGGGTCTGGGGGTGAACTTGTTCGGCATGTTTGCCATGGGTGGCCATCATCATCACCACCATGGTCACTCGCACGGTCACGGGCACGATCACCACCATCACGGCCACGGCCACGATCACGGTCATGGTCATGGCCATTCTCACAACATGATGGGTGTGTATCTGCACGTGATGGCAGATACGCTCGGCTCCGTCGGCGTCATCGTCAGCACACTCTTGATCAAGCAGTTCGGCTGGACCGGCTTTGATCCCATCGCATCGCTCTTTATTGCTTTCTTGATCGTTGCCTCTGTCATTCCTCTCGTGCTCGATGCTGGACATATTCTGTGCCTTGATATGGGCGACGAAAAGGGGCAGCAAGTTGCAACCGCCCTAGGGAATGTGAGTGGCTGCGTGGCATGAATGTACTCCTTCAACAGATAGCTGACTGTCTTGTTCTTTGCTTCAATGACAGCTCGCTTCTATCAAAGGCGTGGCGTCATATTCTTCGCCGCGGTTCTGGCCAAAAGATGCCGAATCGATCGTCGGCACCATTGTGAGTGCACACACACTCGCATCGCTGGAGGAGGATTCTGACATTTCGCTTTCCCCTCTGGCAGCATATTCAAGTTGTGGACAGCGAAGTTCTGAGTGGAAAGGGCGGAATCACAGCAGAGCAGATTGCAGCCGAAGTCGAACAAGTGCTCAAAGGTCGGATAGAAGGTCTAGAGAGCATCAGCGTCCAAGTGGACCGACAGCCCCAAGCTCAATCATCCCAGATCAACGAGCAAACGACGATGCCCCAGTCGCAACTGCACCCTCATCCTCATCAACGCCATTCGCACAGTCATAACAACGGCTCTGTTGCTCTCACTCCTGAGGCTGTACACTCCAGTGTATTTTAAAAGACTCTTGTCTGCATTTCCATCATTTCAAAGTGTCGCGTCCCTTTTCTCGAATTGTCGATGCTCTCTGAGACTCGGTCTCGCTGAGCGCCTTTACCACACGGCATTACACCGCGGCCGCCTCTTCCGCCATTCCTAGCCTGCCAAAGTGCCAAGTGCCACATAGTTGCTGTGTTGCTCTTGCTCTCAATCTAATGGGACTCATATATTCATTCCCTTTCGCATGAGTAGGCATTCATCAGGCTCTCACATCTCACAGGTTTACCGTGTCCAAAACCAGTCGAGGCACCTTCTGACATGTCTTCACGCATGTGAAGGACCATGAGACGTGGTCTCGATACGGTCAGCGTCTTTTAAGTAGCCGCAAGATGCCCCCCCCGAGCTCGATGGTGCCATCTTTGTACAATACCAATGGTAGGCAGCAGGCGCTGAAAGGCGATACGTACTCGTTTGCAGCTGACGCGTATTCTTTCAAGACTTGACTAATAAGCAAGATCTTGGTTCCCTACCAGGTGTCAAATGGACTCTGAGCTCGCATAAGCCTGGCGCAGGCGTGGCTGCGCTTCGGGACCCAGACCTTTCGAAGCTTTGGCAGTGAGTCTGGCGGCGACAGTCTCGATGAAATTGACGCTGATGGTAGCAGTCCCTTTGCAGGAGTGATGGGACGCAGCCGCACGTAGTCGACATCCAGTTCCCTAGGAGGACCGCTGTGACAGTGAGTCGATGGGAGTGAAGTACATGAGAGGGCTCGCACTAAACCATCATTTTAGCACGTCTCGATATATCTCGACACCACGCTCGACGACTCATACACCCCTACGAACATCGGCATCAAAGCCGGTACGTATTTCGGCGACCTGGCCGAGATCCGAAGACGAGAACTCGAGGCTCCAAAAGGCTGGGTGCACTTTGTTCTGAATCCAGAATCGACAGGTGCAAATGAAGAAACCTCCGCAGATCTGAAGCTCGCACCGCCCATATGGGTCTACCATTTGCAAATATGCATCTACTCCAATCACCTGAACGGCAAAGACACGCACTTGCGCTCCATTCGCGTGTTCGGTCCGCCCTCTGAGGAGAGGAAAGCTGCGGCGCTCAAGCAGCAAGTGCAAGCTAAACTGCTGGACCAGGCCAAACTTGCCGGGAGCGCAGGCAGTGGCCCTCACGATAAAGTTCACTCAGACATCCGCACACGATACGCATACGAATCGCTTCGGAAGGCGATCGACGCACGTGCAGTCGATGAGGATGAGAAAGACACCCATTTCGCCGGTGATGATGACTTCGATGTGCCGGAACGCGCGCATACATTCGACCTCGCAGGGCGCAGCGCAGGCGCAGGCGCACCACACCTCCCCTCCACCACCCGGTCGCTTGCCCTCCATCACTCTCTGCGGTAACTTTGCGTTGTATTTAAAAAGGGGTTCACGCCTTCCACGTCATGATTGTAGCATAATAAGCATCTTGTATGCGTTGCAGGACTTTATAGAACATCAGAGAATTCCATCATGCCATCCCCGAGACCATGCTCCTCTTCGTCCACCTCGCTGGCCCAGTCATCATCGCTCTGCAGCCACTGGGCGCTGTCCTCGTCGCCACCCGCGCCTTCGGTCCAGCGAGACGCAGCGCGCTTGCTCGGGCTAAAATCTTCGTCGTCCGCAAGGCCAGCGCGGCCTGCTCTCCTAAAGACGCGCGCTTCGATGCCGGGCTTGGATTGAGGTGCTGCAGGCTCAGCTTGCGAGACGTCCTTGCCCTTCGCTTTTCCTTTCTGCTTGCCCTTTTGATCTGCCGGCCTCTCACGTGCTTTGGCTGCACCCCACGTCATCTTGCCTTTGCCTGAACCGCCACTCACTGACGCACCGTGTGGCCCTGCGCCCGGAGCGGAAGTTGGCTCTGTGAGGTCGTCTTTGCCTCCATCCTGTTCTTGTAGGTGCAACTCCAACGCACGCTCCACTTCTTCCATGCTAGGTGCGGCGAGCAGATTCTGCAGACACGCTTGTACTGTCGCCCGTCGTTTGGAACGCAGAGCCGAAGCGCGTGGGGAATGCAAACTCAGCCTGGCGAGCATCTGCTGATGTGGACTGGCCAGAGCTGCGTCGGCACGGGCACCACCGGCCGTATCCTGTCCCTCGTTGGTTAGTTGCTGCAAATTACCTGCTGGATCTTGGCCTTGTGCGAGATCCTCGTGCGTTGGTCGCAGCTTGAACACGTGCAGTGCCAATCCTTCGTCCCAGTCCACATCCACGCCATGCTCTTCCGGAGCGTGAGCCGTACCGCCCTGCGCCGGGCCGTACGGTAGGTATCGTTCCAACGTGATCTTGATCTTCCTTGCGCTTGGCTTGGCCATGTCGACGTCGTCGCTGTTCCAGCCCTGTTTGTGTATGGTGCTCCCTCTTGCGCTCACCTCGCTCACCTCGTCAGTGTCGGACAGCTCCACTTCCTTCACTTGTTTCCATGTCGCGTCTTCGCTTTGCCCTTTTCGTGTCTGCGACTGCAATTGCGACTGCGACGGGCCAAGCGTCCACAAATCTTCGTCATTCTCCCAATCCATTAAGCCTGCATCAAAGCTGTCTGTACCATCGCCATCTTCATCGCTGCTGGCAGCCTGCCCGTTGGGAGCTCGTCGCAGAGCCCTGCCTTTCGACGGCGACTCAGCCTGCGCAGGATGATTGACCACGAACAGGGGCTTGTACGGTGCTGCGTCGGACTGCGATAGCGTGAGTTTTCCCTTCCAAGGCGGGGTCGCACCGAGCTCAGCTTCATCGTCTTCGTCGTCCTCCTCGACCCCGTTCGCCCTGCCGAGGGGAGCGCGGCGACGCTGTACACCCGCGTCGCTTAGACTCTTTCGCCACGTGCTCCCCCCGTTTCCATGCGTACCACTCCCTCCGGGGCGAAGCAATACGCTGTTGAACAATTCCGCTGCGCGCGGGGCTCCTTTCCTCCCGATGCTGATCCCATTCGCCGTATTTGCCGACATTGGCGCGGATTGTGCACACACCGCCGCAAAGAGAGTGTCCGCACGCGGGAGGTTGCGCCGGCGCTTCTGCGCCGGGGTCCTAGGAAGGTCCTCGCCTCGCAACCGCTTGCGCGCCCGCGTGCGCGGCGTATAGTCACGCAGCAGCGTGTCGATCTGCTCACGGTGTGGGTGCGCATCTGCGGCATCCTTGCGTGACGGGGTGCCTTGCTCCATTGCGCCTCCGTATTGCGGCAGGACCAGCTGCTTGAGCTTCGAAGGCGTCGAGACATAGTGAGGAGAAACGTAGACGAACTCTTTGTCCTTCGCGCCCCTTGCTGAGGAAGTAGGCGTCTTTGCTTGCGACACCGCACCGTTCGACTTGTTCCGAGGCGTCCCTTGAGTAGCTATCGGAGCCTTCAGATGCTCTTGCACGAACGCATGCTGCTCCGCTTGCGGCCGTCTCGGCGTAGGGAGTGTGAAGCCGCCTGTGGCGCTCTTGTCCCAATCCGCCATGTCCGTCTCATCGTCCTCGTCGGCGTGGGAGAATGCTGTCAGGCGGCCGTGGCGAGTGCGTGCTCTGACTGGAGAAAGCAGGGGAAGCTGTTCTGGCGAGCGGTACGCCTTGCCGTTCGCCGGTTGCTTGAGCCTCTGGCTCGAGGACTTTGCGTCCTTGACTGGGGTCTTGAAAGGGTTGCTCGTCCGTTGCTTGCCTTTCCCTTCGTTAGCGCTCTTACCATCGCCACCGCTGGCTTTCTTTGTTGGTGTCAAGAAAAGGTTGGCGAAGACGCGCTGCTTCTTCGGCGTCACCAGGGGTCCCATCGATCCATGTTGCGCATGCTGCGCTTCCTTCGAGCCCCGTGACGATGTTTCACCCGGCTCACTTTCCTCGGCGTCGGCATAACTCTGACTCTTCCTGCTGCAATGGCGGTCTCTTCCGTCTTTTTCAGCCGACCGCGATGAAGAAGAGCCGCCGACCCCCTGCTCAGCATTTGCCTTTTGGATGGCGTGCCAGGTATCGTAGGTCGAGGCGATGGACGGATGCTGCTGCATGTCCGAGCGTGTCGGGTCTCTTCCATTCTGCATTCATCCGAGCCAAAGGGTGTCAGCCCAAGAATGCAGTAAAGTGGACGCTTAATTTGCTCGGGAAAGAGGTTCGCTCACCCTGGATTTAAAGTCTTTCTGCCACGCCTTGAGCTCCTTCCTGAGCATGGCCTCCATGATGAACAGCTCTGATAGGCGGCTCTGCAGTTCGTTCGCATTGATCCCCGTCCATGTGACGTGCAGATGGGCCTGCACCAACCACGCGGCAGCGAAACAGACCCGATAACCTCCTGTCCTGGAAGCAATCACTTTGCATGCAAGCACCGGCTGAGAGTGTTTGGGGTCGATTCGCAGTCTCCCGTATGTATAGTCCTGGTTACATTCACCAACGGGTTGTTTGATGAGGCGAGCCCATGCTACAGCACCGCCTGGCACAGACACTGGCAGTTCGCGTCACGCCTCGGAGAAAAGGAGAACGCGACCCGCTGACCCGCACTCTTTTCTCGGCCGAGTGAACCTAATACTATATCCATCCACCATATCCATGGCACTGCACTGGTGATGATCTGGAGCCTGGTTGCCTGGGGGCCTCAGGGAACAGGCTGGGCTTGCGTGCTGTCATGAACGTTGTGCTTCCCACACTGGCTCTATATATCTCCTCTCACAGAACCGGCGTCACCGCAAGTCGCAAGACCGACTGCTCCGTGTTGCAGCCGATAGACTAGTCGTCGGCACCTGCACCTGGGCGGCGTAACACAGTAGGAACGCCATGCCGCGCCCGTCGTCGTCGTTGTCCGGTCGGCGTGGTGCGTCCCTGTTACCATCGCAGGCGAAGCTGCAAGAGTCGCTCGCTCGGCTCGATGACGATGGCGGCGCCGCATGTCCGAAGATGGTCGTGTTCGATCTGGACTACACACTCTGGCCCGCGTGGGTTGACACGCACGTCACGCCACCGCTGAAGCGCGCGCCGCCGACGTCGATCAACCGTGTGGCGGACCGGCACGGTGAGGCGCTCAGCTTCTTCCCGCACGTCCCTGCCATCCTGCTACACCTCAAGGACAAGGGGATCAAGATCGGCGTGGCGAGCCGCACTTCAGCGCCAAGTGCTGCGAGGCAGGCGCTCACCGGCCTTGTGCTGGAGGACACGCGGAAGGGAAAGAAGCCCGGAGAGGAGGTCAAATCGATTGGTGTGTGTCCCGATTTATTAGGCCACGTGTGTGTCGCTGCTCGCTCGTCTTTGTTGAGTGGCTAAATCTCATCTTGATCAACGTGGCTTGCAGCATTATTCGACTATCAAGAAGTACATCCGCAGGAGTTGACAACATTGGTGCAGTGACTGATGCGCTTGCTCTTGTGTCCACAGATCTACCCAGGCTCCAAGCTGACGCACTTGAAGCGTCTGCACGCCGACTCAGGCATTGCGTATGAGGACATGATCTTCTTTGACGACGAGCACCGGAACAGCGAGGTGGGTAAGCTGGGCGTCCTGTTCGTCCTCGTCGGGCATCCCGGGCTGGATCTGGGGACGTTCGAGAAGGGGATCAGAGAGTGGCGCCAGCTGAGACAAGCAAGAGCGGAGGAGGGACATGCTGGGACGAATGGAACGCTACATGATCATAGACAAGACTCAGACGGAGAGTGACTGTACACGGATAGTCTCCACAATGACATCACAACATAATAGAATCCAAAAGTCGTCCGTAAGCCAAGCCGAGCGACGTTACTTGCGGTATATGTTCCGGAAGAGGCGCGTGCAAGGAGAATCACAGCGGACGTAAGAGCCGCACGGGAGGCGCCGCGCATTGCCGCCTGTCACCCTTTTTCGCTGGCCTGCTCCGGCGGCCGCCATCGAAGCTTGAGCAGCCCGACACGATGCAGCGGCGCCCAGCTAGCGCCTGATGGCCCTGGAGCGCACGCTGATTGCAACCAGTCTTGCTTTCCCGACAGTATAGGATAGGACAGGACAGGACACAGGACCAGCGCCGCTCGAAGCGCCAACCAGGCCGACGTATGACGAGTTGCCTCCTCGGCTGATGCGCCAGCACCGGCCAAAGCTGTGGCCTCCATCCAACCTGCGGACAACCACCCAAATCAACACGACGTGGATTGTAGGGTTAACCATCATGTCGGCGGGGACAACTAGATCAGCAACTGAATCGCTGTGCCGACCCACCATCTTGTCCCCGCAGACGAACCCAGACTTGAACTTGCGGACGCAGACAGCCGAAAGAACGTACCCCAGGCGGTCTGGCGGTCCACTGGCAAGTGTTGGCCGCAAAAGGGGGGATGCTCGCGTACAATGTAATCAATCGTATGCAGGCACAAGGTATGTACGGAGGATCCACTCTTCCCGCTGCCGCAGCTGCGCAAAGCCGCCACACACTGACATAGCGTAGAAGCTGCATGAGCCTGCTGCATGTTGGGCACGACTGCTGCCGTGCCTGTTGAGTCCTGGCGGACAATACTCGCCCTCTGCGCCTCCTCTCGAGTCTTGGCTCGGCTCGCTCTCCCTTCTGCTATCGCTCCTTGGTCGAGCTTACAACATCTCCTCGTCCATACATGAATAGCCAGATTGTACGCTGCCGAGGAGAGCATAGCACAGCTGCAGCACCAGCTTCAGTACCATCAGTCAGCAAGAACGCCCATCTGCTCTGTTTAACCCTTGAGTCGGCACCATGGCTGGCGCAAGACGCAACCTGGCCAACAGCCGCCACTCCCGCGCAGCACTCGACGACATCCTCGCCCTCTCCTTTGGGGAGCAGCCTTCCTCCCCAAGCTCGAGTAGCGGCATCGGAGCCATCGGCGCTGGTGGAACTGGGGTCACAGAGCAAGCATCAGACTACCATCCGTTTTCACTACCCTCTGCTCGCCGGATAGGCGGCGAGAGCCACACCCGTCGTCCGCCGCCGCAGAGGAGCACCATCGCGCCGCCGAACGACAGCAGCGAGAGCGGCGAGCACGAGGTCTTCTTTGATTCTGGAGACGCCATGCTGGAGCATGCTGATAACGTGCTACCAGCTCATTCGTCACAGAGCTTCTCGACCGCAGTACAAGCACCAGCGACGGCGCCGGCACCCTCCACATCTGGCGGCACCCCTGCTGGCGACGCACTTCCCTCGTACGACTTTGAGCGCCAGTCGTACTTCTCAGCACATGCAATGCCTCCTTCAGCGTCGGGCTCCAGCAGTTTGATGCAGACACGTTCACTGAGTCGTGCGTCAAACCAGGGAGTGGCGTCAGCGTCTCGTGCGTACTATGCAGCTGGCGCAGGCAGCGACGCCGCAGCTCCGGCCTCCGGCTCGACTGTGCACCTCGGAAGCTACGGTGGGAACAGTAATGCACCGAACAGCAACAATGCTGTTGGCCTGGCAGGTGCAAGCTCAAGCGCAGGATCCGGCATGCCAGAGACTAACGTGAGCCGCCTCCGCGTCCTACTCGGGCGTTTTGGCCGACTCGTCGGCATGCGCGTACCCGGCGCACTGTACTCGACGCTCTCGCAGAACGACCGCGAGGAAGTAGCGCAAGAAGGATCAGGCAGCAGCGCACATATGCGGCGTATCGTCGTCGGCAGCGGACTTGGCTCCGATGGCGTCTTTGCCAACCTCAGCGCCAAACCCGACCGCCGACGGCAGAGGAGGGATGAGAATGGACAGGGGGCGGATAGAGGCGAGGACGATGATTTAGTACGTTCTACTGTCATTCTTGGAATCGGAACAAGTCCATGCTGAAGTTGACTGACGCTTGCTCCTGCTTTTCCATCTCCAGGAGGATGAAGTCCACCCACCCAACTACGAAGCAGCAGCCGCAGACCAAGCGCCGCCGTACTGGGAGACAACAATCATCGGTGGACCAGGCTCATTGCACCCTCTCGCACCGGGCGGGCTCGGCTGGACGCCTGGTTCACCGGTGATCGGCGCGATCGAGGACTTGATCCTTGAAGGCCTGCCTATCGGCAACCTTTTCGGCTTCGCGTGGAACCTCCTCGTCAGCAGCTCCTTTCAATTCGTCGGCTTCCTGCTCACGTACCTCTTGCACACCACCCACGCAGCCAAGTGCGGCAGTCGTGCCGGCCTCGGCATCACGCTCGTCCAGTACGGCTATTACCTCCGCTCGGGCGCTGCGCATCTGCAAGCCGTGCAAGCGCAAGACGGCGGCGGCGGCAACCATCATGCAGACGACTTGGCAGATGACCCAGCTAGCAAGGATGAACAGCAGCAGCTGAGGCAGCAGAAAGACGCGATAGTCTCCAACGAAGTGCTCGCGTACATCCTCATCGCACTAGGCTTCTTCATCCTCGTCAACAGTCTGCTGTCCTATTGGCGCGTCTACCGCTGGGGCTACCAGCTCGTCGGCGCCGCGCGGCGTGAACAGGCTGCCGCTGCTGCTGCTGCTGATGCTGATGCTGATGCTACTCATGACACGGCGACGGCCGCTGCTGATGCAGACACCCCACAGTCTCCGTACACCTTAGCGACGCGCGTGCGCGCCTTCTTCGCTGGCGGAATCCCCGGCAGCAGCAGCAGCGGCGCAGGTAGCACCAGAGCGCACGATGCAGAAGACTGGATCATCTTCCCCGGCGCTGGCCGGCGGCTGACGGACGTCGAAGAAGGGCGCGCCGGTCGCGAACCGCGTCGCGCAGCCGATGATGACGACGACCAGGAGGACAATGAACACGACTCACGCCAGGCAATGCACCCAAGGCAGCACTCAAGTCCCGAAGAAGCGCGCCTGGTCAACGACCTGAGAGCGACCGGCTTCCTGTCGTGATTTCGCACCACTCCATCGCTCGCCGCCTCGTTCCTCGGTTCCCCGTCTTTCGTGTAGCATGCTGTTCGCCCCCGGACGAGCGACTGACTGTTGTAAAATCCCATGCAAATCGCATATGTTCATATTTTTGCAATTGCCATGATGCTCCACGATCTGAAGGGACGCTGCACAGGTCTGTTCTCATGCGCCATGCATGCTATGTGTATATGGCAAGTTTTCTTCACCCACTCTGGTTTGCATTGCGACAAAGGTCATTTTTGCGCGTCAAAGGTGTGGACGTGGAATTTAATACAGCAGCTCATGGAGTAGTCACAGCTCCTCGTCTTCGTCTTTCATTTGCGATCTGCAAGGGGACCGCGAAACATTGTTTAGCCTCCGTCAGTCTCTTGTCATGCTGTGGACCGAGGATCGGGCAAGCACGCCAAGATGGGGTTGGACACTCACGGCTTGAGCATTCCGGGAATCTTAGCAGCCTGTTCGCGCTCCGCCGCAGCCTTTGCCTCCTTATCCTCTTGGAACAGATCCGCATTGTCCGACGCGCGACCCGACTGCTCGCGAGAGGTGATGAGGAAGTCTCGTACGTGTCCCTTGTACGTGGCAAGGTCGCTCGAATGCTGGCATAGCCCGGTGACGAATTGTTCAATGTACGCACTGTGCAAGGCGTGTTGTCCATGTCAGCGAGCGTACTACCCGACGAAGCAAAGGAGGAAGACGCGCAGAGGCATACTCACGGCTGAATGTTCGGGAACGCGTTACGGAGGAGCTCGCTAGTGTATTGTCGGATGAAAAGGCGGTTATTCATGTCTGGAGAGTTAGCAGACTCAGGCCATAGCGGCGCTTGCACGCGATCCGTCTCGATCAGCTCAAAGACTCTTGCCAACAGCAAGCATTGCGTTTTGAAGCCTTTCGCAAACAAGTTCGGTTAGCGACCAAAGGGAAACTTGCAACCGAGAACCCACCGAAGAGAGAGAGACTCACCACTCTTATGGTCAGCATCCGTGAGCACGAAGAAGATGTCTTGCATGATGGCCAAGAGATACGCCTGGAAGAAACCGTTTGCGACCTGAGGCTCGGACCCGGTAATGTTGTTGATGAGCTCCAAGCAGATGTTCAAGCCCGTATCGGCGATGTCCCTCATGGTATGCTTGATCGCCCAGATGATGCTGTCCATCGTCAGCCTGAATTTTTCCGGCGGCAGCGTGAGTAGCGCCTGGAAGCAGTTTGCGTTAATCGCGCGCAGCAGCTTGAAGAAGCCGACGCGATGCTCAGGGAACTCGGAAAAGTCTTGGTTGATCATGCTCAGCGTGGGCTCGAAGACAGCGTCGAGCGTGGGCTGAATCTGCTCATTGAGCAGCGAGCCCATGCGCGTCGTGATAGTCGCCATGACGTTGAGCACTTCCGCATCACGTGCTGCCGGCACGTTGTTGCGGTAGTCGCCGAGTATGGCGTCTAAGAGCGATGGGATGAAGTTCTGGTTGATGTATTCGAGGTCCTCGGCGCGCCGGACATACGTCTCGACGAGTCGCAGGATCTCCTTCTTAATCGTGCGCAAGCCGCGCACCATGGGCGTCTTGGTGGCGATCTGCCCGTCCGAATTTACCTTCTGGCTGATGATCCCGCTGACACTCTTGTACAACGCGAGCATGTCCAGGTAGATCCTGCCCATCTGCGGAAGGAAGAATGTCCCGATGGACGTGCAGGCAGCAACATTCGTCTTAAGCACGTTGGCCAAGATCTTGATGTTCTCTGGGCTCGAGAAGACATCGACGTTGTTGTGCGCCTGCTGCAAGATGTTATCCCACGCCGAATTCGGGAGCTCCATCAGTTTGGCGATGAGGCGCTCCTGCGATGGCTTATTGGGCTGCGCTGCAATCATGTATCCTACTGCCTCGTAGAAGGTGTGCACCTGCTGCGGCGACAAATCAACAGTGATGCGATGCAGCGTCCGCAGAATCTCGTCCACGAACGGCTCCTGCTCGCCGGACTGCTGCATCACGAAATGGCGCCGGCATTTTTGCGCGATCTTCAGGAATGTGTCGCACGCCATGTCTTGTACACCTACGTGCGACCCATACAGAACAAGGTCAAAAGTGTCAACGCAGTCCTTGGCCCGGGAACCCACAACTCAGAAAATTCGGATGCCCACCTTCATGTGTCTCGTGCATGAATTCGAAGTTTTTATTGACGACCGTCTTGAGGAACTTCCAATGAGCCTTGAGGAAGCGAGGATACTGCCCGACGATGTACATGATGTTGGACGCGACGACAGCCTTGTTGTCCTTGCCCCTTTTCATCTCGCACAGGCCGAGTAGGTCCTTGATGACGGTGACGAGGAATCGCTTCTCGGTCTCCTCGCTCATCGCGCCGGAAATCGAGCCGATGGCCCAGCAGAGAGTGTTCAATTGGGACCAGCCCCACTCGGACCCGTCGACCTGCCGTGAAAGCTTCTCGGTCATGATGTTCTCCGTGTCGACCGTGTCGAGGTGGGTGAGGTAGACGAGCACCTCGCGCATGCTCTTGTACAGCACGATCGTGTCACTCTCCTTCATGAACTCGCGCACGATCTCGCCTTCGTCGTTCTCGACGATCAGCACCTCCTCTGGCTTGACCATGCGCTCGATCATAACGAGTCGCAGGTTGGACAGGATCTCGGCATAGAGGTTCTTGCGCAGGTTCACGCCGGCCATGGCAGCAGACGCGTGCGGGCCGTGCGCGCCAAAGCCGTTGCCAAGGTTCAGACCGAGCAGCGGGTTCATCTCGGTGATCGGCAGCGACTGCAGCTCGTCATAGAGCTCGCTGACGAGCTTCTGCCAGTACTCCAAGCAGATTTTGAACACCTCGCGCTCGGGCACCTGCGAGATCTTGATAAGGTAGCTGTGCGCGTTCAGCAGCACCTCCTTGTGCTCGTCCACCTCAATCAGCTTCAGATGCGTAGTGAGGAAGTTGCATATGAACAGCGCCAGATTCAGTACCAGCTCCTGATCCGCGTCTGCGCTATCCTCGTACGCTGCGGCGATGTTCGTGTTCGGCGGGATCATCCTGTTCACCGCCGACATGACCAGCTTGAACAGGACGACGAACTTTGTATTGTACTCGGGTACGTTGAGCGCCGCGATCTCCGAGAGGCACTTGAGCGTGACATTGCGGAAGTCAGGCACTTCGAGGAAGCGCCCGATCAGGTGGTCGATGATTGTCGTCTCGAAGATGAACCCGAGCGGGATCCAGTTCAAGAAGCGCAACGTCGTCTCGAGCGTCGCCTTAATGAGGCTCGGCTTCTGCGCCTTCTCCAGCACTTCGGAGCAGAGCTTGAAGACCTCGCTGAACTCGGAGCACATCTGATTCTTCAACGCTTTCGTCTTTGCTTGCGTCATCTGCTCGGCCGAGTAGTCAAAGATCTCCTCAGACAGCAGGCGCAGGATGGCCATGTTGTTCTCACAGATCGGCAGCGAAGTCTTGGACGACGCGACGATCTCCGAGATGAAGTTTGGCCAGTTGTGCGGCCACTCTTGCTTGAGGATCTGGATGAGCGTCATGTCTAGCTTGTTGATGTAGGTCTTTTGCTTGCGTAGATTCGCCTCGTCACTCGACTGCGCAATGATCGTCTCGACGATAAAGTTCCGGATACCTGCACGCAAGGCAAGAGGTTGAAGCGTCAGCTTTGGCATGTCGACCCTGCTTCAGCCTGGCCGAAAGGGCCGCACCTTGCTGTTGATCTGCTGGGAGCGTCTTCCATCGTAGATTGATCAGCTTGTCCAGAATCTGCAATGCAATGTACTTGGTCTCGTTCCGACTGGACTGCTGCAAGATGACCGGCACGCGTTGCCACGCGTCCGGATGCTCTTGGAACTGCGCCAGCAGCGTCTGTGCTTGTTTTTGCTGGTTGCGGTGAGAGGCGTGCGTAAGTGAAACTGAATGGACACAGGCTAGTCAGGCAGGCAGGCACTCACGTCAGGGCCTGCACCCTGGTACATCATGCCAACGACATTGTCGAGGGCGTCGATGTCCAGGTCCTTGCTGAAGTCGAGAATCGTCTGCGGCAGCGATTGGAAGAGGGAGAATGCGCACGAGATGCAAGGGGCCGTAGCATTCACGTCAATCATAGCAAGAGCGCAAAAGGCTCGCCCATTTTTGCTTGCACACTGTTTCTTGTACTCACATCCATCGTGGCGAGTAGCTTGCTAGGAAGCGATCCTTCTCTGCGTACGCGAGTATCTTTTTCTTTCCTGCCACTCCGTTGCTGTCGCTGTTGCTAGCAAAAGCGTTGCTTGGCACCTGCTCCCTGCTGCTCGATGTCAGCGCAAAGACTTGTGTGGCGACCGCCGGACACTCGTACCTCCTGACGTGGTGGCCACAAAGCGCCGCTGTCGATAGCACCCCCCAAATGCGCAGCGCTGTTGCTGCGGCGGCGTGGGCCGGGCGGATATACTTGCAACGCAAGAAGAAGTAGGCGGAGGAAGAGAAGAAGGAGAGGGAGAAGAAGAAAGAAGAAAGTTGCGAGCCAGCTCTTGGGCGACAGGCAACTCGAACGGCAACGTCGTCGAAGATACGCGTCGAGCCTGTCCGCTTTGGTTCTCGATTTCGCCGCAGCCCGCACCAGGGTTGGTCGATAGGGCAGCTAGGGATGAGGGCGGACAGTGCAAAAGGGGCGGGAGACAAACACTGCCTTTTCTGCTGTGATCGACCTTGACGCTGCTGTTGATCACTGCACGATCCTAGGGAGCGAGGTGTTGGAGCGGAGGAAACGAATGCTCTCGAGATGTTTGAGCACACGCCATCAATCCATCCATCCATTCAAATTGATTCAATCCTCTCTAGGGCGTGATCCTGACCCGGCTCCTCGGAGTTACACTATGACTGACGACTGAGTTGTTACAGGGCACGGCAGCACTCGTCTTTGCGCCTTGCCACCAGACCAGACCACCCACACTCAAACTCGGTTCCGCTACGTTTCTCTCAACAGGTGCCATCATTTCAGCAAGCCCCGCCAGCACAGCAGTGTGCATGTACCACTGCTTACATAGTCGTACATGGTGATGTCGAGAACCAGCAGCACCTGGTCTACTCGCTGCATACGTCGGTCACCCGTTACAGTTTGCGGTTGGCGACACGCTGACCGTAATATAATGCAGCCGTGATCGTCTTTCTCTTCTCGATTTGGCTGTGGGTTATGTGCTGGTATATATATATATATATATATGGGCGGCACCCCCAGATTCTGATCCTGCTCGCCGAGCAGCGGGGGCCAAGCGATAGTCTTTTCCCACGGCGCCTCTTGGCCATCTTCAATGAGGTTCTCGCGGTCAAGAATTGCACAGGAGAGAGCGGGCCGATGTGATTTATGTAGCAGAGCCCAGCGGTGCGAGTCAAGTGTGCTTCTGGTTTGTACAAAGATGAAGCACGAAGCATCACCAAGTCCCTCGATCCCAGAGGGAGCCCAAAGGACCTGCCCTTACGCCCATGCGAGTGGCAGGCTGTCTACGGAGCCTGGTAGGCTCGTATTAGGACGCGTGGTCCGTCTCTTAGGGTATCGAGTCTCTCCCGACGCTCTGAAGAGTTTTTCGAAGAGTCTAATATATGCTGGTCCTGGCCTGGCTACCCCTGCGTGGCGGTCTTTGTACGCGAGACCCCGGGGGGGAGGAGGAGCAGTCGTCATGCATAGTCCGGCGCGAGACTGTTCAGAGAGCTCATGGACTTTCGTCGCAAGCGACTTTTGGCAACAGAATGGCGCGCGGTTTGGCCAAGAGCTTCTATCCAGCTGGGGATCTCATTATCATTGGGGGTCCGGCTGCTTGCCAGTTGCTTGCTTGCTTTTCTTTCGTGGGCAGAAGGGAATGGCGGACCAGCGTGTGCAAGAAAGAGGTAGAGCTCTCTCTCAGTCTCCCTTTCATCCTGTTCCATACCTGTTTCTGTTGTTTGACTCATCTGAACCGCTGCAGCACCACAGCAGTGGAGGAGTGCAGGCATCGGCACAGTCAAGTGCGCCTGGGTTTCTGAGCGGCACCACAACAGTCTGAATGGGGGTCTGCGCTGGTACGTCTGGCGTGCTGAGGCTTGACTTAACTACTGCGGTGTGCTGCTGATCACCTTCCCTCTTTATCACCTCCCTCTTCCCATCCATCCCAAGCCATCCTCCCCAAACCTCGAGCTCTGGCATCGTCGTCGTCTCATCCATCCAGCCCCTCTCGCAAGCTGAGCTTGCTTGATCTGCACGCTGACCACCCCCGAGGCAGAGCCAGAGGTAGAGGCAGTGGCAGTGGCAGACGCCAATCAGTCGATACCGACCGGCAGTCTGGCCTGATTGCAGGACGAGCCGAGTCGCCTCTTTCGACTATCCATCCACCCGTCTCCACCGTTACATATCATCACCCCTCTCCTCTCCAAGACAGCGAAGGAGCTTCCCAGCTGGTGAGTGTTACTGTACGTGGATACCCCTCGCTCGATGCTGCGGCCTGGATGGATGGATGGATGGATGCTGATCACTCTCACCCACCTCTTGCGCAGCGACCGCCCCTCCCGTTAGCCGATCTGGAATCGATCTCCTCCCTCTCTTTCCCCGGACAGACGCACAGGCGAGGTGCTGAGCATCCCAGCCTCCACCCCTCATTGAGCACGCATTTAAAGCCACTCCGAACCGGTTTGGAGGGAAAGGCGAGCAAGATGACCACAGCCGCTGCCGGGTCGTCGGCAGACGCGCGCGGTCGACAAGAACGGCTCCAAGCTGCCAAGAAAAAGGTGAGGTCTGCAAGTCCAAGGGCGGCGCGCAGCATACATCCCCATAGTCGACTTGGCTGACGCTTGCGTGGCCCTTTCTCTCCCTCTGCATCTGCCCTGCAATCAGCTCAAGACGTTTAGAGCCAAGCAAGCCCAGATCGCGCGGCGCACATCGTCATCATCCGCATCCGGCTCGATCTCCTCCCTCCACGCGCTTAAGCCCTCGTCTGGCTCCAGCACAGGTATCCTCGCAACTTCCGACGCGGATGCCCAGCAGTTGACGCGCAGGAGCCTCATCGAAGCAGCTATCAAGGATGCCGATCGCGTTGCCCTCAGAGCCCAGCACGACGGCCCCAATGACTCCGCAATCTGCTCTCCCCATCCCTCGGCATCAGCATCGCCATCATCGTTTGCAGTAGCGGCAGTCAACAGCCGGCGGCACTCGTGCGCACTCAGCCGCAGCGCCGGCGGGCCACCACCCGCAGCGGGGTCTAGCAGGCACGGCCGCGGCCACTCGCGCACGTCAAGCATCAGCATCTCGCTCAAGCCTGGTGCGCTGGGCGACTTTGTGCCGCGCCCACAGCAGCCGCAGCAACCAGCCGCCTTGACGGCCAGCATCGCTAGCGCCTCGGGCGTCTCGTCCATTAGTGCCCAAGTTGACGACGAGAGCGGCCCGCCGGTGAGGGAGGCGCGCATCGCCAAGAGGCGGAGCATAAGCGTCCTTTCCGCCGCGGCGAGTACAACGACTTTCGTCGCATCCACAGGCGGCGGCCACTTCCGCGGCCACTCGCGCACCGGCTCGCGCACCTTTGCCGGCGCTCGACCGTCTGGCGTTATCGTGGCGACGGCACCGCCAGGCCGCAGCAGCGTTGAGGCAGTAGCAGCAGCAGCGCCGCTCGGGCTCAAGGGTCACGGCGACGTGCAGATCGTCGCCGTCGAACATGGACCCGACATCACCGCCGCGAGCTTCATGCCTGCTAACCGGGACGCATGGGCTGACGAGCTCGATCTCGAGGGCGATGTGCAAGCTGAAGTAGGGGGCACGGCAGATGCACATGCCGCCGCAAGCGCAAGCGCGGACGCAGGGATAGGGATGCTCACACCGAGCTCGTCGCTCAACGCGGACCTCGCGGCGCTCGGCAAGCGCGCATCGTCCAGCAGCAACGGCTCGTCGCGCACCTCGCACTCGCCACAGCATCAACAGCAGCTGTCGTCGAAGAGCCTGACACCCGTCGCATCGCCCTCGCGCGCGCATGCGGCGCTCCTGGAGGAGCCTCAGACGCCCAGTGCGCTCTTCAGGGACTTGAATAGTAGCAACAGCAGCAGCCAGCAACAACAGCGTCTCCTGGCGATATCGCCATGGGCTTCGCCGTCCACGTCACCGTCCGCTTCGACGCTGCAGTTCGGCAGCACCAGCGGTTCATCCACCGTAATTGGAGCAGCATCCAAGCGTCTCAGCCGGCACAACCGTCGTGCAAGCGTCGCGACGAAGCGCGAGAGCATGGAGGTCATGGGCGGCCTGTTGCACGGACCTGCCGCTGCTGCTGCCGGCGTGACGGGCTACTCAACCGCCGAGCGCCGCCGCTCGGCGGCCCGGCTGTCCGGCATCATGCCTGCCAGTGCGCTCTTTGGCGACATTCCGCCTGCTGCGGGAACCAGCAGTGCAGGAAAGAGGAGAAGCACCGTGCGCATCTCCGTGCAGCGCGACTGGAACTGGCAGAGCGCCATCGCCGTTAATGGCAGCAACAGCAGCAACAGTGACGACATCGAGAGCCGCCTTTCTGCTCTCGACAAGCTCGAGGGAAAATCACCCAGTGCCAGCCTCAGCCTCAACCACGTCGCCAGCCCGGAAGCGGCAGCGGCGCAAGAAGCCCTCGCACAGTCCAGAGCAGCGCCGAAGCCGTTCCCGCTTATCGTCCCAGATACCATCACGCATGCCGGGTCCAACACACAGGTCCCGCTCGTCACACTCCAGGGCAACACGCCGACGCCCGGCCCGAACACTGCAGCCGCCAACAAGCAGTTCATGCCTGGCTCTGACTCGGCCGCTGCGTCGCACCTGTGTTTTAGCCTGCCGCACACCGCCGGCGGGCTCTGGCCACCGCTCCTCTTCGATCGCGACGGTGCCGCCCTGGGTAGCAGCGGCGACGGAGATGACATTGGCAAGGACGGCAGCACCGCTGACCAAGCCGAGCAGGCGTACGTTGCATGCGTGGATCAGCGAGGGAGCCGGAGCAGCGTGCAGCTGCCCGACTTTGATGAACTGCACGGGACCGAGGGCATGAACAAGCGTGCGAGCTTGAGCCTGTTGGAGATGAACGAGAAGGCTACCAGCAGCGCCGCCCCCGGCGCGGATGGCGCGGTAGCAGCAAGTACCTGGGAAAGCGTCAACGCCGTTCTAACGATGACGTCGTTCGGCATGCGCGACGCGCTCGACTCACTTGCGTCGCCACGCGCATCGCACCGTCTGCCCTCGCCACTCGCATCGCCACAGGCCCTGCCACTGCCAAAGTCCCCTCTCGCAGGCAGTGCGAGCAGCATCGGCCTGCCGTCGACGCCGACACCATCCAACGCGGACGACGCTGCCACCGCCACCGCTGAAGGGCTCGGCACGCTCGTCGAGGAGGAAGAGGACGAGGAGGATTACGCCGGATCGCCGTCCCAGCTCTCGGCGCTGGCGCTGCATAATGTCACGGCTGACTCACCTGATGGCACCCCTTCCCCTGACGCAGACGATCCATCATCGACTCCAGGACCAGCGACATCGCCTCGGCAGTCGGGCGCAAAGGGGATGGAGGAGCAGCAGCAGCCGCGAGATGAAGAGCGAAAGAGGCGCGAAGAGGAGCTGGCGCAGATCAAGCGCAATCGCCGCGCCAGCGCGCTGACGCCCAAGCCCATGAAGCTTAAGAGCAGGCCCGCCAGTCTGTTCCTTGCGCCGAGCATGCGCAACAGCAACAGCACCGGCCTCGCTGCTTCCGACTTCAGCCCCACGGCTGGCGCTGGTGTGTTCTCGTCTGCCACTGCCGCTACAGGCGCTGCCACTGCGGAAAGCGCGGTTGCCCAAGCAAAAGCCAACCCACTACAGCCTCCGGAAGCAGGCACGGTGCACATGGAGGAGGAGGACTCTGTCGGCGAGCTCAGGCTTGGATGGTCTATGGCCAAGGCGCAGCGAGCAAGCGCCAGTAAAGTGGCGTCACTTGCGGGCGATCATCAGCTCACTTCTCCGCCCAGCTCGTCCATCGGCTTGGATGCACGCAAGCGTACGTGGCGCATGTCAATGCCAGCTGTTGCAGGCTCTCTGTCTGGCTCTAGCGCTGGCGCAACCGGTGCACCACAGCAGCGTATCGGAATGCGCAGGCTCCAGCTTGGTTCGCTCAATACCGCATTGCCATCGACAGTCGAGACGAGCCACAGTTTCGCCAGTGACCTCAGCAGCAGCAGCAGCAGCGGCAGCAGTGGTGGTATTGGCGGGATAAGCATACCCTTCAGCAGTGGCAGCGGCAGCAGCAACGCGGGGCCTGTCAAGCGTCGCAGCAGCATCATCTACAAGAGCAGTGAGGCTAAACAGAGTACTCCACTTATCGGGTCCTCTGCGTCCAGTGGCGGCTTCAACCTTATGCGCAGCTCATCCAGCGATTCCATCAGCTCGACCATCTCATCTAGTGGTATTGTCGGAGCCTCTGCAGCAGCAGCTGCAGGCGGCATCTCGGCCGCAGCATGGGATGAGCTCAAGACGAGGGCACAGCGCGATGCTGCGCTGCTCGACAGCATGCGCAGGCAACTCGAGGCCGCACAGAAGGAGCTGGCGGGGGAGAAGCTGCGTGCCGAGCGCGAGTACACGGATCTCGAGCGGTTGATGCAAAACGAGAAGCTCAGCTTGGCAGCCAAGATCCAAGAGGCTGAACGGAACGCTTCGGCTCGTACAACAGAGGCGGAGACCGCACAGGCCGAACTGCAGAAGGTCCGCGAAGCCCTCGAGGAGACCGAAGCTGAGCGCGATACCTACCAAGAAGATGTCGATGGCTGGCGTACCCGCTGTGCTGACCTCGAGAAGAAGCTTGCAAGTGAGCGTAGTCGCGCTGAAGCCGAGACGCGAGCGCGACGGGGCGTGGCAGCCAAGGTCAAGCGTCTAATTGCACAGCTCGAAGCTACGGGTGCACAAGTTTCCCCCGAAGATCAGCTGCAACCGGAAGATGTCGCTCCGTCTGTGCTGGATCGTGTCACACCTGGCCACGTCTCGCGCTACAGTCCCTCTTCACCCATGGCGCCTGGCGCCAGTGGTTACTTCAGCCAGTCTTCCGCCATGCCGCCACCAGAACAGACAGTCAAGCTACTTGCAGACATGCGCCAGCAGATTTTCAACCTCGCTGGCACGCTTGAACATGAGCGCAGGGAGCGCGCAAAGGCTGCCGATGAATTGGAGTCGCTTCGCGCCCAGAGCAATCAAGAGCAGGGCCCTGAGCCCGCAGAACTGCCTCAACCAGCACCTGAGAGCTTCCACCGGGGTGACTCTAGCAGCCTTCCAGAGAACACTGTTCTGGAGTGTGAGCAACCTGCGATCACATCGCAAATGCCCATCACAACCGTCTCGCCTGGCCGTAGCAGCCGCAACAAGCGACATGTCTTTGCCTACGACTCTTCTACTGGCAGCCAGGAACACAGCTCCGCTTCGGCCGGTTCGCAGAGCTTGAGTAATACGACCGTCTCGGAAACCCCATTCGACGAGGAATCCTTCGCCAAAGCACAGGCAGCCCTGGCAGCGTCCGAAGAGGATGACTCGGAGGGTGATTTCAGTCTCGCAACCGGCCGTGGCACTCTGCAGACGCTGGACGAGGTGGAGGAGGAGGAAGCACCTAGCGACGGTGTGGCGAACGAGTCACTGTGCTCAGACGATGCCACGCCTGTGCGGCCCTCGATCGACGTCGAAGGAGGGGCCGTTAATGGTGACTTACACTTCGACGAAGATACCGCATGGGATGCTTCTAGCGAAGTCAAAGATGATCGCCTGCAGGGCCCGCCTTCTGTGAACAAGGTGCCCCTTGTGGCGCTCGAGGGCCACTTGCTCGATATGTCTAGTCCCAGGAGCAGCGATGGCAGAAGATCGACGATGTCCGTGACGATGCCTAGCTTGCAGCATACTTCCAGCCACCGGGACAGCGACGATAGCTCGTTTGACAGCCAAGGACCCGCATCTCCGCCAAATGGGCAGTCTGGTGACATGGACGACAGTGACTATGAAGATGTCCCAGAGCCATTTGAGGAGATGGAGGAGCGACCCGAGTTCATTCCGGAGTGGTCCTTCCACAAGGCGAGCAAGCACGCGCTGCGCCGTATGGCTGTCAATTCAACCAAGCGTAGCGTCAAGCACTCCAAGATTCCTAGTGTGGAAGACTTCTTTGGTATCATGAACGAGACAACTCTTCCGCCCTTGCCTTCATCATCAGACGCCCTCGATATGCCGCCCATCCACATCGACGCTGTCCCTTTCATGCATAGATACATTGGCTACGGAACTCGCTCAAGTGTACGATCCGCCTCCGTCAAGGGGGTGTCAGGCATCCCTGCGCCACGCTACAGCCCATACGATAGCTTCGAAGCGACAACGCGAGCCTCCATGTCCGAATCCTCAGATGGTGGCCGCCAATCAGTAGACTCCACCTCATCGTACCTCTCTCGCGCCACTGGCATCTTGTCGGGTGCAAGCGTTGGCCGCGTCTCGCAGGGTGTAACCAATGCTTTTAGCGGACTCGGTGGCTACCTCACGAAACAGGACGCTTTCTCAGTCGCGCAGGCGGGCAACTCGGCCAGCCAACCTCATCCAATGCAATCTGTCACTGAAGAGCGGGAACCTGCTATGTACTCGACGAAGCGCAGACAAGACACGGGCAGCTCCATCGCATCGTCAGCATCATCCACGCGCCCAGCAAGACAGTTTGTCCCTCGCTATGGCGGCCCACCTCTGATTGCAACACCCTCATGGGAATTAGACTTTACACACGCCACGGGTGGCGCAGGCAGCCACCCCGTAATTGTTTTGTGACAAGCTACGCAACTACTGTATTGTAATACTCATACGAAAGATTACGAATCTCTGATAAGAAGCACTTCGCTCAGTGATGGAATCATATAATTGCAGCCATTGGACGGAAGACTGCATAGTTCGACATGCGCACACGATTGAAGACACATCGAATCAAGGTGGAACATCAGCCATCCTGTCTATACATCGCATTCGATGCCGGCGTCGAGGTTCTACACCTGCCGGTCCGACAGGCGGCCACGTAGCGCAGCTGAAACATCTCGGAACTCTTTGAGCATTCTCGACCTCACAGTCTGCCACTGCTGCTCCCCACCCAAGGCTGCGGACAGCCACGATGGCGTGTGCAATGTGCTTTCACTTCCGAAACGTGAAGTCTTTGCGTCTTCCAGTTGCTCCGCAAGTGGCGACTTGCCGCTCGCACCCGATAGGACAGAAGCCTGCGGAGCAAGGTTATCAGCGGTCCGAGCTTGCTGATTGATAAACTCGATGCCAGGGAGCTCACCCTGAAAGCAAATTCTGCCGTGTGCAGAAGTTCTAAAGGTGTGGTCGACTGGTCCAAGAGTCTGTCCCAATCTGAGGTACCATCGGTCGGGCGTCTCGCGAATCGAGCTTCTGCAGATGTCAGCTGGTCGGAATTGTGAAGCAGAGCGTGCGTCAGACTTTACTGCGGGAGCCTGGAACGCATGCTTGAGTGACGTACGTTTGTAGTAGTCTCTCCTGTAAGCCCGGACGGACTCTGCACGGCGGAAGCGATAGACCAGACAAAGTTAGCCTGATGGTGCATGAATCGGCAGCGTCAGTCTTGCGGTCGATTCAGCGCATACACATCTCAGTCGACTCACGTTACAGCGCGGGCCTGAACCAAGAAGCTCCCATATCGAGGGCGCATCGGCGGGCATGTAAGATGGGAAAACGTTGAAATCTCGCTGGTCGTGTAAGACGGGCGATATGGTGCTGGGACCCTGACCTTGCGCCAGGATGGTCGCGGCGAGTCTTTTCGCGCCGTCAATGTCCTTGTTCGAAAGCTCACAGAGCATCAGCTCGGTGTTGAAGAGCTGACGCATCAAAGAGCCGTCGAGACACTCGTAAAATTCCAAGAGCTCCTCCGCTCGTGAGTAATTGTGGAAATGGAACGCCCTGAAGATCATTTGAGGTGTCTGAAACGAATCGCAACGTCAGTTGGTCCAAGTTCGGGCAAAGACGAGCAATGCTATTCCCTTCAACACGCACATCTTCTTTGTTCTCGTTGTAGATCCCCATGAACTTGTTGATCGTTGCTTGAAGGTCAGAGCCATTTGGAGATATGACAGAAGCGAAAGCCGAGCAGCGCTCAAAGAGCCAGTGGGTTAAGCTGTCTTGCTGCACGGATTTGACGCCAAGTTGGAGGAAATGTTCGAGTGCGAGAGGCCAAGCCCCAAGCAGGACGCAGATTCGAATAAGGAGGAGACGAAGGACGTAGCCCTTCGGCGAGTGTTGGAGTGCCTGCGTCAGCAGCTCGGCGGCGTCGTAAAGGTGTCGAAGGTGAGCGCTTGGGGGGAGTGCATCTCCTTCCGTTGCAGAGAGCGACAGCGAAAGTGACCACGCAGACACGAGAGCCTCCCCTGCAAGAAAAGCAAGGTCGTCTGCAGGATGCATCTCTGTCTTCGGGAGATCTCTTCCAAGAGGCAAAGCTCGCAGGTAATCTTCAAAATACTCCCGAGCTGAAGCTGTTTCCACTTCTAACATCTGGCGGCATTCCTCTGGCGTGGCGTCGGCCGTAGGATACGTGCGCAAGAGTCGCCGCAACTTCTGCGCGTTGATGTATCTCGTGAGTTCCTTTTCATCATCGAAAGGCAGGTCGGATCTCGACGTCGCCGCACGGACCCATCCGCCGCTTGACGTTAATGCGGTTCTCTCGTCTTGTGACAGGGTCAACACAGCAGGTCGGAGATCCTCGTATGCACATCGTTTACTGCTGAAGAGGTCAAAATAATCGTGTACTAAAATAGGCAAGCGATGTTTTGCAGCATCTTTGAGCACGGCAGCTGAAGATTCTGCTTGCCGAGCTTGCCGATCGATCTCTAAGCGCGCGAGAAAGAGCGCTCGCTCCTTCATCGCAGCTGCTTTTTTCTTGTTTTGCGCTTGCCGCTTTTTCTTGTTCTTGCTTCCCGCCGTACTTGATGCCGAAGGCGCAGGGGAAGCATCCTCCTTGTCTTCTTGCCGCACAACGGACGATGATGAACCAGTCGTTGGCAATTGTGTTGACACGGCCGCAATGTATGTAGGCAGAATCTCCTCCAGGAAGAGTCGCGTCTCTTCGACTGGATGAAAGCCATCTTCTATTTCACGTTCCCCGTTACCGGATTCCTGCTTGAAAGCCGCATCGACCAGGCGTACCAATGTCGCCCAATCACGATCACCGTGCTGTTTCACCTGGAGCATTGCTTCTTCTTTAATATCTTTCCACAATTGGAGCCGTCTCATAACTTCCTGCCGGATTTCTTTGATGTCCGGATTGCCAACTAGGCCTTGTACCGGTGTGCGAGTGTCATATGAGGGGGCCACGTCCTTCGGGTCGCGAAGGGGGTTCAGGCCGCAATGTATTCGACCAGCATCGGACTGCAAGGTTGCGAACGCTTCACGCCACTTTCCCTGCTTCGTGAGAGTCGAAAGAAGTATGTGGAACTGCTCGACTTCAGAAGTGGAGCCGTCGAAGTAGCTGAACAAGGCCATGTCAGGCTCTACCGGGCTCGTGGATGACAGGGAGGCGAAAAATGCTTCAACTGAGGTGTGCTTGAGGATCATTCGTTCTGCTAGTTCGAGTGACACCGCCGCACTCGGAGACGATGTGTCGCGATGCTGAGTATTTCACGCAATTATTCAGACACTTTCAAAAATTATCGTCTCCATCGCCTTGCGCTTACCATCAAGTGATAGCATACGACGCTCCACCAAAAGTAATGACCTGCTGGATCCCCCTTCACTGTCTTGGCCATTTCCGGAGGCCAGCTTCTCTTGCCCTTTGGCACTCCTGCAGCGCTAGAGAAGGTCTTGTACATCCTGATTGCAAGCTGCTGAGCGCGCTGATACTCTCGTGTGACAATAAGGGTTTCGAACGTTTTCTGACAAAGCTGCTCATCCTGCGGCTGCAGCTTGGCCGCTGTGTCGAGCAAGTCTGCGGAGACTGTCCTGTGACCATAACGATCGAGCACAGCAGTGAGAGGTAGTAGGACATCGTGGTCTGCTGTTCCCAGCCCAGCTGATGCTTGACTCAAAGCCGAGCTGATCGCTTCGTCGTCTCTCCGAAGTCTCATGAGAGCCAGCGCCTTAAGGGCCGCCGCCAGAGGGTTCTTCTTTGCGTCGGATTTGGCCGCTATATCGCTGTTCGATGTCGGCAAATGGTCGCCCAAAATTCTCTGGCATTCTCTCAGCGCACCTGTTGGACGTCCAGCGTCCAAGTTGGCGTAGATGGCCTGGCACTGTCGTTGCTGGACATTCAGCAGATGCGAAGGAGTACTGGCCGGAGCGGCAAGCTCAATGCGAGACTTGCCGCCCCCCCTCCCGTTGCTGGAGCTTGATTCCATCTGACCGCCGCGCTCCGATCCCTTTCTCCGCGCCTGATTCCATGGCCACCGGGCACCAAGCAATGTGGCTTCCTGGAAGAACAGATTCCCTTTCACATATTGCATACCATGATCGTAACGGGGTATGTCTCGTTGAGCTGTGCAGTGCGGAAGTGTGCTATCGGTAGACCTTGAAATGGGTTCCGAGTCCCGTGGGTTGAATAACAGTCACGTGGTCGTCAAACGCGTGCTTCATTGGAAAGCAACACGGCCATGCACAAGAAGGCACCCTGCTGGTCCCTTGACCTATTGACCTCATCCCCATCTCCCTATATTCTCCTTCTGCTCCCCGACTAAAACTAGTGGCCAGCTTCTGAATTGACATACATGGCATTCCTCGTATATGATGCTCTATGTGCTTAGCTAGCTCGCTGTCAACGACGCGAAACGCGTAATATCGCCACCGTTACCCGAGTCATCGATGCGGGCCGAAGCAAGAGCAACTTGCAAACATGGCTGACCGGCTGACCGCCCTTGCCGGCTTCCACGACTCGTCCTATTCAGTCGCATCAAACACTACAGCAGGAGATGCTTTGGGAGGTATACATGACGGAAATGTGACACAGGCCGACGCGTCCGCCGGAGGACGGCCGATGCCTGCCTTACCGCCAGGAATGGAGACAGAGGCGAGTGTTAGCTTGATGCCTCCTCCGGCTGTCCCTCAGCGCAATGGCACCAGTGGCACTGCTGGCGGCGCGACAAATACCTTTAATCCAGCCACATCTTCCGCAAGCAAGGCCGCCCGCGCGAAAACCCCACCACCAGCTCCCACGAGTAAGCAGCAACAGCCGCCAGACACTGCGCAGAAGCCAGACACGCGTCGAAGGTATGGCATCACGATCGGCGGGCTCGCTGGAGATCCAGGCGCTGCAGGAGGTCTCTCTCTCGGTGAGGATGAAGATGAAGACGCAAGCGAGATGGCGGGAGGGGTCGAAATCGTTGGTGGTGCAGGTGAGCTGCAGAAAATGCTGGTGCGCAACACTGGGGTTGGTGTAGGGAGCAAGTCCGGCACACCTGCCCTTGGTGATGTGACCAGCGCCAGTGCCAGTGGTGTTGGTGTAGCTGGTGCAGAGGACTCTGGTCAATGGGGCTCGCGTGCGATGAATCGACGGGTCGCGCAAGGGACAAACCTGAAGCAATTGCAGGCTCGAATCGACTCCCTCACCACTGAGCGCGATGACCTTAAAATCGAAGTCGACTTCCATCGACGAAAGGGGAGCATAGGAGACATCGCCAGCGAGGTCATTTCGTTAAGGCAGGAGAAATTAACGTACGTTAAGAAGGTCATCAACCTCAATGACATCGTCAAGAAACAAGACAAAGTGATGACGCAACTGCGAAAGGCGAACAAGTTCTGGGAAGGAAAGAAAGTGGAGGATTGGAAGAACATGGAGGACGAGCTCCACGCACTTAGGAAACAAGCAGAGTTGCAAGCCCGGGAAAATGACAAATTGCAAGAAGAAGTCCAATTCTTCAAGAATCTGCGCGAGGATCGGAGCCGCGAGGATCGCAGTCGGTCCAGTGTTCGTGTCGGCGGTAAGGCTACCATACAGGAACTCGAGCAAGAAGTAGAAGCCTTGAAGGAGGACCAAAAGGTGGAACTGTACAAGCTGGAGACCGCGCTTGCCGACATGGAGCAGCAGCGCGATGACCTTGCAGACCAGCTCGAAGAATTGCGCCTTAGCAAGCGTGGCGCGGCCGGCGGTCGACGCAGCCTCAAAAGCGCCGAGGATAGCGACGCAGATGAGTCAAACGCCACACTCGGCACAGCTGCCGCGGAGCGCTCAGCGATCATCAGGCGAAAAGAAGAGACAATTAAGGATCTTGAAGAGCGTGAGGCGGAACTCAAGATGCAGCTGGAGGCTCTGCGCACAGACTTGGACAGCACACAGCGCCGCGAAGATCAGTTGCGCATGAAAAATGTAGACCTTAAGGCGACGGAAGAAGCGCTGGAGCGTGAGATCAAGTTCCTCAAGGACAAGATCCAGCTGTCCGAGCGCAGATTGGAGGAAGAGGGTGAAGATGCAAGCCGTGAGATGATGGCGATGCAGAATATCCTCGAGGAGCGCATGGCAAACGAAGTGCAGCATTGGAAGGACGAGCTGACAAGCTGGAAGCTCAAGCACGAGAGGCAGGAGCAACGCGTCGAACAGCTCGAGGTCGACCGAGAAGAGTGGGAAGCCAAGTACACAAATCTGGATTATGAGCTCACCAAAGTCGAACAGGAGTACCAAGCAGTTGTCAAGGTGAGTGATGGTTGCATCACTCGTTCCTTTGCCGCGCGATCGCATCAGAGAGCTTATACTGTTGTTCATCCAAATTAGCGTCTGGACGAGGTGGAAAAAGAAGCTGATGATCTCGAGCAAGATGTTGAAGAGCAAAAGCAGACCATCGAGCAGCTTGAAGACGACCTGGACTTACACGCTGGAGACTTAGAATACGCGAATGGCGAGGTTGCTAGGGTGAGGCATGGCTGGACATTCGTTAAGGCAGGCATTCGCTCAAAGCTAACGGCGTTGTTCCTCAACCAGTTATCTGATCTTCTAGGTCACGTTGAACAAGAGCGGGATACCAAGGCTGATGAGATTGATCAGCTCAATGCTGAACTGGACGAGGCGGAGATGAAAGCAGAGCAAGCGGAGCGCAGAGATCAGGCCTTGAAAGACGTGAGTGCCAATTCTCACTGCGCTTTGGTCTGTGGTCGACTGAATCAGCCATTGCTTGTTATCACAGCGCCTGAACGACGCGCAACTTCTCCTTGATGAACGCGAGGCTAAGCTTGAGGAGCTATCTGAAGCATATGAAGTTGTGCTTGCTAACAAGGAGCAACTTGCCAACGACTACCACGAAATGAAAGAGGAGCTTGGCAGCCTGAAGGCCAAGCTCACGCACTCGCAAGATGAGCTTGAGCAAACCCTTGAGGACCTCCGAGCGGAGGAGCGCTTGAACCAGCAGCAAGCGGATGACTACGCAATGCAGCTCAAGCAGAGAGAGGAGGAGTATCAGTCCAATCTTAAGAGCAAGGACATGGATGTTGCAGCATTGGAGAATCATGCCGACAATCTCAAAGAAGACGTCACGAATCTGAAGGAAGACTTGCACAAACTGCAATCCGCTTTGCGAGACCAAGCCGACCAGAGTCAGCGTCTGGGCCAGAGCCACGTCAACGACAGATATGCTCTGGAGCTGGAGATCGACCGACTAAAGCGAGAAGTCGCAGCACTAGAGAGAGAGCTCGAATCAGCAAGCAGGGCGGCTGAGAGGAAGGAAGACTTGCTTAAGGAGAAAGATGCTGCAGGAATCAAAGCTGTGAGTAGGACGACCAGCACTGCCTCTCTTAAACAAAGAAGATTGGCTTACCTTGCTTTGCTCGTTAGAACACCGACCTGCGAGACCTCGTGAGCAAGCTTGCCTCGGAACAACAGGCTCATCTCGGGCTCTCTGATCGGTTCGAAGCACAGAAGAAGGTGGGCTGCTTCCTCGAGAGAATTTTGCATATGTGCATGTTGACTTAATGCCCGACTCCCAGGCCCTTCGCGAAGCGCAAGAGGAAGCCGAGGAAGCTCGGGCGAAGCTGGAGGAGCTCGAGCACCAACGATCCGAGTACGAGCGCAACAAGAGCCATGCCAATGAACAAGCGGTCGGCCAACTCAAGGAGCGCAACACATTGTTGCTCACGATTTACCAAAGTCTCGGTCGCACCCTTGGCGCCGACAAGGGCTTGGGAGTGAGCGTCATCGGATTCACGGCAGAAGCCGCTGGCAACTATCTGACTCTTGATTCTTTCGCAGCGCAAACGAGACGATGCAGACCTCAAACCATTCACCAACTTTGGCATCTTCCATGATAGCCTCTTGTCTCGGATGAGGCGGCTTGGAGAGCTTCGGACGCACTTCGACACCAAGGCAAAAGAGATGGAGGCCAAGTTCCTGGAGCACTTCAGGTGAGTGACACCTCTCAAGGTCAGGAAACTACTTCGCTGACGTAAATGTTCGCGATGTATAGTGCAATCAAGAAGCAGCAGGACGGGCAGATGCGCCACATTAATCGTCTCGAGCAAACACTGAAGACAGCGTCCGACAAACAAGGAATCTGGCGATCGCGCATAGTTGCGAAACAAGCCGAGTTGGACGCTGCCAAGTCCACAAATAATGAGCTGCAGCAGCAGATCTCCTCGCTTAAGACTCGAACGGTGTTGTCTTCTCCATCATCGAACTCCAAGATCACCAATCTCAACTCGCGCGCGAACAATGCAGAACGCAAGCTTGCAGCGGCACAGACCTCTCAGCAACATGCGGAAGACCGCCTGGAGGAAACCAAACGCAGATTCGAGCAGGACGAGTCCAAGTGGGTGGCCAGAATCAAAGAGCTTGAGCTGAGATGCAAAGCTGCGGAAGAGAAAGCTTCGAGGGATCGGTCGAGCGCGAAGGAACGTCTGAAGGCTCTAGAGGAGCAGAAGCGGTGAGATCGAGCTACCCTTGTGGATACGCAGCTCGTCAGGCGCTCACACCCCCTCTCATCTGAACCCAGACGAGCCGAAGCGGATCTTCTTCGATCAAACAAGCAGTCAAAGCAGCTCGATACAGTGTTACCGCCAACGTCAGAAGCTGTAGGCCAGCCATTGGATTATTGAGAGCGTAGCGCGACCGTATGGGCTTGGTTTTGCGAATGTTGTATGGTTATGCTTGCATCTCGGTAAGATACATATTTGTTATGCAACGTTACGTCTGTCCTGTGGACATGCAGGAAGTGCAGTACATCCATAATCTGTTGCCTTCACAGCAAACCAGGGGCGAGTGCGGCATCGTGTGCCTTCGTCAATCGCCTTTGGAGCCTTGATCGGGATCCAGCAGTAAAGGCTTGCATTTCTCGCTCAGTCCTTCCACTTGAACACTAAGCAGCGCACGATTATGAAGGTATATCAGAAGAGGAATGAAGGAGTGCTCTCAACCACAGACTCACCATCATCATCCAAGTCAATTCCAATACCCAGGCCCATCGGCTCGCCGAGGCCCTCTTTGTCCGAGTCGCGATCCATTCCAGCGATGCGCGCCAGCTTCTTCGAAGATGCCGGAATTTGAATGCCGCTCAGCGAGCTCAATGCACCGCCGGGGTATCGACGCTCGTCATCGCCTCTGGGCGTCTTGATAAGCGGGCTGGATGAGAACAGATCGGTGCGGATGTTGCTCGACTCGCGTTCATGGTGTGTATCACGCACCGAGGACACACTCGGCGCCGTGGGTGATCCCAGCGTGCGGTTGTGCAATTCTGGCGTGCGAAGCAGCGAAGAACCGTAGAAGCCGTTAGAGACGCCTCGCGCCCTAGCAGCTCGCGTGGACGAGCTGGGAGACTGCAGGAGCCAAGCGCGGTTTTGAGGATCCATCTTGTCGCCCACGTCGCGCTGGTCCAGACCTCCGCTACTGTAAACGAGACTGGGCATGCCGATGCTGTAAGCCGAGTGCTCCGTGCTGAAGACGCCGCCAAGGAAATCGCGACTGGGGGTACTGAGCGCGCCAGGTAAGCCCCATCCATGGCTGTTCTCGCGCAGCCGAGCGCTACGAGATGGAGTCTGCGCAGCGGCTCGCGGTGTTACCGAGCTCGGCCAAACGGAGCCGTGGTCCAATCGAGAAGGCGTAGAAAAGATATCGTCAACGACAGCATCTGTGACGAGCTCGTCATCGGAGGAGTCGAGGACGGGCCGAGCAGCTGCTGCAAAAGCACTGTGCGCCGAGCCTCGAGTGGAGCCACGAGAAGGCGTGGACGCAAAGCCAAATTGCAGCGAACTGTCAGCGTTGCGACTCGATGTCCGCATGGGCGAATTCCAGTCTGAGCGCTGCAAGCCAGCGGCAAGCGCGTTGGGGATCGCATGCGCATCGGCAACAGCGACTACTGGGTCCTGCTGATGCGTGCAGGTGACGTCTGTGGGCACACGGCTGCTCACAGGGGCGGCGAGAAGGCCAGTAGACATGCACGAGTGCGAGGCAGAGTGGACGCTCTTGCGCTCCAGGGGGGAGCCCGGCTCGTGGAGCTGCCAGCCAAAGCGTTCTGCACGTGCACGGCCGGCAGCGGCGCTGTTTCTGCTTGCGCCATGACGGGCAGAAGAGAGAATGGGTGGGCTGGGGGCGAGCGCCAGAGCGGATGCGAGGCCATCCGAGCGCGCCGCGATGGGCGAGTTGGTTGGTTGAGCAAACACCGGTTCGCCGCTCCGCTGCGACATTTGATTGATGGCGAAACGATGCGAGCGTAGGATGGAAGGAGTGTTGATCGAGGCGAGCCCACCGGAATACGCGCTTGAGAGGGGGGTCGTCTTTGCACTAGTTCGGACTACGCAGCCATGGCAGTGCCATTGCTCATCAGGATTGTCGGTGTCCTTGAACCCGACGCAGGGCATGTGGTACCACCGCTCGCAGGTGTCGCACTGCACCATAGGCGCAGTCTCTTCGTTGAGGCCACAGAAGCAGCCAACAAAAGCGGCGCTAGCATCATGCCGAGACAGCGGCAGAGGCGTAGAGAGCGCCATGTATCTCTCGTCTGAATCAATGCGTTTTCGCTTACTAACGCGCTTCGAGCCTTTGCCTTTGCCCTTGCCCTTGCTCTTCGCCTGCTTGCCCTCTCCAGCCCGAATGACAGACGAAGCGCCTGTTTTGGCGCTGGCCGCAGCTGAGCTCGGAAGCGCAGCGACGCTCTGCGCAGCGATGGCCGCTGCTTCTGCTTCGCGGATGGCTGCCTTCCTCGCGCGGTCTGCGAGCGCCTTGGAGATCATCGGATGGCGAAGGCGATCCCCACTAGCGCCACGGGTTCGATGATGGGGCACGACGTGCAGTCGATCGCTGACCGCCTGCTGTGAAGTAGACAGAGAACTGTCGTCCGGTACGGCGACTGCTGAAGCGGAAGCGGAAGAAGGGTCGCTGTGACTCCGTTGACGAGGGAGGTGCTGCCGCTGCAGCACCGCCTCATGATCCGCCTCCTCGTCCTCCGCTTCATCTCCGCCTTCGTCACCCTCATCACTGTGACTCGCCAGCCACATCTTGACGATCTGCAGCCGCTCCAGGCGACGCGCGTTTGCATGCTCGATTGCAGCGGACCACGGGCCGCACGGGCTGTCGGGCCAGTCGAGTGCAGGGAGACGCGCTTGCAGCGGAGAGAGGTGATGAGCGAGACGCGGCTTGAACGCCGCCGCCGCCGCCCCTGCTGCTGCTGATGCGCTCGAGAGCATTGTCGACTGCTGTTGTGACCGCGATTGCTGCCGCTGCGTGCGGGCAATGATGCTCCCAAGCAGCGAGACGTGTCTCTCGGTCCGATCGCTCAATTCGCCAGCAGCGTCGGCGAGCGCGCTATGTGTGAGCCCGTTGATCATTGTCATTGCACGCATGCCAGCGCAGGCGCCTCCCCGACCGACGTGCCTCGCTCTGACGACGCTAGGAGAGCCGCACTCGGAAGCGGGGAACTGCGACGCGATGGAAAGGCTCGGACTGGGTCCAGACATGGTAGTCGATGCGGACGCGGGCGCACACCGAGCAGCCGCAGACGCAAAAGTCGTAGCTCCACATGTAGAATCCGCGCCGGCGCTCGTGGTGGCTGGCTGCGTGAGCGCGGTGCTGGCGCTTTCGGTCGTACTGGCACTGGTGTCCATGCTGCTTGTGCTGCTGCTTGTGCTGTCTATGTTTGCATGGCACGACGAAGACGAGGCCAACGCCGCTGCAGCCGCAGCCGAGGACACCGCTGGAGCAACGGCCCTAGCGACAGCGACGCGCCCGACGCCCTCGATGTGCATAGCGACCATCTTGGTTCTCGCTCCGTCGGTGACGCCGCTCCTAGCTGCCAGTAAGCCGGGTGCAGAAAAGGAGGCTGAGGCGAACGAGTCAAGCGAGAGTGCGCTATCGCTGTCCCTGTCAGGCCAGCCTTGGAAGGCGGTGCGTGTGGCATTACCGTTAGAGGAGGATAGCAGCGGCATGCCTGCACCGAGTCCGGCAGAAACGACAGCAACAGACGTAGGCGGTGAGCTGTCCGTCTTGAACCCGACCAGATACTCCTCGAGCAGGTCATTCGCTTCCACCTCGTTGTGCAGGTATGAGTAAGAATGCGGATGGTGAGCACAGCGCTCTCTGCGTTGCATGTAGCGCTCGTCGTACGCAAAGCGCGCATCGCTCTCGCCTCCACGCCTGTCCTCATGGCTCTGCCTGTCCTCGTGCTCCAATTCGTGCTCACCACGCCCTTCGCCCGAGGCGGCCAGGTAGGCCAGTGCAGAGGCGTCCGGAGCCTGCTGCAAGCTTAGCGCCGTAGCCCAGCCGCGCAAGTCGTGGAGCGTTGCTTTGGTCAAAATGCGCTGCGAGTGCTTCGATGGCTGCTGTTGCGGATGGTGCGAAGGATGTGAGGGTCTGGCGCTGGACATGCCCCTGGACGCTGCTGCTGCTGGCGAGAAGAACGAAAGGTCGCTTGAACCAGTGTAAAACTTGGCTGGTACGAGAGTGGCGGCGCTGTGCCGGCTGCTGCTACCCTCCAGTGCGACAGCTGCAGACTTCTTGGAGCGTCTCTTAGGCATGGGTTTTGGCGTCCTCGGAAGCGCTTGGCTGCTGTACTCCTGGTCCCCCTCGGCGCCAAGGAGATCTTCGACGCTACCAGGCGTGTTGTTGAGCGGCTGTACAAGGCGGTCAGAGCTAGGTAGCAGCGGTGTGCCCCAGCCGAGATGAACATTAGCGATACGCCTGCCTTTTCGCGGCGTATCCAGCACGTCCTTCTCTGCTCGTCGACGACTCTTTGCGTTGCCGCTGCGATGGCGTCCATCTGTCATTGCGCCGGCGTCGGAAGAAGAGGTGCTGGGAGCGAAGGGAGACACATCTGTTTCGGCTGCAGAGATTGAGGCGGGCGTTGCAAGGAACGGGCCATATGATGGGGTTACAGCGGCAGTGATATCCCCAGCGCGAGGTCCCATCTCGCGGCGGCGGCGACTGCTGATGGTGCCGCTTGTTGAGCTCGCGACGCTCTCCAGCGAGTGCGGGGGTGTGGAAGGTGGCATGTTCAGAGCCGGTTGATAAGAGTAAATCGTGCGTCGCTGTTGCTGCTGACTGCTGCTTGGCGTCGAAGATGCTCCTGAGGGGGGCGGAGTAGCGATGGACCCGCTGTGGCCCTGGCCTGCAACCAAGCTCTTGGGGTGCTGCGTCGCTTGCATATTGTTGTAAAAGCTTCGATCCAATCGTCAGCAGCGCGGGGTTCTTTTAAGAAACGGACGGTGGATCACTGTCCTATTAGAGGTGCTGCTCAGCGGTGATAGACTTTGGGCTAGCAGTTAGATGGCGCGACTTACGATGCGGACACACAATCGAGGAGAGGTTCTTGATTTCACGCTGACAAAGAGTGCTTGCTGATCAAAACAGATGGACATCCACCAACGAGACGGGAATGAGTCGAACCTTTGAAAAGAGGGGTGCCGAGAAGAAGCGAAGATGACAAAGCGAAGGCACTGAAAGCGAGAGACCGAGTGGAGAAATTGCAATCGCGGGAAGGGCTAGAACTCGGCTGGGTGTTTGGATGTCAGGGAAAGAGAATGCGCCGTCGGCGTTGTTCCAGCAACTGCTGCGCTTGAAGCAACGATCACGCTCCCGATGAACGCGGGATACGAGGAGGCTGCTGGTATCCAGTGCTGATATCAACCTCAACCAAATGAAATTGACGGGCGATGGACAACGTCGCAATGCGTCGCAGCGAGTCTAGCGGATGCGAGAAAGAAATAAAGTCGAATATGAATGGATGAAGAGATGGATGACCTTTGCACATTATTAACGCCAGCTGCCGCACACGCACACACACACACACCACACGCACGACACTTCATCGATTGCCACGCTTGAAGCTGGGCGGCCCCACGCTTGCAACTTCTACAGGTCGACTGGAAACCTACTATACGGTGTTTACAGTGTGTACATTGAGGGTGTATGTATGTGTTACGTATGTGTGATTCAGGGATCGAATGTGATATGATATGCCAGACACTACCAAGGAGCACGAATGATCCTCGGGCTCAGAGCCTCTCGACATGATGCGCACTCCTCGAGTCGAGAGCAGGACCCCGTCCGCGCACGTCCTCTGGACTGTCCGAGTGAGGAGTTTCCCTTTGCTGCAGGCGAGATCGCTTTTGGGGTGTACTGGGCAGCCTGCTGGCGAAGGCCATTTCTGTTTCACCTCTGCACGGGCGGACAGGCATAAGAGGGCAAGGCGGCGTTCTGTCCAACCAAGTGTTCACCCCGAAGCCATCCTTCCATTGGTGAGACTGGCACAGTTCCCAAAAGCTTGATTCGATCTGACCGAGTCAAATCGGCGCGTGCGTAGATGCGTAGTGTGTGACGCGGGAAACGTCGAATGAGAGATGGGACCGCACGAGCACGGAGGCAGTAGCTCGCACAAAAATGCGCGCAGCAACAGCGATGGGCCACCTGCAAATTGCGAGACGCGGCAATGTTAAACGTAACACACCTGTTTTGGCAGCCCACCCGCGCATCTCTCCCACAGTGCCTTGCAAGAAAGGGGGGAAGGAGAGGAGGGAAAAAATGTCCGACCATCCCCAGACAAAAAAAAAACGAAACGCGTATCACACGTATCGTGCATACGATTGTGGCGCATCGTGTGAGCGTTTGGGCACCCCCGAGTGCGCGCACTGTCTGTCTCTCGCTCAGAGCCACGCAGCGAGCATGACACACACTCCCATCTGCGATTGCGGTCGTTCATCAACCAAACTCACACCGGCCAAACAAGACACCACACGCTCCTTCCGTAGGAGATGGTCTATGTATCGACTGTTATGGCTCTCAAATCTCAACTGGATCCGATAAACTCCAAAACGGCCACTGTATTTACCTGTTCTTCGCCAGCAGTCCTAGTCCATGGTTCTTTCAAATACATCCGCTCGCGCCTCGTAAACAAGCGCATTGGCATCATACAAGGAGCATTCGACGTCCGAAATTTGGACAATTGAAACAGCACAGCGCTGTGTATTTCCACCTGGCATTGTGCACCTCCCATTCCTTCACACGCATCCCAGCACGTGGATCGACGCTTGTGTGGAAGCAACACACCGGACTATTCTTTAGCCCATTGGAAACGACTCCTGGCCCGTCTGTGCGTCGCAGCCTCTTCTGTGCCCCAATTTCGCGACTATTTCCCGAAACAGCAATCCGCAACCTGGTCACAGACTGACACGACGCAGGGCGCCGCAGGCAGCAAGCAGTAGGTGAAGGGAAATGGGCGCCGCGCGGGAGGCTCCGCCTGCGAAAAATGCCCGAAAATGGTCTTGCGAACGGACCAGGACAACAGTGCTCCGTGTTCCGTGTTCCGTGAGTACACGTCGCGTCACGTTGGAATGCTCATGCGACGCGTCACATGCACAAACCCTAAAAGAACTTTTGTAAACAGCGGTGATGTGTCAACTGTTGAGCCTCAAGGGCGAGAAGCGCTTCGTGCTTGCCCCGCGCGCGACCTAGGTGTGAAAGGCCCTTCATATTGGTTGATGCGTTTATGCTTGCGAGGGCTGGGTTGCATGCACGTTGAACAGTTGACCAGTCGTAGCAATTGCGAGGGGTGGTGAGGCGAAGACTGTCGTCTTGGATGGTCTTGGCACGGTGCAAATGCCAGTTGGAGGTGAGTCAAGTATGCCAAATATACCGCGAGCTTGAGTCCCGCGGCTGCTGCCTCCGTGACCGGACCCAATCGAGCGGTGTGAGAATGCCATGGCACACGTTTGTATGGGTGCCACGGCGCTCATCTGTGAGTTACAAACTGGTCATTTCAATGATGCGGACCTCTGCCGCCCTCCCGCCGATTGGCGGACTTCGACGATGTGCAGACGTCGACCAGAAGCGACAAGCTCGCACCACGCTCCACCTCAGCTCTCGAAGGAGGCAGCACACCGGGGCGCAAGCTGATCGCTTTCTGCCAAGTCGGCACATCGGAAAGAAGATCGTCTATGTGCAAGTTTTGAATGTTCGGCATCGATCCAGTCAGTCCAATGTTTGCTCCTGGGGCACTCCTCCGAGTTGAGCTGGGTGTATTGTTATAAATGAGCGCGCCATACGGTGCTACATAGATGGACAATGGTATCTGGGACGGCGCTCTGGGCATGTTTGATTGGGTAGTGCGAACCAATGAGCGATCCCGCCTGTCGATGAGACCATTGCGTACTGGGTTCTCAGACGGAAGAGCTGTCAGAACTGTCAATAGAGACAAAGAAGTGTCATCAATTCTCCGCCATAATATGCAAAACCGCCTTGATCAACACTTGGAAGCTAACAAAGGTACAACTAAAAAACAGCACGACGTGTACGCTGGCTGGATGTACAATAAATTACGGTTGTAAGGTCGTGGTCCCATGTCGACCTTTCGTCTAACCCAAAGCCATCCCATTTCGCAGCGAGACCAAAGCGTACCCGCGCCTGCATTTTCGCTGAGATCCGCGGCCGCCTGCTGCTGGGTCAGAGACTGCTTTGGGTGAGACTTAGTGAAGTCCTAAGCCAGCATGTCAATGTTCGCTCGACTCTCGTCATCTCCCCCATCTGGCCTCTTTTCAATTCACCATGCTAGGATTGCGTTTACGATTCTGCTCTGGGTGGAACGACACCAGGTCACAAAAAAGAAATTCCACCAGGAACCAGGAATCGCAGGTTCCGGAACCAGAAAGTGATTTCTGGTGAAACCAACCAGACCAATATTTCTCTCGCTCCAGCGGACCAGTTCCGTAAACGCACACTAGATTCCCACTGAACATCGATAACACGCCAGCCTGTGAACTAAGAACTTTCGTGTTCTTGGTTTGACGAGCAGTCATCTGCGGTTGACCGTGGTGATGCGGTGAGGTCTATTGCACTTTGATCAACAACGCCTTCCGGAACCTCGTGACCTGTTCAAGGCGCATGGATGCTGCAGATGACATTCTTCTTCCTACGAGCTCAAGTGCCCTGCGCGACTTCAGTCATGATTCAGCAGTCGTATTCGAGCACATCTGGCCGCGCGATGCTCAGATGGAGTCGTCAACGCTCGGCGCGATGGCCAGCGCCGTCGGACCTTCTACCTATCGCTGCTTCCGTCCCACCAGCGATACGACCGGCATACGGGCATCAGCGCAGAATGCTCTGCATCGCTTGTGCGAACCCGCTTGACTCGACCTACAACAAGAACAATCTGCAATGGGCAGGTCCAAGTGACCTCTCAGTGCTCTTCAGCCGGGCCAGAGGGGGCAGAGCTGATGGTCACATGACCGGCACTGTTACCCTTGGCGCAGCCCATGCTCTTTCAACTGCATGTGTACATACAAGCGCGCAAGCCTTCAAGTACAGCACAAGTCGCTCAAAGGCTTCTCCTCCTCCACCTGCTCCCGAGCGTTTCAAAGGCCCATCGTCTTCGCCACTGCCACCGCCGCCTCCCAGCGCACCGATCCGCGATGGGAGCATCGAGGCAGAATACGTGCGCCTTGTTCTACCCGTACCAGACGGTGCGCTACTCGAACAGCTTCCTAATATTGCAAGGCATGCCCCGGAACATTCGGATTCTTCAGCAACACGAAGCACAGATGAAGATGGGCAGTCCAAGGAGAAGCGGGACAAGCAAGGCGGGCTATCGCCTCCACTAGCGCCACGGGAGATATTAGCGCGGGTAGATAGAAAGAATTTCTGGTTGATACAGGTGGCTGCTCCACCAAAAGGCGCGGCGCCTATCGTCAAGCTCATGAACAAAAAAGAGGTCCACGAGAAAAGTCGGGGTGGGAGCAAAGGCGGCGCAGCTGCCAAAGCTGCTGGGGCTGTAAGCCCTGCTGCCCATGCGAACGCAGCAGCGAAAGCTGACAGCGAACAAAGTGAGGGGGGCGATGGCTCCCAAGCCCCCACGGCTGGCGTCGGCGCATCACCGCCATTGAAGCAAAAGGAGCTCTCACTGAGCTGGTCTGTGTCGCGGCATGATCTCCAGCACAAAGTCGAGCGATGCGCCGCCGACTGCTCGCAAAAGGGCAACAAATGGCGCATCTCCATCTCCCTGCAAAGTCGAAAGCAGCGATTTGACTGGTTCGCAACGGGTGCGGAGGCCTTGCATCATGCTTTAATGAAGGACATCGAAAGGATCATGACTGCGGGCAACCCGCCGGACAAGGACGGAAAGATGACCGGTTGGGTGGTCAAGAGAGAAGGCGAGATCAGGTGGCAGACTGCCACCACTGCCATCTTCAACTTTACGCCCATCGGAAAGAAGCGTGGGTGAAGTGAATGAACTCACGCTGCCATCGACAACGCATGTAAATATCAACATTACGCAATTCGTGGCCTGTATGAGGCTAGACATTCATGTTCTGTTGCTCTTTGTCCGCTGTGCTTGTCTCGCACCCTGCACATAATTGCAGCTATGGCTCGAGTGGGTTGGGCTGATACATGACGGGGTAGGCCTTGCCTCGCACAGCCCAAAGCCCCCAATTGGCCTTCACAGCGACACGTGGGTCAAAGTCAGCTATCATCGGATGAAATGATAGAAGAACGGCAGACAATTAGCATGCATGAGCAAGCCCACAAACCTCACCAGACAGTGTAACTCACCCACGGCCCATTGCTGGCTAGCAAATACATTCTCTCCTGGCGTGATCAGCCACTCAAATTCCCCCCTCACACCTTCCACGCTCTCGAAAGCGAGTACGTCCCGCTCCACATCAGCAGGCGAGAATCCCGTCGAGATGAGTGCACACTTGGTGCTCAGGATCTGTTGGATGGCCAGCGCCCATTCACGCTGTGCTTGAACGATTGGAGCAGTGGTCAGCGAAGTGAGCGGATCGGTCGTATAACGCGGTACAGCGGGGGGTGGTTCGCGCGCGGGTACATCGCCACCGGCAGGTGCTGCGTCTGGCTCGACCGATCGAAGATGCTGGTTGCCGGCAGCGCCGGCATAGTACGTCTCGCGCGCCTCCTTTGTCCGCTTGGCGTCCTGCTCCTCCTCAAGCCTTGCTTGCGCCATCTCGTCGACGGCCACTTGGCTCGGGAAACCAAAGCCTGGGGAAAAGGCAAAGAAGACGTCCGTGTATGGATCGAAGGGCTCGAGTTGCGCGTGAACTTGCTCATAGTTGCATTGCAATGTCGTCAGCGTCAGACCTTCCGATACGACCAGCGATCGACTGGGCACACCCCAATTCGCCTTGCGCAAGCGATTCTTGTGCGCCGATACGTGCTGCGGCCCACCCGTGACGGCATTCATGTCAATCTTGTCCTTCTCGGAGACGGCTGGGCCGGCCGGGTGGAGCGGGTCGACGGGGATGACTGCTTCTGGACCGATGAGGAAGACGTGGAGGGGTACCCCTGGGAAACAGTAGGTGAGCTGGTCCCACACTGCTGGTGGCAGTGTCGCCTCTGCCCGTGCACCGACAACAAAGATGCGAACAACGTCCAACGAAGGCTTCTCGCCAACTTGCGGATGAAGAGTCTGCCTTAGCGCTGCATGGAAGGGAGTTCAAATGTAAACGTCTCGCATGAAGCTGCACTCGTTTATAAACACTCACCAATCATGCTCCTGAGGCCTTCGTGAGTCAGGCGCGAGCTCCGCTTCGTGTAAGGGCTGTTCTCATGAATCACCCCAGACACTGTGCAAGGGAAAGTGAGTAGCTTGGAAACGTGCCGTCTGGACCGTTCCGTCTCGATGCTGGTGAAGTTTCTCGTGTAGAAGAACACGTCCCAATTGCTCATGTTGATCACCTCCTCGAATCCTTGTGGGCCTGGTAGCTTGAATTCGTGCATCTCTCTCCCGCTTCGTAGATCGTGCTCGTCCTCATTTGCTTCCCGCAGCCTGGTGACGTACTTGCCATGCTCTGGGTCTTCCCTCCATTCCTTCTCGCTGTAGTGCGTAGGCCAGCCGCAGTCGGGACACTCGAATCGAACCGGTCTGCGGACGCCGTCTCGAGCCATACTGACCGGGCACGGAGCAAGCGCCCGGACTCGTTCTCCACGCGCTTGCATGGCCGGGATCGGAGACTTGGATAGAGGGTGGAAGAGGTCATCTTGGCTGAGAATCGGCTGCCGACGAGGGAAAGCGGTTTCTTGTTCTGCAGCACTGCTTTTCTTTCCAAAGGAAAGACCGAAGAGAGAACGTTGCTGGGGTGCAGGAAGCGTGGAAGGCCCGCTCAGAGTCGACCCGTGCTGAAAGGCCCCGTTGCGCGTGAAGAAGCTCGCCGAGAGCGACCTCGAAGTGCCGGCCCTCGTCATCTTGACCGTGTTCACTGCCTTTGGCAGTAGGTCAGCTGTAGATGCAATCTCAGTACCAGACCGTTAACGATCGCACCGTTGACAGTATGCGTGAATATGGAATGATGATGTGCATTTGAAAATCTGAGATCGTCTGAAGGGTTTTGGAGGTGATGGCCAGCAGCTTCTGTCCACTACAAGCCGCGCTACCGAAACAGTTGTGCCCCCTGCCTTCCGCCCCGCCTGCTTGTCTAATGCGTTTACATTGACTGATGAGGATCCACAGAAGCCGATGTCATCGACATCACTTTAACGTCTCCATAGCAGCCCAAAGTACCATCCCAGTTGGCGAGGTTCTCGAGCGCAGTCAGCCGGCACATCCCAGCTCAAACTGCAATAGCTAGACAGACATGGCGGCCTACGTCCTCGCACCCATCGCTGGCGCGTTCGTCGCGACTTCGTTGATATACTCGATGCGGCACAAGGTCCGCACAGACACTCAAGCCTTCGTGACCGCGCTCCAACAATCGCGCGCCGTTTTGGATAACCTGGACGAAGAGCTATCAGCGGGTTCCGAAGCCAGTGGAAACCGTCAGAAAGTGTTCCCACCGTCGTACGTGCGCCCGACACGGCCGACTTTAGCAGAGGAGATGAAAGCACGATGGAATGTGAGTACCAGACCGAGAGTCCCCGTGTTTCCAACGCATGCATCTTGACATCGTGTCAACCGCGCAGGAACATCTGACGGGCTTTATCAAACAAACCTCGGAAATTGAATGGGACTCGGTCTTCCGAAACGCCTACAACAAAGTTAAGGGCGTTGTCGAGGAGGTCGCACCATCATCAGAAAGCGCATTCTCTCAAATATCAGGCGGAGCGACGCTGCGAGATCCCGTGCCGAAAGCCCCCGGCGATCCTCGATTGCTGCAACCTAACACGTACTATCTTGGACAAGGCACGAGCTTGCGATGAGATGTGTGTACGTGACACAGAGGAATGGATAGAACATAGGCTTGACGCATTGAGGCAAACACTTTGTGCAAAATGACTCATGAATTGCTGTAGGTCCCTTATTTCTATTCCTGAAGCTACATGCTAGACCAAATGAAGGAGGTCAGATTCCGTTGAATTGACTGACACATCTCGAGTGTGGAACACGTCTAGTCCCTCGCAAAGCGGAAGCTTCTCCTTCTCACGGGCGTCTGCAAAGCAGCCGCAGCAAAAACGGTGCTCGACTAAGTTGGCGCGGCCGCGCTCGTGGTGGAAGCAGACAATATCGCTGCCCCAGGCGAGGCGGAGTCCGATTTGGCACTCGCCGAATTGTTGCTGACCGGCGCTCCGTAGTCACCAGCAGGGGCTGAGCCAGTGAGCGAAGCAACGGCTGCCTGTGAAGGTTGGTCCGCATCAGACGGTGCTGCCGCGCTGGCGGCAGAGTTGGAGCCGGAGGCGATGGCATCGCCTGCAGGGAAGCCACTGGGAGCAGTTGCGGTGTTAGTGCCGGCAGCCGACGATGCAGTCGCGGTTGCAGTCGGCAAGCCCGATGGGAAGGCTTGGCTGACTGCCTGAGCGACGCTATCGGAATTGGAACTGGAGTCGTCACCGTCGGTGCTGTCGGTTTGGGGCACGTACGAATCGCCTGCCGGAGAGTTGACAGCAGGTGAAGCTGCCAAACTGGAGGAAACCGTGCTACTCGCTGCAACGACACTAGAGGTGACAGAACTTGCAGTCCCTAGGCTTGGCGTCGCGGCGACAGGGGCAGCACTGGGGAAGACGTTGGAAGCAGATGTGACGGCAGACGGAATTGAGGAAGAAGCGACGGAAGTGGAAGACGCTGCGTCCGGAACATGCGACAGAGGAGCAGGAGCCGAGGCCACATTAGACGTAACCGGGTTGGGAGCGACTACATCCGTCGCTGGCGGCTCTGAAGCAGCCGCTACAGCCCCAGGAGCCGAGGAGCTCGAAGACGCAGAGCCATCACCACTGGAGGACGCGGCATCTCCACTAGGGTCAGGGATGAAGACGAGCTTTACACCAGAGCTAGGCTTGGAGGAATCAACCATTGTGGGTGAGGTGGCAGTGGTGTTCTGCTGTTGTGCTGCTCCGGACGATGTGCCAATCGTCGAAATGGACGGCTGGGTAGCAGACTGAGAAGCGGGTCCCACCGTTTGTCCTAAGAAAGGCTCAATAATGCCGGTCTGCGGGTCAAACAAAAAGGTCTGACTCAGATTGGAATCAACCTTGTCGGCGCCGCATGACTCCATACGGAGGGTCGAAGGAGGAGTCTTATCGACAGATGCGCAGACTATATCGCTCTTGCCTGTCGCGAGATTGTAGATGTACGCCTCCAGTGCGACACTCTTCAAGGTGTTACTGCCGGTCGTGACGTTGACAGGAACCATTGTGAGCGTGGATCCGGTTTGCGAGGTGGAAGGGCTGAGGAGCATGGACGCGTTCGCAGGTCCGCCAACCGTAGAACTCTGCGTCGTGTTGTCCATCAGCATTCCACCGCCGAGACTGCCAAGCAGACCTCCCGAGCTTTTACCAGCGGAGGAACCACTGGTGGCACCCCCAAGACCGGAAAGGGGAGTCAGAACGAGCGAAGCGACTTGTTGCGCCAGGCCGTTCTGAAAGAGACCGCCTGCGAGGGGAGCCAGGACGCCAATCACACCGTTAAGACTGGACGTGAGGCCATTGATATTTCCAGGTGAAGAGCTGCCAGATGCACCACTTCCACCAAGACCGCCAACAAGGCGCTTCTCGATGTACTCATTGTCATCTGATCCACTGTCGCTGTCGATGCCAGCATTGAGTTGGAAATGGTTGATTTCATCCGAATCACCGCCCAGGAGCTGGACATCAAAGCCGTTGAGTTTGATAAAGTCTTGGCCTTGAAGCTCGCCCTGACGGCGTTGCATCGACATGAGCTCAGCCACCGAGCGCGCTTTGAATTTCTTGCCTTTGCCTCCGCTGCCTGCCTTCTTCTTGTTCTTCTTACTCTTCTTGCTCTTCTTGCTCTTACTCTTGCTTTTCTTGCCCTTCGAGGACGACCTCTCGTCACTGCCCTTCGATTTCTCAGTCTTGTTTTTCTTTCTCTTGCCATGATGATCGTGGTAGATGCTCCTACGGCTGTACGCAGAGTCGGAGCCCGCTGCAGACCCAGAGCTAGAGTCAGAGTCGGCTGCAGCGTAATCGGACGCGTAGCCCGCGGCGTCAGACGAATCGCCGGATGACGCGGTGCTGTCGCCACCAGCAGCCATATCGTCGCCGGCGATCGCGGCCGGTTGCATCGAGCTCGAGTCGCTCGCAGGTGCGGTCGCAGCGCTAGTTGCAGCTGCGGGAGCAGGTGGTGTGTACGCGTCGCCTGCAGGCGCGGCTGCCGCAGTCGGCACTGCCGGTGCCACTTGGGCTTGCGTCGTAGGCGTAGGCACCGCACTGGTCGGAGGGTGCCACATACCATCGTCAAAGGTGTGCGTAGTAGTGATGGCAGATGCGACCGCCGCAGAAGCTGCAGCAATGCCACTCATAGCTGCGTTCGCCCCGACAGCAGCACCTGCCTCCATGGCTGACTCAAGCTCAGCAGCCGTGGCGGCGTACGGCACCATCTGGAGGTACTGGTTCGCCGCGTCTGCACCCTGACCGGCGCCTTGGAGCATCTGGCCGTTGCAAGGCACAGCCCGCCAGGCTGCGGACGTCGCGTCCGTAGTGGTAGTGTCGACGGCCGCCATCTGCGCCGCACCGATTTGCACGGGGCCAGAACTGGAGGTGGGAATAGCCATCAGCGGGTATACCTTAAATGTTGAGCCAACAAGGTCCGGCAGCTGATCATTATCCGCAGCACCGCTGGAGCTAGCAGATGAGGACTTCAGAAAAGAAGGCAGAGGTCAATTAGTTTCGTGGGGCACGTATTGCTCGCGGGGTTATGAGTGACTCACAGCATTCTGGTCCTGCGCCGGGTCAACGGCCGGAACGTAAGGACCAGCAGTAGATCCAGTGAGACTACCGTTTCCGTCATCGGTAGCTACGGCGCGAGCAAAGGAGCTCGCCTTCTTAGGAACCGCCTGACTTGAGGAGCCCGACCCGTAAAGGGCAGGAGCAACTGACTTTGCGGATGAAGTGCCACTTGAGGCGGCAGCGGGTGGAGTGGAGGAGAGCAACGGCTTTGCGAGGGGAAAGATGGCGTCGTGTCTGCTTGGTTTGACGGTGGGGAACTGTTGCGAATTGGCCAAACGATTACTACCACCGCCCACAACGTTGCCCTCGAAAGGCGACACATTGTCGCGGCGGACGATGACCCTTGCATTAACGCCCGCACTGGAGGTGATGGCCGAGGCTAGGAGGAGAAAAGAGGGAGACAGTTGAACCATGATGCCTTTCTCTGATCGACGAAGGTGGGAGAGGTGATGGAGTCTATCGAGATCAACTCGATGGGAAAGGAAAGGATTTTGGAGAGACTAGCTCGTCCGAAGTTGGTTAGGGATAGTGTGAGGATTGGGGAGGAGTGGAGATAGGAAAGAAGGCCGCCAAGCTAAGCCTGTAGCCAGGCGATTGAGGGGGGAAGGAATGAGTGTGCGATGCAAGGATGAGGGGAATAGGAAAGGTGAGTGATGGGAGGGAAGAAGGAAGTAGAGATGGAGGGTATTGTTACCATAGAACATAATAGCCAGATGGAGAGATATCCAATCCTTTGTTGGTGGTCAGCGGTCAGTGGCGGTCGTGCAGGGTTGCGGACGAGCAGATGGACGAGACACTCTCTCAGCACGGCCTCGACGCTCACTCCCACAAGGACTGGACACTTCAACCACCCCTTTCAAGCCGGAACCCGTGCCAATGGCAGGATTTCGAAGGCTGTCCGCGCCCTGCTGCCCCTGACGAGTCCCCTACTTCCTTTGGGTAGGCCAGGGCGGCGTCGTCGATCGAACAGGCTTCGCCCTGACCCATCCTTAAGCGTTTGAGCAGCCACGTTGCATCCCGTGAGACGGACAGCCGTGAGGGTTGTGTGGCCTGCTGTTGCCTAGGACCACGCACGCAGAAACAAATTTCAGCCTTGAAGAGTAGTCCGTTGCCAATTCAGGGCGGGTAGATTCTACACGACCCCCCGTCTGCCCTAAAGGGTATCTGGCTCCGCAGATCTTTGCCCCAGGCTCTGATGCAGTCACAGAGCGGCATACAGAGAGGATCAGTGAAGATCGCGATGAAGGCGTCATCGGGAGCCTGGAGACAGTGCGGCGGCGAATGCAGTGAAGGAAACATCCTTAACGAGCCGTTGGGGCACCAACGGTCGACCTTAAAAAGTGGGAGAAAGTGCGGGTCTGTGTGTGGTGGTGCCGACCGGTGCCGAACCATCGAGCCCAGGCGTGAAAACTCTTGTTGCCTGTTTCTCGTGCGGTCCATATTCTTGAGCCTCGAGGCTCTTCTGCATGGTGGGGGACATGGACAAATGCTGCCTTCTGGATGCGATCAGCAAGGCAAACCACAAGTGAGATGACAGAGATTCGGACAAGTGCGAATGCACAAACAAAAAGGTGGGTGGTTGGAGCACTGCTGAGCCGATGCGGCAAGTTCCGCGCGAGTGCGGAGAACGAGGCAATACCGCGATTGCGCCTGCTGGCTCGTGCTGTCAATTATGCCGCATGCTGTGTGTTTGACTAACTGCCTATACACCCTATGGATTCAATATGCTCATGCTCGTTCACATACATTCACGGCCACTTTCTTTCCCTCTGGAAGTCCTCCAGTCTGCGTAAAGTTTCTGCACAGTAAGGAACGAGGGCACAGCGAAGCAGTATGAGCGGATATGATGAACACCAGCGTCTTCGGACGAAGGCGGTGCGCTTACTGTCCAAGAAGAACTATCCTGCGGCGATCGCACTGCTGTACGAAGGCAGTATGAAGATGCTACAGGCGGGGGAGCAAGGTAGTGGCTGTGACTTGGCCATATACATGATCGACGTCTATGGACAGGCTGGTGTGGAACTGGATAAGACAAGCAGAGGTGCGACTGCTTCCGACGACCCGCAGACATGGTCGAATTGCACAGAGCTGAGCTTGGGTCTGTGCTCGATTACCCTTTCTTCAGATCGCATCTTCCAGATCCTCAAGCTGGCAAAGGCCGACTTTTGGCGGAAAAAGCTAACGGATGCAGCGGTAAAGTGGGTAAGACATTGTATTTGGCCATTACAAATGGCTTGTCTAACACTCTGAGATAACTTTCAGATGGTCGACCAAGGCATCTGGTGCCGATGGCGACCCAGCACTGCGCTACGAGGTTGCAAAGTTACTCTGGAAGGAAGGATCCTATTTGCAAGCAGAGCCCCATTTCCATGCTTCGATTCCCGCTCCCTCAGACGACAATGTCGCGTCCGACTCGACCGAGCTCCAGGAGGCTCCAGCGAATCTCGGCTCGATGATGGTTGATTGGCTGGAAGTACACGCGACCAAGAGTGTTGAGCTTCGCTCGCACGGAAAGTCGGGAGAGGATAAGGACGGACCAGACGCTGCAGCTATCCAGCGGATCGAAGCGGGTCGCTTTGCACTCAGAGGCCTCTTTCTGTGAGCAGACGCGGCAGTGCAATGATTAAAAACGGCAGGTGATACTGAAGACAGTCTCCGCGACCACCATGTGCAGGCTATTGATCGCAGGAAAAGTACCTGCTGCCCACTCTTACCTTAAAAGCTTCATCTCGAAGCTCGTCGCACACCCCGCATGCAAGACTCTGCCGCTGCCGATGGAGCCAAATCCGCGCACTTTCTCGCCACCAGCAGGCGTGAATGCTCCTCCCGCCCGGCAAATTACGCCTTCAGGCGAGCAGAGCGATTATGTACAACCGCTGTGGCTCACTGCGAACGCGGACATCAATTTCGCACAAATGTGTCTCGGGCTAGTAGATTGCGCTTGGAGAGTGAAGGGTGAGGCAAAGGGCTTGAGCCAGTCCGAGCGCGGCGCGGCGCGGGCTCCGGATGCGCTGCGTAATGCGTGGATCGCTCTGGCGCGGCAGTATGTCAAGCAGGGCGTGGCAGGCAGTGTCGACGACGTGGTAGGAGAGGTGAGCATATATTGAAATGGAGGGGAGGCGTAGAGAGCTCCACTGAAGCTTTCATTCGTTCACCTGGCTGTTGCAGGGCATCAATACTCTCTCAGGGCTTTTCTTTGATCTCCAACCACCAAGAGCCCAAGGCAACATGCTTGCCGACATGATGTCTTCCCTTTTCGGCGGATCGTCAAGCAGTCCAGCGGCAGCAGCACCGAAAGGCGCCAAATGGGTCACTTACAAACGCTATTCAGAGCCAGTCATCTTGACGGAAGAAGAGGACGAAGAAAGGACTGAAGCGGAAACAGACTCTCTCGCACAACCAAAGGGACAGTCGCAGGCGCAAGGGTCAAAGGGGGCCACGGCGTCTGGAGGAGCGTCAGCGCCTGTCGCGCCACCTGTCGAGGAGGATCTGGATTGAGCCGATTTGGCTTGTATTAAAAGCTGTTAATCAAAGACATGTGGATCACTTCGTCTCTAAATCATTCGAGGAAGAAATTTGACCAAGAAGTGTCGGAAACGAAATTCGTTTGGACTGAAGATCATTACATTTCAATTAGAGCGGAGCGATCGCGCCAACTGCGCAGTTCCTTATACATATAGTTGCAGATCCGTAGCGTAACTCCATGATACCGATCATCGACAAGCCAAATTCCTCAGCTTTCCTCGACACCCTAGGCAGGGTCGTATCCATCGCACTAGGAGATAATTTGCGGCATGGACCATTCGGAGATGTACCGCTCCACATCCGGGACGTCAAATTGTTCCGTCAACCACGAGAGGCGGCCGAAGCATGGACGCACCCTGCTCGCTGCGTTCGCGTGCGTTCATATATCGCAGAAGCTTTTGCATCCGGGACCGGATTTGCGATTGGTCGTCGGCGCCGCACTGGGTTGATTGTTCCCAACCCGAATGGTAGAACTCACCCGATTGTAGAAGCTTAACTGCCAAACCAGCCGCCAGCTCCCATCTGTTGCTGCGCATCGATGACAGCTAGTACAAGCTCCGCAAGCGATCAAGTCCTGGATTCCAGCTCTTGTATGAAATCCGATACAAACACTCGCGTTAATGCGCGAAGGTGATGGGGCATGGGGTCACTGTTGTATAGAGTCACACTGGCCTAGAATACAAGACATCCTCGCCTTCAATATGCCGTACGTGCTGCCACCTTACTACATTGCTGCTGGGCGAAAATACGACTATCTCTGGTTAAATGTCATCGTCCATGTTTGCTGGGATTTGAACAGTCTCGCCAGGCTTGAACGCGGGAAGACCTAAGTTAAGAAGGGCAGGGTAAGCTTCACGATCAATCACAAAGGAAAGACGAGCAAAATACACACCAAGGTAAGGGCAACTTGAGCAACGGAAAGCATCGCCGAGGAAACAGCTCCCACAACTGCTCGTTGCGCCTTTGGTCTCGACATGGATGCGCTTGACCTTCTTCTCCTTTCCGTCCGCGCCCATAACGGTCTCAATGACCTCGCGACGAATGACACCCGAATCTTGCTTCTTTGCGTCCGGAAGGTCATTGTCCTCCTCCGCCAATTGAACTATCTCCTGTTGCCATTGTCCAGTCCCAGATGCGGCAACGGCGTCCTCAGCGTCTTGCAGCTCCCGCAGACCGCATGTGCAGTCCTTGCATGCCTTCTTTCGCTTTGTGCCACCTGTAGCTGAGAAGCCTGGCTGGACCGGCGGACAGTCTGAGCCCCGCACCGCGTTCGGGTTGATCTTGTCGGCGGCAGTGAGGAGCGCTTCGGCATCTATGAGTGGGGCGTTGCTGTTGGGCGTCGTCGCCCACAGGGCTTTCTTCGCCGCCTTGCTACCGGCGCTTCTGTTTATCCCTGCAGCGCTAGCTCCGTTGAGCTTCCGTCGCAATGGGAGAGCTGTGGAAGCTCCTGTAGATCCATTCGATGCTTCGGACGACCCTGCTGCCACCGGCTTCCGCCCTTGAATCCGCTGCTGCTGCCCATTTCCCTCGATGCTCAACTCCGCGAAGCCTGCAATCAGAAGCTCTGCCTTGACCTTCTTACCAAGGACTTCGATCTCATGTGCCGTTGTGGTGTTCGTGCCCGCATTCTCGACTGCAATGCTGGAGCCAGGTTCTAGCGCTGAAAACAGAGCTGTGAGGAGGACCGCATTCTGGGCTTCTTGTAAAGGCATGATCAAGTGCGCCGACTGGAATGCGCTGTCCGTCAAGGAAGATGCTGCCACCAGTCAGAGAGGATCGCGTTTGATCAGTGGTTGCTCAAGGTGGAAAGCGCACGTATGGTGATCGTGCGACTCACCTCCGTCGGTAATCCTGTCGCTCATGTACATCTCGACCTGCTTGGCTCCCCCTGCGGACTCCTGCTCAACGACACGCTGATAGGAGCCATCCTGGGCTGCAATCATGGAGCCGACGACCACCACCGGCTTTGACGACTGGGCCGCTGCGTGGCCATTGCCATTGAGTTCCGTGGCATCCATTTTGATGTTCACTTCAATGTCGGGAACGGGTCGCTAGTTGCTAGCTTGACAATCCCGCTTTTAAGAAGAGTGCGGGTGTATGAAAAAAGTCGGAAGCTCGCTGCGAGCTCAAATACTAAAGCTCCAGATACAAATGCGCAATAGTTCAGAGATGTCCGTCAAAGCGCGCAAGCCTGTAGTGATAGAAACTAATACTGCCGAGCCGAAGAGTACAAGCGCGGTCGGACTTTGATGGAGCCCTCAGTGAGATTAGTGAGGTGACTGATGGCGGACTTGGCAGCCAAAATTTCGACGGACGTAAGCTGCTCCCCAGACTTTGACAGTCGAGTGTGGACTTCGAGAGTCACCGACTGGCGACCAATCACAACGCCACAACGGTGATGTGGATTTACACAAACGTTTCCAGCCTTGGTTAGGAGTTCGTCCATTGGCTGAATACTTGTTCACGGAGGCCCTATCATGTTCGGAATGCACCGCATGTACGGTTAGTTATTTGATACCTAGTCTGCATAGGCAAGATGCAGGGAGGACGATGCATACATTGACAAGATGTGGCGAAGAGATCGCACATTTTCCACGGCTGTGCAACCCTGCGTGAAGTGACAAGTAATTCTTGATCAGTACATGCGGGGGGAGATGCGGTCCCTGGCACGCTTGGTAATGACGCGCTATGGAAAAGGGCATCACGCGCACGGCGCGACTGATGCTGCTTTGAGCGTCCTGCGTGTGAACCCTGGTATCCTTATGATCCATCTCGAGGCGAATCGCCGGTGTACACTATATGAGGAGTAGGGACATACCCTCGCAGCCTCGAGCGATGGCTAGCTGGTCGCTGACTTGCCAACGCCTGCTCGTATGATACGCTGCATTCCCTGTGCACTTCACTGCTAGGTCGAAGGTTCTTTGAAGGGGACCGCTGTACGACATGGCTGTGGCACCCACCGATTTGCGAGACTGATCTCTACGCCTGCGAAGGGTGCCTATGACCGCGATTTGCGAGAGCGCAAATTGGGCATGACCGTGATGCAACTCAGGTCCAAGGGTCTCGGCGTTGGCTGTGTTGCTGATAGGTCATCCCCTGTCGCTAGCTAGCAGCGTGTTGCTTTTGCTGGTACCATTCGACCACATCTTTCGACACATGGATATCCTTCACCCCCTTCTCTTCGAAGATTTGCTCCATCATGCGATTCCCGCGCCGTGTCATATAGTCAATGGCGCTAAAGTCGCGTTGACGAATACCGCCGCCTTGAGATGGATGTTGGAATGCGTGACGCAGGTAGATCAAGAAGTTGATGCGATTTTGCTGCAGTCAGCAAAGAATAAATGGTCAGCGAGTGATCTGCGAGGAGCATGGGACAGGCTCTGCTGGCGACTTACCACGGGCTTCGTGCGAATCAGGCGCAGGCCTCTTCGGTAGAGAGAAAGTACATCCTTTTGAGCCTGCGTGAGTCGCGGCGCCATGCTCTCTCCACGATTGATGAGCCTGAACAGCTATCCAATGCTAGTAATTGGTACCTGAAATGTGCGAACGCGTAATTGAGACTCCGGATAAGTAGAAAAGAAGCGCCGCACAAGCATCGTACATGTAACATATGTAGAGATAGTCGCAACAACCCGAGCGGGGTGATTGCCTGATCACTGGCAGAGACGCACCTATAAAAAAATAGATTGGTGGGTGAGTGAGCATGGATGAATGGGGATGGATGACAGGCATGATGGTGGTCATGGAGCGCTTCCAAGCATCGTCACCCCCCTTGCCAGCTAAGGTGTAAAGTAAGGGTGGTACAAAGTTATTCCTGTGTATTCCACAAAAGGTACTCATTATGCTAACTTGTGCACTTCGCAGTGAAAAACAGCTGAATCACCCACTTACTCACACCCACACTCCACTCACCCACGACCCCCACCCTTTCCTTCTTCCCTTTTTCCCAAGGCGACCTTTGCAACCTTCCTCTCTTCCTTTCTCTCCTCACTCATTTTCGCGTCCTTATTGTGGGTTATGAGAGTCAACACCTCGCACAACCTCTATCATGCGATGCTAGACGAACATACCTCAGCCTGTTCTTTAAAAACAGATGATGAGGGGGGGTAGGAGAGGGGCTTGTTCTGCGAACTCGGTGGACCTTCCATCACCATGGCCGCCCGAGTTCCCATGCTTCTCTTCTCTCGGACATCAATCAACGCTTACTCTTCTTAAGTATATGCGATTACTCTTCTTTAACACGAACGCTGTCGTGTTGAGGGTCAGAACTTGTACCGTGGACTGCAACCGGCTATTGCCACTTTACACGCCTCGACCCTTAAGTGTTACAGCTACAAACATCTTAGGAGTTACGGCATCTGTCGTTGTGCCATGCCATAGTCAAGACAGCCGACAGTGTGCTGTGGTTTTCTGCCGATGTTATATACCTGTAGCACGAAAATACATTTTTATACATCTGTCGGCAATCGCACCGAGACATCAGTCCTTCTGTGCGCTACATGAAAAGGCTCTTTGTCGGTCTTTCGGCATTTTAATGTAAGAGAGTATGCTGCGCTGGTCAGGCGCCATTCGCTGGCAACCCGAATGATCCCTTCATTTGCTTATGACGTGCCATTTGCTGCAGCGGTGTAGTGGTGGCATTCTCAAGGGCAATTGAAGTTGCGCGTGATGCCATTTGCTTCCATCCGCTATTGCTCTTGTCAGATGAGCTGCCGTGGTGTAAAGGGAGACTACGTTGCTCATGTTTCCCGCAACTAGATCACGTAATTGAGATCTGCCGACACCAGGTCCAGTTCCGCGGGATTGGCCACTCGGGCACGCGTCGAAAGCGCAAGAGTCGAACGCCTACGGGGATGGCAACGAGGGAGACTGACGGATTTGCATTCTCATTGGGGATCAAGCCTGGAAGGGCGACGAAGGGTGTTAGAGAAAAGTGAGGCGATCAGGTCTTGCCTCCTTCGCTGCTGAGTGAAAGCGATGACGACACAACTCGAATGAGAGCCTCAAATAAAGCAAACGAGTTGAGACAGACGACACAGATGGCCCTTATGACGCGCGGATAGCCAGGCAGGTGACACTGCAGATCATAGTTTCCTGTCGACAATGACGCAGAGCTGTATAAGTATTCCTTGTTCTGAAGCGTACGGTTATTCTCTGGGCACGCACATTGGTGAACATCTCCTGCGTGACGGTGTCGCCTTCTTCCCAGTGGCATGCCATGTCTGCGCGTCCGCCTTGACCCAGATTCTCGAGAAGTTGGATCTGGACAATGTATTTGAAGCCTTTGATAAAAGAGCGTCACGAGTCAAAATTCAGCACGATGCCTTTTTCCTTCCGCCAGAACGGTACAACTAGCCTTTTGGTTGAATCTCTGATCGATGGTCGAAGAGAAGGAGATCGCAGTGCTCCAGGCCGTCAGCACAACTCAAGCGCTCCTTGTCGTGGCGTAAGTCTATTAGCTCACCGAGCATCTTCGCCTTGACAGAGTCTGCGAGCTCTTTCGTCAATCCGGACGGTCGTGCCTTGTATGCTTGCCCGATGAGGCGCGAGTTGAGCAGCTTGGCAATGTGGGGCTTGAGCTGGTCGGAAGGGAACCTGCATTGCAAACCAAAGACGGGGTCAGCAGGGGAAGGGCAACACGGAGCAAAGCAAGCTCTTTGTGACCTCAAAGACAAGGAGCGCACCCCAAGGACATGGTGCCGTGTACACTAGCCTCACTTTTGCGATGCTACGCGCTGCGCTGCCCTGGTTGACTCGGCAACTGAGCTGGACGTGCCATTGATGCTCAAAGGCGCTGATTGGTTAGCAGGTGTGCTCATTGTGGTTGTGGAGCCGCACGACCTGCTCCCTCTTATGTCGCGTGCTGGTCCCGGCGATGTTTGGGCTCTTTCCCGGGAACGAGGTCGGTGCGGACTCGGATTGATTTCGGAGAAAGGAGCCTGCAGCGTCGAGTCGTCGATCGAAACACATTCCAGGATGAAAGCAGAAGTGGTGCCGCGATATCGAGCGAGAGAGAGCATAACAAACATTACACTACTCTCTACACGGGTTCACCCTGGCTCTCGAAGCCAACAACGAAGTTGGCGGAAGGGCGGAACGACGATCGAGATCGTGCTTGTCATCGTCACCCGGCCGAGTCTTTACCCACCAGCGCGAAACGGCGAATGAGTTGAGATTGTGGTCACAAGACGAAACTGTTGGAACCGAGGGCCAGCCAAGGATAGTTAACGGGCTCACCACTGATTTCTACTCATCCTCAATCGATGGCAGATCCATCTTCAAGGACGTGCATGCGTATGCAGCGAAAGCAACTGTAACTGTCCGCTCAGCCGAAAGTGGTCTGACCGGCGAGCAACCTACGGGCCTGACTTTGCTGCTTCCTGCTGACGAGCCTACACTCGCTGGTACCGTCCGCGTTCGTTTGCTTGATCGTCCGATCGATCCGCGCAAGACTTGATCGAGCTGCACAAGACTTCCTTTCTCTATTTCTGAAGCAGGAATCCGCTCATCATGACTTCGGCAGCATCGTCAAGTCCGCAGGCAGGCGCCATAGGTGCCTCGCTGTCCAACATGCTCGACGAGGTTGAGGCCCAATTCACCCTCAGCAAGGACAAGTTACTCGAACTAACGCACCACTTCTCCGAGCTCTACACATATGGACTGGGAGTAAAGGGCGCCGATATGCCGATGATTCCTTCCTTCGGTGAGCTGCTCTACACACTGTCAGACCTGCCGATTTCTCAGCAGGTGCTGTTCGCTTACACTTGGCTACCTGTTTAGTCACGGGTCTTCCCGACGGGAAAGAGAAAGGCACATTCCTGGCCATGGACCTCGGCGGCACCAATCTACGTGTTTGCGAAGTAAAGCTAAAAGGTGACCATACATTCGAGATTCGGCAGCAAAAGTACCGGGTCTCTGATGCGCTCAAGAAGGGACCTGTTGCGGATCTGTTCGAATACATGGCCGAGAGCGTGGAACGCTTCTTGAATGAATTTGGAACCGAAACGGACGCTGGCGAAGATGAATTGCTGATGGGATTCACATTCAGTTTTGTGAGTGATTGAGAGAACTACTCATTTGATGGTAAAACGGAAGAAGCGAACGACTAATCGATATCCTTCCTCGTTGTTCAGCCGGTCGAACAAACTACGATCGACCGAGGTGCACTCCTCTTCTGGACAAAAGGATTCAACTGCCCAGACGCGCCAGGCAAGGACGTGGTGCAGCTCCTTCAAAATGCACTCGACAAGAAGCACATCAAAGTGCGGGTTAACGCACTAGTCAATGATACCGTGGGCACCCTGCTCACCCGCAGCTACCAGACTGGAGGTGCGATCCTGGGCGCCATCTTTGGGACAGGTACCAATGGCGCGTACTTGGAGAGCATCGAGCGGATCAAAAAGATCAAGGTCTCATCGCAAGGCCAGGCAGGGCCGACGCACATGGTTATTAACACCGAGTGGGGCAGCTTTGACAACGCGGTGAGCAAGACAGACTGCTTCAGTACGGTGGGCCAGCTTTCGCGGCAAGCTGACTTTGACATTTCTTTTTTTGATATCAGAGGACAGTTTTGCCTACAACTCAGTTTGACAACTTTGTCGACCGGACAGCTCTGAGGCAACGACATCATCTTTTCGAGAAGATGATCAGTGGGATGTGTGAGTCTGGTCTAGCGCCTGCCTCGAAACATCATCATTGATGAAACATTGGCCCGTAGACCTCGGGGAGGTCGCGCGGGCAGTCATTATCTATTTGATCGACAATCTGGTGCTTTTCTCCGGCTTCTCATCGGCGACCTTGAATACACAATACGGCCTGGACACCGCTTACATGTCCATGATCGAAGCGGACATCGACAATGGCAACCCGACGAGCGGCTCGAACGGCACGCGCGAGGTTCTGACACAGAAGCTGGGCCTGCGAGCCGAGCATGTCTCGGATGTGGATGTCGAGACGGTCCGGCGCATCGTCCGCTTCGTCGGGACGCGCGCGGCCAGGCTCAGCGCCACCGCCGTAGCTGGCACGCTGATCCACACGGGCAACATCCAGGACGATGGTACGGGTAAGCAAGTCAATGTCGGCGTCGACGGCTCCCTCGCAGAGCTCTACCCGCATTTCGAGGAGCGCATGCGTATCGCGCTGAGGGACATCGTCGGGGAAGACGCAGAGAAGCGCGTCAAGTTCGGTCTAGCAAAAGATGGGAGTGGCGTCGGTGCGGCTTTGGGCGCGGCAGCAGCAAAGAAACAACGCACAGCTGGCCACAGAGTAGAGTGAGTCAAATTCGGATCTCAGCGGTTTTCGATGTGCAGCATGTTGATCTTTGCTTTCCTTGCTCGTGTTGCAGAGCAAACTGAGCCAAAGAGTGCTCTTGCATCTGGTCTTGCTGATATGCAGCTCGTATCACTTTGTATCATTTGCGACATAACCTGCTCCAATTGCAAAAAGCAAGCATCCGAGCAGCCAACAATGAAAAATGAGAACCATGACCGTCTTCGCATGCTCCTGCTCTATAAGGCAATATCACCCTATCGTTGCTCCCCCCAACTTCTCCCGCAGCTCCGTTTCAGTTTTTTTTCAGGCTGGCCTCATCGCTCGGGCGCGGCTTGTCGTCCATGTCATAGAACTCGTCCTCCCCGTCCTCATCCTCACCATCCGAAATGAGCTCGTGCTTCTGCTTCTTCTTGCTCGCGTGTGTGTCTCCTCCCCCTCCTCCTGACGCAGCTGCATTCTGCTGTCCCGCAAGCACTGCGATCGTCCTGAAGCGCGCTCCAGCACGCACAGCATTGATCGCCGTCTTCCACCTCCGTCGGTAATTCTCGCGCAGGCCGGCACTGATGTCGTGCTCAGGCGCTACACCGGCTGGGTCTGTCAGCCAGGGATGCCTCATCGCCTCATCTGCCGTAAGCCTTTTGGCTGCATCAACCGTCAGGCACGCCTTGACAAAGTCCTTCGCCTCATTGCTGACTTTCTTCCAATAGCGGTCGTCTGATGATGACACAAGCCACAGCAGTTGGGTCAGAGTGCCGCTCGTAATTGCACGCGCGAATGGACGACTTCGAAACTCACGGAATTCAATCTTACCCCGCTGTGTCTCTTCCGACAACTTGCTCGGGTCGTCCGACCGGAATGGTGTATACCCGCAGAGGAGCTGAAGAGGAGCCAAGGACGTGTCAGCCCGTCACTATGGCCAAGGAGATTGGACTGGTATCCACGCACGGTGTAACAAATTACTCCTATGCCCCACATATCCACCGCCTTGCCGTGCCCCTTCTTTGCCAGAACTTCAGGCGCAGCGTATCCCAAGCTGCCTGCTACGCTGGTGAGCACCTCATCTTCATTTTTTAGATGCTTTGCGATGCCAAAATCGACGAGGACAACATTGGCATCCTCGGCCTTGGAGCGATAAAGGATATTCTCCGGTTTTACATCGCGATGTACGATGTTGTAGTGATGTAGATATTGAATAGCGCTTGTTACTGCTTTGATCACCCGCGCTGCGTCTACTTCGGTGAATCTGCCGCGTTGCAGTATGCGCTCGAACAGCTCGCCGCCGGTTGCTTCCTCAAATACGAGGTAGAACTGCGGGCATAAAGAGGCAAAACAGAGTCAGCAAGCAGGTTCAGCGCGCTGTTCCATGCAGCTCCTGGCCAGACCTTATCTTTCGATTCGAACCAGTCCAGAAACTTCACAATATGAGGCTGATCCAAACCTTTCAGCACCTCCATCTCGCCTTCCACGAGCTCCGTGTGACCTTTGAGGTTCTTTTTCGCAATGACCTTGATGGCAACATCGATGGGAGGATCTGCTGCTTTCCATGTTGCTGATCTGACGATGCCAAAAGTGCCTTCTCCGATGGTCTTGTTGAATGTGTACTCTTTCTTCTTACCTGCAGGGAGACAAAGGCGGCTTTAGCATTTAGCGACATCTGCAGCCGCATACTGCGCTCATTGCCAACAAGCTTGCTCACTATACGACTCTGGCTGCCGCGCGAGTGGGTTGCTGAGGGTGACCATTATGGCAATATATTTCTCTACTGGTCCCGAGAATGTGCTTGCGGATTTTGTCCGAGGTTGGATTGCACAGGACGACGACAGTGCACTCGGTAAGGCGGCAGAGTTCTTTGCTCGTCTCAAGCCAGGCCGCAGCGATGGAAAGCGCGCCGAGAAATTGGAAAGCCCGCTCTTCTCAATGGCAGTGCAAACCTGTTGAACCTGTCGCGATCTGGGCTGGTCAAGCATGTATCTCCCTTGGCCTTGATCGACCCAATCGCACCTCACCGATTGGCGTTTGATGGCGATCATCATCATGCAGATGGGCCGCAAAGCGGTTAGGTTGCCTGGTAGGGCGGATCGGAGTGCGGGGTGGGTGTGCCAGCTGCCATTTCGGCGGCCCGCTACACTGGTGCAGTGCCGCGTAGTACGTCTGTGGCGCAGCGCTTCGGCCTGGCTTGGGTGAGAGCTTCGTCTCTTGCAACTGATGAATATGGCAGCGGTAAACGTGAAATCCTGGGAGGAGGTTTTTGACTACGCTACAGCATGATGCCACAAATATTGTACGATTGACAAGGCTAATGTTGGTGCTCTAGACCTGGCAGACTTAATCGTTTCAGCCCATTCTGCTGTACCGCGCGGATGCGAACTGACAACCAAGATGGCGGCTGTGGCGGTCGCAAATGGATCCGCCGTCAACGCTGTTGCCGGGCCAAGCTGGGCTACAAGGGAAGCTCATATTGATAAGGTCATCTCGCGGCCCGGGCGTGAGTGATTGCCTCAGACAGAATCGAAAGCGTTGGAAGGCGGCCTTATTTTCTGACAGGATACGTGTCTGTCTGTAGCGTGGACAGACGAGAGCTTCGAGCCAGCCGAGTGAGCCATCTGACCAGGCTGATCCAGTATTCCACGCCGCCCCGTCCTGTCAGCAACCTTTAATGACCAACGGCCACCGAATGCTTCACAGAGTCAAGACCTCTCTTCGATCAAAGTGCAAGACTCTCGTTATCGGGGCCGGGGGCCTGGGATGCGAGATCCTCGCGAATCTGGCGTTGACAGGTTTCAAGGAGATCCATGTTATAGACATGGACGAGATCGATGTCAGCAATCTCAACCGGCAATTCCTCTTCAGGTGGGCACAGATGCCCCATTCAGCTGAAGTGAGGGAAACACTGATACACCCGCTGCACGCAGGGAGAAAGACGTCGGGAGACCAAAAGCAGTGGTCGCAGCAGAATACGTGGAACGCAGAGTGCCTGGAGTCAAGATCGTTCCGTGAGTCTGCCTGAAATGTACTCATTTCGAGTTGAAAGCATCTAACACCTACATTGATCGCTGCATGGATAAAGCTACCACGGGAAGATCCAAGATAAAGATGACGCGTACTATATGCAATTCAACATCATCATATGCGGGCTCGACTCGGTGGAAGCGCGGCGCTGGATAAACGCAACTGTGGTTAACATGGCGCAGGTTGATCCAGCGAACCAGGACGCATACAAAGCTCTCATTGACGGTGGCACAGAGGGATTTAAGGGCCAAGCAAGAGTAATCTTGCCCACCATCACTAGCTGCTACGAATGCTCACTCGATTTGCTAAATCGTCAGACTACATATCCCATCTGCACCATTGCCAATACGCCGAGACTACCGGAGCACTGTATCGAATGGGCCAGTGTGCTGGAATGGCCCAGAGTACATGGAGGTGAGTGTGAACATTGCAAATGAGTGGATGGCCTCACCACTGATACCTTGGGGTAATGGACTCAAAGACAAAAATATCGACAACGACAACCCAGATCACATCCAGTGGCTCTTAGAGCAAGCTTCCGCGCGCGCAGAAAGATTCAACATTACCGGGGTGACGTGGTCGCTAACGCAAGGCGTCGTCAAGAACATTATCCCAGCCATCGCATCTACGAATGCAATCGTCGCCGCAGCGTGTACCCAGGAGGCGTTCAAGTTTGCAACAACCGCCGCGCCTTTTCTTAACAACTACATGATGTACAGCGGCAATGAAGGCGTGTACACGTACACGTATGCGTACGAGAAACGCAAGGACTGCCCCGTGTGCGGAGGAGAGAGCAGAGAGCTCGAGATTCAGAAGGATTGGCCCATCGAGCGGCTCATCGAGATGCTCATAGAGACGAAAGACTTGTTAGTATTTTCTTAACGTGGAATTCGCTTCTCCTTGACTCCGGCTGAGAAATTTCCTCCATGGTCTTGCGCGAAGGCAAATCAAGAAGCCGTCTCTCTCTGGCGAAAAGGGTCCGATCTATTTCCAGGCTCCCCCACAGCTTGAAGAGCAGACGCGGCCAAACCTCACCAAGACAATTGGGGAAATGTTTGAAGATGGCGACGGAATCACCGTCACGGACGCCAGCCTTCCATTTCAGCTAGGCATTGTTCTCAAGTTTGTCGCATGATGCTTCCACCTCTATTCACAGCAACTCGCAGCCTCTACCAGGGCCTGCAATGCATTGCGTCAAGATGCTGACGCGGATTATGAAATGCAGGATCACCCGTCTAGATGTACGCTACAGAAGACATGCAACAACTATGCAGTATACAAAAGAAATACGGTTCAGTCTATGCCATCCCTCGTCCACCGCTCGTGAGGACCAGCTTCTTCTTGCTCTTGGCGCGAGGGGCTGCAGTGGCTCGGGGTCTCCCTGAGGATGATTCAGGCTGCCCTTCTCTTCCGTCGTCTGGCCCAGCTCGTGGCGTGGATGCGCTGCTTGCTTCCGGACTACCCCCTGACCTGCTCGGCGGCGTGTGGCTACTCCCAGCTCCCACCCGCGGTGTAGCTGTGCCGGACCGCGGTTGCTTATTGAGACCGCGCCCTTCTTTCACAGTTCCGGTGTTGCGCCGCCCGCCGGATGTGGCTCCAAGCAAAAAGTCTTCCTCCAGTTCAAGCCATGCATCGTCCACGTCGCGCTCCCACATCTCGTCCGCGTCGCCGCGGTGTCCGCGCTGCAGTGCCACGCTGAACGCAGTTCGGGATTGAGCTCGGGTTCCCCATACCGTTGTCGCAGTTGGACCTGCTTGATTAGTGATGCCAGCTGCTTCATCTGCATCGTGGGCTTGCCGCGGCACTGCGGGGAAGTCTTCTGTCGGACCGCCGGGATGCACCGGAAATTCTCGTTCTGCTCCCACCAGAGCAGCTTCTCGGAACGACGGCGAGGACAACGAGCTGTTCTCAGACCCCCCACCTCTTCCGCTTCCAAAGCTTGTTGAAAGTCTAGCCGAGCCATTGACCGCGCCGTAGCTGCTCGCCAAGTCGGCGCTAGGCCAGTTATGCGTGAGCTCCTTGTACTCTTGCGCTGGACCCATCCGATTGCGCGCGGATGTCTCTGCTGCTTCCTGCTCGTCCGCTTTCAGCTTGGCGCGGTCTTCCTTACGCCCTCTATCCCGTCGGCGGCTCTTTCGTTGCCGCAGGGCTTGCATATATGGGTTGAGCACTTCCGGGCTCAGCTTCAACGCCTTTCCGTCCTGCCCTTCGCCATTCGTCGCCCACCAGTCGACCTCGATGAAGACGACATCCGCTGCAGTGGGGATGTGTGTCAGATACTTGCAGCGCCGTCGCAGATCCTCATTCATACTGCCTTCGTCGGCACCAGACACCTTGACGTGGATGGTGTGTGGAAAGGCAGAGTACGAGCCGTATTTGCTGTGAAGCACCTTGATGTCGAGCGGATGCAGAAAAATGTTCTGACCGGACGCGGCCTGGTAGTAGAAGTAGGAGGAGGGGGATGGTGAGGGTGGGTTGACATTGCGACGTGTCCGACTAGTGTCCTTGCGTAGCTGTTGTTGTGGTTGCTGCTGATTTTCTAACGATGGATTTGGAATTTGACCTCCTTGCGACTGCGGCCGAATGGCCAAGAAGACTGTTAGGTTTTCATCTATCTGTATTGGACTGCTCTTGACCATCTGTCGACTTGGTGCACCCTGCGCGTCGTCCTCGATCACGCTTGGTGCTTCGACAAGAGTTGTTGTTGGCGCAGAATTTCCATGCTCGCCCTCATCCACCTCCTGCCAGCCTTCAAACTGCCGCTTCTTTCGCTCAATAGTGCTCCGCACACCTTGCGTATCACATTCCACTTTGACCTTCTCAATCTGCTCCATGACCTTGCGTTTGGCGACCTGAACGAACTGCAAGCTCAGCTCATCTCTTTCACCCAGCATATTCTCCAGGGAAACCTTCTCCACCTCCAGCTGACTGAGGTCCTCGTTGAGTGCGTCTTCAATGAGGGCCGGCGATGCAAGCATAAATTTTGCAAAGGGGAGCACATCCGGCTGAAAGTGCCAAGGGGCGGCGTGCGGAGGCATGAAATCGTCCTCGGAGTTGCCCGGCCAGAAAGACGATTGGGGTAGAGCAAGCGTCGTAATTTGGGGTCGTTCGATCAGCCGCATTGGCAGGTGATTGTGGAGATTCAGCTCCTGCAATATCTCAAAAGATGCATGGGCGTCGCTAGGCTCTGCGTTCTCCGGTAAGACTTTTGGAGTCCATCGTCTCGCTTCCTGTTGCGGGTCCCACCACTTGACCGCCTTCAAGTCTTTGGCGTAGACGGCATCCCAACATATCGGGCAGCGTCTCCAGCTTTTGGCGCTCAGGGCCGAGGCGGTATGCATCAGTTCACACGCTGGCGTGCTGCTCCCGGGTGGTGTGGCCAGTGCGCCGACTCGACGAGGTGGCGCTCCGGGTCGATTGTATGAACCATTACTGGACTCGAGGTGCGATGACCGCGAAAAGTTGACAGTTCCTGTGTCTTCACCAAGCGCGAGATAGTGCAGCATACATGGGTAGCAGTACACATGGCCGCATTTCGTCATGCGCGGCGCTGTGGGCGGAGACAAGCAAATGGGGCAAGTAGCACCCTCGTGCTCGAAGGTATGGACGCTTGTTGTTGCTGCTGCATTTGACGATGAAGACACAGCAGAGAGCGCGGTAGATGTAGGAATCAGCACCTGTAGGATGTCTGACCAATTCAAATAGATATCAGGGTCGGCAAAATGGGCAGTGTAGTCGCCGGTGGGCTTCACGAGGAAGCGGTACTGAGCATTAATATATCCTGTCCGGAATGAAAGACAACTGTCAGCAAAAACCTGAGCTTGTATTGTGCATCTCAGACTCACGTTCTTTGTTGAATGGCACGTAATTAGCAGCTCTGCGGCCACGCCTCGCTGACTGAGGAGCCGGTGGTCGCGCTCGGGGTGGCAGCGTGAACGACAGCAGCTGTGCGTCGCAGAACAAAGCAGCGTTCAGATTCTTACGCTTTTTGATCCAGGGCGAGGAATACTTACGTGGTTCAGCGTCTGACCTCCTCTCGCACTTCGAGATTGCGCATTGGATACCTGGACGTCCTTTGCATTCATGCTTGCGAGGTTGCTGATGTGGTGGGCGGGGCGTGGGCGAGGCTGCTGGGACATGGTCACAACCAATGCACCGAAATCGTGCTGCTAGCGCAGCTTTCAGAGCCTAGCAAACAACCTTGCTCAACTATCTCGTCGCTTCAAAGACAGAAAAGTTTCGCGACACGTGGTGAACGCACGCTTTGGTAGGAGATCTACCGCGTCGAGAGGAAGTGGCGCGTCACGGATTGACGAGAGATGTGATCGAGTTTGGAGCGTATTCTTATGGCCAAGTGGCCGTAAAGGTCGTGGATTTAGACCAAAGATGGGTCCAGTGGCCCTCTATATGAGGCCTCCCCTTTCGGTGTGAGAGGTGCACACCGCCGTGGCTGAGCTGACCAGCTGTCAGCTGCTCTAACCCTCGAGGTGAATTGGTCGGGGTGACTGAGGCGAAGCAATGGGATTGGAGCAGTGACGCTGGCCGGCACCGATGCTCACCGCTTCTCCCGGTGAAACTGTTACAGCGGAAAGACAGCGACCATCAGACTTGCACACACTCTCACTGGTGGGTAGCACTTCATGATGACGAGATGACTCGAGTCTAGCTCGGTACAGCATACAAGCTTCTGACTGGGATGCCCACAGGCGATGGAGCTTGGCGATCATCAGGGTTGAGGGAACGGCAAAACCCTCCGAACCAGCTCAGCATGCCTGACCGGACCCCCGATGCGGGGCCTTCCCGACTCCCAGAGCGTGCTCAACGATCAGTAGCTCCAATGTCAATGTCGAACCCATCCTCTTCTCGTCCATACCATCCGCAGAGCAGGTTCTCGTTTCCATGGGCAGCGCAACCCGAAATCGTCCGAGCGTACCAAAAGGACGCATACTACCGCGACCTCTTCGTCGACCAGTTCAAGGATGTCGTACGGACCACACTCGGCGTTCGCGTGCTACACGCTAACTCGGAAATCATCGCTGTGATCGGTGGTGTTGCATACCTTGCATTATGCGCACTTAATGGAGCGCAGACGCTCGGAGAGGAGTATGTCAATGCCATGATGGTTGATGGGAAAACTGGGCGAATAGCGAGGGGCAAGGTGAGTAGCTCTGATCTTCCCCTTCAACATGAGCTGTGTATTCACAAGTTCTTTGCACAATCTGGTTATGCATCTCACAGCGACGAGTCATTTTCATCTTTGCACACGCCCTTCTGCCGTACCTGGTAGCAAAAGCGTACGCCAGCGCACGGCGCTTCGTTGTGGGTTCTGACCAGGCGAGGCAGCAAGCGCTCGAGCGAGCTCGGTTGCGCGCACGAGCGATGCTATCAGCCTCACAGCGGGGGAATCCGGACGCCGTTCAGATCAGACCGGCTGTCACGGATCGCATCATGACATCTATTGCGAAACATCTTCCTGCTCTGGAGAGCTTTACAGCATCCGACAGCTGGCTGGCGTACTTTGGAGCAGCCCATCTCGCGATCTTCTACCTAGCGGGGAGGTATTACAGCATTGCGCAGCGCCTTTCAGATGTTCGCTATGTGAGTTCTCGACGGGGTTCTTGAATCTTTGGCAGTGCCTTCCTGAAAAGCTCAGCTCGCCATCCTTAGATCTCTACAGTCGCACAGCGGCCGAACCAGCGTCCGCCATCTTACGAAGTGCTCGGCGTACTGCTTGGCATCCAAATCGGTGTCAAAGCCCTGCTCGGTTTGAATCGATATCGGCGAGAACGGAGGAAAGCTCGAGAAGCTGTCACAGCGGCAGCGCGCGCTGCCGCAGGGCTTGAGGCGGAAAAGGAAGGCGGAGGGGCCAAGGGCAGATCCGCTCGGGAGAAGGAAGTAGTGGTGATCGATGGCGTGCGCTGGACGCATCGCAGCTCGCCTGCCGCCCCTGCGGACTCTGATGCAGTAGTAGCATCGCAGGGACCTACAGCGCCACTAGCCTATGCTGATCCAGATGCAGTCATCTCCCCCGCGGAACTCGGCCTACCGGCGAGCGCATCGCGCCAGGACATTGAGACTGCGCGCGCGGCGGCAAAGGCGCGTGCGATTGAGCTCGAGGGGATCGCGCAGACTGTACTAAAGTGCACGCTTTGCATGGAGCAGCGTACGCCCGAGAATGGCAGCAGCGCCGTCACGGAATGCGGGCACATCTTTTGCTGGGACTGCCTCAGTGGCTGGGCACGTGAAAAGGTGTGTACAGTCTACTCCGTTCTTGCAGACACACGCCCAGAAAGAGAATGCTGACTGTGCTCTCGATTGCGCGCAAGCCTGAATGTCCACTGTGCAGGCAGTCAATAAGTCTTCATCGTTTGCTTCCTATATACAACTTTTGACACAGGCATTATGTTCCAAAGCTTCTCCATTTGCATGCATTAACCCTTGCCACGGACGAGCTAAGTGGTTCATCTTTTAGGGTCGAATCCGGTCGATGACGACGCATCAATGCGAACGAATGTGCGGGAAAGAACCCCCAGCAAGCAGGCACATCACCTGTCACATGACCGGCTTATCCCACCCACGAGAACCAACGGTTCCGACAACCAACACACATTACTGTGTATGCCTAGACAGCAGGTAACGTTCATGTGTCCATGGTGATGCGGTGAGGAAGGCGTGTTGTTTGGATGAGGCCTGTGACAATAAAAATATCGAGCGAGGGCTGGCCGCCCTCGACGGTGCTGCGAAATGCCAAAGTAGTGAAGTCTCTATAATACCTGCGGCCAGAATTATATACATTGGCTCGCACTATTTTGCCGGTTTGCATGGCTTCATGCCTTGCGTCCAACCCACCACCACCACAGCAGGCCCAGCCCACCTAGGGCCTGGCGGTGATGGGACGGTGGTTGTTCATCGCCAAATAGCAAAAGTGCGGAGAAGTCTCGGCCGGGAAGGTTTGAGGTTAATGGTGAATTAGATGAGATGCCGTAGCAGCAGCATCAGCCGATTGCGAGTCTCATCCTCTTTTCCGGTGCACCGACTGCGATTCCCGTTTGTTCCGCAGATGGCACGTTTGGCGTTATCTCGCTCGCGGCTCGCCTGTGTAAAAGAGGGGCGAATGGCCGTGAACCGCAAAGCTCCGTTGGTCCCTTCCCCCGTTGCTTCGCCCCATGCCAATCGCTTCTCGTCATCACTGGCTCTTGCAACAAAGCACAACTTGTACCCTTTGCGCAATCAATGGCTCTCCTCGCCAAGAGGTCATTAAGCCAAGCAAGCTTTTTTTGTCGACCACTTCGTCATCAGGTGAGTGCAGGGCGTGGGATCCTGCTCTCTGCCATTGCCACGGCATTTGCTGGGGGGATCATTCCCTGCTGGACGCACACTGACCTCACTCTTGCTCGTTCGAACTTCGGGCTCGTTCCGCCTTCCCTTCATCTCACACGCATTTTGTCCATGAACCATCCTTTACAACCACTCTATCTTTGATTATCTTTCATCCCTCGACACGCCATCCTTTCGCCTCTGCCTCCTTTGCACTTGCGTCGGACGGCGACTATGCCCATCTTACGTTCCTATTTGACGGCGGCCATTACTCTCACCTTTTCTCTACTCACTGCTTAACCCACGACCGCTCCTCACTGCTACCACTGTCATTACTAACAACACGATACAATCATGGCACCCTCGCATCTCGACACAAACGCGGATCATGGTGATACACAACGTCGCTCTTGTCCCATTTCGAATGCTGTTCAACCTGCGCCGCTGACCCTTCCCATTTCCGGCGAACCGACGCACCCCTCCCCCTCTGCTTCGACCCCGACATTGCCTGGTGCATCTGGCCCACCGACCGCTCGGGTACATCAACTTACCCAGCATCTCAATACTACATCAGCTAGGAGACTCCCCAGCACGTTCAGGCAGAACTCCATAATGGCGGCCACCGGAACATTTAAGCAGGCATCGCACAAGCTGCTCGTCATCCCTGGGCCCATCGAGGTCGCAGATGACGTGCTGCTCGCGAATGCGCACCCGTCCATGTCTCATGTCAGCCCGGACTTTGTCCCCGTGTTTGGCGACTGCATTCGCATGCTCCGCGCCCTCCTCTTTGCGCCCAGCGCCCAGCCGTTCATCACCGCTGGCAGCGGCACGCTCGGCTGGGATCACGTCGCGGCCAACGTGACGCAGCCGGGCGACGAGGTGCTCCTGCTCAACTCGGGCTACTTTGGCGACAGCTTTGCAGAGTGCTTTGAAACCTACGGCGTCAAGGTTGACCAAATCAAGGCGCCCATCGGTCAGAAGCCTTCCTTGGAGCAGGTCGAGAGTGCGCTCAAGCAGAAGAAATACAAGGTCCTCACTTTTACTCATGTCGACACCTCCACCGGCGTGCTGTCTGACGCGAAAGGGTGCGTCACCCGTTCTATGCGTTTTAGGGAGACAGGCAATGACTGACGTTTAACGTCTCCTCACTTGTTGATGACAGTCTGGGGGAGCTCGTCAAGCGGGTTTCTCCAGAAACGATTCTCGTCTTGGATGGCGTGTGCTCGGTCGGCTCCGAGGAGATCCGACAAGACGAGTGGGGTATCGATGTTGTGCTGACAGCGTCTCAGAAGGGCATCGGTTGCCCACCGGGTCTGATGATCCTCTCGGCCTCAAAGAAGGCGATCGCAGCGTACGAGAACCGCACTGTCCCGCCGACAAGCTACTTTGCCTCCTGGTCCAAGTGGCTGCCGGTCATGAAAGCGTACGAGGCCGGCACGGGCGCGTACTTTGCAACGCCGCCGACGAACTTAATCTACGCGCTGCACCAGTCGCTCACCACGATCACGACCAAGTCGCCATCGCTCGAGGAGCGCTTCAAGATCCACATTGCTGCGTCGGATCGCGTCAAGAACTTTGTCAAGAACGAGCTCGGCCTCGAGCAGCTCGTCGCTGATAGCATCAAGGACGGTGCGCATGGCATGACCGCTGTCAAGTACCCGACTGGCTTCAAGGCGCAGGACATCCTGCCAAAGATGGTCGCAAAGAACGTCGTCTTTGCTGCTGGGTTGCACAAGGAGGTCAAGGACACGTACTTCCGCATCGGACACATGGGTATCACAGCTGTCGAGGAGCAGGTGCGTCCGTCGGCAGTCAGGACATTCCATGCTCCCACATTGGCGACCTTGGCTGACTCTGGTGTGCTTGAGTCTTTCTTTGTGCAGTCTCGCGGCGACATCGACCACTTGCTCAAATCACTCAAGGAGGTGCTTCAAGACGGAGGTCACAATAAGTGAAAAGCTTCGGCAAACGATAGATTCGTAGGAGTATGTACTTTCTCTACAGATAGGCATGATGATCCATTGGCATATGCAGCAGCGGCATGCGATCTTGCTGGTCTACACTTTCCGGGAAGGGGATATCTCCGCGGAGAGCTGGGGCCCACACCTTGCGCAAATTTTCGAAAAGCTCTGCTAAAGAGTGTCATGCCAGCCCAGGACGGCAAGATTGATATTAAACGCCGACAGTTCTCGATTCGACCGCAGACGAATGCTGCTCTCTCCCATAGAACTCGTCACATAATGGCGATGAACTGTTTGCTCGCTAAGCAGCCTTGCAATGTGCCAATCGGGGATGGGAATGAAGAGATACACGATCATGGCGCGCGGGTACCAGTCTTGTAGCAGATTTGCAGTGGCTGACGAGCGCACCAAGAAAGTAGTCACTTTTGCGCATGTGGGAGAAGGGTGGACCGTGCGCGATTGATGCGCTCCTAGTGCTCAACAACGAAGACCCTGTGCGAGTCGAATGAAACACTTGGTCGTGTCAGTAAGGGGAACAGATTTACCCCTTGTTGCTTGCGCTACAGACCATCTCGGCGGACGTATCGCTTCATCTCCTGGATGTCCCTATTCTATTTCGGATGCCACGGCCGAAACCTGCTGCGAAAACCAATTCTTCCCTGATTCTGATCTGAGCGTGCGGGGTACGATACGATGTCGCAAGCTATTAACGACGACGAGCTCAGGCCTACTCGTGAGTGATTAGTGATGGCTTGATTGGTCCTCGTAGGCTACAGGGCTTAATCGAACATCGCAACGCGCGGCGCATCCCTCCCCTGAATGGCCTTTGCCAGGAGTTGTAGCTGACTTCACACTGTCTGTCCTCGCATACTTCCTCTTGGATCTCGGCACGCAGAAACCGAGGGCTTCAAGGTCGGAGAAAAGAAGACGCTTGATGAGTACAACCAGCTCGATGCGAACGATGAGTCGCTGCAGCGCTGGAAGGCCTTATTAGGCATTGCGCCGAACGCCGCGGCGGCCACGGGGCCAAAGCTGGTCATCCACTCGCTCTCGATGGAGAGCAGCAGCGCGCCAGGGGGCAAAGTCAGCATCAAGCTGGACGGGTCCCAAGACGAGCTGGAGGCGCTCAAGAAGAACCCGCTGATCGTAAAGGAGGGCGTCGACTACAATATCGCCATTAGCTTCTCGGTCGGGTCAGATGTGCTCTCAGGGCTCAAGTATCTCCACGTCGTCAAGAGGACCGGGGTCACAGTCGACAAGCTGGAGGAGATGATCGGCAGCTACGGGCCACGTCCAGAGTGCGTTCTCTAGAATTTCAGGTGATAGCCGTGCTAGACGCTGAATCTCATCCGATCGACTCCCCATGTACAGACCTTACACCAAGCGGTTCATCACGGAAGAAGCACCGAGCGGCATGCTCGCGCGAAGTGGGACCAATGTAGTTCGGACGAGGATCATTGATGACGACGGGACGGTCTACACCGACTTTACTTGGAGCTTCAAGGTGAGATTCGTAATGATGCGGTTGGGTTCCGTGGAACGACGCGTCTCGATGTTGACACCGCCTTTGCCCTCACCACAGCTCGCAAAGGACTGGGCGTAGTGTGCATCCTGCCTTCGTTGACCAACATCCGTGCTTGCAAGCAGCTTCAATGGGTCTCCAGCCACATTTCCCTCTTTTCCTCCCCACTTACAGATCGTTCACATCCATCAACTCAGCATCGCGCCGGCCGCAGGCTGCCGGCCGCAAGGGCGAGGCAGTCCGTCGCTTCGGAGGCCCCAGGCAGCATCCGGGGTCCGCGTTCCAGCCAGACATCATGTACCAAAGCATCCTCATCGCCATCAGCCTTGAATTTCATTCGGCATATTATACACATCCATTCGTCCAGTTGTGGCAGTTGCAACGTAGCAGTTGCGGCCTTCACACCCTGCGGGCAGAAGTCTGTCAGAAGATGAGCCTGTTCACTTTTTCTCTGCGGCCGTCAGTCTGTCCGTGCAAGTGCACGTTGCTTCGCGCGCCCGCCTGATCCCGTCGAAACCCTTAAATTCGGTAGGTCTGGTATTCTATTGACCTGTCTTCGGGGATGGTCTGGGGATTGTGCGTGGTGCGGCATGGCGAGTGGTGCCTTCGGCTTTTGGAGTTTGGTTCATCAGCCCTGAAACTACCTTACGACGAGACTGCCGGCCAAGAGCTGATCGATCCTCAATTGTTAGTTCCTTGATTGAGCCCTGTCGCCTGTCCCATGTGGCCCGGCTGGAGCGATGTGGCGCTGGAGCAGTGTGCACTCAATCTTCTCGATCCTGACGCACCATCGCGCATTTTCGGCCGCGACCATTGCAGGGCACTGTGAAGCACTTGTGCGGCCCACCGGCGCGGGTGCAGCCTTGGCAGTGGCGGCAGCAGCCAGCATCGTGATGAGCGCGGCGAGGCTACAGTACCACACATTGGATTGACCTGGGTATCGGCCTATGCTACAACATATCGACAACATCGCATCCAACGACGTTTGCATTGCACATTGTATAGCGCAGGTAAGGGGTGTTGGAGGAGGTGCTTTGGATGCCATACGAGGAAGGCTGGGTGTGGGAACCTAGAATGGCAGAAAAAGCCTGCCGCGTGCGAACGAGAGGCGGAAGTCACCTCAGCTGCCAGGAGAAAAAACGAAAAGAAAGTGCAGCGCGCAGGAGAAGAGTTGAGTGACTAAAGAAAATCGCAGCAAGAGGGAAAGAGAGAGACTGTGAGATGCCTGAGTGCGTCATCCAAGACGTCATCCCCACCCGGAACCATCATTTTCACTCTCTCCCTCATACACACCATCCACCTCAACCCCGCCCACTCTCTGTTGGACACATTGAAACACGGCGCACAGCGCACTGGCGCACAAGGTCGCCGACGTTGGAGTGGAAAAAGATATTCCCCACCCCCCTTCAGCTTTCGTCATTAGCGTATTGCAGTTGGGAGAAGAAGTAGGTGGTGGGAACCGGGAACCGCCGACATCCATTCGACGAAAGTGATCTGCTTTCAAGCCTTGACGCGACCTCGCTTCGCTTGGAGCCAAGCAAAGCATCCAAAATGCCCGCTGGTGAGTCACATGAATGGGATGCGACTCTCAGCATGGCAAGGGGAAGCTGGGCATGACCAAAGTCACTGCAAAGCCTGGACGGAGCTTTCAGTCCGGCAGAGGGAAAGCATGCATAATGCGTCCACAATCATTCCCGCACCGTGCGAGTCGATTGCTTGTCGAGGGCATCCGTGTTGGATGGTTGACCTGCCGACACTGTGTATGCTCACTACTCTCTGTGTAATACGTTGAGAGTGTATGCTGTTGTAGAGGTCCGGCCGAACGCTGACATGTAAATTGATACTTGCGAATTGCGCTCGAACTGCCAGCCGCCACCCATCAGGCACCTGCGCTGAGCCGCCAACGCTCTTCACGCCTGGAGCTTGAGCCGAATCCATTCGAAGCCTCCTTCAAGTCACCCGAAGGAGACGGCTTGGACGGGGGCGTGGGTAAAAGCGCCGAGACATCAAGTACGTCGCCATCGAAGGGCAAGCGGGCAGGAGCCCCGTCGACCACACGCACGCGCAGTAGCGCTCGCAATGCTGCTGCTGCCAAGGCGAAGGAGGACACCGGAAACGCAGCAGATGAAGCACCGAACAATAGCAAAGGGTCTGTTCCTTCGACCCAGGTGAGCGCCGCCGCCGCCAGCATAAACGGCAAGGCGGCTATTGGTGGCAGCACACTTCCCGGCGTCGCCACTCTCACCTCTCCATCTGGCGACGCAGCAAGCCCGTTCAACTGGATCAACGGTTCACTTCGCACAGGCCCGTTGAGCCCTGCAATGCTCGGAGGCCCATCTGCATCTGCACAAGGATTCGACCCGAGCGCCTTCCGCACCGGCTTCACACCGGATCTGTCCAACTACAAAACGGGCTTGACGCCACTCGGTGGTATCTCATTCCAGCCGCCCAGCCCGAACACGGCCGCGTTCCTGGCGATAGTCAGCAACGGAAGCAATGGGGTGGCGGTCCCGGGCAACGGAGGATCGGCGGCGATGACCCCCAACACACTCAATGCGCTCGCTGCGAGCGCACCCGGGCTCGCAGACACCACGGCACCTAGCACCATGGGTCCGCCAGGGACATCTGTCGTGGGGCAGTTCAACAGCCATGCTCGCGCGGACATTGTCCCTCAGCCATTCGACTATGCCTTCTCACGGAGCATTCATGACAAGCCTACCAGCCGGCTGCGCTCTTCGACGACGCATGAGGACGATGGGAGTCACAGCGTCAGCCCGGAGATGATCAACAAGTCACTCGGCGCGGAGGCCACGGGCACTCGTGGCGCCATCGGCCACCGATCCGATGGCAGTCTCATGAACCCGAACCGTGCCGGCAACGCCCAGGGTAGGTCAGGGCAAGGCGTCCAGGGCCAAGGCCCAGGGGGTCCAGGTGAACCTGGCGCCGACCACGGCGCTGCGTCAGGCTTGTTCTTGCTCTCCCAAGCGCAGCAAGAGCTCAGCAAACGCGAAGATGCTGATGCGGCCGCGCATGCCGCGGCCCAGGCGCTCACAGGAATCCCGCGAAGGCAGGCTCCTCCGCAGCCGCCACAGCACCACCAACAACAGCAGCAGAAGCAGCAGCCGCAACATGCCCATATGGGGCATCAGCGGCCACTCCACCCTGCAGCGGTAGCCATGTACACGAACGGCATGGTCGCCCCGGCAGGCACGACGCAGACGAGCAAGGGCGCCGGCGGCAAAAGCGCGAACAAGCGCAAGAAAGCCAATGATGATGAGGGCGGGAAGCCAGGTGGAAAGAGCGGAAAAGCTGGCGCTGGGGCCGATGCAGCCACCGTCCCTGCTGGTGGTAAAGGGAGCAAAAAGCTGAAAAGCGACAGCGGCGGAGCGCTGGTAAACAGCAGCGCAGCGAACGCGGCGCATTCCAAGGCGGGAAGCAGCGAGGCTGCGAGTGATGATGACATGGACGATGGCGACTCGAAGAATGAACAGGATTTGGACGAGGACGAAAAGCGACGGAATTTCCTAGAGAGGAACCGGCAGGGTGAGTCTCGACTCGTTGCATGTTACCATGTGTTTCCAGAAACACAGGCTGAATCTGGACTCCCGCATGCTACATTTGCAGCCGCCCTCAAGTGCCGGCAGAGGAAGAAAGCGTGGCTGCAGTCTCTGCAGGCCAAAGTCGAGTTCCTCACTCAGGACAATGAGAGCCTGCAGAACACGGTCGGTGCGTTGCGCAACGAGATCGTCTATCTCAAGACGCAGCTCATGCACGCCAATGCGCAGATGCTCTCCGTCGCGTCTGCGACGCAGGCAAACGGGCCCGCGCCGGCTGTCGCGGACGTCGTAGCGGGGAGGGGCCCGGTGCCGCCCGTAGCAGGAGCAGTATCAGAAGCAGCAGGAGCAGTAGTAGCCACAGGAGCAGGTGGGCACGGAAGACCGGGCAGGGCGCACCCGTCTGCGAGCGGGGTACCAGGAGCTGGCCCATCTGGCGCCGTGCATGCAGACTCGGCCGGCGGCGGTGGTGCAACAGGCACAACCATGCCACCCGGTCTACAAGGCAGCGTCGCGGGGCTACCGCCTGCTAATCCGCCGACATTTGAGCAGAGCACCGTGCAGCGCACCGGGAGCTAGCCACAGCGCAACGAAGCGCCTGTGCCTCACTGTTACCCTCACCCTCCTTCTCGACTACCGCACCGCGCCATTCGCATTGCTTGCTTTACGCGCCTTCCACTTGTCTTTTATCGCATCTCTCTTTTCCGATCCCCGGTCCCGCCCCACTGTGCACGGTTTGCCTTCGCGTCTCGGCTCGGCTCGACATGGCTCGTTCATGCATCAGTGATGCAGCTGGTGATGAAAAGATACGATGGTTGCCCTGCTTTTGCGTCTACGCTTTCTTTTTTGCTGCATGTAGCTTATGTTGTGTAGTAAATACTCTCGTATGAACATTCATCATTCCCCGCGCGCCCGCATGCGCCCTTGCACAGAACAGCCTCTGCCTGCCAAGAGTCATTTTCACTGTGTGCCTCGGTCTGTTGCCTGTTCGAAGGACGTATGATTTTGAGGCAGCACGCCATCGTTGCAGTTCGTACTAGAGGAGGATCTTCACACGCGTAGGACCTCTCACGTTATCCAGCCTCACACGGTGAGCATGGGCTGGCAGCAGAGCACGGAGGTACCATCAGCTGCAGGCAGAATCAATGGAAAGTTGTCAGACTCGCCAGCTTGGATGCTTCGTGCTGAAGGCGGAGCTGCTGTGAAGCGTGACGAACACGAGGTGGTTGTATGCAACGAAAAGTTTGGTTCAAGCTGTGCCGCGAGGCACTGCGCCAGTCTTTGTCGAACTTCTCCACCATCCCCATCTTCTCTTTCAGCACACCTTGTCTTGCTTTTCACCATCATCCTCCGGGGTCGGACAGAAAAGAAACGCAGGCGGCGACGGAAGGCAGCCCGCCCAGCCATTCCAGCAGCGAGCACAGCGTCGGCAACGATGAACGGGCTCTCGGAGGAGGACATCCACCACGCCTCGCTGCTCGCTGAATTTCAAGCAAGCAGCGGACCATCCACGCCGTCACATCCGGGCGCCGCAGCCGCAGCTGCAAATTCTAAGGGCATCAACCACCGCCACCACAACAAAAGCAATGCGGGCGGCGGCGGCAGCAGCAGCAACGTCAATAGCAACACCGCATCGGGCTCGTCGTCTCATACGTCGCATCTACATCCTCACCACCACCACCAGCATCACCAACTTCAGCATCAGCAGCATGATGCCGCCGCAGGCAGCGGAAGCGGCTCGCACCATCACGCGCAACCACACGAGCTGGGCTCGCACAATCACAATCATCCGCACGCACATGTTGCCCATTCACACATGCCGTACGGCCCTTCGTCTGCCTCGTCTCACCAAGGCCATCCACGCTTTTCATCCGGGCAAGGGAGCAGCCAGCCGCCGCCCTCGACGGGGTTTTCGCTGGCGCCCGCCGGATTTCATCCGCACATCTTTGACAACACAGGAGGAGGAGGAGCGGTAGCAGGACGACCCAATTCCTTCAATAACGGCTACGACCAGTCCTGGTCACATCCACATACCCTTGGTCCAGCGCCGCCGCCGTCCGCCTCAGCGCCAGCAGACGCAGCCCTTCAAGAGCGATCGAATGCCGGTGCGGGTAAGAAACAAGGGAATGGCGTCGAGACGCCGAACCGTGCAGACAGTGGAAAGACCTCCAGCAAAAAAGGTGCGAAAGGAAAAGGGAAAGCTGCCGCCGACCTTGCCGAAGTCGAAACAAGCAGAAACTCTGACGTCGACAGCGACGATGCATCTGCGCTTAACAAGCAAGATTCAATCAGCATTGTGATTGGTCGGCCAAGGATCAGCAATGGAAAGCGTGCCAGTAGCGGCGGCGGTGGCAGTGCAAGTCAGTCGGACCGCAAGCGTCGCAGGGTGGTTGTAGCCTGCGACACGTGCCGGCGCAAAAAAGTCAAGTGTCAGGGCTTGCCCAACGCGTCCAATGTTTGCGATAACTGCAAAGCGTACGGCTATAAGTGCACCTTCACCTCCGAGCCGGACCGCTCGCGTGGAAAGTATGAAATCCTAGAGTCGAAAGTTGAGACCTTGCTCAGCGCGCTCCGAACCGTCGCGCCGCACCTTGCGCAGCAGTTTCAGGACGGAGATCTGAGCATTGCCGCGCCCAGTGGCAGCATTGCCGGCCAGGTCGACAGCACCGACTCGAGCCAGTGGCCCATGAGCAGCAATGTTGCGCTACCGCCGCCGCCTGCGCCGCCTCATCGCTCTTCGCATTCACATCCGGGCTATGGCGCAAGCAGTAGCAGTAATGGTGACGATGAAGCCGGCGGCGGCAGCGCTGGGGCAACAGGCACGAGCAGGGAAAGTAGGCACGGATCGCTGGAAGCAGTCGCTGCTGCTGCCGCTGCGATACTCTCTTCGGGCTCAAATGGCCATCGCGGCGATGGCGCAGGGGCGGCAAGCGCTGGCGGAGCGGAGCGGGGCTCTCTGGCGCAAGGAGGAGCGTCGTCGTCAGCTGGCCCTGTTGGTGGGGCGGCCGGTGGTCCAGGCGGGCACTCTGTCGGTCGCAGTCCAGCGACACCTAGTGGGGCTGCAGACGGGCATGGCAGCGAAGGGCGCAACACGGACCTGTCCATAGCGCGCTTCCTGTCCGACGGTGCAGTCGGCTCGCGACCCGAGATCAAGCGCCGCGACCTGGGGCCACTCCTGCCAGACGTAGAAGATGGTCGGCCTCGTTATTTCGGACGCAGCAGCACACTCAATTACTTCCACGGCATCGACTCGCGTCCGCCGTCACCCAATCTCGGCAGCACCAAGTGGCTGAGCGCCGCACATGCGCACCAGCTGCTGTGGCCGACGCATCATGGTGTCGCCGGCGGAGGGCGCTTTGGCACCAGAACGCCAGGGACTGCCACGCCCACCGGCGGGCTCAGCGCTATGTACGGCCTCGAGTCGCGCTCGAGGGCTACATCGCCTGATCGTGCCGCCGGGCTGGGCAGCATGAGTGCGAATAGGCTGAGGGACTCGCACGACAACACCACGCCGTCTTCGCCGGTGCTTGGCGGGGCTCAACAGCAGCAGCAGCAACATGATCAAAACATCCTGACGCCGTGCGGAAATAAGTCGTCGCTTAGCCGACATACCAGCGCCCCCGAGCAGGAGTTCAAGACGCTACCTCGGCCGCGGCCGCAGCCGCAGTACCCAGCCAATTCCAAAGAGTGGGTCGCTTTGCTTCGGCGCAAAAATCTGGATGCAGTTGGCAGAGACGACGTATGCGATAACGAATGGTTCACGCGCTACATGCTGCCGGAAGGCGATCTGGTGCTGGACCTGTTCGACATCTTTTTTACACGCTTGCATCCCATCATGCCCATCCTACACCGGCCAACGATGGAAGAGGACATTCTGTCCGGGCGCGCTACCCACGATACCGCCTTCCGCGGCTTGGTCTTTACGGTCCTTGCTATTGCCAGCCGCTTCACCTCCGATACGCGCGTGCGGACGGACGAAGACGACGCTTCTACCGCTGGCGACCAGTTCGCCAAGGCGAGCCGGCTCTACCATCAGGTTTATGCGGCCAGCTTGATCAATGTACAGGTCCTCCTCCTCAGCAGTACTTTCATGCACAGTGAGGTGGGGCCCGGCGTGCCTTGGACCCAGCTGGGTGTGGCGATTCGCGCGCTGCAGGATATTGGCCTGCACCAGGAGCGCGCCTACGTCGAGTTTAGCGAGTTCGAGCAGGAGCTGCGCCGGCGCGCTTTTTGGGGCGCCTTTATACTCGATGCCTTGTTCGCCGTCAACATGGGCAGGCCTGTCGCGCTGCGCGTGTCCGATTGTACAGTCCGACTGCCCAAGGACGTCACGGATGACGCTATGACGGATGCCCACGCGCGCTCCATCTCGCTTAAGGATAAGGAGTCTGGGACACAGACAGTCATGTCTGGATGGATCTCGCTCATCAGGCTTGGATTCATAGTGCAGGATGGTGAGTTGTGCCTCCCGCGATTCGATGGTGGTTATGGCTCTTTTTTCTGATCTGATCTGTCTCACCGTGCCTTGCTTGATTTTTCAGTCGTTTTGGCGTTGTACAGCCCTCGTTGGCGCCAAGAGGTGACGCAGGAGAAGCACAAGGACTACGTGCAGAATCTGAGCAAGACGAAGCAGCTGCCCGAGTACAAGGACATGGCACTCCTCTCCAAGCGCCTCGACGAGTGGATCGCCGACACACCGGCTCATTACCGCACACCGCAGAGTCCGTACAAGTGGCAGGCGGGTATCTTGCAGATGGGCACGCACGACATAAGATTGTACATTCTCAAGCCATTTCTGTTCGACCCGTACCTGCGCAAGATGCTACACGTGCAGTGTATCGACCACTCCAAGGAGGGGCTCAAGACGATCGTTGATCTCTTTGAGGATGATCATCTGGCGGACATGGTCTTTGTCATGCAGCAGGGATTCATGTCGACGTGCACTTTCATGGTACGTGTCTTGTCTCCTCTCGTGCGGCCAAATGGTTCTTGTCTGACTTCCTGTTCTCCGTTCATAGATCACTGTCTGGCACGGCACTGCAGAGCCGGACAAGCTCGCCGAGGATGAGCTACTTATCGAAGCGACGCTGCGCATCTTTGCTTCCTTCGATGTGCGATTCCTGTGAGTATCAAAGAATGATTTCACGCGATCTTGTTCAGCTGATTGCTATGTTCGTCCCATTCGTCGGTCCAGCTCCCAAATCGTCAAAAAGGCGCTTCGCCTGCTGTACAATATTGCTAATCGTGCGCTGCCCAGCATGAGCTCAGACTATGCCGACAAGACGAAACAAGTACTCGAAAAGCTGAAGGACGTTGCCAGCGGCCTGTCTCCACCGCCTGCTCAAGCCAACGCAAGTTTCGCAGCTTCCACACCCGCATCTCGCATACCATTCTCGATTGCAAGCCCACTGCCTTCCGCCAACGCCGGTGCTGATGTTGTCGCTGCGACGTGGCGCGAAGGCATGTTGCCCTCCACCTTCCTCGCCGGCGTGGGCGATCCTGTCGATTCAGCTGGTTCCGCGATGACGTGGGCAGCAACAACGGGACCGGCACCGGTCAATGGCACCGCGCTGTCACCCTCCGTTTCCACGAGCAAACAGCAGCGGCAATCTGCTGAGGCTTCCACCCCAAACACGGTACGTGAGGGCATAAATGGCATGTCTACCCTCGACACCACGTTGTCCCCAAGTGGCGATGCGCCCTCTGACATTTGGTCTACCGGCGGCGGCGGCTTCGACGGGAATGAGCAGCCGCGGCTCCGTCAGCTTGAGGACGCTTCGTGGGGGGACTACTTTGCTACTTTCCTGCAGTCTCTGGGATGAGGCTACAGAGGCCCTGCCTGCCGCGATTGAACCACAGTCTGTCGCATGCACGCATATCCGCTTGATGTAATCCAAGGCACAAGATGCATTCAAGGTATTTTTTACGAGCCTTATCCCTGTCACGAAAGATACTCCGCATGTGCCATGGAGGGATGATCACGCATGCAGGAACAAAAGGACATGTCACAATGGTATGTACCACGGCCGGTCGTGGCTTCCGGATGTGAAGGTAAATTTCTTTTTGCATAACAAAGCTGCTGGTTCACGCATGGGTTGCTTGCTGCCTCAGCGATGAGCCTGGCGGTGTCCAGCCTAGCGCTCATGCGGCTCTGCAAGACCCGGCGCAGGGCCCTTTTACCCGGTAACCTTGGCATCTTTCGTGGCGGCGAAGGCCTGGTCGATGTCTGTTATTTAAAAGGGAAAAGGAAAAAAAACATGCAGCATTGCACGAAATTCGCCAGTCAGTCAAAATGCTTGTTCCAAGCGCGTTCTGGGGGGGGGGGCACGTCGTGGACTTGCCCTCTAGAATGTCGCTGATGTGCTCGATGCCGATTGAGAGGCGGATCATCTCGGGCTTGACGCCTGATGCAGCCTGCTCCTCCGCCGTCAGCTGCTGGTGCGTCGTCGAGGCCGGGTGGATCGCTAGACCTGTAGAAAGGGAAGAAGAAGAAAAATCGCGATGCGTCGTCAGGCAAAGCAACGCGACAGGAGGGTGCGCACACTCACTCTTGGCGTCGCCAACGTTGGCGAGGTTGGAGAAAAGCTTGAGCTGGTCGACAAAAGCACTGCCGGCCGCAGGGTCTCCCTTGAGGCCAAAGGCGAGTACGCCACCGAAGCCGTTGGCAAGGTACTTTTTCGCGAGCTCGTGGCTCGGGTGCGACGACAGGCCCGGGTAGGAAACCCATGCGACGCGCTCGTGCTTCTCGAGGTACTGCGCGACGACGAGCGCATTGTCGACGTGCCGCTGGACGCGCAGCGAGAGAGTCTCGAGGCCCTGCAGCAGCAGGAACGACCCGAACGGGTTCAACGCAGGCCCCAAGTCGCGTAGCAGGACGATGCGCACGTAGATGGCAAACGTGATCGCGCCGAATGTGTCCCAGAACTTAAGCCCATGGTAGCCCTCCGAGGGCTCGGTGAATTGCGGGAAGCGCCCGCTCTTCTTCCAGTCAAACTCTGCACAGCGAAATGAAGGGATTTATGTTCTGTTCAGATATCGCCCACACCGTGTCTTTGGGAAATTTAAACAGGAGACTCACTGCCGCTGTCGACGATCACGCCGGCAATGGTCGTGCCGTGGCCACTGTAAAGTTGCAAAAGACCCCATGTCAGGAGAATCGAAGCAAGGCAGGCGAAAGAGTGGAATTCCAGCGGGCAACTCACCCGATCCACTTGGTCGCGCTGTGGACCACAATGTCTGCACCATGCTCGATCGGCTTGACGAGGTAGCCGCCAGCGCCAAAGGTGTTGTCAACAACGAGGGGAATGCCGTTGTCGTGCGCAACCTTGGCGATGGCCTTAAAGTCGGGTACGTTGAACGCTGGATTCCCGATTGACTCGACGTAGATCGCCTTAGTCTTGCTGTCAATGGCCTTCGCAAAGTCCTCTGGATTGTCGCCCTTGACGAACTTGGTCGTCACGCCCATGCGAGGAAAGAGCACCTTGAATTGGTTGTATGTGCCGCCGTATACGTTCGAGCTGTCATACAAGGCGAGCGGGTCAGGCCAGGCTCATGGGCGAATCGGCCATCGACCACGCCGCGGCAAAGCAGAAGGAACTCACGTCGAAACAATGTTGTCGCCAGCGGACGCCAGGGCAAGGATGGTCATTGCCTGCGCAGACTGGCCCGAGGCGGCTGCGACGGCTGCGACACCACCTTCGAGTGCTGCGATCCGTTTTTCAAAAACATCGTTGGTTGGGTTCATCAAACGGGACTGCGTGCGCCAGCGACATTTTGCGACAAAGCATGCAAGAAAAGAGGGGGCAGATTGCGTCAGTCGCGGCCTCGTAGCAGTGAGAAATCGTCATCTTGGAAAGAGCAGGGGAATAAGAGAGAAGGAGGTGTCGTGGGCTGCACGACTCACGTAGATGTTGCCAAACTTCCTCAACCCAAAGAGATCGGCGCCCTCGGCCGAGTCCTTGAAGACGAACGAGGTGGATGCGACGATGGGCACGGCACGCGCCTGGCTGCCCGGGTCGGGCTCCTGGCCTGCGTGCAGCTGCAGCGTCTCGAACTTGGGCATCGTGGTGGTGGAAAGGCTAAGTGTGTGGGAGGGGAGGATGATGGATCGGGAGAAGCAAGGTTTGGGGAAGGGGGACGATGTGCCTTTGCTTTTATCCAAAAGTACCAGTCCAAAAGCGGACACGCATTTCTTCTCGATTACACGCACAGCTAACTGCTCACTGCCAGTGTCTAGTGGTGTATTCCATGCAACCTACAAGCATGCATTCACGGTGTGACACGGGCTGTTGGCAACTAGAAGTAGTAGTACCGACTACCGGGCATGGCCCGTGCGCTGTGTACTACTGCAGACGTAGCAGCAGCAGCGGGTCTCGTCGTGACAGTTGCCGCCTCTTCTCCGTGCTCCGTGGCATTGCATGGCATGTCCTATGGTCCCCCATCCGTGTGCGTGTGTGCTGCGACGTGCGAGCATCAAAAGAGAACACCAACGCTGCCGAAAGATGCAAGTTCGCCATCGAATGGCGTGCTCGACGCCTCCCATGACAAAATTGTTACGTAAGCACATATCACGGTGTGGAGCATATGCCGCCGCCTTGACACTAGCGTGCAACTGGTCCACTGGTTCTAAGGGTTGTGACAACAAAAACACATGTTGTGCCCTCCTCTGCATTCGCTGGCTCACGCGACCCACTTTGAAAGTCGAGTTCGGGATCAGAACGAGAATAGAACAACGTACAGAACAGCATCAGTGTAAGCTAACTAGCTACGTACTTTACTAGCTGTTCAGTTGTGTCCTACACGGCTGCAAAGCCCTCATGGAATTTATCATGCACCATCAACTGCAGCGGAGATTCGACAAGCACTCGACTAGAGGCAAGTTACCCTTATTGTGAAGTGCTCCCACAACATCGTCAGGACGGCAGGAGGGTGAGAAGAGGCGGAGACTCAGCTCTCTGAGCATGCAAGCTATTCGGGGGTTTCATGTTATCTGCACAGGCAACAGGCGGATGGATTTCCTGCCCCCCCGCAACAGTGGAGATTTCGTGGGACGCCAATGCGCAAAGCCTCGCGCGTTCGCAAGCGCCACATGATGGTACACACGACAGCATTCTCAGCGCTCCGCCTCGAATCTGCAGCACACACATTGGCTACCAATCGAGGTAATGTAGACAATGGTCAGTGATTCACCTGCCGGGTTGGCCTGAGCTCTTCAAAGGGCGCTGGTGCGAGAGTTCTCCTGCAGACGAGTGTCTGTGGGCTGCTGAAACAGCCTCGTGCTATTCGTCAAACATGGTTATTGCCCGTGACATGTGCACTCCTGAGCTAACGCGCGTGGACTACAAGGGACGAAAGAAGAGCCTTCTGTGCAAGGGTATCGCAAAGTGCGTCTACCAGCCGCGCTTGGACATGTGTCCGCCGGGCATGCTCGGCGTGATGTTGATCCCAGTCATTGCCTCGCCAATGTTCGTCGAGATCTCCGCCAGCTTCTCCGGGTTGTCGTAGTGCGCGACAGCCTGGACGATCGCGACGGCGCGCTCCTTTGGTCGCTCTCCCTTGAACACCCCAGACCCGACAAACACACCTGCATGGGTAACAAAAAGTCGCGCAAGACGGTCAGCTATTCCGCCTTTTTTGGCTTTCCGGCGCAGGCATGAAATGCAGTATCAGTCCTCTGCTTTTCACAGGACACTCACCATCACTGCCGAGCTGCATCATGAGCGCAGCGTCTGCAGGCGTGGCAACGCCACCAGCGGCAAAGTTGACAGTCGGAAGCCGCTTGAGTCGAGCGGTCTCCTTGAGCAGGTGGTACGGCGCACTGATCTCCTTGGCGTAGGCGTACAGCTCCTCATCGCTCATGCTCGCCGCACGCTTGATCTCTGCTTGCAGTGTTCGCTGGTGGTAGACTGCCTCGACAACGTTACCTGTCCCTGCCTCGCCCTGCATGCACTCAAGGCCGATTTAGCAAACAGTCCTCGTGTGTCTGCAGATGGGAGCCTGGCGTGTCAGAAGCGACGACGCACCTTTGTTCGAATCATCGCGGCACCCTCGCTGATACGGCGCAGGGCCTCGCCGAGATTCTTGCAACCGCAAACAAATGGCACCTTGAAGTTGTGCTTGTTAATGTGGTGGTAGTTGTCCGCAGGGGTCAGCACCTCCGACTCGTCAATGTAGTCCACGTTGACCGCCTGGAGGATCTGTGCCTCGACCTGGGATAATGCAAAACGGGTTTGACGTGTCATGTATGAGCAAGTAGCTTTGAGTACAAAGCCCACTTGCCAAAGCCTTCCAGCATGCGGTACTCACAATGTGACCGATACGGCACTTGGCCATGACGGGGATGGACACGGCTTCGATGATCTCCTTGATCATCGCCGGGTCGGACATGCGCGCCACACCGCCATCCGCACGGATGTCTGCCGGCACACGCTCGAGAGCCATGACGGCACATGCACCTGCCTCCTCTGCAATCCGCGCCTGCTCTGCATTGATCACATCCTATTGGAATAGCGAAAGCAAGCGCGCGGCGTCAGTGCCTTCGCTGCTAGCACCCCGAGTGCGATCAAGTTCTTCCTGCCGCGACTTGGAGAAACTCACCATGATCACACCCCCCTTGAGCATCTGCGCCAGACCGCTCTTGACGCCGTACGTGCCAATGTTCGAGTTGGCGCTGCTGCTGCTGCTGCTGCTACCACCTACGTTTGCGCCGGACCGCGAAACAGCCAGTGGTGCGTGCGTGGCATGGCCGTTGACAGCTGGCGTGGCTGCCGCCGCTACGGCTGTGGCGCTGCCGTTTACGGGGTTGCCGACGATGATCGGGTGTTCAGAACTCATTGTTTCTTGCTTGGTAGCCCTTCTGAGGAGGTCAATAGATGATCAAGACGAAGGAGGGCACGAGGAACAATGGTGCTGCGAAACAAGTGCAGACGACAGATCGCTTGCCCTAATATGGTCTGTTCGCCTCAACAAGAGTCATGTTGTCTTTTGGACATAGTTCCAACGAGAATCAGAGCCCCAGGCTGCGGGCATGAGCCCTAATTTGTTCGACGACCAGCGGGCGTGCCGCCTGGTGCCTCTCGTGTCAGAGTGCTTTTCTCCGCTGCCGCAGTTCCGCCCTCATCCACTTCCATCTTCTCTTCTCCTTGAATTGCCGATGGGCCAATTGGAAGGCAACTTTCACTGGGCTTGGCAAATTGCACTGCAGTCTTGTTTCTGATTCATGGTTGGGCCATTTCCTTTCGGTTTTCTCTCGATGACTCCCAGAGTGACCGACCAACTCTTTTATGCCCATACCGGCCCTCTTGTACGCATATGTACCTTGCCAGAGTTTCTTCCGTCCCCACCCGCCTTTCGTGAATTGCGGCTTGTCCGTGCGAACCGTGGTGTGCACATCTGCAGAATGTTTATACTCTGCTCAGTGCTTACGCATGGCTTGATGACAGCCAAAAGTTACCACGGATCACTTCTTTCGTCAGTGATCAGTCGTTATCAGCAGCTGCTTCACATCCGAAGCAGTCCAGCATGTCGCCAAGCACAGAAAGGGGCGCGCTGCTCAATTGGGCCACGGACTCGCAGAAAAGAGCTCATCGCCTTCTTGGTGGCCCGGCCGCTGCGACGGACCACCTCACAAGAATACATACGTGCGCATCCATACGTCGCCAACAAACTAGTTCCGTGTCAGATTACTTTAATGTTTCCCGTACTGGGTTCTAGCTCAGCTGATGTGCACATGACTCGTCGACATCAAACCTATTTATTTATGTTCGCCACCATGGTGGCGAGTCGCTTTCCATGCATCTGACAAGCCGCGCCACCAATAGCATGTGTTATGAGCATGAGCCCATTTGGGTGGAATCTCTCCCGTTTGGGTAATCCAGTGGTAATCCCCGCACCCAAGCCCGCCGCTTGCACGCCAGCCAGGGGTTCGAAGACCTCCCAGCGACGCAGTCAGCTTTGGTAGTGACCAGCCCCGCACAGGTAGTGGGCCGCTGGGCAATGGGTTACGTGAATCAGAGCAATGCGACTACGTGCAAATCAGAGAAGACAAATCGACTGGCTGAAGGAAAAACGATTCGATTGGCGTCCTTGCACAACCTCCGGCCCGCACCACTGTTCCTTCTACTCCACCGAAACACCAACACCGCGGGCAAAGCGTTGAGGTTGTGCTTCTGCGAGAATAACGCCTCATGTACAGCCGGTGCTGCGCTGCTGCGATAAGAGTGGGATCACTGTTGGGGTAGAATAGCAGAGTGACCCTGATAGAGATTGGGCGTGGGTGCTGTCGTAAAACCAACCTTAAGCATACTTTCTCCACCTGGTCCCTGCCGTCGCATAGCGTATCTAATGTACCGAATGCCAATTGATCCAGGATCATGGATGAGCCCAACTGGCAGCGTGAGAGGCGGGGTGTGTCACGCTTCGCAGTCCGCTGTACCGTAAAGCGAGAACGCACGAGTTTGCAACATGTAATCAGGGTTGAGAGATGTTTCTGAGTGTGAAAAGAACTGGAGTCATTGGAATAGGGTTTTAGCCTAGAGATGAGGCGTCCCGCTGGCTGTGAGAGTGAGAACAGTACGTTCACAAGCTCGAGGGGGGCCCTTGTAAACCCAAGCACTTCCAGCCGAAGGCCCCCGAGTGCCGGAGGCACCACTACGACTTCTGCTTTCTGTCAGCAGAGCTCACAGCACAGCCTCGACTCGAGGCCATCTTCCATCTTCACACCTGTGGTTCATCCGGTGCCCAGCCCTCAGAAGCACGCAGCCCGCCAGCCCCAACTCGCAGTGCTCATCGCGGAGAGAGGGAGATTCAAGATGGCCGCACCAGCTGTCAGCCGCTTCGTTGCCAAGAAGCCTTTGAACTTGGCGTGAGTAGATCGTTCCGGGAACACAGTTCGCGTCCCTTCTCTGCACCTTTCTGGGGGCGTCCCAGTCGCCTTGTACATGCCATAGGCACACACATGTGCAGTGTGACCTGCCCTCTCATTTTCTTTGCCGGGTGGATGCTGACAATACCGCCTGCACTCCTTGCCCTTTCATATGCGCTGGGTTGGCTTGCCTTTGGTGCTTCTTCCTGCGCATTTTTGGTTGGCTTCACGTCGCACTTAAAGCCCAACGGTGGCCTTTACCGCCTCCGGCGCGCCTCGCGTGGCCAACATCAACCACCGTGTTCGCGCCCCGGTCGATGAACATGGACACAGCGAGCATGGCGGCCGCCAAGACCTGAACCAGGTCCCAAGGTGGAGCGTCAGCGCCAGGACGGGCAACGTCTTCCTGTCCAGGACCAACATCAATGGTGAGCTGGCTTCCATGTTGTACTACCTTTATGACGGCTACTGAATGCTCCTTCCTTTCTCCAGCACCCGCTACAATCGGTGCTCCCCGCTACTTCTCGACCTCGCGCGAGGTTGCCGCTGCAGGCTCAGCAGCCCCCGAGGCACAAGGTGTGCCCGACTACAGCGCTTACCGCGCCAAGGACGCCGAGACGAACCGCCTGACGTCCTACTTCATTATCGGTTCCTTCGGCCTCGTCACTGCTGCTGGTGCCAAGGCGACTGTCACCGACTTCCTGTCATCCATGGGCGCCTCGGCTGATGTTCTTGCCCTGGCCAAGGTTGAGGTTGACATGAACTCGATCCCGGAAGGCAAGAATGCCATCATCAAGTGGCGTGGCAAGCCTGTCTTTGTCAGGCACAGGACCGGCGACGAGATTGAGGAGGCCAAGAGCGTCGATGTCAACTCTTTGCGTGACCCGCAAAAGGACGAGGACCGCGTCAAGCGCCCAGAGTGGCTCGTCATGCTCGGCGTCTGCACCCACTTGGGCTGCGTCCCCATCGGCGAGGCCGGTGACTACGGCGGATGGTACTGCCCATGCCACGGCTCCCACTACGATATTTCCGGACGTATTCGCAGGGGTCCGGCTCCCCTGAACCTCGAGGTGCCCGAGTGAGTACATCGATCCGAACACCGCCACCCTCGCGCATGCTAATGCAAAGCATATCCTGCATCGCTTCCGTTCCAGGTACTCATTCGACGACGATGCTCAGAAGCTCATCATTGGTTGATATGTGTAGATCTTTTTAGACTGTTGAGAGGGCTTACGGATGAAAACGCGAATGATCTAGATCAAACATGAGCATTGTGCATTTTCGGGGTTAATGTGTGTAGAGTGGCATGGCACTTGCAGCACAGCACCTATGATACAGGAACGAAGATCACTTCTTCTTGCCTTTGCGCTTCTTTCCATCGTCGTCCGAGTCGTAACCTTTTTCGTGGCGACGCTTGTCATCCGCCTTCGCCGCCTTTCGTTCCAGCTCGTCCCAGTCCTCGCCTTCGGACTCATCGAACGAGGCCGCGCTGCCGCTGCCGCTGCCGTCGTCCTCCTCGGACGCGCCAAAGTCGCTGCCGTCGCTGTCGGATTCCGAGTCGACTTCGCTCACGTCATCCATGACGTCTGCAAAGTCGGACCCTTGCGACGACTCGCTGGCCGAGTCCGAGTCGTCGCCGTGCGCCTGCAAGAAGCCCCATCCTCCCTCCTCAAAGAATGCGTACGGGTCCTCCTGCACCGTCTTCATGATCGCCGTCCAGTTGAGGTTCACCGCACCCTCGGTGACAGGAAGGTCGACCGAGTCGAGCCATTCTTTGACGCTGTCAAGTGCTTGCGAGGGGATCGAGTTGATGTGCACCGGCGCTTTGGAAAAGTCTCGCATAACAAAGACGAGATCAAAGTTTTTGAGTCCGTACTGTACTCGCTCAAGGTGCGCAATCTCCACATCGGAGAGAGTGACGACAAAGAAAGGCGGCTCAGTCAGATGGACGAGGCAGTCGGTCGTCGGCATGAGGAAGACGTTGTTGCGGAAGGGCACGCCGTTAAAGCCCAGCTCTCGGTATGGCGTATCGACTTCGAACCGCCCGTCAGACGCTTCTGCGATCTTCTGCGCAAACGCCTTGAATTCCTTGTTGAGTTGATGCCGCCGTCGTCGCTCTTCCTGTTCGAGCTCGATCTCGTCCTCGTCTCCGGTACGGTATTTGCGCTTGCGGTTGCCCGTCTCGTCGAACTGCACGTCCGAAGCCTCACGGTAGAACTGTACATCGCGCGCCTTTTTCTTCCCGACCATGATGGGGTATTTCAGGTGCATGTGGATGATGACGACCAGCTCCTTGTCACACGGTTGGAAGAAGAGGTGCTTGATGTTGCTGAAGAGAATATCGATGCGCTGCTCCTTGAGCGGGGAGCTGAACCTGATACCGTTTTGGTGGATCTCGAGGTCGCCAGGCACGCGCTTGCCTTCGAGCGCTGGGCGCGGGAACACCTCGCGCAAAATGATCGGACGGCTCTTGTTCAGCTGCAGCTTGTCCTGCTCGACAACATCGGCCAGCTCCTTCTTCTGCGCCTCCTCCTTCGTCGACATCTTCTTGAACTCGGTGATGTCCCGGTACAGCTCGCCGAAGTGGAACGTGTCCTGTGACCGGAAGATCATGCTGCGCACGAACGTTGCATCGGGATCCTGAAACGGCTGGTCCTCCTTCTTGCCGAGAATCTGGCCCGGGGTGATAAAGTTAAATCGCAGCGTCGTCCACTCGCCTTCCTCGCTCTTACTGACGTTCTTGATCGTATTGATGTGGAAAGGGACAGCGTATCCGTAGATGGGAAGGATGACAGAGCGAGCGCTCCGGTCTAGCAGGATCTTCAGATCCTGCGTCTTGGACGGCAGCCGATCTTCGCGCTTGTAGCTCTCGAATTTCTTCCACACCTTTCCGTTCTGCTTCTCTTCCCCCGCCCCGTCCTCCGCAAAGCGCGCCAGCCCTTCCTCCTGTTTCTGCTGGGCCAGCTCGCGCTGGTGGTCGCGGATGCGGTTGTCGACATTCTCGATTTTCGAGTCGCCTCCTCTGCTGCGTAGAACTTTGCCTCCGCGCGTAATGTGGCCCTCCTCCTCAAACTCGTCGTCGTCATCACCGCGCGCCTTACCCTTCTTTCCCTTCTTGGACTCCTTCGCCTCATCTGCATCCTCGTCCTCCTCCTTGAAGAAGCTCAAGTCCGAAGTGGACTTGACGCGCTCCGTCATGAACGTCGCTGGCCCTTCGTTGACGCGCACAGTGTCGACGAGCAGCAGCGAGTATGTCTGGCCAGAGTGGTTCGGATCGGGAATGTCCTGAAAGCCAATAGTGAGGTTGTAGGTCATGTCCGCTTCGATCGAGCGTGTGTTTTTTGGCCCGAGCAGGTAAGACGAGTCGCGGAACTCGATGCCGATGGCAAAGCCGATCGACTTGACGAACGAGTCGGCCAACTTGGCATCGCGCTTGCGGACAAAGTCGAGCGCTCCGTTGTAGACGTCCCTGCCTGTAGTACCTGTTCGTAGGATTTTCTCAGCGACTTCTTGTTGCACCTCGAGCAGAAGGGCGTAGGCTGCGGACTGCTTTTTGTGCGGATCGATTAGGTATGTGCGGCCGACGTTGGTGCAGTACGACTTGTATTTGATGCCCATGGACGCGATGACGACTCCTCCGCCGTCTGCGCCCTCGAGCCGCTTGTTGTTGCTTTGCGCCGAGGTCCGAAGATCATAGTGGCCACCTGACTGGATGATAGGTGTGTAACACCAATCTGCCAAGCCGAGGTCGGCATCCTGCAATCCTTTGATCTTCTTCCAAAACGCAGCATCCTCCAGCTTGGACTCGATCCGTGCTGCCAGCTTCTCATGTGTCACTTTTTTGCCCTCATCGAGGATCGTCGACATCTCCTCGACAAAGTATTCTTTGAGGACGCCAGTCGACATTCGCGCGGCGGTCTTGATCAATTTGAGCTCTTCCTGGTCCTTTACCGCCCACACAGAGCCAAATGCAGGGCCAACGTCGACCGACTCGAAAGAGTGTTCCTTGATGGCTCCCGCCCAAACTGCGTCCCACTCTTCACCAAATTTGCTAATTGGCTTGTCTTTTGGGAAGATGCCGATCTTCGTTCCGGAAGTGCTCTTTTCGATCCGGCCTATCAAGTCTTTCCAGGTCTCTTTGTTGGCTGCATCGTCTTTTGTCCGCTTCATAATATCGACCTTGACTCCGGACTTGTTGTCTTTGAGCGGTTCGAGCAGCTTGGCTGGAAGAGCAATAGAGACAATGACAGCGTCAGGCGGCGCTACTTCGCTTTTGCACCATTCCGCAAACTCACCTTTTTGGCCAGAGGTGACGAATGTTATCTTGTCTTTCGTGAGCATAATGAGCGTCGATGGGAACTCATACCCGAGCAGCCAGATCTGTTCGAGTCAACGCGCAGCAGCGGCAACGAGGGTTCAACACCGATCCTTTAAGCACCGGTTGTGTACATTGCCCACACGGGAGTCTTCCCCCGCTGTATGAAACGAAGTGTCATCGATACTCACATGTAGCGTAGTCGTCTTGCTGTAGGGCAAGTCCTCGTTCTGTGCTCCCATCGCGGCGAGAACCACGTCGACATCTCGAATGGCTTCGTAATTCTCTTTCTTGTGCGCGTTCTGGACAGGTTTGAATCAGCGCGGAGATGAAGAGGAAGGTCGCAACGAATATGCGCGATGGAAAAGAGAACGGAAAAAGCAGAGGCAGTCTGAAAGTCAGCAAATGGATTGAACAATTTGATCCTGGGCCCCAGAGACGAGGTGAAAGCTGAACTCTCCGCAACAGCAGGGAAGAACCTGTCGCAAAAGGCACCGCCGATGCTCACCTTCCAAGCCGACTGGAGGGCTGCGGCCCTCCGTCCGAAGACTTCGGCGTCAATGGTGATGTCCGACATGACCTTGATCTTTGGCCTCTGGGAGCCGCACGTGGGATAGCCGTCCAAAGGCTCAGAGGCTGGCACGACCGAAGGAGGAGATGGTGGGCAAGAAGAGCACCAGGGCTCGTTTCTATGAGAGTCGCACCTGGAGATGTTGAGCCTTGGGCAAGCTGTGGGTGGACGCGGCGCGCTCGGCCCCCGAGAATGTCGCGTCGCTCGCTCGCTCTTCACTCAACTGTGAGCGGCGCGTGCTCACTCTTGCATCCCAACCCTACTTCCTCCCAGTCATATATCAACCCTCTCCCAAGGGCGAGTCAGTTGATGGGCCAGGCGTTAAGCGCGCCCCTGGGTCAAGCAAACCTACAGTCAGTAGGTACATATCCGATTGGGGCAAGCTCGTGGTAAAGCATGCGGCACAGTCTGTTCAGTTCCCAGAGGTGGAGCTAAACGTCCTATGCCAGCTGCTGGCTCGTTCAAAGCTTGACCAAGCTCATCCCTGGCGGACGGCGGTGCGGTGCGAAGGTGGTGAGTTGTTATGCACCGGAGCGGATCGCTGGTCTTCGGTGCGCGGGTGCAGGCGCGTCTCTCTCTTCGTGGTGTGTGCCTGTGTAGCCCTCTCTATATAGGGCGAGAGAGGCGCCCCCCCTCCCCCCCAGAGTGGCTCAGATGGAGCAAACTGATTTGAATGCGCAGCTAACGACGCATACATACGCACTCTTGACCTTGGTCCATCTAACCTTGGACATCTCTCCCTACCAGTCTTGTCTATCACCTAGATTGTCCTACACTCGAGCGCTAGACGGGCCTTGGCTTTGTACGCGCTCCATCACCTAACAGCCTACAGCGTTGTAGCGCATCTGCAGCTCGTCTCTTTACGAAACGCGTAAACCAGGTCGACGCAACATGAGGTCCAAGTTTAAGGACGAGCACCCTTTCGGTAAGTACTGCTGTTTTCATCGACGCCTGGCTGCTCAGGCGAGAGCGCAAGCTTGCTTTTCCAGTGTGGATATGGAACAGGCCCTGCGGATATACATAGCAGTGGCCACAAAGATCGCGATGCTGGCTGGCAGACGTGGGCTGCCGTCGCGGTGATCGATCAGGCCACCTGGCCAACGAGTGAAAGCAGTGGAGCACATCTGATTGACGATGATGCTCTTGTTTCCCTCACTGTCCTTACTTGTACAGAGAGGCGCAAGGCCGAGGCAGAACGGATCCGAGCAAAGTATCCGGATCGGATCCCAGTGAGTGCCTTATCGGCTCGCCGTGCAGCCTGAATTGTGCATCAATCTGAACCACGTCCTCTCTCTTCTCTCTAAGGTTATCTGCGAGAAAGCAGACAGAACTGACATTCCAACGATTGACAAAAAAAAGTACTTGGTCCCATCGGTGCGTCCTGCTTTTTAAGTCAAACTCGTTGAGTCGATGTAGACTCACGTCTTCTCCTGTCGCCCTTCCAATCATACGCGCCCATGCAGGATCTGACTGTCGGGCAATTTGTGTATGTGATCCGCAAACGGATCAAATTAGCACCAGAGAAGGCCATCTTCATCTTCGTGGACGAAGTCCTTCCCGCAACCGCAGCGCTTATGAGTGCCATCTACGAGGAGCACAAGGACGAAGATGGCTTCCTTTACGTTTCGTACAGTGGGGAGAACACTTTGTGAGTCATGCGTCCCAAGCAGAATGAGTGCTGCCTTCTCCTGTCAGTCGCTGACTACAAACTTTTCATCACGCCTGACTCTCCGGTCATGCCGGACATGCAGCGGCTGAACCCGAACCTCACATGCGGCCTCTTTTAAACTGCTGGCTGGCCTACTGTCCAACTCTGTCCAGGGCTCAGTTCCATGGCTCCGCGCGCTCCATCCTCGTGCTGTCCACTTCTCTCGAGTGCCACAGTTTCTGCCTCGCTCCCGCGTACACTGTACTTCTACTCGTCCCCTTCGGCAATGTACTTATAACTGCGACCAAGATGTGATGTCCAAGTTGTGTGAAGGGTTGAAAAGAGCATTGCTCTACGTGCGCGCCTTGGATGATGCGAGGGTACATGCAGCTCGGTATGACAAATTTATTCGACGAGACGACAAAGCAAGCCGACCCTCAAACCCGCCTCCAAGACACCAACGATCTTGACACGCACTCTGTCGCCGCTGAAAGGAGCGGTCCTCAGCATGGTGACGCCCGCATTCAGGCTGTCTGTGGACCCAGCAGGAGGTTGACGGAACGGCCACTCGCACTCTGCTCTGACGTTGAGACCCTCGAGGCGGATACGGACCATGGCCTTGAGCGTGGCAGGATTGATCCTGACGTCCGAGATCACAACGACTGCATCCATTTCTCCCAGCACGAGTTGCTGCAGCGCCTTGTCGTCCTCTGATACGCCGGGCGACTCGTCGACATACCCGCGCGTGATGATCTGCTCGATCCGCTTGAAGATCCAGAAGCCTGTCGCGGTGCGCGATAGGTTGTTCGTCAACGCCGCCATGCGGTCGAAGGACGGAAGCTGGCGCTGCAGAGCCTCGCGGTTCCACGGCAGCTGGGATGTCGTGCCGGATAAAAGTGAATGCCGGATCTGCCAGTGCGCCACCATATCTGGGTAGCGACGCAGTGGGCTCGTAGCGCGCACGTACCCGCCTTTGGACAGGGCGTCGCGCTCAACTCCTGCTCCTCCGTCGTGCTCAGGCCCACAGATGCCCATGCTGAAATGCATCGCGGGTTCATCGATGGAGTGAGCGGCCGGCAAGGTGATACCAGACGCGGAAAAAGCGTCGTACGAAATGCTGCCATCAGGCATTCGTGGGAGAGAACGCAGGCGTCGCATGGCGGTAGGGTCCTCCGGCATGCTTTGAGCGCGGTACGGCAGCGGAATGCCATGCTCGGCACCGTACTGCCCGGCGACTCGCCCGGCGAGCACCATCATCTCCGCCACGATCTCGCGCGCAGGGAAATAATCTGCTTGCGCTGATGTGGTTTGCTCGCCACTGTCCCAAGCGAGCTGTATCTGTGGAAAGCCCGTGTACAGGTGCGAGGTTTGCAGTGACGTTGACGCTTGCAGAAGCTCTGAATGTGAGACACGCACGCCTTGTATGGCCAGCACCCCGGTCGATATGGCATTGTTAGAGATGCGTCTTTTGGACAACGCGCGAGCCACTCTGCGCAGCAAGTCCAAATCGTCCTTGGTGTCTGCCAATTTGATGCTCCGATTTTCACTCGAAAGAATCTCGTCAACCGCTTTGTACGTCATGACCTTGACTCTGTTAAGCCACGTGAGTTGCACTCGGTAATCGTGAACCGTTCCATCCAGGCCGACCTTGGCAGAGAAGGTCATGGCGCGTTGTCCCTCGGTGTTGTCGTCATCACGGCGACCCCTGGTGGTCACCGTGCCCAGTCCGATGCCACTGTTGACAAAAGAGCTGGGTAAAAGCGGCCACCGTACCTCTGGAAAGTAGATGCTGCTTTGGCGCTTTGCGGCGAGCTTCGCAAGCTCGCTATTGGGTTGAAGAAATGCTGTGGGATCGGCGACGTGCACATGTACCCAAACTTGGTCTGTGGTGCCCGAAACAGGCTCGATGGAAACGCCGTCGTCAAGCTCGTGAGCGCCTTCATCGTCTATGACGTACGCGGGCAGGTTGATCTCGACTCGACCGCGCTCATCATCTGTCTGGGGACCCCGCAGGCTTTCATGTGGCTTGTGTTCTCGTGACGGCTCATCATTGTTGACTTCTCCCGGGTCATCGCCGACAAGCGACCGGAGGTCCGCGTCGAGTGCAATGGGATTCTGCCATGGTGCAAGTATGCCAATGTCCTGGAGGAAGCGAACGACGAGCCCGTGGTGCAAGTCATCGCCAGCGATCTCGATAAATGGCGACAACCCAGGCATAGAGTGCAATCCCCCGGCGTGAGATGGTGCTAATCCAGACGCCACGAAAGTTGCTGGTGTGAGCGATGTTTGCGCATTGGCGAGCTTGAGGATCTCCATGGCTCCTGAAGCATATACGTCTTCCTGTAGCAGACGACGCGAGCCAAGGCTCAGCTTGAGAAACTGAATTATGTCCTGCTCTTCAGGAGACCATGTGTGCGCGACTTCGCTGGGCAGGAAAAGTTTGCGTGGCGGGCCGTTTGCGTCTGAGGATTCATGATGGAGGACCGAGCGCAACATCTCCGCCTTCCAGCTAAGCAAGCGACTTGTCGAGCGCACAAATTGCGTTACTACGGTGTATCCAAAGGTGCCTTCGGGAGCTTGCAGCCAAGCCTTGACGTTGTTGATCAGGCGTGTCTCCGACTGCGGTCTGAGCTTGAATAGCTGGGCCTGCCGATGCGCTGAACTGCTGGCGACAAAGCGATCAGGATGTGACATGAGCAGCAGATGGGTTGCAAGGTATTGCGACCGTGTAATAGCGTCGTTGTCGCCTTTCTGTGCACGCCTGAGCAAGGTCTGAGTGGCTTCCAGAGTAGTGATTGTAGGCGTGGCTTCTTCCTTTTTCTCGTCTTCCTCTGACGCTTCTGCGACAGCGTCAATGAAATGTTCCGTGAAGGCAGGAGTGAGGCGCTGAAGCTCTTCCTGCGTCTTCATCATCAAGATGCGCATGGTGGTACACAACTTTGCCCGCGCTTGGAAGCGTTCCTCGTCCACTGGCTCTTCCAGCGTGCGGACTGGTGCCGAGGAGACAGATGCGCCTGTTGTATCAATTCCACTGATAACGTTGTCCCCATAGTTTTCGGGCTCCTCGGAGCCGGGAGGAGGTGCCGCAGGGACTTTTGGGTCTCCAACGTGGTGGCGAAAGGCAGGAGTGGCCTTCTTGGCAAGGTTCGAATCGGCTAGAGCAGGGTAATGCACGACAATGTCCGTCTCGCGGAACACGTCCACGATACCAGAACTGAGCAAAGCGTAGATTGTTCTGAAGGCGTCCGCTCCCGTTTCCGAGGTCTGCTTTTTTGCATCGCGTTCAGCTGGCACGTCTAGAATGATGGCGTGTGCATGCTTGAAGGCTCTGAGCGACAAGAATGTGAAAAAGTAGCAGCACCAGTGTCAGTGTCAGCGCCGGAAGCCAAAGCAAGCAAACAGAAAGCCGCAGCACGCAGGGAACAGATTGCGATTCAACGAAGTATCTTGAATACTATATGACGTGCGAAGCAAACCGGACAGTGACTGCGCCTTTCTGTAGGCGCCCTCGGCATTTCAGGGATGCTGGCGACCAAGGTGCAACCTCAACCGATCAAGCTTTCCAGGCCCACGGTGACCAGTTCTCACGGAAGACGGGAAACTCACCTTCTGATCTCGACAAAGTCGCCAGGTTTGAGTCCCGTCCCCTTCGTCATCGACTGCACCGAACGCAGGTCAATTTCGACATCGGTATTGATTGCCTTAAGCGTCTTCGACCAATACGCCTTGGCTGCCTCTCTTTCACGCTGCCGCTGCATTGCTGCATCCCTTCGCTGCTGATCACTGAGCGATGGTCTCCCCATGTTACGTAGGCCACGTGCCTCGGTATCCGCACCGAATTTTGAATTCTTTGAAAGGGCAATGTCATCGCGCCTGGCCGTGTCTCGCCTCGGGGTGGGTGCCCGTCTTGCAATCGACGATTCGTGTATGGCCCGCCGTACATTCAAACTAAGAGCTTTCAAGCTTCCCCCTGCTTTTGGCCCCGCCAGAGTCCAACCGATGGGAGTCGAGCGTGGTGAATCTCGAATGACAAGAGTGGACACCCATCTTCGTGTTGCTCCGGATGAGTGAGTGCGTGTGCTCTGCACTGTTGCCGCGCAATAGCTGCACACCATTTTCGATGGCGGCATGGAGACTATCCTGCTGTTCGGTAGATTGTCGGCTCGGCTGCTTCTGTGCAAGCTGCCTCAAGGAGGCTTGGCGGTCGATTCGGAGCTGTCCATCACCGCTCAGATGACACAAACGCAGCTCGACAATCTTCGACTTCGAATGATGGGAGCCGCAAGTCTGCGAGACGTTCTTTGTTCTTTCTTTTTTCCTTATTTTTTCGGCTTCGTTTTCCTCCTTTCTCGAGGACAAAAAAAAACTCATGCGAACAGCGCGAAACAAAAAAAAAGAGCGGAATTGGAAAAAGGCGAAAGGAAGAGGGCAGCACTGCGGCAGTGTTGTGTGGAAATCACACCGCCCTGCCGCCGACACCATCGCACCTCGCTGTGCGGCTCGGAGGGGGGGGGGAGAAAGGGCGAGCTTGATCATGGTTCATGAGGCGGCAGGTTTGTAGATGTAGCGCAGGCTTCCAACGACGACCGATGTGTCCAGAGGTTGCGAGGGCATACACACAGCGCAAGGCAGCGAGCTCATCGGTGCTCGGTACACTGCGGGTGCGCACAGTGCGTCATGCCTTGAGCAGAAGACGTCGGCTTTTCGCGTTCCCTCGGACGACCAGTGCAGAATAAGTTGACAAGGCGCTGCGAGTTGCGCGCAGGGGTCGGGTCTTTGAGAGTCCGTCCTGGCCAAGATGAGCTCTCAGCCAGAATATAGTGGGTATCCTCAACAACTCACAAGGGGGTTGCAAGCGCTGCAAGAACATGTTACTGAGACGCCTTTCTACACCGATTCCCTCGCAACAGCATCCGATGTCGTGATGTCAAGCGCGTTCCACGAGTCCCCATCCTCAAGGGCCGAGTCTGACCACAAGCCGACATCAACTCATGTGCCCGGCACTGAAGCCGGCTGGGGGAACTTTCGCGAAAAGGCGCCAAGTGCTCACACTCAGGAGAATATCTCAACTTCGCACAGTCCAGCTGCGAGCAGCAACAACCGGCATCAGCGTTCGCGCAGTGTCAACATCCCGGGCAACAGCCCTGTGCTGTTGTCTATGGGCCTGGCCCAGCAGCAGCTCAAATCCCCGAGTGGGACTGGTAATACAGGAAAGTATTCTCCCACAAACGCTGCGTCGCACAGCACCATTCAAAGCAGCAGCAAAGGGTCATCCGCGAAGCGAACTAGCTGGCATCCGGGCAGCAGCGCAGGTGGTGCGCATACAGCCAATCTCACAACAGCGGAGAAGATGAACATAGGTTTGGGTCTCGAGCCAGTGTCGGAAGGCCAGGATCAACAGATGGAACCGGAGGATACGTCTAGTACAGTTGAGTCTTCTTCCTCGACATCTGAAGTACCCAGCGAGACCACCCAGCCCCGATCTCAACCCTTGCCTGTTGTGAGGCCCAAGGCACTCACATCGAGCGAGGTGTTGCACGGGCAAAGCACAGAGAGCGAAGGCAGTACGAGCAGCGAATCTTCCTCGCCTGATCCAGGGCGCTTGGGGCGCTTTACGCGCCCGCATAATTCTTTTTCTGCTCCTCTTCTAACTGGAGAGTCTCCATCGTCACTCGAGCGCGGCATCTCCCCATCACGCATCTCCAGCAATCATTTGCACCACCACAGTGGCCATACGCTGCCGCCGTTTGCTCACGCTCTCGGCGCGCCATCCTCGCCTCGCTTCAGCGGCTTCCAGCATCATGCGCGCAGCTTGTCGAGGGAGAGGCAGACACCTTCGCCTCCCCCCTTTCTGCATACCGAAGCCGCTGCAGTAAGCTACTCGACATCCCCCTCCACCTCTCCGCGCTCTCCAGGATTCTTGGCTCGGGTAATACCGGTCAATCCTGACAAGGCCCATCCATGGGACTCTGTCTGGCCGCCCCCCTCAAGTGCTGGCGCAGGGCACGGTGCTGCACACGATGCGATTCATACAAGCCCGTTAGCAGCAGGGACATCGCCCATGTCGCCGCACAGGCTCATCAAAGCCTTAAGCAGCAGTCCCGAGCTACGGCCCTTCCCGCATCCAAGCGATATCGGACGCGGGCAAAGGAGCCAAAGTGTGGATCTCGCCGATGCGGATGACAGCATGCCGAGGCAGCGAAGCGATAGTGCAGGAGAGAGCGCTCGCTCCTCTGTTTTGAGAGGCGTGCCACATGCGTCTCGCTCGAATGGAGGCGTTCAGATGCAGCGCCCTGCATCTGCGGATGGCTTGCCGGCCAGGATCGAACGCGCTGCATCCCCTTCCGTGGCTGCCGCTGCAAACTCTCAGCATGGCAAGGCAATCACGCAGTCCTTCCAGGAGCGCCCGCTCCAGTCATTGGGGGCCATGCCGCTCGTCGTTCCCAGTTCGAGCCCTGCGGCAGCGCCGGTAGTGAGTAGGCGGCATCGGAGAGGCTCGTCGAGTTCCAGCTCCAGCTCAGGCAGCGACGGAAGTGGCACTGGGGCCGCCAGTGGAAGCGGCAGTATGCGGGGCATCCATGGGAGCCCAGCTTTGTCTCCGTCATCGCGGGTCAGGTCTTTTGCGCAGCAACAGGATGCCATCGCGGCTTCGCCGTCGGAAAGGATCCTCAGCCCGCCGCTCCAACCGCAAGCCAAATTCGATCAGCAGCATGCTCTTGCAGAGGCAGTGCATTCAGGTATCGCTGCGGTGCTCGGGGAGCCCCCGGAATTGCGTCTGTCAGACCCCATCTCACCCCGCTCAACCAGCCCGCGGCCGCTTGCGAACACCACTTCTGGCCCGCTGTCCTCCCCGCGCATGGCCAGCTTGCGCCTAGCCACGAATCTCGAAGGCGGTGATGTAGCTTCTGTCCCTTCGCTTTCCTCCCCAGGCGTTTCGCCTGTGTCTCAGTCCCCACCCAAGAGGCGCAGCTTCATCGGCATGCCACCGCGCTCGGGGTACGAGCTGAGCGACGACCCTGATGATGTCGGGTCCGAAGACGACGACGCAGCTTCGTCTAGCTCTGATAGGGAAAGTACCAGCACGATGGAGGAGGACGATGTCGATGAGATGGAAGAAGGCGAAGCACCAGAAAGCGGGGGCGAGATGGAGGAGAGTGATGATAGCGCCCAAGGACGGGATTGCATCGAAGAGCATCAGCGGCATGCTGCTTTCCAGTGCGCCGATCCAGATGAGGAAGACGAAGACGATAGACTTGCGCGGCACCTGCACATGAGTCAGCGTCAGGCACACTTTGCCCGCGATGGTCGCTCTGATGGCGCGACAGAAAGCGAAGGAAGTAGCGATGGGGACGGGTCGCACACCGAAGAGCACTCATTTTCGCGGGATCAGCAGGAGAGTGCACAGGATGACGAGCCAACAGGAGCAATGGCAATCATTTTTAAGCAACGGCCGATGCCGATCAAGCGCCCAAGCCTGACTCGTCCGGCTGCAGTGCCTCCGCCACCTGCAACTACGGCTGCGCATGTACCCGCGCTTTCCGAAGCTTCCGCACCCGCTAGCGGTCAGAAAAGGCAATCTGCTGTGGAGGGGGAGGATGGAGGCATGCCTATGGGCTCTGGGGCGCCACCGGCGCTTGACCTATCGGAGATGGGTAGCGCCGAGGTGTCATCTCATGCGCCGTCATCAGCCCCGACGCCGGGAGCAGACGCGGATGACGCGCTCAGTCCGCTAGAGAAGATTTTCCTCTATGCAAAGAGCGAGATGGCATACCACCGAGTTCTCGTCTCTCGCTCGCTGCCGGAATGGATCTTTGAGGTCGAGCTGAGTGACGCGGTCGAGTACATCATCCCATTGCTCAATGGGTTGGGAACCGATGGTGCGTTGCCGTGCATTTCTCTCTCTACTCTTCATGACACTAACGACCGCTGTGTCTTTCTTTCCAGAGCTTGAGGTCTGTGCAGCATTTGCTCCCGTTTTGGACTGCATCATGTGGTTCTTCTTCCGCAATTGCCCACTTGCAGAGTTGGACGGCGATGAGGATTCAGGTCCGAATGCTCTGTCAACGCAGACACCCCGAGAAGGCAAGGTGGACGGGGAAGACGAACCGGTCGCTCGAGAGACGGCCATGCGCCCGAGGTTGCCGGTTGGGGCATTTACGCCTTTGCTCTGCACGCTGCTGCTTAACCAACATGCTTCCATTGCGGAGGCTACTCAGTTCGCCTTGACTCAGTTTATCATTCGGCTGCACACTGGACATGTCGACCTCGCAGCCGAGCCTTTGCGCTCGCCGCAACCGAATGATGAGCCAGCGATGTTCGCCTTCACGAATCAGCCCGATATCGGGGACGATCTTGGGACGTACCTCGACAATGCCGGCCTCGTTAAAGGGGTACTCGGACGGGAAGGCAAACTTGTTCCACACGAGGACTACTTCTTTGGAAGGAAGCAGCGTGCAGCGGTCCAGGCAGAAATCCTCGACAATGTCGCATTTGCCATTGGCAGGCTTAGTCCAGACCAACAGGCACATCGGGATGTAAATCAAGAAGGCGGCCAAGAGAGTCATGCAGGCCAGTCAGACTCTGCTATGGGCGATACTTCCCGGTCGCCAGGCGAGACGCGCCCAGCAGACGATCAAGGGTCTTTGCAATCGGAGGATGCCAACAATACTGAGCAGCTTCAAGAACAAGGAACAGACGACTCGCTTGAACAATCTCAGTTTGACCAAATTCCCCACGACCCATGGGGAATCATGAATGAGTGGAATGGCACAGCGGATGTCAACTCGGAGCACGCGTCTGGTTATGAGGCCGACTTGGACACGGAAGCAGCTGTCGGACGTATGTCATCGGTCTCCTTACTGGCAGCATTGGCCGCCGAAAAGTGCATCAGCGAGGATGTCTTGGAGCAACGCTTCGTACCAGAGCTGATCCGACTGCGCACCGATGGCGCGTACTTTGTGCGCAAGGAGGTTGCGCTCTCCTTGGCTTCTCTCGCTAAGAGCCTGTCGCCGGTTATCGTGGACACGGAGCTCATCGAAACGTTCGAGATGTTCACCCACGACAAGATCTGGCATGTACGACAAGCTGCGTGCCTTTCTATGCCGGGCTTGTTTGGCGCCACGTCCAATGCCGCGCTCAAGCGGGAGAAGGTCATCCAAGCAGTCCGCACTTTCTCAACGGATGTCTCGAAGCAAGTCCGATCTGCATCATTGGAGATCATCGGCGAACTCATCCACCTCTTCTACGGAGATCCCGAGGGCCCGCCGGAACACCTGATTCGGTTCTTTACGGGAGAGTCGTACGACCGGGAGGAAGAGTCTGAAGCACCTGTCAATGAGCAGTTTCTGCCAGGTCGATCAATTGCGCAGACGCCTACACCCTTGGAGACCGACGATGGCATGTGGGGCCATGAAATGTGGGCAAGCTCGTCGGTGGACTCCGAACGGCCCTTGATGGTCGCTTTCAACCTCCCAGCTGTCGTCCTGACCCTAGGTGCGAGCAAATGGTCAACGTTGCGCGAACTGTATGCGAATTTGGCGGATGATCGCTCACCGAGGGTGCGTAGGTCTTTGGCTGCATCGCTGCATGAGATTGCGAAAATCATAGGGCCCGAGCCAGCCGGCGCCGACGTACTTCCCCTGTTCGACAAGCTGCTTTCTAATCAGGAGGCAGAGGTTCGGGCAGCTGCCGTCGATCATGTCGACGAGTTGCTGGCCGCAGTCCCCAGAGAAGAGGCGGAGGGGAAACTGCGCCTCTTGAAGACTCACTGGACATCGACTTTTAGCCCCGATTGGCGATTGCGGGAGCGCCTCGCTCAATTGATCGAGCCGCTCGCTCGCCAGTTCCTCCTTGGAGATGAGGACGGCAACTTGGTTGCTCTGATGCAGTTAGCTCTTTCGGACCCTGTCGCGTCAGTCCGGAACGTCGGTTGCCGATCTGTGCCCACTCTCTATACGATCTTCGCGGAGCATGACCAGGTCATCGCCGATGGCTTCCTCGGCATGATTAGCGACATGGGCGAGAGCGACAAGTACCGCATGCGCTTGTCTTGCCTCGGCGCGATCCAAGCGCTCGTAGAGTCGAAGATCCAGCGCTCGTCTTTCGAACTCGTCCTCCTGCAGCGCATCATCCAATTTGGCTCTGATGCGGTTGTGGACGTTCGTCTATTGCTCGCACGTGTTGTGTCCCGTATGTGCGGCATCGGTGAGTATTTAGAGAGGGAGATGCCATAACGGCGTCGGACTGATTTGTTCTTTGTGGTCGCCTGCAGATGAACTCTACGGCCTGCCGCAATCCCGTTCAGACGACCTGAATGCACTCCTTGAGTGTCTTGCACAGGACCGACACGAGCAGGTGCGGGAGATGATCACGCCTTTGCTGCTTGAGGGTAAGAAGCTTCCCGCGAGAAAGTCCTTATCGCCTGAGCCTCGTCGACAACTCGTCCTCGGCCCCGCAGAGGGAGGTCCTCACAAGCCCCCTGCGGACGAGGTAGTACAAGTGACTGGATGCGAACAGGACTACGAGTTTGCAGACGCCGAGACGGTGAACATTGAGCTTGATCAAGATGGTGCCGCGCAATCTGGCTACGAGGTGTGGGTCCGAAGAGACGAAGAGGACAGCGATGATGACATGGATGGCGGCGCTGGGTCTGCCACAACCACCGCGAATGCGGATGCTGCACATTGCAGCGAGGGTGAGGGGCATGTCGATGCGGACGCGGATTCCGAGTGGGTCTTCAGCAGTCAGATGGACATTGGCGATGATGCAGGAACTCCTGTGCACCGCAAGGGCCAACTACACATCAATGGCGTGTTGGAGTCTAGTCAGCGCGCGGAAGCCCTGACGACACTGTACTCGCCACTCAAAGCTGGCGACACCAACAAGAAGTCGGCTGCGCCGGCGCCGGTGTCGTCCGCTTCGTTGTACGCTCCGATGGACATGAGCCCGACGAAGAAGGGCGCGCGGAACGGCCACACTGTCAGCGGTAAGGTATCGTCCTCCGCAACTCTATCCGATTATGCAGCGGATGACAATAACGACACCAACGACGCCGACGGCGCTGTGCGAGCAAATAGTGCAAGCATCGGCGGCAGCGACCCTTTTCATGCATTTGTAGCGCACCGTCGTGATCAGGGGCCGCCGGCGCGTGCGCCGCAGCCGATCGGCGACAAAGTCAGCAGCGTTAAGAGCATCCGCCACGGAAGCGATCCGGATAGGAATGGCCAGGAAGGCCAAGAGGAAGGCGTAGCGTGCGCAGATCTGCAGCGGATCATTGGAGATGCGATGGAGGAGGACTGATGGATCGATGTTGGGCTATGCATGCAGCTATGTGCCCTTCTGGGCATCCTTTGCTCTCACGCTGCTTGCATGCTCCTTGAGATTTTGCGCACTTAACATACCGGATGTATCATCACGCTGTCGATGCCAACATTGCATTTGTCTACTTTGTGCAAACTCTATGGCGTCACAGTCTGAGAAGCGCTTCCCACGTACCAATCCATTTGAAAACATGGCCTAATGCTGGTAGATGTTTCCGAATCAGACATTGCCCAACCCGTCGCCGGGCCAATCGATGACGTCCGACGTGATAAGCAGCGCGACGAGCGTGAGCGCACACACGAGCGCGCAGCTCGTCCACATCCAAGTTGCCTCTGCGCGCTCGACGCGCTCAAAGGAGACCGGCGGTGACAGGAAGGCGAGCGGCACGCTCTCGTTCGCCAGCGGGATGGCAGCGGCGTGTTGCACTTGTGCAGAGGCAGGTGAAGGGAAGGAAGAGCAGTGGACTGGAGTGCTGGTGTGGGCGCTATACCCGCTTGGGATGTGGACGAACATGTGGTGCTCCTTTGCCTTTGCATGCGCACCTGCACGCGCGGGTTCGGTGCTAAGAGCGTGACGCACCAGAAATTCAGTTTGCTCGGTGTCATTGTCATTGTCTTCCTCTTCTTCCTGCTGCTGCTGCGGCTGCGATGGCGGCGAACGGATCGAAGCGCCTTGTGCGCCTTTAGGTTCCGCATCGCCATCGTCGTCGCCTTCATCTTCAAGAGGGGCACCATCTGCTACTTGGAACAGCACAAAGTTCTCAGCCTCGTCGTGGACCGCGCGTGTCCCCCATGCTGTACTGGGCCCTGTCGCGCTGACGCCGAGCTCAATGGGCGTCAACGGGAAGCCCTCGCTCTTGCTCGCGTTGGCAGGGGTAAAGCGAGCAGACGTAGGCCTCGCAGCTGAGCCATGCCTGCTCTCGGTGCCGCCGATGACCCAGCCGAGCGACTCGACGCGCGCCGATGCGCGTCGTCCAGCTGCGCTTGCGCTGCCTGGTGCGGGCCACAGAGGCGAGTGCCACGATGGAGACATAGGCGGATGTGCGAGTGCGTTTGCTGCCGCTGCTGCAGCTGTCTTGGGCGCCGTCCTTCTTCGTGCCGGCGATTCTCCTGATGCATCTTCCGCTTGAAACGCGGCAAAGGTTGAGGTAAGTGGTGTGAAGATAGTTTGTGCAGTGTTGATGCTGAGGCTGCGCACGGCAGCAATGTTTGCGTCTGTAGGCGCACAGGCGCCCGCGTCGCGGCTCGCAGGCGTGCGCCCTGTTGCAAGCTCGGGAGGGAATTGCTGCTCGTGTTCTGGTTGTTCTTGGTCGGGCCAGAGACCAGCCGTATGAATCGGGAGGACCTGCATGTAGGACATCTTGCCGAGTGCGAGCTCAACTTGCGAGAGGGTAAATGAACTTCGAAAAAGTGACCTGGGCGGCCGCGCTACACTGTGCTCGTCTCCTCACGGAGGCTCTTCCTGGTCCTCGTCTTGAATCAGCTGCGCTGCGTCAGCCAGCGTGGAGGTGGCGATCCCACGCCCGACCTTCCTGGCGCTGCTGGTACGACGATCGTCGGGCGGAGCCTTGTTGGGCGTGCGTATGGGTAGCATTCGTTCCGCAGGCGCTGCTTGTCAGTCCTGTGTTCTGGCTTTTGCGTCTGGCGCTCGTCCGCTTCTCGTAGGCTGTCGTGCGAGGTCCAACCAGCAGGCTTGCTGGCTTGGTCTTGCGCTGGGTTTTGAGTGGGTGGAGGGATGAAGAAGGGTAGTCTGACGAGAAGAGCGAGGCACACAAGTGTTGCAAAGGACAGGAATGGTCACGTGACGAAGCATTCAGCCTTGCGGCGGCAGGGACCCGGTCATCGGCACATCCATCAGCGTTTCCCTCATGCACGACCAGAATCGTATATGCATCTGTATGCTCCTCAGGCTTCTATGCATCTAGCCATTATCCTTGCTTTCGTAAAGTGCCTACACATCTTTGGGGATTGACCTACTGAGAGTGAGCACCGACGGGTTGCAAGCGACGAACGAGGCCGATCCTCCAAGTGAACCCTCGCTCGCTTGGCAGTGTCACGTAACTGTCAGCCACAGGTTCTCGGCCGAGAGACTCACAACACCCATCACTCATCGATGAACGCAATCAATACCGTTTCAAATGTGACAACCATATCTTGTCAGCACCCCCCCCCCCAAATTACCCTCACACCCATAAACCATATCCTAGGAGGGTATCTTCCAGGAGGGAGAGCTCATTCCTCCGCACCCCCGTCGAGCGCAGATGCATACGGGCTGCTCCGACTCCTGATTGATTGGCCAGCTTGACGCTCCAAAGGCCTTTGCCGAGAACGCGCTTGGTTCGCGCTCCCTCACTCCGACTCCGCGTGCGCAGCCACAGTTAGCTCGCTAGACATGGGACAAAGGGCATAGCCCCAGATCGACCCTCCGTGTACGAGCAACACATCACCACCCCCAGCTCGGAAAGCACATGGGTAATAGGGCAAGGCTCCTGCCAACCGTCTCGCAAGCATGTCCACCTTTTCGCGCTTCCTCCTGTCCCCCAACCCCAACACAGCCGGTCGCACGACCGGCACCGGCGGTGACGCACTCTTCCGCTCCGGATACGGCTACGACAGCTTTGTCAGCGATCATGATCACGACGTTGATGGTGACGGCGATGGAAGCGCAGACCTGCGGCATCCTGCTGCCTCCACAGCCACAGCTGACTGCAACCCGCGGACGGCGCTGCGCCAGGGGTCCGCAACTGCTGCTGCCCCTGTATCGTCGGCGCTGATAAGAGATATTGCCGACGAGGAGGATGCAGATCTGTGGCACGCTTCGACCTCAGCATCTTCGTCTGTTGTCCCTACAGATGACCCGTTCCTCGCCGAGCCTCAGGACCCGCTGCAGCTGCCTGCGGACTCGAACAAGAATCCGCCGCACACATACGGTCTTGGCAAGCCAGCGACGGAGATGGTGACGCGAGGCTGGATCGCACATGAAAGCGTCGTCTACGACAGAGCGACGGAGAAAGGAAAAGGCAGAGGCAGCCGAGGCATCGGAGATGCGGCTGCGCCAAAAGACAACCGCGACCTGGGCGCGTCGTCTAATTCACCCTTCCTCTCCACATCGGCGTCCTTTGCAGCATCTGCGCCAGTGTCAGTGGTAGCATCGGGAACAGCGTCGTCGTCGGCCACATCGAAAGGAAAATCGCGGCGCTCGGCCTCGCCGCGCAGACAGGCTGCTCTCGCTGCTGCGCGGTCGATTCACGCCAGTCGCGCCGCGTTGCGCGAACAAAAGCAGCAACAACAATTACCACTTTCTTCAGAGGATGAGCAAGATGAACTGCTGGACGAAGACGACAAAGATGAAGCAGATGAAAATAATGGTCAGCACAGCGTCGGCTCGAGGACGAGCGGCGGAGGACGGAGGTACTCGGTCTCCAGCTTCCTTTTCGGCTCGCGATCCAAGCGACATCGTTCGTCGGCGTACGACTCTGCGTCACCCTCCTCCGCATCCTCCTCAGACACGGACGAGCCCGGAAGCCGCCCGCGCGCGACGAACCCGCTGCGACGGCACAAGGACACGGCGCGCGAAGGCAGTGGAAGTCGCATGCTCGCGTCGTCCAGCGCATTTTTGCAGCAGGACAAGCATGCACGCAAGGAAGCAGAGCGCAGCAAAGGCGGCCGCGGGAGTGGCCGAATGATCGGCAGCCTCTTCGGCGGCCGTAGATCCATACTGCGCGAAGTGGACGAGGAGGAGCACGAAGCAGGCGCGGCAGGCGAGACCGAAGAAGAAGATGGTGCTAGGGATGCGAAACGAGGTGGAAACGGAGATGAAGGCGATCCCGACGGCGACAACGACGATGATATCATCTACCCTGCACCGCCTGCCAGCCGCGGCTGGACGCCGTGGGCAAATCGCCTGGCGCTTGGCGAGTACAAGGACAAAGCTGGCGCTGTTGCATTCGCCGCGTCCATCGCCGTCGTGCTGCTGTTCGGAGGCGTGAGCGCGCTCACTGCTGCTGTGAGTGGGCTGAAAAGCGCTTTGTTTCTAGGAAGGAGTGGCTGATGCTTCTGGTATGATCATCTTACCGGTGCCGGTTCCGCCGCCTCGCGAATCAGCCGCTCACGACGCCACCGGCCGAGACAGACCCAAACAAGCCAGCCCCGTCGACGCGACCGTCGTCGTACTTCACCATTACACACAGCATCCCCTTGCTCGCGCTACTCATCCTGCTGTCGACGCTGGCATCAGCCGCGAACCTGCTCTTCCTGCGCTACGCTTCGTCGCGTCTGCACGCCGCTGCCACGCAGTATCTCCGCGTCGGCCTCGCTGCCGTCCCCGCCACGCTCGCCCTCGGCTGGCTCTGGGCGTTCGCGGGCAGCTTCTACTATGACGACGAGCGCTGGTCCGGTGGCGCATGGAGCACGACCGGCCTGCGTGCGCTGTCGCTCCTCCCCGTCGTGCTCGCCGCGCTGTTCACGCGTGCAGTCTGGGCGCGCCGGGACCGCCTCGCGCGCAGCGTCGCCGTTCTCGAGCTCGCCGCGACCGTCGTCGTGCAGCACCCCGCACTCTTGCTGCTCAGCCTCGCGGGCCTCGCGGCCTTCCTCGCGCTCAGCATCCCCTTCCTCGCCATCTTTGCGCGCCTCTTCCTCGTAGGGCACTACGGTACGCTGAAGCAGCGCGTCGGCAAACGCCCCCCAGAGCAAGGAGAATGGATCTGGCACACGGACGCCACGGCGAAGCTCCTCGCGTGGGTCACCCTCGGCACGTGGCTCTGGACCTGGGCCGTCCTGCGCGGCATACAGCGCGTGACGATCGCCGGCGTCGTCAGCCATTGGTACTTTCATCGTCGGGGCGGGGAAGCTTCATCGTTTCTAGCCGATGGAACGGCAGCGGCGGCGGCGGCGGCGGCCGCTGCTGCTGCCGATGAGGATGAGGAAAACGTCATTGGGTTCGTTGCAAACAATACACCCGGGGGCTGGCCGGAAGATGACGATGCGCAGAGCTTCGGTGGTCTAGCTAAGTCTCTCATCGGCGAGCCGACAAGTCTTGAGATCGTCCGCGCCTCGTTCGCTCGGGCCACCGGCCCAGCGCTGGGGACAATCTGCGCTTCGGCGCTCGTGCTGGCGCTGACGTGGCTCGCGGCGATCATCGCGGACAACGCAAGGCGGACGTCCAACC